GTCGGGTGCTGCCGTCGGATTTGTCCGACAAGACAAGTTTGCCATGGTCACTGGTGACCCTCTTTGCGACAAGTCTCAGTACACAGACGTCATCAACTCGTTTATTAAATATGTGCTGACGGAGCTTCACATGGTCCCCATGTGGATGCTTGTCTCGTACGACGTGCAGAGGATCCTGGCCCACGACTTGGGCTGGCGAACCCTGTCCTGCACGGAGGAGCAGCGTGTCGACACGGCCAGACACCAGAGCCCTGCCGGTGGCCCCAAGGCTCGCAGAGTCGAGCGTGAAGGCATCAAGATCCACGAGGTCAAGGCTGACGAAGACTTTATAAGCCGCGCGGACCCGCAGATCGAGGCCTGGAAGGCCAACCGCAAGGGCAAGCAGGTTCACATGACTGAGGTGCGCCCCTGGGTCGACATGGAGCACCGCCGCTACTTTGCTGCCGAGAAGGACGGCAAGGTCCACGCCATGGTGGTGTTGGCCAAGCTGGCCCCCCGCCACGGCTGGCAAGTCAAGTGGGCGCTCGACTTCCCCGGCGCCCTCAACGGAGCTATTGAGATCCTCATCGAGCACGCTCTTTCGTGTGTCACCGGCCAGGTGACGTTTGGTGTCGGCGTGTCGGAGAAGCTGACGCCCGGCGAGCACCTCCACGGCATTCGGGCTAAGTTCCTTGCCACCACGTATCGCTCCATCGTCGAGAGCCTGGGTCTCCGTCGCAAGGCGGGCTTCCGATCCAAGTTTGGCGCCTTGGGCGAGGAGGTCTACATTTGTTATCCTAAGCACGGCGTCGGTTTGAGGGACTTGCAGCAAATCATCAAGTTTTTCCAGGATTAAGGTTTCCAAAAGTGTGTGTTCAAGGGGTCAAAGGAGGGGGAAAAGGGATGAAGTGATACCACATGATACCATTTAAGAAACAAAATAGAAAAGGCAAAAAAAAAAACAGTCAGTTGGGCGCACAATAAACGAGTGGTTAGGGGAAAGATTGATAGCGGTGGGATCGAACACGACGACGTACGGGGTGGTGGATTGGGGGCTGGGATGGATGCTTTCCTTTATTTTCTTCTTTTCCTTTATTTTCTTTCTCAAGATACCGACTTTTCCCTGTTTCCTTTTTTTGTCCCCTATTCTTCTCTTCTCTTCGATGATGGAAATTACCAAGGCATCATGAATCGATTACGTATAGACGGGGGGGTAGGTGGCGGGATTAACCCTTTTGTGTTGTTTATTTTGTTTTGGATGGAATTATGAGATAGCGCATGGAAAGAAAGATGGTCTAAACATTGGTTATGAAGTAGTTTTTTTTATTTATTTATTATACATTTTTGATGAATGGATATGATGCACAGGCTTTGAAGTCTCCAACATGATTGTTGGTCTTGAATATTAGTTTCAATGGAGGACTTTTGCTACCTCTTGGATGAGCTAGTAGATGATAGAAGTCTAAACAAATCTTTGATGCTCATGACGTTTCTAGCCTACGATTGTATATGGTAGATGTTATTTGCATGTATGTCATCAAGCTTCCATATCCAGCGTTATCCATCTAAATCTACTGTTCTATAGATGTCGTCTCTTTCATTATTCTTTTACTCATGCCATGAAATGTACAGCATGATGCCTGCGCCAGCTGCAACGGCCGCAAACTGCGTAAGCGTCTTGCGCAGCTCCTCGCCCTTGTTGGGCCCCGTCTCGAGCAGCTCCGGGATGACGGCGACGGTGCCGACGTACAGGAACGTGCCCGCCGTGAAAGGCAGCAGCATATCGCCCCATGTCTAGGAACAAGAGATGTTAGTCAAGACGGAAAGAACAGATTAGGAAAAGAAAGAAGAGACATGGAAAACTCACCAGGCTTGTCCCCCAGAGCCCCCCGTTTCGCGGCATCGCCTCGCCGTCGGCGCCTCCAGAGCCGAATTCCTGGACTGCAATGCCAATGAGCGTGCCCATGAGGGCGCCGATGGCGGTGACGAACTGCGACGCCATGGCGGCGCGCTTGGAGAAGCCGGATTGGATGAGCAGCGCAAAGTCGCCGACTTCGTGGGGGATCTCGTGGAAGAAGACGGCGACGGTGGTGGTGGCGCCGATGGTGGGCGAGGCGTAGAAGCTGGCGGACATGGCGAGGCCGTCGGTGATGTTGTGGGTGAAGTCGGCACTAGATGGCAGAGAATGAGTTGTTAGTATCGATTATATATATATACTTGGAAGCATCAGGTACACATGAGGACTTGCATCAAGTTGAGGTATCCGCCTAGTTTAACGCTGGGGTTAATCTCCTTGAGCTGTGACTGCTCATCTGCCTGGTCCTTCTTGTTGTCGCCCTTTTTCCTCAACTTGGCCTCGCCCTGGACGGTGTTTGCTCCAGTAGAGAGGCCGACATCCGCCGTCCTGGCATGCTTCTCGTCGCCATGGGCGTGTCCGTGCGAATGATCGTGGCCCTCGCCCCCCGTCGCAATTCGCAAGCCCTTGTCCATGGCCACAAACGTCATGAAGCCAACGAGGATGCCCAGGCCGAGGATCAAGTTGCGGTTCGGCTCGACAAGCACAAACCGGGCGCGGTCCGGCTCGTCCTCGCCGACAAAGATCTCGGGCAGCAGGTGGAAGAGCGTGTCGCCGAGAAGGCCTCCGACGGCAAAGGCCACCATGACGGACAGCGACGAGGGGTCGATGTTGGTCGGGACGAGGGCGAGCAGGAAGTTGGGCGGGCCGGAGATGTACAGCGTGGCCAGCAGCGCATTCACGGCGGGCGAGCCGGGGAAGAGCACCGAGAAGAGCTGCGTCGTGAGGGACGAGGGCGCGGCTTCGAAATGGGCCGCCTTGGCCGTGTTGAGCTCCTGGACGACGGGGCATGTCTAGTCACTCGCCAGTCAGCCAAACATGTGCTTTGACATGAGGGCGAAATACAAAACAGAACGGTGCAGTACCTGAAGCCGGCCATCAAGCTCCTCCAAGCTCAGGCTGTCAATGGCAGGGCTTCCCTTGATCTGCGACGCCGCCGCACAGGCCGCCAGCACGAAGACGCATGACGCAATGGCGGTTCTGAAAGCGCCTCGGCGAGCCATTGTGTGGGCGGGTTGAGCGAAATCCCTCCTCGTGTCTGTTGCGAATTGAATTAGAAGCCGATGGAGCTGCTGTCGCTGTCGCGTGATGGGATGGAAGAAAGACACGAAAGCTCCAATTGGAGGCGGAGCTAAGATGAAGCGACCCTGGCACGTACTGAGCTTAAACCAGCGGGCTAGGCTGTTTTGGGAAGTTGGTGCTTTGACGTGCTAATTATAGCCATGGTCATGTCCAAGAAAAATCATATTCAGATTATTTGTGTCTAGAGATGTGATATGGAATCAATTATATACACAAGAGGTTTTAAAATTCTGTGCTAGATGGCAGAAGAGATGCACCATGCAGGCAACCAAACAGCCAAAAGCCGAAGAAACTGCACCAGCTTATATGAACCAACCAAATCCAAGCAAGAGTCAAATCCTCAGTAACAGTTCCATGCCATTGGCTTATTAGCATCAAACATGGCACCGCCTGATTAGCTGCTCAAAGATTGCTGCACAGCCTTCTCACACCAATGCAGTCCAAATGCACGCCTTATCCGTAAGCGACGAACCCACCTATCAGCGACCGTTCTCGCTGTCCAGTCCACGTGCCTCTTACAAGGCCATGGATCCTAAGTACTCTTGGTTGCTACAAAGGATTCCACTTCAACCATCTGATTCCGGCTTCTGCTAGCCAAATCATCTGATACCATCCAAGACCACAATGGCTACCAAAAGCACCAAAAGTACCAAACAACGTCCACTCTACCCCCGCGGCGTACCTTCCAAATTCTCATCCGATGGAGTTCTTCAACGCTTCCCCGGCAACACCATCATCTGCCATTTACCCCCAAACTCTCCTCTCCAGCCCGGCCTCAACACCGTCTTCGCATCACTAAGCTCCCACCCCGTCCTATCCAAGCTCATCCATCTCCTCCCCAAAGACTCTTGGCACATGACCGTCCTGGGCGGCATCCACGGCGACAAAGCCACTCCCGGAAAGAGACCTCCCGGATTCCAAGGGCGGTCACTGGAACAAGTCACCGAGGACTTCTCCCAGAAGCTGAGACAGCTGGGCTTGGAGCTGGAACAGCAAGGCCTGGCACCTCCCTACAAGATGAGAATCAGGGGATTCAACGGAGCCAAATTCTTCATCGGGCTGCAAGTTGAAGGAGCCACTGCAGAAGAGGAAAAACGCCTACGATTGCTGCGAGATAGACTTTCTGATACGCTAGGGCTGAGACTGCCGAACCACGATACGTATGGCTTTCACATCACCATGGCGTATCTGCTGAGATACATTGAGGGCAAGGATAGAAAGATGCTCAATGCACTGTTTGAGAAGCATCTATCGCAGGTACAGTTGGAGTTTGAGCTTGGAGCAGCGGAATTCTGCACGTATGAAAACATGTATGCCTTTGTAAGGCTGTTCTATCTCGGACAAGGCCGAAATTGAATGGTATACTAAGCTGCTTTAAAATCTCCTTATATAAAGACCATGCGTCTAAACAGGAGATATTCTTGGCAAGCTGATTAAAAAGAAAAAAGACAGGTTCGGATTCCATCTCAACGACAGTCCAGTCACTGGATACCTTAAAAAAGCAAGGTCGAGTCATAGTTCGACACCGGCCCATAGACACTCTAAACAGGTAGTTTGTAAGGGGTAAAAGCAGAGCTCTGATGAAATGTGGTTTAAACCAGCCACATATACACGCTGCAGCTCGTTGGAGATGGCACAATTGCCCCATTAGGGAATTCAGGGCAGCCATGTGGCTCATCTCTAGCCGATGGCGGGTATCTGTTGCCGACGCACCTTGACGGTCTCACTTCGCTGGCTTATACGTGTATCATCTATTATCAAGCTCTAGTTCATTCAGAAAGTAGCTATTGGTATAGGAAGATGGAGGGATAGAAAATTAGAAACTCCAAAACAGTTTCTATTCAAACATTCACGAGGATATCCATTTAAATGTAACTGCTTTATATTTTTAAATCTTGATAATATATTCTATAAAGGAGCGTGTTCATTCATCCATGTAATCCATAAAAAACCCCTTGACCCAAAGCCTGTCATAACCCTTCATTAATCAGTCTGCAGGAAATCATTAAATAATTCACAAGCCAGACGTCAGGGCATAAACGAACCAAACAACCTATTTTTACCTTGTTACATCTGGTAGGTATGCATAGAAGCCATACAATTCATTAACATGCCATCTTCAACCACAATACATGTACCCCCCGTGTCCATTCTCCTGGTAATCTCGCTCTCTGTTTCATGAAGAGAGTCTGTAGGGAGACCATTGTTGGGTTTTTACAGAGCAATAGCAGCCATGGCAACAGCAGCAGCGGCAGCTCCGAAAGAGCCCAGCTTGTTACCACTGCTTCCAGGGGCAGTAGACGAGGGAGCAGAGGGGCTGCTACCGGATCCAGAGCCGGTAGGAGAGCCACCAGAGGAGACGGTGCTGTTAGCCGTGGGGAAAGGCACAGAGGCAAAGGTAGAAGAGGCGGGAGGAGCACCACCGGCACCAGCGCCGCCAGGAGTTGAGGAGCCCGAAGAACCGGTAGTTTGAGGCTCCGAACCAGTAGTCTGAGAGCCGGAGGAGCCAGAAGAGCCAGAAGAGCCAGAAGAGCCAGAAGAGCCAGAGGAACCAGTAGTCTGAGGCTCCGAGGCGGTGGTCTGAGAGTCTGAAGAACCAGTAGTCTGGGACTCTGAGGTACTAGTAGAATCAGAGCCAGAGCTAGAGCTAGAGCCAGAGCTTGAACCAGAGCCGGAAGAAGAAGATGACGAGGAAGATGAGGAAGAGCCCGCAGAGGAAGAGGCAGCAGCAGCAGCAGAGGAACTAGCAGGCTTGCTGGAAGCAGAAGAAGAGGTCGGGTTCGTGGGGTTGGTGTCGACATTGGCGCAAGAAAGATCAAACAGGGGCTTCTCGGTCAAGGAGCTGCCAATAAGACCAAAGCTGGGGTTGGGCGCGCTAGGCTCAGCATCCTGAAGAGTGTACCACCAGACATTGGTCTTGCCAAAGTTGGGGCAGCCAACCTGCTGCCAGTACTCCTGAGCGTTATTCACGGAGGCCACGGCGTCGCCAGAGCTCTTACCGTTGACGGGCCAACCGGTCTCGGTGACCCAGACGTCCTTGCCAGGGCCGGCGTTTTGGATCTTCTCGAGGGCAGATTCGTACAGAGACTTTGCGTTGGCGATGGCGTTGGAGTTTGTGTTCTCGTAGTAGGGGTAGGTGTCCATGCCGAGCCAGTCGGAGGCGTCAATCACGGGCTTGTTGGAGTCCAACACCCAGGCGTTCCAGGTGTCGACGTGGCCAACGGGCACCTTGGCCAAGCAAGAGCCCTTGATGGTATCACGGACCTCGTTGATGTAGTTGACCAGAGTTCCAGGCTGGGCTCCGGGGCCAGCATCGGAAGCAACACCGGTGGGAGTGATTCGGTACAGATCCTCGCTGCCAACGGAGATACCAGCAACCAGGCCGTCCAGCTGGCCACAGTACTGGCTAATGGTGCTCTTCAGAGCAGCAATCTCGTTGGCGAAGGCGGCGTCACCAGCAGAAGCCCAGAGACCGAACAGCAGACTGGTCTTGGTGCTGATGGCGGCGGGAATGGCACTGATGGGTGAGTTGGGGGTGCCGCTCTGGATCATGGTATAGAGACGGGCACTGGTGAAGGCGCCATTGGTGCCATCCAGGCCGGCAGCCGTCTTGAACTCGGCCTCGAAGTCGGTCTGAGCCTTGGCTTGACCGCTGGTAAAAGTCGAGCCGTAGTTGAAGCCCTGGTAGGCAGCGTTGACCGCCGAAACGGCCGTGGCCAGAGTAAGGAGGGTGGACGAAGAAGGCATTTTGCGTGTCTGTGGCCCAGTGAATTATGATTATTCCTCCTTGTGTCTTTATATGTATATATATATAACGGTAGATCCGAGGGTAGTGTCGTCGGTCCAAAAAAAAAGCGAACGAGGTCAAGCCGAGCAAAGAAACGAGAGCACGACTTGGTGATATGAACTATTAGGTATAGCTATCACAGGTCAAGCGAGAGTGAAGAGGCCCAAGTCCACAAAGGATCAGACCAAAATAGGGATATAAGCGACTGAAGGTGTTGGTCAGAGCAGAGGATGAAGGAAGAAGAGACAAAGAGCAGACAAAGAAAAGCAGCCGGAGACTGCTTGAAAAGGAAAGCCAGAGACACCCACAAACGTCAGCACGTCGGGGCCAGTGGGCTGCGATACGAGGACGCAGCAGGTCCCAGAAAAAGCAAGGTACAACACACAAAAGTCCACGCAGTGCAACAACCCACAGTTCCACACCAACTTTTTTTTTTTCTTCCGTCTCTTCTCTCTGTGTGTTTTGCTCTACTAACCAGTAGTTTCTTCTTTGGCGGCCAAGCCACAGGGGCTCCCGAGTGGGTGTGGCATTTCGTCACAGGCACCGGAGCTCTATTCCATCCATGGCCGGTTGCCCAACTCATTGGCCGCCATCCCACAAATCGCCCACACTGGATCGAGGCCCACGTTTTGTCTGATCCAGACGGTGGGGCTGCCGTCCAGGCCTGGCCCTGGTCGTATCGCCGTCGTGTCATGCCATGCTGTGGAAAAGAGAAGAAGAAAATGCCTCTCGATTGGCGAGTCTTTTGCTGCCCATGGACGCAACCCCTGCAGCGAGCGACGTCATGGCGCCATCTCAGATCACTCCATCAAACCACGACCTGCTTCTGCGTCTCTACTATTACGCACTCGTAGCATTGGAGCAGCGCATACATCATCATCATCATTGTGTTATGCATGCAACGTTGGTCAAAAATATCACCAAATCTCAACAAAGAGACGCAGAAAAAAGGACGAAGAAAAATGAAAAAAAACGCCACAGCGGCTGGCCGGCATCCCCCCGGTTCAAATCGTGGGCGCTAAAGCATGACAGCTCCCTGACATGCGAGATACTTGTTACAAAGTACCTTTTTCAACTTGCTGCCCTCTCCAAAGCCGAGATCCGACTGCGAGGTACATGAAAGCATCGTACCTCTGCCCTAAACTGCTGCTGCTTTTTCGTGCTGGAACAAGTTATAGATCTGAGTAAAAGCTTGAATGGCAGGTGAAAGAGCAGCAGGGCAACAAATGTCAATGCCAATATCAACTTCTTCACAAAAGAAGATGGAAAAGGCTGCCAGGGTGCCACACCGCACTTCACAAAGCGCTCGTGACCTCGTGTTCATCCAAAAGAAGGATATCCATTTCTCCAGCTTCGTATTCCAATTAGCCGCTACCAGGCAAAGAAAGACACCTCTAGATTGATACCATGTACTAGATTCCCATTTCTTCTCATTCTCCAAGAGGAAAGCCAAACTCGTCTGAAAATCCGCACTCGCAGAAAATGCATCCTTCAGCTCACTCTCTCATCTCAAAAGAAAAGCTTGGAAGGCCTCCCGGCTCTTCGGAACATCCGCCTGTGGCTCCCACTAACGCAGCAGAAAAAATGCTACTGTAGAGGAACCACAACGGGCGCCACAGGCTTCGTAAGCTCGGTACCTGCATGGAGATGCCCAGTATTACACGTGATTGAGAATGGATCCCACAGCTGTAGAATCGAGATGCAGCTTGACAGCTTGGCTGCTATTGCATGTATCCCAGTACATGCGAGTACAGTGTTGCTGCAGATCGCAAGAGAGCAAATGGATGCTCGTCCATTGATTCAAAACACTACTCGAATGTTGGACCTGGAGCCGAAAGTCTCACCATATTCAATTCATGCGCTTGATAGCTATTCGACATAGAGTAATGTCTTGAGACTACTTGAAGAGTCGCTGCTTTTCGTGGCCCATTGCCTGGGCATTCCTCCATAAAATCAGACCCTATACTCCGTATCGCTTCTATCAAAGCCATCTACCATTAATCATAAACTTCCTCTCAACCCATCTCCCGGAAAGAACGCAAGTATATATATATACGCGAGGACTCAGGCAGCCCTGGCCCAATTAGCTATTAACAAATCCCCTAATTCCTCTCAAGCCAATCGACTTCTTTTCCTTCTTAGGCTTGCCAGACTCATCCTTGGCTTTTTCCTTACTATCCCTGCGGATCATACCTGCATGTGTGTCAGTACCAGTACATCCCAGAGTAAAAACGCACGCTTCTCAAGCACTTACTGCCAAAGTAACTTCTTTCTGGGCTCACCGAGAGATTGAGTGATGAGGCCTTACCATCTGTCTCTCCTGTCCCCGCAGAGCTCGTGGGCTGCAGCGGCTGCAGCACAGAGGATGTTGGCGTCCCCGGGTGCGAGCCGAGCGACGACGTTGCTCCGTCAGTGTTTTCAGTCGCTGACAAAAGCTGGACTGGCCTTGACCTTATTGACATTGGGCCCGTAGGCGACAACATGCCGTCATCTTCACCTTCGGCTATGCTTGACTTCCCCGTCGTAACCGATGCCTCCAACTGCATGTCCAGCAAGGACGACTGCAGTGCTGTGTATTTGCGCGACAGTAAGTTATACTGCTTCTGCATCTCAGCTTGCTTGGCACGGCTTGCTTCAAGTGTTGCCTCAACTGCAGCGTTCACTACCGCAGCAGGCCGCTTATTTCGCTCCTCCAGAGCTGCCGAGAGCTGCGCCTGAAGCTCAGTCACCTGGCCATGAAAGAGCTTCTTCATTCGCTCAAAGTCCACCTCTTTGGCGCTCAGCTTCATCTTCAACATTTCCATCTGATTCTGCGCATCCTCAGCCGCGTTGATAGAGGCTTGCCGCTCCACCTCCTTTGCCTGATAGTCCCGTTCAGATAATGAGAGTCGCTCAACTTCTGCCTTGAGCCTGTCAATATCGGCGCCATGAATCTCAATCGACTGCATGTTTTGTCTCGCATTCAGCTCCTTCACCTCAGCGTCGCATACAAGCTTGCGCAGCTTTTCGCACTCCCGCCTCTTCTCTTCAAGCTCTTTTCGAATGTACTCAGACTCCGTCTGCATCTTTTTTGATTCTTCCCTGAGGTTCTTCAGCTTGTTTGCGAGGTCTGCTTCCCACTTCTTTGCTATGGCACGGCGATTTTCCGACTCCTTACGGACTTGCATCTCGGCCTGCTTGGCTTCTTCGTAGCTTCTTTTGAGGTTCCTATTCATCATGATCAGGTTCTGCATCTCTGCCTCCGTAGCAGCTTCCGCCATCTGTCGCCGTCTGAGCTCGCCAATGTGAGCCATGTGTTGCAGCTTGAGATACCTCTCGAAGCTAAGATCGTTTTGCAGCAACAGAAGCCGTCCTTGGAGATGAGCAATTTGAGCGCTGCTCGCATCTCCTGCCGATACGGGCGTATGGGCCTGTGCAGGCAGCGCCATTGTTGTAAACGGTCTAGTATCAGCTGTAGACTCCTGGTGGCTCAGAGCGAGAGACGGCACGCTATCATTTGCCAACGATTGGTTAAGGCTGCTTTTGATAACCTTATTTGATCTTATGAGGTCTTGAAGCTGGGTATGAGAAGCCGATTGGAGAAGCTGGGTCCCTGACGGACTATCGACGCCAGCGAAGTCCTTGAAGCGCGTCGCTTCGACAGAGTCCCTCCCCGAATGTTGGCTGGATTGGGATCCACGTCTCATCAAGGTTGACGGCGCGCCATCACTGGTAGCAGACTCTGTGCTGGATATGTGAGAGTTCCTCCACGAATTCACCTTGGTTACCGAACTGCTCAGCAAGCCCGGATCCGACCTCTCCGGGCTCAGTTCGTCGTTGGGGACCTGAGCCGAGGACTCCGGGACATGTGATAGCTCGTGGTCAGGAAACAATTGGCTTGTTTGTGTGACGCACAGCGCCATGCATTCAGTCACGACTTCGGCAGCCTCACTTTTAATCCATCGCCCCAAATCCGTCTTTTCGGTTTCAATCGTGTAGGTGAAGAAATTTGGGTGAAGCAAGTGGCTTCTCCTAAACCGCTCCGATCGATGACGAATCTCAGTGGGCTGCACTTCAATCTCGTCGGCATTAGGCAGGTTGGCGTGCCTTATGTACCTCTGCGGTTTGCGAATGTAATCCATAAAGTTTATGGGATACAGGCCATATAAGATTGTGTAATAGTTGTCCAAATGTGATACGTGGGCATCTTCCGTCTCCGGATCGTGTGCAAACACCTCCCACCGATTTGTTTGTTCAGACTCATGTGAAGGCGACTCTGAAGCTTCCCAGAAGAGCATTCTGGTATAGATGTTGAAGAGAGTAGGCAAATGCGGCACGAGAGAGCTGGGCATGTGCGGCAACAGCATGGCAAGGGCGGTGAGTGCAGCCGAAAGGACCGCAGTCGAAGTGTCTTGCTGCAAGCAAGTCAAGAGATCCGTGAACAAGGGAGTATGGGCCACCTGGTATAAGTGAGGTGGCTGTGACTGAAGATAATTGCAAAAGAAATTCAAGCTAATTTTTCTATACTTTTTCTGGACGAAATAGCTGTCCAAAGAGCAGAAGAACTCCTACATTCTAGTTAGCCAGGCTAAAATGATACAGACGGACAAAAGAAGGGTGATGTCTTTATCGACTAGATTCTTCATAGCGGAAAACAAAGGAAAGGAAATGCCGCAACATAGAATATACGTGCCTTTGGTCGTTTCTTCCCAAACTGCCCTAGCGCATCGCCTATCATCTTTTGAGTATGCTGCGACGGCAGGAAGCCTTCAAAGTGAGCTGGCTGAAAGTCTTCCATCCATACTTCGAAAAGCCTCTCAATCAGAGGATTTGAGGCAAAATCGTTGCCGGCGCCATCGTGGTACTCGTCGGCAATGGCAACAATCTCGTTTAGAGTGTCCATAGCCTCTTCGACGATGTGCTTGTTGAAATCTGTCTTGTCGAGAATCCCCTTGCAAGCTTCCATCCACACAAGTATTCGCTCGGGAGTCTGCAGCACTCTCAGGAGCCGGCGCAGGATGCCCATCCAGGCGCAGGACGCAGCAGGGTTTCCCCGAACATTCTTATCGAAGATGAGGAGCAGTTCCTCCTGCAGGCGATCGGATGCGGCGTCGTCGTATTTCTCGTGCCTCCGCTGGTAGGCAGCAATCGTCGCGACGATCTCCTCGGGCAGAGGCACGGTTGGCTCGACGATAAACTCCTTGATGGCTTTGGACAGCTCCTTGAGGGATCTGCCACGGGTGGGTCAGTTAATCAATCCGCGGTGCAGTCACCCCGCGCGGAGTGCTGAGGAGAGGCTCCAGCGATGTGCGAAGCCGGACTCAACTCACAGTGTGGTGGCCATCGCGGCAGCTTTAGCAGGAGGCAGGAGGTGAGGCCGTCGTGGCCACCGCCGCCTCCAGAGTCGCAGGTATTCTGGGTTATCTCAGGCGCGGGCTCCTCTCACAGGAACTAGGAACGCGCAGATGCGGCCCTGGATGATATCACGGATCTCGCCTGTTTGGGGTTTAAGATGTTGCACGCGGTTTGCTGAGGTTTAGCCGGATGGAGAACAAGCTCTGCAAGAGATGGCTGAGCTTGATTTGCAAAGGCCAGGCAGGAAAAGGTCGCACTAGTGCCAAATGGGGCTAGCGGCAGCCTGTACGGACAAAGTTGAAGGAACCTGCCGATGCACCCCGCGATTGGTGGCAGAGCAGGTTCTCGGTACTGCGCGCGGCGATGCTAGGGAAGAGACCCGCCGACCTCCCTATTACCCCGCAACGAATCCCTCCCGCAGGACCCCACTGCTGCTACAGGCCCTGTTGGCCCTACGACGACCCCTACGAAGGCCTGCCGGGGCTTGCTGGAGCCCTGCTGGAGCCCGCTGGAGCCTGCTAGGTCCTAGCGCTGCTGGCCCCGGGCACCCGAGCAGCAGTGGCTCGATCGACTGCTGATGTGGCTCCGCAATGGTGGCACGTAAATGGCCGGGAGCGTCGAGATGTGTCGAGCCACACACGACCAGCCGTAACGGCCTCTAAATGCCCTGATGATGCCCTGAGGCATGAGCCACCAGCTGCTCGACCAATTGACCGTCATCGCGTGATCCCCTCTTTGCGCCCCTCCTTCGTTTCCCCTCCCTCTTATAGCTCCTGGCTACCTATTTCTTCTCGTCTTCGATCTCTTCTCTTCTTCTCCTTCTTCATCCTCATTATACCCCAAAGACAACATCTCAATTGACTGAGCAGAGAACACTCGTCTCTTGCTCTTTTATCCAATTCTCGTCAAACACCGCTCACACTGCATTCTGAAGCTACCAATTGCTTCTGATTGACACCCTCTTCTCTTTCTATTCATCGCAGTCAAACGACACCTCCCCCGCATCTTCAAGATGGCTGCGAATAAGACTTCAGCTATTGCTGACCAGGAACCTGTCGATATCCTCTTTGCCCTGCAACCAGGATTCGACATGCTTGACTTTGCAGGCCCATTGGCTGCCTTCTCCAAGGCGCAGCACAATCCTACTGATTCCTGTATGTATTTATTCTGCACGAAGCTTGGGCTGCCAGCCCCAATGGTGCCGTACCCAATGCTAACCCGCTTCCCCGCAATCAAAAACAGCCACCAAAGCATTTGAGGTGACGCTTGCGGGCCTTGAGCCCCAGGTCCTCTCCGCCCAGGGCACCATTGTGCAGTCCCAGATCAACTTCAAGGAAGCTCATGAGCGCCTTGAGGAATTTGACGTTCTCGTCGTTCTCGGTGGAAACGTCGATGAGGTCGTCAAGAAGGAGACTGAGCCTCTTGGCCTCATCACCGCCTTTTCCGACCTTCAGAAGAAGGATCCAGCCAGAGAGCGAACAGTCCTGTCCGTCTCCACCGGCTCACACCTGCTTGCCCGAGAGGGCATCCTCTGCGGCCTTTCCGCTACCACACTGTCCGACCACCTTACCACATTTGAGAACCTTTGCAGCGATGCTGCCACCCGATACCTGACTGAGCGAACCGATGTCATTGAAGATGCCCGATATGTAGTCAACAACCTTCGCTTTGAGCTCACTGAAGATGAGAGCCCATACACACGTCGCGCGTCCGATGCTGGACGACCTCACGGCCGGTAAGTAAAGCCTATATCCGGACTGCCACGTCTAATTTCGTTTGCTAATGAATTTTATTACAGAAAGGGAAGCATCTCCTTCAAGGAGTCCAACACACGTCGTGAGTCGATTGCCAGACGTGCCGCCATGCGCCTTGGTGGCCTTCGAGTTATAACCGCTGGGGCTCACGGCGCTGGCGTGGATGCAGCTTTGTATCTCGTCAGCGCCTTGGTGGATGAGCAGTGTGCTGAGGAGGTGGCCAGGTCTATGCAGTGGACTTGGACCAAGGGAGTTGTCGTCGACGGCCTCGACGTCTAAGCGACATAAAGTGCCATGTAATTGCCAGCGGGAGCTTGGCTGTGTAGTAAATCTTGCGGATCTAATGCGTACCTATAAACGCAACCGCCATGTTCATCAAAGAACTAGCTGTAGTATTATGATATGAATGGAATGAAACTTGAACTCTTTTTTTTTTTTTACATGTTCTTACTTTCACATCTCGCTCCAGTATTGCCATCCACATACCAGACTGGCCTTTGCCTTTGCTGTGAGCTACCCGAAGCTGCCTGAAATGCCGGAAGACGGCAAATGTGAAGCTACCAAGCGGGGGGCATGTCTTTGCTCGTATCTCAACGGCTTATAGGTAGGCCTATAGCAGCCCACCCCACTCTCCTCACCTTGTGCCGGGTCCCCATGAATAGCCAAGCGATGCAGCAATGAGTGATTGAGTTGAAGGCGGGGAACCTTGCTAGACCTGCAGCTGGTGGATTCCCACCCATCTCTATTTCCTGTGAATTCTCTTATTAAGTCTGGCTCTTACTCAATTTTTCACTCATTTGCATGCAGTAGAAGTAGGCCTCACGTCACCGGTTCCACTTATTCAGAGTTGGGCTTTGCTTCGCAGGTGAAAGGTTCACATAACCTGGACTGTGTACTTGATCGCTGATGGGCCATTCTGGATAAGATACGACTTCTTGGTAAGATCGAAATGTTAATAGCAATAACAACCTGGAAGTCAGTAACCAGTCAACAACTGTGAGGTTATGCCGGCAGAGGTACTGCCAAAGTACAGCGTCCTCTGTAAAAGGCTAAATGAATGCGGAGACGAGATGCATCGTTGCTACAGTAGGAGGTACAACCACAAGTAACTGCTGGTAGGAGGTCACGAGGAGGGGCACCGTCAAACCCCACCAAGGCTCTTAAAACGGCATCCTTTCCATTAACGATTCAACGTCTTATGCCGCGCTCCATAATATGTGCGTGCATCCAGACCAGCCTTTACTCCCAGTTGTAATATCGCCCACACAGAAGCAAGCAAGAAAGCAACAAGTGACCTCTGAGCCAAAAACAGCTAACCCGGAACCGGAATAACTCGCGTCTTACATAATCCCACTCCAAAGCCTCTCATCCCGCCATGGCCCAAAAGGTGCAGCTGAACAGGCTAGAAATGGAGCCTCTGCAGGGGGGAACGTTTCCAAGTTCAGCCTCAGCCTTTAACGCTTCGCGACGCGCCGGAGTCGTCGCTTTTTTCTTTTTGGCTCCTCCAACGCAAGAAGCTGCCGCCACGATACAAGAAACATCCCCGGAGTCTCTGACTTTTTGCATCCACAGTTGCATAATTGTCGTCGCATAATTCTGAATTTTTCATTGATTTGATTTTTTTTACTTTTTTCGGCTTCGTCATTGCGGCTTCTCGCATACAAAAAGCTGCGGCCTTGTTCTTTGCTTGCCCCCCTTGTCGAACGGCCAACCAAACCAACACAAAAACACAAAACATAGCAACGCAGATTTCCTCTTTGTGTCGACTCCAACAGCAGGTGCTGCAGCGCATCTACAAACAATTTTTACAATGGCCGACTGGTCGAAGCTCAAAGTCGTCGACCTTAAAGCCGAGCTGAAGAGCCGTGGCCTGCCTTATGCAGGGCTAAAGGGGGAGCTGATTGCTCGATTGGTCGCCGCCGACGAGGAGGCAGCGCAACAGGAGGAAGAAAATCCGGAAGAAGAGGAGAAGCCACGAGAACCAGAGCCAGAGCCAGAGGTTCAGCCGGAGCAACAAGTTCAGCCCGAGATCCAACCAGAGGCGCAGCCAGAGGCACCCACAGAGACAGTGACTGTCGAGACACAGAATGCCGAAGCCGCTCCAGAACCAGCCGCGGCGAAGCCTCCCTCACCCATCAAGGAACGCGACCCGACTCCCGATGACAAGGCCGACGCTGTCAAAGAGGCTCAGCCTGCGCAGCAGGAGGAGCACAATGAGCCTACAACCGCAGCTGAGCCTGAGCCAGCCGCGCCAGTCGCTGAGATTCCTTCTGAAGCTGCAAAAAGCGATGACACTGTTCAGGGCGGTGAGGCAGCGACCAGCAGTCTTCCGCCGGCTGAAGTGACTCCAGCTCCCCTCGAACAAGTTACTTCTTCGTCCTCCCCCAAACCCGAAGAACGGTCAACTGCACAGGCTTCCATCGAACCGACACCAGAAGCCCAGAAGCGCAAGCGACGCTCGCACAGCCCTCTGCCCACCGAAGAAGACATAGCCCGAAAGCGCGCACGCTCTGACACGACTGCAAACGGCGACGAGATTCATGCCACGGCCGAAGCGAACGAAGCCGATGTTGATATGACCGATGCTGGCGCGCCTGATATCACGCCACAGACGGTCGACAAGGGTGAATCTGCTACCAAGGTTATCCAAGATTCGCGTAAAGAGTCGCCTTCACCAGTCGCCCTCGCTCCACCTGTTGAGATGGAATTTGAAAGAGACATAGAGCCGGCGGTGCACACTCCCACTGCCGCCCTCTACATCAGCAATCTCATGCGCCCCTTGCGCGATGTCGACATTCTTGAGCATCTTGGTAAGCTGGCGTCTACATCCAGCGCAGATTCAGGGCAAGACCGCATTGTCAAGTTTTATCTGAACTCAATCCGCACCCATGCATTTGCTGTCTTTGATACGGAGCTGTCTGCCACTCGGGTTCGCGCCGCGCTGCATAAATGCGTCTGGCCAAACGAAAGCAATCGCAAGGCACTTTCGGTCGACTATATCCCTCCCGGAAAAGTGGATGAATGGATTGACGTAGAAAAAGCTGGCGGAGCACGGTCTTCTTCCCGCTGGCAGGTGGTATACAGACCTGGGCCAGATGGTTTCGAAGCTGTGTTGGAATCCGGATCTGTATCGAAAGCAAGACCAACTGAGCCACCACCTCCATCCAACATTGGTGCCGATAGTACCAATGCCATCCCCATTGGTCCTCGAAGCCACCGTGAACGTGAGCGAGAGCGGGATCGTGATCGTGGCATGATGCCTCCACCACCCACGGGGCCAAGAGGTGGGCGACCAGGAGCAGGAGCAGGAGCAGGACCCGGTGGCCGACTCAGTATCAGTCCCCTGGACCATGTCGTGGAGAAGACTCACTCTCTGCCTCCCATCTCATACCAGATGGTCTCTGAGGATCTCGCCCGCAGCCGCTTGGACAAGATGCGAGGCCACTACACTCGCGACAAGTCCCGTGATTTTGGACGGGAAATCAACCGCTATTCCTTTGAAAATGGAGACGTCTTTGTAGACCGCGGCAAAGAGGTTTTCGAGGGAATCCGACCTCCTCACCGTGAAGGAGATCGCCGTGGTGGAGGCGGCGGCGGCGGACGAGGAGTTCGTTCGCAAGGCCGAAGAGGACCGCCGCCACCTTTCCGACAGAGGAGTGATAGGTACCTACCTGGCGCTGGCGGCGGCGCTGGCTCAAGCTACCGTTCTGGAGGTGGACGACGCAGAGACGGTGACGATGACCGATTATCAAGACGCGACGATTCTAGGGATAGGGATTATAGAGACCGCCGCCACCGCTAAGGAACGCGATTGTTTACGATTATTTTCTTCTTTTAATGGATGTCATCTGTCGACTCTTCTTTTCAACCGATACTTTTCGGGGATTTCCTCGTTTTAATAGGAGAGGCATCATTGGAATTTTCTCATGTTCTTCTCTTCTCTTGAGAGATTTTTTATTCCAATATTTTCTATTTCGTGTTCTTTTTCTTTATGAAAAAGCCTTTTAATTCTCGTCTCTTTTATTTCCTTTCTTTTTTTCTTCCCTTTTTTTTTTTTTTTTTTTTTTTTTTTTTTTTCACTTGATTCCGAATTTGAGATGTGAGCGAGAGACATTTGAGGCTATATCGGAAACCATACAGGGCTGCCAACGGCTTTTATTCATGAGATGAGACAGGAACAGGGATATGCACAGGATAGGATAGGACAAGGCCAGGAATTGGCACGGATGGGATTGGCACTCGAAAGGAACACGATTCTGGACCCGGGCAAGAAGGGAGAGTGAGCATTATGACTACTGGACGGCATTTGTATCATTGTAGGATACTGTATTATTGTGTATACTATGTATGACAAGATACCACTATCATATTCAGTCTTGCAGTGCCTGGCTGTGAAGTGTATGACTGAAAGAGAGGCTCAGATGGAGACTGATGGACTTTACGCAATGGAACATGGAGACTGAAAATTATTGATAATTGTAATTGTTTTTTTTTTTTTTTTTCAAATTATGCTGGTATTTAAATTTATAAGTAAAGCCACAAAAAAATACGATCTGATTTTCCCTGATACTGAAAAAAAGAAAACGCCTAAAATCCCCCAACTCTACATCTTTCCCTCCCCGACCCAGCTTCATGCCAGTTTCGTTGTTTAGGCAAAGCCAACAAGAGGAGTAGGCTCAACACCGACACGCTCCTTGCTCAGAACGTCAAGGATGTACTGGCTGGGCCGGTTATCCTTGAAGACGTGCTGAGCGCTCTTGGCGGCGCGGACGTTCTCGAGGTACTTCTCGAAGAGGTATGAGCTGTCCATTGGGCCACCCTTGGCCTCGGGGTGGAACTGGGTAGAGAAGATGGGGCGGGTGCGGTGCATCATTCCCTCGTTGCTGCCGTCGTTGAGGTTGACAAAGTACTCCTTGAAGTCGTTGGGCAGCGAGCTGGAGTCGACGGCGTATCCGTGGTTCTGAGATGTGATGTGGCACTGGCCGGTGGTCAAGTCCAGGGCAGGGATGTTGTGGGCTCGGTTGCCGTACTTCATCTTGATGGTCTTTGCGCCGACAGCCATGGCCAGAAGCTGGTGGCCGAGACAGATTCCCATGATGGGGATGGGAGACGTCTCCATCAGGCGGGCGAGGTTGTAGACGGTCTCCTGGCAGTGGATTGGGTCGCCGGGGCCGTTGGAGATGAAGACACCGTCAAAGTGGTGGGCAACCTTGTGGATCGGGTAGTTGTAAGGGAAGACGGTGAGCGAAGCACCACGGCTGACCAAGCTGCGGAGGATGTTCTCCTTGACACCGCAGTCGATCAGAGCAATGTGGAGGTCAGCGTTGGGAGACTCAACCACAAAGGGAGCCTTTGTGCTGACGCGCTTGACCAGGTTGATCTGGCCAGGGTCGACAAAGCCTTCGTCCTCGTCGGCATCGTACTCGTCGCCAACGGAGATCCTAGCGAGGGAGGAACCCTGCTCTCGGAGAAAGGTGACAATGGCTCGAGTATCGACGCCGGAGATGGCGGGAACACCCTCACGGGCACACCAGTCGCTCAGACTCTCGACGGCGGTCCAGTGGCTATATTGAAGGGCGACATCGGAAACAACAACACCGGCACATTGAATGTGAGGAGATTCAAAGTACTTCAAAAGGTTGTACTGGTCACGCTCACTAGAGGGAACGCCGTAGTTGCCAATCAGGGGCTGGGTGAAGACGAGGATTTGGCCACGGTAAGAGGGGTCGGTCATGGATTCGGGGTAGCCGACGAGAGAAGTGGTGAAGACGGCCTCGCCAGAGATGTTGGTGTTGGCACCAAAGGCCTTGCCTCGGAAAACGGGGCCATCCTGTTGAAACGTTGATGTTAGCACATTTTCCACAATCACCAGATTGTCCATGTAGTCTAAATGGCGCATCTTACTCGGATGGTAAAAGTGGCCGGCAGAGAAGCCCCGTTTTGAGCAGTCTGGAAAGGCACAGTCTTTCCCTTTGTGCTGCTGGCAAGAGTCTGGCCAGACACAAATCGGGCCTGGAAAGCAACTCGGCGAGTGGAGCCCGCGGCAGCAGTGGCCGTTTTCTGGGCAAAATTGGCCGCCAGCTTGGAGAACATGGCAGCGGTTTATTCGGAAATTGGTTGTAGTTTGTCTTGGTCACGGGTGGTAGAAGCAGTAATCAGTTGTTGGGGGAGCTGTTTTAAGCTGACAAGGCCCTCCACAGGTGGTCTATGTGAAGCTTGTTAGACGGCATCATGAGGGGGGGTGAGTCATGGTAACACGAACCAGAGAGATAGTCCTGTAGAAACGATAAAGTTAGCATTTTTGTTTCTAGACGAATTGGAACGAATAATTGTCGAATTGAAGCAGACGAGCAAGCAATACACGCTGCCTAACCCGGAATACGGAAATGGACATTGAGTGTAGAGGGCACGTGGGGTAATTGTATCAGCCGCAAAAAAACAAGAGTCACATACCTGAGAAGTGAATTCCGACGGGCGCCCGTTCATAAGGGCGGATTAAGAAATTGTAGGTTGACGATGTAAGAACGAGGCGCGAGGCACTCTGAGATGGATTGACAAAGTTGATTGAATTGAATGCGTGATGCACAAGGTGCGGTTGGACTGATGACTCTTCTGACTGATGGAGAGAGAAGAAGAAGAGAGGAAAAAGGAAAAGAAGAAGTTGGAAAAAAGGGTGCATCGGAGGGGTCAGATTATAACAAGTTTAGTGCCATATCTTTTTTTTTTTCGCGCTCAAGAGATAATGACCAACGCCGAATTCCCGGCAATTGGTTGGCTGGAGACGTCGCTAGTGGGCTTTTGACGTGCTGAAAGGAGGGGCAGCTTGGCCTGTTTGGGCGAGCTTTGGGGCGCCGATATCGTTGTGGCCCCTGTGCCCTATTCTATGACATTGAATCATTACGGCGCATCTCGTTTTATTATCTCTTGCGAGTTAGAGGGGAAGGGACATGACTAGAGAGATGGGGATGGGGATGGGGATATGATAAGGGATAGGGCGCTGAGGCTGCTGCTGTTTTCTGCGGTCTTTTGGCGTGGCCACATGCTGAACACATGGCAAATGGCTTTTTACTCTATTTACAGCTCAACTCTACCGGGCAGTGACAAGTGAGTGATTCATTCTTCTTTGGTGGGGTTAATGGAGCATTCAATTGAACGATCCAACATCACCGCCCGATTCGTTTCAACGCTGCTAAAGCGGTTCCCACCATATTATAAACAGCAATTAATCTCGTACGTAAGTAAATATATATTGTTGACTTTCTTCGTATCCAACTCTGAAGATGCGCCCAATAATTGGTGTGTCATTCCATCTCTCACGTCTTTAATCCAGACCGCAGTCCCTCTAGCAATAACTTTGGCAATAAAAACGAGCACCAAGGAAGCCATAATTGCAATTCATAGAGTCACAACGGGCGTTCTAATTGAAACAAGTCTAATTGATCCCGCCCAATCCTTCTTTTGCATACTATAATTGAATAATCCAAAGCTCCCATTTACAAAGCACCAAGCTCCTTTAGCTTTCCAATCAAGCCATCCACATCCTCAACCTTGCCACCGCCCTGTCTCACAGGAGGCTCTGTAAATTAGAATAACAATTAGCCATCATAGCCATCACATAGATAATACAAGGGGACAGAATGGAAACTCACCAGTAACCTTCAATACCTTCAACCTCTTCTCATTCGTCAACCCAAAGTCCTCCAACGTCTTCTTATCCAGCTTCTTCTTCTTCGCCTTCATGATATTCGGCAGCGTCGCATACCGCGGCGTATTCAGCCTCAGATCCGTCGTGATAATCATCGGCAGCTTCGCCTTGACCGTCTCCACCCCGCCATCAATCTCCTTGGTCACAGTCACGGCGTCGTCTGCGCCAAACTCAATCTTGCTCGCCTGCGTCGCCTGCGGCCAGTTGAGCAAGCCCGCAAGCATCTGGCCCGTCTGCCCGGCGTCGTCGTCGATGCTCTGCTTGCCCAGGATGACCAGGTTGCTCTTCTGCTCTTCGACCGACTTCTTCAGCAGCTTGGCCACCGTCAGTGGCTCCAGCTCCTCGCCGTCCTTGATCTCGACGTGCACCGCGCGGTCGGCGCCCATGGCCAGGGCCGTCCGCAGAATCTCCTGCGCCTTGGATGGCCCGGCCGAGAAGGCGCAAATGTCTTCAACGCCGCCGGGGGCGCGCTTCTTCTCGCGGATTCGCACAGACTCTTCGACGGAGAGGTCGTCAAAGGGGTTCATGGAGTGCTTGACGCCGGCTGTCTCGACGCCCGTCTGGGCCTTGTTGACTCGTGGCTTGACCTATATAGATGATGGGCGGGCAAGGTAAGCATTTATTCAACTCAATTGCCTTTTCTGGAGACAATCAGAGAGAGAAGAAAAATACAGGGCTCATCTTACAGCATAGTCAATCACTCGCTTCACAGGTACTAGAATCCGTAGGGCAGACATTGTGGCGGCTGGATGTTGGATGATGTGAAGGCAGCCAGAGTGAGGGACGTTGCCGATATTAACTGCTACCGCTACCCAAAAGTAGCCGGCCGACAAAACGACCCGAGCCTCCATACCGGCTAGGGCCGGCTCCCGTACAACCTCGGATACTCGCTCACGTGATATCTACACCCGCCTTGATGCGCATATTGAGTTGTAAAAGCAGAGCAGTAGTACGGATAGAATGATGAAAGATGGAAGAATTAGAAATTGATATTTAGATGCGATTCGTATATACATGAATATTCACCCTCTAATAATATTGCCTCCCCAGCAATGCTCTAACATTGCAGTCCGAATAGTAGGATAAAGACCTTCCCCAGCGGCGAACTCCGTACGTGCGTGACTGCATACTTGACCCAGGCCCATTTCGTCAGTCAAAAATGCCGTAGATTTTCGTCCGCCGAGGTCAGTCAGTCAGTCAGTCAATCAGTCATCATAAGTGGTGGTATATGGTGGCCATGTCGTATCTCTGGTCAAAGGCTACCATCTTGTCAATTTATTCCAAGCGCTCGTATTTCGTCAAGTGTATCTCTTCAGTCCACAGGTACTCCAACGCCAGCAAAAGCAAACATTTGAAAGTTTATTCCCAGTTGTTTGTTTACCAATCATCCCACTCATCGCCAGCCTTGGGCTTCGGCGCCGAGGCTCCAGGAGCCGACGACTTCTTGCCCATGCCAATAGCACTTGTGCCGATAGCATTGTTCTGCTTGTTTTGGTCTGCAAGGCTGGAAAAGTCGTCCCAAAAGTCTTTACGGCTGGCGTCCAGGGGTGCATTTCTTTTGGTAGCGTCGGGACCCTCGACAAATCTGTTGAAGCCATCTTGTGCGTTTTTGCCCGCAAGCTGAGCCTGCTTGGCGAGCTGTGCGGCCGTTTGCTGGGCCTGCTTGGCAAAGTCACCCTCAGCAATCTAAAAGGAGGCAATATTAGTATCAGTATCATATTTGTCTAGCCTCATACGAAGCGAGAGAAGGGGAAACAAGACAAAGACATACGCTCTTCGCAGTGGGTTGAATGTAGCCGTCATTCACCGTCTTGGCCGTCTTCGTCACAGTAGACGCAAACCAGCCAAATCCCTTGGTAATGGCACCCATGGGGTCCTTTTGTAAATCGTCAAAGATGGGCATTCCTCCCTGGCTCGACGAGTTCGTGGTCGGCATGTTTCCAAAGCCAGCATATTTCCCACCTTGGCTCGGCGGCAGATCCTCAGGCCGTGAGGCATTGTCGGCTCCCAGCTTGGCAAAGTACCTGTCGTCCACCTTGACCTTTCCGCCCTGCGAGGGACTCTGGCTTCGGTTCGCGGTTCCACCGAGGGGTGTGCTCGTGCGCGCCCCCGACTTTGCGGCCGCCGGGGATGCCTGCGCGGCAGCGGGCTTCTTCTCTCCGGGGACGTATTCTCGCTCTTCCACCTTGCACGTTAACCTCTCCTTCCACTCCTCGCCAACCTCGCCGCTGTATCGCTCTGCAATCGTGGCGTCGTCCCAGGTGAGGCCCCTCATCTGCGTATCCTCGTGCTCCTCAAAGAACTTCCTCCAGCCCTCGTTGCCGCCCAGCCGCATGCGCTCAATCTCGTTGGCCTTGAAGGCGTCCATGGATATGCTTCGGACAAAGGAGATGTGCACGCCGAGCCCGCGGTGGACTCCGGCGCAGCTCAGACAGATGAAGATGCCAAACTTTGGCGATGCCCACTGTGGCGACGGGGCATTGCAGTCGCAGCAGACATTGTTCTTGGACTCCTTTTGCAGAGCAGCCAACTAATATGAATCGGTTAGTTGTCTGGCCCGAAATCGATGCCAAATGCCAAGTCAGATGCTCGATGCCAGGACTTGTACATCCATGCCATCACTGTCCGCAGTAAAGGGGGGGGGAGAGGCAAAGGCAAGATTTGGGGAACACAAAGAAAGACTGCGCCGTACCTTGGACCGAGTCTCGGGGTCAACCTCCCACATGGCCTTGGAAGCCATTGCGTCCCAGTGAAGCGGATGAGAATAGTGACTGCAGAATCTATGGCAAAAAGCTGGGCGGTGCGTAAAAGGCTCGAGAAACGATTGCGCTACGGTTCGGCTGGCGCGTGATGTTTTGCGAGGCCAGCGCCGTTACAGCAGGGAGGTTGTCGCGGCAAAGGAGAGCGGGGCGCAGGTGCTCCAGACCTGAAACCCCATAATTTCAGCGTGCAGGTGCTTGGGGTGGGAGCTGGAGGCCTTTCTGCGGTGTCCCTTTTGGTGCTCTGGGCGCTACCGAGCGCTGTGTGCCCTGTTGTTCCCAGCACCACAAGTAGGTACCCGCGTTGATGGCATGCAGCCACTTATAGCATCAACTGGATGGAATAGCCAAACAACCCAGATGCCCCATTCCGCTGTAACTGGCCCATCCACCGTCGTCTCCATTCTCATCGAGTGCCAAGTCTGAGGATTCCTTATCAAGACGTACTTGCACAAGCACCTATGCATGTACAGCATAGATACGAGGCACCTCCTCCTGGATCAACCCAGAACTGAAACTGACACGCCCATGACGTTTCCTTGCTGACATGGGATAATCCAGCCAACCAGGGCATCTCTCTAGCTGCCATTATCAGCATCACGTTATTCTCTAGTACTACAAAGAGATACCATCCCTCACAGCTCCCCTGTCACATGCATTAAGGGCACCTGGCCCGGGTCGTCTTTATATCCACGACGCACAAGTATAAACTCAAGAGCTCACATAATATCGGTCACCATGTGAAGAGACAATCACTTGCAAGACAAAGACACAGTCAAGAATCACAGCCAAAATATACTCTTTTTCATTCTCGTGTTCGCTTTCCTTTTTTTTTTCTGCTTGCTGCCTTTGACCTGAGTTCCCGCATAGCTAGTAGAAAATGTAGTAACTAGGAAAGGCATTTATGAAAAATAAAACATTTGAAGAGGGCTTTTTTTGTTGTTTTTGTGTGTTTCAAGTCCCATGCTCCAACGGAGGGGATTTATTAAGTTGTCAAGTAGTAGCTGGTAGGATCATACCGTACCTGGGATATTAAAGAGTTTCAAGCGATACCTGCGTGTAGCTCCGTTCCAGCCCCAAAGTAAGATATAAAGCCGTCCGTGGCGTCATAATTGAAATCGTCCAAAATCGCGTGCCATATCATAAAAGAGTACTCATCAAACGCAGGCGGCAATGTTCAGCCTGTGAAAAAAAAAAAATTGCCGCGGTTCAACATTTAAGCAGTGGCGGCAGGAGCCTCAGCAGCGGGCTGCTCAGCAACAGGCTCAGTAGCGCCCTCCTCAGCGCCGTTGGAAGCCGGGATGTTGGACTCTTCGTCGGTCTTGTCAGGGCTATCGATGGCGACCTTGACGGCGATCTCACGTCCTTCAATCTCCTTTCCGTTCATCTCAGCAACGGCCTTCTGCTGGAGATCCTCAGAAGCCAGGGTAACGAAACCGAAGCCACGTCCCTTGCGGGCCTCGCCACGAGCCTGGAGCTTCTTGATCATGAAACGGGGGATGGGTCGGAGAGCAATCTTGGCTGACGAGGGGTCGTAGGCCTGGAAGAGCTCAAGGAGCTTCTCATATCACTTAGTACGCAGCTTCATAAACGTTGGCTATAGACTACTCACCTTCTCCTCAGTAAGATCGTATGGCAGGTTGGCCACCATGACCTTGGTCTTGGAAGGGATGCCATCAGCAGGTGGGCCACGCTCGCGGCGCTCACGCTGAGGGCGGTTCTGGTTCTTCTTCTTGTCGTCCTTGTCATCCGAGACAGTGTTGGTGATGTCCTTCAGAGGCTCAGCCTGGGTGGCTTCACCTTCAACGGCCTCATCTCCCTTCTTCTCATCGTTCTCCTGTAAATACGTCAGCATCGTTGTGAGACAGTTTGGCAGGAGAGAAGACTCACGCCAGTGGCGCGACCGCCACGGCCACCACGGCCACCGCGTCCGCGGCCACGTCCGCGACCACGACCAGAGGCTCGGCGGCGAGAGCCCTCCGCGCCGGAGCCCTCTCCGTTAGCACCCTCAGTCTTCTCACCAGCAGGCTCGGGCTTGCGAGCCAGCTGAACGGAAACCTTCCGCTCGAGGATCTCCTTGCCGGAAAGCTCAGCAATGGCACGATCAGCCTCGTTGGGGGTAGAAAGGTCGACAAAAGCGTATCCGACAGGGCGGTCGGTACGAGGGTTCTTGGGGATCGAGACAGACTCGCTGCAATGGTTTTGTCGTCAGCAGATGCTTTAGCACAAATGGCGGGGACAGCAAGGGAGCGATGGAGGGGTAGAGACTGGGCAGCAGAGAAAACAGGGAAGCCGCAAAGCTCTTGCTGTAGCTTTGTGGAGGGTATCGGGGTAGATGAGCTCATCGTGTGATGTCAAGCTAGGTAGGCAACACTGAGGTGGAGTGACATTCACCGCCAATCAGGACACCGTCGCAAAGTTGGGCTGCGAACGCATTCACGCCGAACCATGTCTTTCATCGGCCACGCAGCCTCGGCAGATACAAGAGAAGAGCATCCCAGACAGAAAAAGATGACGAGCAGATGATACGCAAAACCAAAGGTGCCCGAAAGCGTGTATAGACCAGAGGCAACTTACACAAGATAGCTTTTGAAGAAGTCCTTCAACTCTCCCTCAGTTGTCGCATATGCCAGGTTGCCGATGTACAGGCGGCGGCCCTCAGCAGCGCTGGCCGAGGCGGCCTCGTTGGCGGCAGCCTTGTCATCGGCAGGCTTGTTGATTGAGAGGTTGCCCAGAGCGTTTGCAGCGTCATTAACGGGGGCTTCGGAGCCTTTCTCCACGTTGGTAGCAGACATGGTGATGAGTCGGTGGATGGAGAGGGGATGCTTGGTCGGCGTATGACGTGTGGCGGATGAAAAGAGTCGAACTTGAACTCTGGTGCAATGAGGGAGGAAGTTGGGTCAGGGTAGCTTGGTGCCCTAGAAACAAGTTGAGAGAAGACAGACGTCGGTGCGTTGCGCGGAAACACAGGTTGACTGAAGGTGTGTGATGGAGGAGAAGAGAATGGAAAAGGGGAGACGGCGAGGCGATAAGTAGAAATATTTTTTCCTAAGGCGGTGCTTGCGGTGCTTGCAAAGGGCCGTGCAGGGGGGCAGGTACGAGCATCGCAGGTGCATCTGGTCTCAGGGCGCAGGTACCACGCGGCCGGGCAGGTACATGCGGCACAGAGGGGGAGGGGGCGCGATGCAGGCGACACGCGGCAGGCTCAGAGAGTTCAGACGGCGCAGGCGCGAGAGGCAGCAGGTATCCCCCAGCTTTGGGGTACCCGGTTGCGCTACCGGCGAGTACCGGCGCCGCAAGTACCCCGCGGCCCCTGGAGCAGATGCGGTCAAGGTGTATTGCGTACCGGCATGCGACTTGATATTCTGGAACACTTCGAAGCTCTCTGCTGCGGCGAGGGCAGCAAATGGCCGGCTGGATGCCCCTATTCGCCAGGCACGATTGGGCGGTTTTCTGTGTTGCCACGCAGCATGGAGCCCATTCGGTTCATCATCCGATGCCGTGCAAAAAGCGCCAGGCACGCAGAGGCCCAAGGCGTGATACCTGACTGCGCTGTAGCCCCTCGGAACCCAACTGCTGTACTCTGAGCGTAGGCGCTACATGTGGACAGGTACTGTACAGTAATACCGCCCTGCAGTACACGACATGCGAGCCTAAATCTGATGTAATGCAGCTGCCCAGCATCGACTAAGGTTTGTGCCTGGCGACAGAAGCGCCGAGTCTCTCCGTGCCTGCCGCTTTACTGCGAGGGAAGTTGCAGCTGAGGGGCCAAATCAAACCGTTCCTGCTGCGTCCCTAAAATCGTGAGGGAGCTTGTTTCAAGGGCAGCTGCAGTGCACCAGAAGCCCCCTATTTCTCACTCCATCGCTTCATCCCTACTTTTACACATGTACGAGCTCAGGAGGCAGGCAGTCTTTCCGCAACTACTAGTAGGTACTAGTGGTGCATAGGACTGAGAAATAATATTGCATGTTATCTGAGGCAGCTTATTCTTAGTAAGTACTGCCTGCTCTGAGGCCGCGATCCAGCGTCCATATGACTAAGTTTCTTACCCATGCTTGTCTCGTCTGCTCCAGTAATACCTCTCCGCACAGTATCAAGACATTGCAGCACGACATGCACCTCCAATAGGGTCCCATAGATGGGCAAAGCTGCTGCTTTCTTGCCGCCCCCTTTCACCTTTCACCTTTGGCCGTTCACCTTGCACGCAAAAGCACACTTGACACAGGTATCCATCCATCGTCCCAGGGTCGCAGCAATCCCAGCAACTCTTGTTGAGGCCCTGGTCGATAAACGATCCACACCAGGCCAAGGTGGGCATCGTGGCTCGGGCCACGGCCAAACATCGCAATCCTGGACAGTATCAACGCCTTTGATTGTCTCGCTTAAATTCTTATTTGCGCGTTGGGTGTGATCCGGCGATTTAATTGATTCGTCTCCCATCTTGTTCGCCATCGCGTGCCGACTGCTACTTTGCACACCGTAGTATTTGCACGTAATTCCAGGTACCTGCCACCTCATCTCATCGGCTCCAAGCCATTAGCAGCCCGAGCTGTTCGCTAGCCCAGCCACAAGAACCGAGCAAGCTCTTCCCCAGATTCTGTCGGTTGACTAGCCAAAGCACTGATAAAAAGTGTTGCTGGTGACAAAGAATCTCATGAGACAGGTATCACGCAAACATGGAGCGTGCAGCGGGTATTTCGTTGCCTTGTTTGGTGCATGGCACATAGAAAGACGTGCATGTCAAGACAAGGAAGAGTTTTGCAAAGCTGTTGAACTTTGCAGTGAATAATAAAGCAGAGTTGTAGAGCAAATAAGTACCTACTAGCAGTAATCACATGCTCACACACTTGGCAACCTGTACCTGTAAACACGAATCGATTTTAAAGCGAATTGACTGAGAATTTTATACAAATCATCCTTCTTCGTACCTTTTAATAAACTAGTCTCTTCACTCTCTCATGCAATCGGCCCGCACGTGGCTGAATGCCCGGAGAGGCAACTTTCATCGCTGACGTCGATTATCAGATCCGACGGGCCCCACCAAGCGGCAGCCCGGCATCGGAAGCCCGAAACTTATTTTGCTTGGCGCCATGAAAGCACTGACAAGCATTTATCGCTTACAACCAAGCCCCGAGATATTCCCCCATGCAGGTATAAACCTGCGGTAGGAGTGACGTATCGTTGCGATTCGGCAAGATACAAGAAAGGAAGAGCAAAAGTCGTTGATTATCATGCGAATTCCAAGCCATACGCACCGATAGCAGGCAACGACGTTCGTGGAGCAGTTGACTCCATCACCTCACAATGACTGGCCACGAGAGAAGCGTCTTGGTCCTGTATGGATCTGAGACGGGCAATGCCCAAGATATAGCCGAAGAGCTTGGCCGGCTGTGCCAGCGGCTGCATTTCAAGAGCCATGTCGAGGAACTCGATGCCGTGGAACTCGTACGCAATTTCCATTTTCCAATTCCCATTTCCCATTTTCCAATTCTCACTTCTCACCTACTTGTACCCTCTACCTGACTCATTGACGACTAACAAAATCTCACATCGCAGAGTGTCTTGCTGCAGCACCAACTCGTGATATTTGTCATTTCGACGACCGGACAAGGTGACATGCCGCACAATTCACTTCTCTTTTGGAAGAAGCTCCTGCGGAAGAAGCTGCCACCAAGTTGCTTGAGCCGGCTGAAGTATTCCTGCTTTGGCCTTGGCGACAGCACATATCTCAAGTATGAAAACATGCCCTTCATCTAGCACTCTGAATTGATCCTAAATTATCCATAGATTTAACTGGGCTGCGAGAAAGCTTGTGCGAAGATTAGACCAGCTCGGTGCTACTACATTCGTCGACATATGTGAGGCGGACGAGCAGTTTCCAGATGGGTAAGATTTACATGCACCTTCACATATGATATACACACACAAGAACTCGTACTCAACCTTTATAGTATTGATGGCAGCTTCGTAAGATGGGCCGACGATCTAAGAAAGCACCTCCTTGAGCATTATCCGCCTCCGTCAGGTTTAGAGCCAATTCCCGACGACACCATGCTGCCGGCACGCTGGTCTTTAGGTCCGGCTTTAGCAGGCCTCTTAGAAAAAGCCCAGGTTGTCGATTTGTCCCCTCTCATACTCAAAGACTCAAACGGCACGCTCACAGCACCAAACTTGCCTCCACCCGGACTCCTACCCATACCCGCCGGACGGACGGCGACATTGACCAAGAATGAGAGGCTCACTCCAACGGAACACTGGCAGGATGTTCGCCTTGCATCATTTGCCATCCCAGCCCACCAATCAGGTGGGAAAGTCCACTGCGTTCCGGGAGACTGCCTCACGCTGTATCCAAAGAACTTCCCCCATGACGTCCAGAGGCTGATTGACCTCATGGACTGGAACAGCATCGCCGACCAGCCACTCAATCTATCCGCCTGCGAATCCCTGCCGCGCAACCTCTATGCACCAGCATGCTGTACGCTCCGCGATTTGCTCCTCAACAATATCGACATAACTGCCATCCCACGGCGTTCCTTCTTAAAGAACATGTCCTACTTCTCTTCAGACGAATACCATCGTGAACGATTGCTAGAGTTCACCATGACCGAGTACATGGACGAATACTTTGACTACGCCACACGATCCCGCCGCAGCATCATCGAAGTCCTCGATGAATTCACCTCCGTCAAGATCCCAGCCGAGCGCCTCCTCGACGTCTTCCCCTTGATCCGCGGCCGCGACTTTAGCATCGCCAACGGGGGCACATCGGCAAACCATCCTTCAAATAAAGACACTACCAACGTCGAGCTTCTAGTCGCCATGGTGAAATACCGCACCATCTTGCGCAAGCCCCGAGAAGGCCTCTGCTCCCGCTATCTCGCCAGCCTCCATCCCGGCTCAACCCTGCGCGTCTCCTACAAACCCGTCCTCTCACCCATCCATGGCACCGCAAATTCCCAGAGACCGCTTATAGCCATGGCCACAGGCACCGGCGTCGCCCCCGTCCGATGCCTCATCCACGAACGCCTCACACATCCCAGCCCAGCGCCCATGATCATCTTCTTCGGCAATCGTAATCGCGCGGCAGATTACTTCTTCAAAGACGAATGGCGCGCGCTCTCCGAGGAAGCGGCGAAAAAGAACACCGAGCTTTTGGTGTTTACGGCCTTTTCGAGAGATCAGCGCGAAAAGATTTACGTGCAAGACTTGGTTCGCCGAGAAGCGCCGAGGCTGGAGAAGCTGATACCCCAAAGAGCCATTTTTGCCGTCTGTGGGGGCTCCTCCAGGATGGCTGATTCGTGTAAGCGTGCGGTTTTTGATCCCTTTATCGAAGGAGGCGATGAGGAAGCAAGGAAGGACATGTTGGAAGCCATAACGTGGTGGCAAGAAATTTGGTAGACAAACTTGCGTGAGAATCTTTTTTGTGTGAAGCAAAGGATAGACTGAGCGTGTATTAGGATAGTATCAGCTATTGATGCCTTACTTTCCTCGGGATTGAACCACTCCGAGTTATTGTATATGTACTAATTCGGCCAAGATGTCGTCTGTATAATACAAAACATTAAACGTGGAAAATCCTCTGCTTGTTATAGAGACATGCCTACACCATTCATATATGTTTGCTCTGATATCTTGCCCTGTTGGCACATGAGTATTGTGACAAAAATAGCGAACACTACAGTTGTCAGTAGAATTATGGCTTATATCGTCACAAATATTATTTCATGCATTCCAGTCGGCAGTGATAACCGCTTAAGGCCCTCCAGTATCACCAAAAGCCGTTAGACATGTATAATACATATCATAATTCTAATGCTTTTCTTTGCTTTTTAATGTAGATAAGAATTTATTGTACTAAATAAAAGAGAAATTATAAATAGGGGGTAAAAAGGAGACAAGTAGCATAAGTAGTGGTATAATCCTCCTTGAAGCTCCTATCGTAGTATTTCTTTGTAAATACACCCAGTCGGTCTGAACCCATACCTAGAATACCATGACCCTAAAATACATTTGCCCACGCTTCCAAAAACTCCAATCATGGCGCTACAATACATAAGAAAACATTTGGTGAGAGGTATGGGGAGAAGGACACAGAAAAAGGAAAATAGAGGAAAAAGAAGGTGTACGAGCTTGGCGCTCATGCTGCTAAATCAGTGTAAAGGTTTGGCCATCGTCGACTTTTAGTCTTCCCAACTATATCGTTTTTCTGCCATCTGGGGAATGTGGACAATATCGTTTCCATCTATACGTTCCTCTGCTTGCAAAGATTCAGAATCCATTATATCCTGACTTAGATATTGCTCCCCACTCCTCTCCTGTGTGTTTTCGGCAGAAAGGGTACCTCTATGCGATCGAGCCATGGAAAAGGTAGCTTGGCGTGACATTTCCTGCATCATTCGATCTTCTTCTTCTGTATAGTTACTTCCCAGACTATGATCAGAAAGGTGGCAGTCAGCATTAAATCGAGGCGTGAAGTCGCCATCACCATCACGATTTTCCTGGCTGACGATTTGCGCCAACATGATGCTGTGTCTAAGCGACTCAAGATTTTCCGGAAGATTGCCCAGGCACTCAATGTGTGTTGGATCGATCGGGGTTTTCTGACAAGCTATAGACGATAAAGCGGCTTTGGACTGCAATGCGACCGGATTATCCGAGTGTTGCGTGCTTGCTTGACTTGTATCTAATTGCACGATATTGTCGTTGTATTGCCCATCTGAAGATTGACCTGCGGCCGATACGGTGGTTGCGTTCGTGGAGCTATGGCTATTGTATCCTGACCCAGAGGAGATGGGCGAAGGCGATCCTGGAAACGATGCTGTCCCCAGCCCAGATCTTGGAGAGACTGGGGTTATCTCCCTGCTCGAAGTTGTATGGGTTGGACTGGCAATATATGTAATTGCTTTCTCTTGAGGCATAACAATTTTTAGCGACGCACGATACTCAGGTGGAGATCCTCGAAGCTGTCTTTCGATCTTCTTCTGTGCTACTTCATAGGGGCTGATGTTCTGTATAGTATCAGCGTCCAAAGTCCCATTGCCGATTATTGAAATACTGTCGACGTCTCCATCGCTGGCATCAAGCTCTACTGGAGCCAAGGGAGCGGGGAGCTCCACGGGAGCTGTTGGAACAGCAAGTTCGCAAACTACTGACTCTGCCACAGTCACTCCCTCGGATTTTGAGGCAGCGACGGTAGGATTTATAGTAGCATTGTTACTTTTGAACAAGTTCCATATTGGAACTTCGAAACATTTGGCATGTTTAGATATCCTGGGCGTAACCGAACCCTTGGTAGATTTGCTGTCATTCACTTCTGTTTCGTCGCCTTTTGTCTCCGATTTCCTTCGGCGGCACAGGTAGCACACGCTCACCAGACAGAATATACACAGCAAGATGGCTCCAACAGCGATGCCTACTAATTGCGCTGTGCGTAGCTTGGTACCGGCTTGTGTTGGTGGCCCTGGGTAAGGACTGTTATTTGGCTGCTTGATCGGCATCAAATTTGCATCTGCTACCGGCTGCTGAGGAAATTTGGCTTGGTATATAGAAAATACGGCCTCGTCATATTTTGTTATCAGGTACGCTTCCTGTAAAAATGATCGGCCAATGACGATTGAAGAGTCATTTTGAGTCCTCCGCAGTGCAAAGTATGGGACAGCTGGGTCTCCATATTTGATAGCTCGATGCTTGAATGGATATTGTAATAGTCCGACGAATGCTTGCATTGGCACGGTGATATTTACTAGTCCCGGTACATTCAAAGGGGATCCAAAGTTATCATGGTTGTCGAAGCTTGAGAGGCTAAACGTAAAAGTAAACGAGTTGGCTGATCCAAAGGCATTATACTGCTCATTCGTGAGAGTATACAAATCAAAGGTGCTGTTATAGGTCAAGTTGAAAGCATCTGCGAACTGATCACACACGGCGTTCGGTAGCCACAGATAGGGAGTAGTGCTATCAATCAAGGCCGTAAAAGAATTGTCCCAGCTTGAAAGGCTGGAGATCAGAGAGTCCCATTTCTTCGGCTTTTCGGTGTCGTTATTCGCAGAAGCTTCGATGCCCCGAACTAAAGCGCGAGGCATATTATCCTGAGGAGTTAATGTGAAGTCAACGTCGTGCGGGACATATCTAGCTGTGTCAGAGCCCCCTAAAGTAATAGAAACTGGGATATTTCCTATTCTCTCAAATTAGCGCTATCCATTGGATACGAGCAACTTCTCACATACGATAAGAGGCACCGGCAGTATAGCCGTAGCTATAGCTGGGAATCCATCCAAAGGTGCGGACGGCTTGGGTCAAAGGCGACTGAGCTACCTCATTACCAAAGCTGCCCTGAGTAATCCCTAGCCCAAAAAGACCTATGTAATAGTCTGTTGAATTGATGGCAGACATGAGAACATTGGACATTCCAAAACCAATGTCGGTAATGGAGCTGTATGCGTTGACTGTGTCGAGCCCATATTGGCCGTTTCCACCGTATCCTAGATAATCCAACCCGAGCTGCCAAATTCCCATGTAGGACCAATGTTTGGATTCAAATGGCGTATAAATGCCGCCACGAGAAGAAGAACAGTGCGGTTCTTCTATGAGATCCAATTCAACTCCTTGGCTGGACGGAGGAGTGAGATGTTGACGAGTGGGATCCCCGAGATGTCTTGCAAGCGGCGGACCTCGATCATGTTGAGATGGCGACGTATTTTGTAAACATCCTCCGGGTCCTATTGCCCAAAACTCGGAAAGCGATGTACTCAAGAGAACGTTGACAAGGTCTGAATTTGACCCCAGCAAAACCTTGATTGTCGACCAGTTCCCGTCAATTCCAAGCCTACCAAGTCAAGGTCAGATACATACATGACCTGAACTCATTGCGGCATTCATGGGTAGTCAGATATATAAAAGGAATAATAGCATACCATTCTCCAGCATCGAATGCCACCGGTGACGGCTCGTTCGCGTAGACAATACCAGCTACTGTCGCAATAATTACTAGAGCACCAAGACGCATTTCGTCGACGCCAGTGCTGCAACGCCGAAGCTTCGCGCGCCAAGAGGAGGACTCCCAGGTTGTGGCACTGCTGGGAACCCAAGGCTTGGTATCATGAGAACCTCTCAGCTTCCGTTATATCACTACCACGGTACTGTATCCATGGGGTTTAATCGCGTGGTGTGACGGAATCCGCAGCGTTCAGAGAGCGCTATAGCTCGTGGTCCGGCAGGTTTACGCAGCGAGAACGCTTTGTTCTTGGGTACCATGAAATTCTCGAAGAATCCGATCGTGCTGTATGTATGAAGAAGAACGACGGATAGAAATGCAAGGCTTTGGACACCTTCCAACGGGCCCTCGGATGGCTGGCCGGGGAGGGTACCTTGTGCCAGGCACTGACTGGAAGCTGCTAATGAGCATGCACAGATGCTAGGCCGATCTCCTAGGATATGGGGCCTGGAGCTTCCTTGTCGCCGCCGCCCTCGACAACTTTGCCCAAGGGATGGACCTTTACTCTGCACACTCGCCACAGATCCAACGAGAGGGGCCACTTGAAGCATTCCATATCAGTTTGCGACAGACAGGGCCCTGTCCCAGATGTCTAATAGTGAAGCCCGCTACGATGAGCCTAGCAACGCCAAATTGTGCCGGCCATCAAGCCGCCGATGGCTCGCGGAAGCGCTAATGCTAGTACTGCAGTAATACCTGGCCGCCAAAATGGGACCAGATGGGGAACGGTTTCAGTTGCTAATATCCTGCTGGGGTTACACTTGGAACGCTTCACGCGTCCTGGGTACAGGTACACTGATATGTTCCTCGGTCAAGTCATCTCCAAGTCTCCAGCTCTATATATTAGCTAGCGGTTCGAAGCAGTAGCAATGCCCTGTCGTCTACATACCTTTGCAGGGCAGATTATTGAGTTAGCATCGGTCGAGACGATCTACGCTTGACCGCCTCCGTTCTGTCACCCATGGTTTCGGGGTCAGCAAAGCCCGCTCCTCATGTCTTGGAAGTTAACGCAGGGAGGACACGCAAGCTTACTATAGAAAAACATCCCTTATAATAACACGTACGTACCGCTGTCAAGTCTTTTCAACAAACTCGATAACCATACCATGCTGGAATACACATCTGATCAGCGGCAGAAGGTTAAAAACGGCAGTGCGAAAGAAATTTGGCGACGTATCCGGTGACCAGACTTACTGGGCTTTCTCGGCCCAATTGTCGTGTAAGTCAAACATTTCGGACAAGGCAGGAAAATAGTCTTACTGCCTCGGTTTTTCCAGGCGTCTCAATGTTTCAGACATTCTCAAGACAGCATCAACGCTAAGCTTGATACGCATTGCCCACATACCTGACCTGGTGGCGACCCTGAGCTCGGTGTGGCGGCGTACGTAGTGCGCGCAACATTTGTTGTTGTAGTACGGATACGACATACAGAGCAGTGTATTGCCAGCCGCGTTATGTCGTCGGAATGTCCATGTTCCTCAATAGCTACGACTTCCATACGCAAGGCAGCTGGCCGAATATGAAGCTCTCGGCTCTTCTCAGAAACTGCAAAACGACGCCAACTATGGAGTACTCCAGGTGTCTCTTAAGAAATGAGAAGAGTGACTGGGGTAAGGCCTTTGATCAGCAGCGCTTGTTACAGCATCTGGAGATGGAGGCCCACTGATCAGATGGGCTGGAGCCGGGATTGCCATCCGCCCCACCTCTACGCTCTTCTTTGAAGCAGTTTGTCTGTGTGAACTGCGTACTGTAACACACGACGGACTGGCCTGGCCATTTGAGCATGGACAGCGCTACTGCCTGGAATCACGCCAGCATTCTGCGTCCCGCAGGTAGCCAACAGTATCGGGGGCTGAAAGTCTGGCACGCGCCAACACTTTGCTGCTGGTTCGTCGAATGCGTTTACGTCTTGTGCGCAAGTAAAGTGCTGACGGGGGATCGTCTGCCGGAGCTAAGCTCCCTGCCATGCACCACTAGCAGCGTTAGCACGGCTACTGGCTGTATATGAAGCAGCACTGTACCAGTAATTCCATCCAGAGAATTCACCAGCTGAGATGGTCAAGTGTCCAGGCCTCTGCTAGTGATGGTACGAGTAACGGTGAAGTTGCAAAGTTTGGGAGCAGGTTTGAGGTGGTCAAACGCGGATTTACTTTTTAGCACCCCGGCTTAACAGGCACAGGTGGTTGAGGTAGAAGTTACCTAGGAGTGCTCCAAATATGCCGCCTTGCCACGGTGAGAGCCGCTGTACTCGCTACAAAACGACGTTATCACACAAGCTCCTTCCTCGTTGCAAATGAACAAAAGACTACATGACGAGAACATTATCAACCTAAATTACTGGACTTCTTGCCTCTTCTAGCGTCAACCATTCAACTAGATACTGACTGTACAAGCGCCTCATGATATTTAAGTTGCCTCAAAAGTTACCCTGGATCTTTGAATGGAATTGGTCACGGAACCAAGGCTGCGACAGGTCTTCATGCCTGGATCCTCAAACAGCGTCTACTTCGTATGTGTTCTAGAAAATATTCACAGACAGTGCCAGGTCTAACTGCTATCAGGCCAATATTATACCTAAAGCGACAAAGGACGTCCATCATTACTCAGTTCCCGAAGCCATGGCCGTCATTTTCGCAGCGCCTGGCAGCTGAGAAATCGAGCTACTCGCCTCAAGGAAATGGTAAACTGCCAACAGCGAGAAAGGCAGACAGACGACCCGTGACACAACCCTTGTAGCAACGCCAGGAACATGGCCTATCAATGGCATGCCTCTGGCTGCCAAGCTCTCCGCACTACTCCACATAGCTGCTAGTAACAGCCGCTAGAAATGCAAGGGAAATGCGGATTACAGGCCGTCTGATCAGAATTCGGCATTACCGTTGCAGTCGGGACCAGCTGAGCCAAGGGAGTGGTGTCTCGGAATACGAACAAAAAGAAACGTTCAGTTCCCATCTGCGAAATAGCTCGCAATAGCCACTCTTATGCATCCGCTATTTGAACGGAGCATCCACCCGACATGCGTTATTGGACGCTAAGAAAGACTGCTAGCAAGGGAGAACAAGCTCGTTACTGACAGCTGAGATTGGGCAAGCCGCTAAGATCCGCGTAACAATCTCGTCCAAGATAATAATTTATGGTTTTGGCTTCACTGCAGCTCAGCCAATGCCATACATGGGCTAATCGCGGGAAGCGAGCCGCGAAGCTTGAAATGAGAGGGCATTATTTGCCACTACATCCGCCCTGCATCGGAGGCTTGGAGCCCGCCAAGTATACGCAGCCGTGACCTTGCCGTGCGTCACACAGATGCTCCTTTGGCTTGGCCCAGCCATATGTATAATGCGGGAAATTTTGACGAGGGAACAGAGCACTGGGGTTTCAAATGAGATATTGAGACCTTGCTCTCCCTTGAATTACTATTGGTCACAAACCCCTATTCCAACACCCAAGACGTGCCACGGTCAGGTTGGCCGCATAATTTTCCATCTCAAGCTCTCCACACAAGAGCGCCTTTAGCGTTGTGTTCCCGTTAATATCGGAAGGCTGAATGTAGGCCAGTGAATTGTCTCGGCCTATTGGTGAAGTCTGGCCTGGCGTGGGCCTAACGGAACATCATATCTCTGCGCCCAGCCGCTCGCGCAGCTTCAACGTGTCAACCCTGCAGCACATTACAGCTCTCTATACAAAGTATTATCAGACCGAACAGTCAGATTCCAGCATCTGGAAGCCTGTGTAGCCGCGCTACAGCCAAGAAGAAGGGTTAGATTATTCCTTGTCTCACGACAGCAGCAGGAGCTGCTCGATGCTTCTCCGTCTCCCTTTTTCAAGCTTGAGATGGTGTGTTGGGCCTAGCACTCGGCCAGCCACTGCTAGAGTATACAGTGTACATGGAGTACCTACTGTTAGTGTGAGAGCCAGCTGCTATCCGTATCCATCTCATGCTTGCACACGCCTGCAGTCGACTGCGGCAGTGCTCAGTGCATGCAGTCAGTATGTGTGATGTCGGCGCCCTTCGTACCTATTTGCTATAGACCGAGCTTTCTATGAGCAAACCGGGCCTGTCCGCGAATATTCTACTTCACCACCATAGTAGAAGTCCCAGTCTAACAGCTGATTATTGCTGGGGCAAAGCACTTCGACTTGTTCTTCGCTTTTAGAGAATATGCTGCCCCTATAAATCCTTATGTCACTATAGCTCAATGGCGAAACCATCAAATTGTCGCTTGAAATCCATACGCCCCAGTTCAAGCATACATTGATTCGGATCGTTCTCGCAATCTTCGAAAATACAATGAAAGCAACCAATGTTGCGCTGTTGTTATATGCAACATTTGCCATAGAGGCTGCCACAGCGGCTACGCAGCTAGGTGTGTTAAGTCTTTCGATTTGCTGCCGAAAGGGCGCTGTTATTCACATGCCTATACAGAGTTTCTGCATCGTCGGCACCAGCGACGTCTGTTCCAATCCAACAGCACCTTGGAAACTGTTCAAGATGGCCTTTTGCCGACAGGTAATACCGCGGTCGAGGTTACACTCTCAGAGCCAACAGCTACAACATCTCAAACAACCGCCGCACCGACGACACGATATAATGCCACAGAGAGGCCTTTTTCATACTCAAGACCCCCGTCAATATCTTCTCCCCCGTCTATTGCGCCTATGACGAGCGTTAGAGTCAATGATATCAACGCAACCACTTTACCATCAGCAACCGAGAGTATATTTGGGACAGGAGAGCCAAGTCAAATATCGATGCCAATCCATGGCTTATTTACAAACTCATCCGCTACCGCCCGTGGCAATGCTGATGAGCCAGGGCATCCGTCAGGTGTCCCAATGACAGGCGGCAAAGTTGAAACTTTTCCGACGAATTCTTCTTCTCTAATAACTACGACTTCGACAGAGCCGTGTAGTTCATTGCCCAGCGATAGAGCTGTTACCGAATATTCTATAATTTATACTTCGACCATCACATTCTATGGCAACAGTACTGATTACACTCCTCCTTATTCGCCCCTGACAACGCCGAATTATTGCTCTCCTACAGGCGAAGCTCTCATAACATTCTACAGTACAACCCACGTATCTAACTCAACTGCGATAGAGACGGCGTCGCCTCTGACTACGGCTTCTCCAACAGCTGACATCGGTGTACCAGCCCTAGTTGCTCCTATTCCCGCCATTACCTTTTCGTTTGATCTTCCAGAGATTCTTACACAGACGCCTGATGCTACTGGCGGAGATGAAGGTGGAATAATTATCACCATCAAGCCGTATCGCTCATTCACTCGTCGGATAATTACCTTTATCACAACCGATAAGAACCCAGCTGTGGTTTTTTCACCTGAACCAACTCCTGATTATAGTCCCACTTGGATTACTGGTATTGGAGAGGGTGTTCATAAAACCATTGATGTTATAAACAGTCCGCCAACCGATACACCCATCTCCAATAACCTTATTGAAAGCGTGAAGCGACCTCCAGCTCCTACTTTTCAAGTCACTGCTGGAGGAGACCAAGTTATTATCAACGAAGAGACGATATCTGGCCTGAAACCGAGCCAAACAACAACCATCACTGTCGGGACTGACGTTTTTACGATTCTTCCAACTGCAGTCGTTGGTTTCGGTTCAACAGTCACAAAGCCTGCACCTCAAGAAATATCCACTCCCACCTCAGCTATCACATCCGGGGTCTTGGGTGGAATTCCGGTGATAATCTCAGGAACAAAAGCTGTGGTTGACGGTACTACCTTGAGCATCTCGCCGCAGATGGCTACAACTACCATTAATGGCCACAAGGTTGCTCTTGGGACAGGAACTATAGCTATCGACCATGAGACGCTAGTTTTCCAGAACCCCTCGCCTCGACCAACTCATGAGATTATTACAGGAGGAGAGATGATCACAGTTATAGGCAGTTCCATAGTTGTTCTACACTCTACAACCATCACCTATGGCGCGAATATTGCTCTAAAGCAAACAACCTTCAACGGCGAGACCATCTCAATCGGTCCAAGGGGCATATCTTTCCACGGGACCACTCTAGGAGGGCCCTCGGCAAACTCCACCAACACGGAGTATGAGATTGTAGGCGGAGTCACTGTGGGAAAACTTTTGCCATCTCTTGTAGTAGTCAACGGGGAAACCTATTCGATTAACAAAGATGGCGATCTGAAAAATATGGAAACGACAATCATTGCCAACCAAACCATCACCATCGGCCCCGAGGGCTTAATTTTATCGTCTCAAACATTGACGTACCCAGGGAGCTCTGTCACTGCTACTTTGTCGCCTTCTATGCCGGACTTCCCTGCCGAGACAGCAAGTCAGAGCAGTGACGAGGAAAGCGGCGCGTTTTCAATCCGTCAAAAACTCGGTGCCTTTTACGTTTGCTTAGCATTAGTAGGCGTTTGGGTGATCTTCCGAGATGCATAGGCCATGTCATCTAGCATAGGCAAATTAATATGGATGAGAAGTTTCATGGAATCTTTTGCGGCAAAAGTGACTGGGCTATAGAAGGAATGGCTCGAGGCCATATGAAGAGAGCTCCTTACTACGGGGGAGAATGTGAAATTTGGTGGAGCTTAAGATTGATCATGGCTCCTAGGGGCATAGGATCAGCGGTCGTTGATGTCTGCAATAGTGGTAGACCATTTCAACGGCTATAAAAGATGTATATTAAAGTTTACCTGTACGATATTGCAGCGGATTATCAGTTCTTGGATCTTGGCTACCGTTACCAAGTTAGATTGCTGAGAAAGACAATACTTCATGAGTCTCATGAATTTACATTTCGCAAAATGCACCATCCTTTCTTAAGAAACAACACTGTATTTATCGAAACTTGTACACAAGAACCAAAGTAAAGTTCCCAATGTCTAACTTGAATACTGCCTCAAAAATAAAAGCATGGAAGGTACGTCAACACTTGTCCATGTATATAGAATGTAAATGTCTTCAGCCAGTCTCCACTTCGAGACTGCATTCTCTCCCATCTCTCATTTTCATCACCACCTCTGGACACTTTTCCCTTTTCCCTTGCCCTTTCCAACGCCATCGCCGGGCAAAGACGGAAATTCTTCACGCTGAATGCCAAGCCCCTCATCCATGTCTGATGATGACGATGGCGGCGAGTTGCCTCCTTGATCTTGCATGCTTAAGCTTAAAGCTATAGCCAAATCTTCATCTTCATTGGTAGTTTGCCATGATGGTCCGCCAACGGGCGTGTGGCTCGATGACGGCGAGCCAGACTCCAATTGCTTCCCCTTCTTGCTGCTCTCAGGCTTGTATTTGACATTGACGGGGAAGTCAAAGTCGCCAGAGCTATTTCCTCGCGATGTCTCTACAGGGGACTGTCCGCCTTCATTGTCAACGCTCTCCATGAGGGATAATCTTATCGCCTGTTGGATTTGTTGCTCATACTCGCTCTCAGCCACGCCGTTGGCTTCCGAAGCAGACTGGCCGCTCATGCTGAGATCTGGCGTCTCCGCGATATTCTCACTAAAGGAGGAAGCAGTGTCGAGACTGGCATCAGCTGTTGAGTCACTGGCTCGTTGTTGCTCTTCGGCGTGATACGCTTCTTCAGAGACCATTTGCGCATAGAGGATGGCTTCTTCTTCGGTCAAATCACCCAAAGCGCCAAATCTCTTGAGACGGCGGCAATATTCACGAGCCTGCTGTGCATCTTCTCGATACATTTCAGCTTCCTCAGATGCAATATAGTCCGTCACCGCAGCACCTTGCCGCCGGCTAGCTAGGCGATTATCCATATCGGCATGTCGAACGCGACGCTTGCGTCCTGCGGCGTGACCTTGTGATCCATATGACCAGTATCGCATGAAAGCTCCAAAAGCGACTACACCCTGCAGAGTCGTAGGATCGGGGTCGAGGAATATCGCCCCTACAGCAGAGTATGTATTTTCCCGCAGTGCTGGGTTCATGGCCAGCATTTGACGAGGAACGCGACTATTTGATCTGGCATTGATTGTTCTGATAGGTTCCACAGCAGATGCCATGGGGTCCCAGGCTTGGGCAAGGCCATCACTACCGCCATGAACCAAGTACAATCCAGAAGCCGCAACGGCGGATATCTCGGGAGAATCGGTTCGAATAATTCTCAAGGGTTGTATTTCGCGCGTTTTGTCATCATCTCGGGCATTCCAAACAAGAACCGCGCCGCTGTTGGTCCCAATGACAATGAAGCGAGTTCTGCGTCCTGGAATCTCTCTCGAGCCATGATCGGCCCAAGGACTCGTTGTAGATGAAGCTTCGTTTGCTGTATGCAAGGGATCTTCCCCTAGGGTGAAAAGCGATGGAAAGGAGTTGTCTAAAGCGACCGACGTTACAACATCATGGCTGTAGCCCTCAAGTTCCAGCTGCTGCTCGGACCAGTCGTGAATAACGGTCGAGGGCACTGGCGGAGACTTTGGAGTAGGGGGCGGAGACAGCGGTGTTTGAGACTCGGAAGCTGGAGAAATTCGATGATCAAATCCGCCAATGCTACCGAATAGCGACGTAGAAATTGGCGCCACGGGTGTCGTAGATTCGCTAGGAGGTTTTTGCACAGGTATCAAGGACCGCGAATAGCGCTGAATACTGGCAGGGCGGTTTTCAGCCATGCCACAGTTAATCACAAAGATGTTTTCTCCGGCGCCTTTGCCGTCGTCACTTGCAAAGTCCACTTCAAGCTTCCGTTGCATGTCCCAGCCGTCACAAACTTTGCGGAAGTGAGAGGGCCTGTATCTCATAAACTTTTCGATTTCTCGAGCCTCCGCCACTAGCTGCTCTTTGCTGAGGTGCATGTCATTTGAGGGCGATCGAGGCGAATAAGCCCCACGGGTTGCATTCTTGTCCAGCTCATCTTCCCGAGCAACTCTGCGAGTTGCCTCCAAAAGGTGCCAGTACACTGTACGGCCATTGTACCAGGCATTCCGCGTCATATCTTCTCCACTGGCACGGACCGGTTTTCCAACAGGAACGTCGCACAGGTAGTATACTTCGCCCAACGCATTCAGGGCTACCGCCCAGACCCTGGAAGAGGACTTGCGTTTTTGGTTGAAGCTGTCATCAATCTTCAACGAGATGATGGGGACTCCTGGACTGATGATCCATCGTGCTGTGACGTCGCCATTGGCATATCTCGGACCTGTGGTATCCCAGCCAAGCGAGTAAGCAGTGACCACGCCAAGTGCGGATCCTGTGAGAATACCACACATCGATTGCGTTGTTGATGTGACGGCTGATGACTTGGCAATCCATACGCTGCAAATTGCATCAGACATTTCGGGAATCTTGGGTATGTCCGGATGGGCATCTACGGCACTGATCTCTGCACCAATGTAGCGCCCGCGCGGTACGTTGATCCCTCGGAAGAACGGCCGGCCACCTGGGAATCCCTCTCCAGCTACTACGCCGTAGGTATAGCTCACATCCATGGTGTTGGGGACGCCTGCTGGTCCATCTCCAAGGCCATACGGCAACAAATTTGGAGCAACTTCGTCCAACTGTGGCATCGTAAATAGATCTTCGAGGCCCCATTTTTCAATCTTGCCAGTCGTAGGGTCGCTAACAGACGCTGCGCCAAGATCCCCGGCTCCCTGAACGACACGCGGTGGCTTCTTACCGTTTAAGAAGACGGCGTGAATGTTAGTCACTTGCCAAGGCAGCTTCGAGTTGTAGGTCAAGACTGCGCTGTTCTTTTTGCCAGCGCGACCAACTCGGCCAGACAAGCTCCCTCCTGGGGGGGTTCCTGGCTTTCCGCGAGCCAGACTTCTTAGGTGGCGAGTTCTCAAAAGATACTCGCTCCTCCACGTAGCCAGCGAGGTGAGCCGGGGAAAATACCGAGTCTCGAAGCGCAAAAAATCGGAGGATACAGGTATAACAAACCCAGACTGTACAGCATCGGCTTTATCACGGCTGTCTAGGATGGTATGTCCTGGAAAGTAGCGCATAAAAGCCATACGCCAAGCATGATGCGTGGTAACCAGCGCCCAGAATCGTTTCGATACGAGCGCCACCGACGAGTGGCAATCAGGCGGCAAGTGTGAGAAGATGTGCGTTAGAATCTCTGGACATGCAGATTAGTATGGAGCATTGCTGTTTCAGTATGCGATGCGCAACATACCGTTGGGGAAGTTGTCGAGGCGTGTCCCATCAGAGCGGGGCTCCGAGCGCTTTACGACCTGGAATCCAACGTCTTGCTTCGCAGTCTGGGAGGCGAGAGCCCTTTCGTATTCGGAGATTCGCTGTCCAGGCACAGAAGGGCGGTCGTCTTGAGCCTCGTCAAGGGTCAATCGGCGCAGCTTCTTGTCCAGCCGGTCGGCATTCACGCCGGCGCCACTCTCGTCTGGGAGGGGCTGACGCTGGTCATCCGCGCCGAGGCGAGCGTGGCTGAAGCCGCCTGAGAGGTCTCGACGGAGGCCACGTGCATCGCGGGGAAGAGAGCCATGCTGGGGAAGAGGGAGAGGATCGAGATTGCTGTTGCTCAGGAGCTGCGTCGGAGTCTTGATAGGGTCTTGGGTCATATAGCTGAGGAGAGATGGACGAGGGAGGGATGTTGTGACCGTGCAGTGAATCTTTGCACAGTCTAGCGCACGCCGGTGTTGTTGCAGGCGGGAGTGGTGAATGCGGCTGATTGTTGCGAGAGCTTGGCGGAGTGACTCGGAAGATGCAGTTGGTGAGAGGTGATGAAACTAGAGTGAATATTTTCCAGCGCGTTGTCACAGTCACACTGGCGCCAGTGCTCGGCACTTGACGCTTTCCCGGCGATAAGCCGAAGTGACGATATTGCCTCTATACCGGACTTGGCGCGTTAGCGGCTGGTTGTTTTAGCACATGCACCCTATATATGCTGGAGCGTAGCAGCTTTGGGGCCTAGAACAACCATTGGTTGACGGTTCTCGATTTCGGGTTCTCCGTCTTCTCTTTCCAAAGGCACTGTTATGATGGGTTTGGCATAGCTTCTGTCTCCTGTATGAGTCGGTGATGTCGAAGATATTGATAGTCGGCAATAAGCCAGGTCATTGCGTCAAGTACCTAGGTAAATGGCAGAGAAGATGCAATAAAACAACACGGGGAACATGTTGGTTTCGTAAGACGACGGCATAATATAGAGAAGGATGGATAATAGGGAGAAGAGATGACAGAAGCTTCGGCTTATATATGCAAGCCAAGTAAATATCTGCTGGACGTCATTGCCAGGGCGTCAAGTGAACAACTCGTTCTACTCTTGCTGAGTTTATGTAGATAGCAACTATCATTTAATAGTATATGCTTGAAGTTTGAAAAGACGTTAATAACATGAATGTAGCGTTGACTAGAGAAGCCACTAAGAAGGCTTCTGAAGGGCTTTGAGCGGAATTCTTCTTCTTCAAACACACTCAATGGAGCTAATAGGACAACCTTTGCAGGCAGCATCGTCATTTTTAGATAGCCCAGATTAAGAAATAGGTTCCTAGGTAGCCAAGTCGGGCCGTCGCCTCGCCCTGCTCTTTGCCGACGCAACACACACGCATATGGAATCAGCCATCGTCACTATCTGACCATCTCAATAGACTAAGAGCTAGGAATACGGAGTACGTCCCGCCTGTTTCCATGCAGTCTGACCACGAAATAGGACTTGAATGTTTTCAGCCCCCGCTTCAACCCTGATCAACAGGCCAGCTATCCATACTATCAGCTAGCTTGAACCTTGGCTATGCCCACCGTCGAGTGACTCCTCGGCTCGTAAACCGAATACAGGAATCTTTTGTGTCAGCAATATGCTTGAAGCGCTAGAGTAAGCCCCATGAATCTTGTAGCTCAATCACTACTCAACATGATGGAACCTAAAATGGTGGAATACTCGAGCACCATAGCAGCAAACTGAGCAAAACTGTTGCCATATATCCCGCCGTGAAGAGGGTTCGCATCTAGACTTTTCAGAAAAGAAAGGAAAGAAAAGGAAAGGAAAGAGAATCTAGCCCAGGACTCTATCATAAGCTGTTGCCATTACTAGTGGAGTCTGGATGTTCTAGGTAACAGCCAAAGTGGGTAGTATCTGCAGCTCTGAGATATACAGGTAAATATGCCGAGCTCACGCAACATGAGGATATGAGGACCCATATCCCTGGATGGAATCCTAGTTCCATAAATATCTATATGATACTTACAGTAGCAGTACCTTTGCTCGCATATCCCCAAATAGAACGCATCCAGGCCAACCCTATTTTCCTACAGAGAACACGCATGCAGCTACTCGGCTTTCTCGCGTAATAACCAAGTTCCAGTCTCCATAACTGCCTCAGAGAAGACATAAGCCGAAACCGCTTCTAATTCCCAGTGTGGTACGGTCATTCATGATCATGGGAGGTAAATCCATCCTCTATCAACAACCCTATACCCAGCATATCTGTTTGTACGCACAGGTAGCTATCCAGAAATAGAGAATGTCTTAACCGCATAATGTTATAGGTGTATACACATCTACGTTTCAATCTTTCATTTCCAGCGCAAGACTATCCACGGATCAAGTTGAGTCTTCACCGAAATGGCATTCTGTCAGCTTACTCGGCATATCGGCATAATGTTTAGTAGTAGTGAATCTCATCCTCAATCATGAACAGCGCATATGTGGAGGTTGACCACGCACACTAATCATGAGATGCTAGCTAAAGGGCGTTACAAGCAAGGCCCCAGCGCGGGCGCTTCAGGAATACGATTAGTTATAGACTTATAAGCATACGTAGAACTTTGTATACTACTATATAGAATGGGCGGTGTGTTTTATTGTAAAAGGCGAGAGATCAGCGCCGAATATTGCTTCGAATGAAAACATCTCTCACGCATTTCAGGTAGATCAAGGGCACTTTCGGATCAAAAATGAAGTCGTTTGTCACCACAGTCATCGCGAGCTCTTTTCTGAGTCTCGGACTCGCCAACCCCGTCAACGTGACTGAGCGTGCTCCTGGTGGCGGTGTTTATCTATGCCCCGGCGCGTAAGTCTCCCCCAACTCGGCACAATCTTTTTGCAATGTTCTAAACACTTTGGGGGAAATTATAGCAACTGGACACCATCAAATCTATGCCAGCACATTGACATGACAAATGGCGGCTGCTGGACAATCCCATGGCAGACTCTGGGATCAATCGGTCCCGACGCGGGTGAGTGCCAAATCTTTATATCAAATGTATACATTTGAACAAATGTCTCGAATTTTTAATAACCGCCAACTCGTAGGCTGGGTGTGCTCCATGTTTGTTGAGCCCAACAACTGCGTCTACAGCTCTGGCAACCTCAACTCTGGCGGCATCTATACTCCTGGCGTTGCCGACTTGACAACCTGGAACGATGGCTTCACTGGGAAATGGAACGGATACTGGTTTACCGATGCAAAGACCGTCCAGTGCGAATATGCTTAGAGCGGTGTGTGTTGACGCGGATTATTAATTGCGATTGGAGCCTGAACCGTTGCGATAAAGAAAAAAAAAGCCATAAATACCAACTTGAAGATTATGTTCAGATCGTCTTAATTTAACCGGCCCATACGTGGACTTGACGACCTAGAAGAAATGTAATTTACAGATTTTCTTTGGATTTTTTTTTTTTTTAAAAAAAAAAGATAATAATAACAGTTGAAAGAAAAATACAACAATCACTAGCTTCAGTTGAAATGTTGCGTAGCAATTGGTTGCTTCATGGAAATATGCTAGTTTCAACTGCCTGCAATGTACTATAAACATCAAATCCATTGTAACCGTGGCATTCAAGGCATGATTGACGCTCAGACAGAGGACTAAATGCATTTTATATACTTGTAGCTACCATATCGAAGTAATCTCTTTTTTTTTCAAATTGGAGCTTTGCATCATTACTCACCCACGGCATAGCCTAAACCTGAAATAAGAATAACAGAATTCAAAGATTTGATAGGAATAAACTCAAAGAGATGACGGTAATAGGATGGAAAAGGGAAAAGAGACGGAGAAAATAAAGAACCAGTCGTGCTCTCTCTCGCCTTTTTTGTGTATATATATCGCTGACAATTAACAAGATGGAAAAAGGAAAAAGAAAAAACACCCCGAGGTATAACAAAGTCAAATAATATAGGAGTCAAGAACGAACAAAGAAAATACAGCAGCGACTCGTTAAACATCAATGAGCCAGACCGTTCCCGACAGAAGCCAACTTTCCTCCTTATTTATCCATCATATCCAGCACGCAGTTGCCTCTTCTAGCCAGTTGGGTACAGCGATGGGTCGATAGATCGCTGCTCGTTTCTTGTTTATTTGTTCCTCTTCCACTTATTTGATGACAAAGGAAAAAGAGTGTTGCTGTTTTCGCATGTTCGCTGGGTTGACGTCGGGTAATAAAAAAAGAGAGAGAAGAAAAATGTCGCCAGATGAAATGGGATGGTAAAAAAGAAACAAAAAGAGGTATGAAGAGAGAATGGGATATGTCTCAGTACGGAACCGACGCTTCCAAATAAAATCGATTGCCGTCGTCAAGCCGTTTCTATAAAACCCAGAGCAGACGTCGAGGTGAATGCAAAAAACATGACGAGAAAGAAATTCGCTAAAAGACGGGTGGCGCAGGCACAAGCCTGTCGGTGGTGAAAATGCTGACATCAACAGCTCTATGTGAGATTTAGGCCGTCCAGTTTGGACTGCAGCCTTCGTATGACTTCCGGGTCGGGTGTTGGTTCTACCTTGCGAGGCAGGGCGCGAGGCGAGGCATGCGACTTTGGAAACTTGCATTTCCTGCATTCAGTCCCGTCCTCGACCCCGGTAGGATAAACAGTTTTGCAGTTTAGGCATTCATAGTGAGGCACGCTCTTTGGTCCAAATGCATCGCCAGGGTAGCCAAATGGATATTTGTCTTTCTTGGGCCTATCGCGCACTATTGTTAGCATCCATTTAATCAATTTCAAACCAAGACGGTGTCAACTTACGGGTCTCTGGGGCAGTCGGTGCAGCGAACGTGCTTGCACTTCTCGCACGTCTTAGTCCCGGCTGTGAAGAGCGTATCGCATTCGTGACAAGTTCGTCGGACGCGTTGACGGGGCTTCTTGTGGACGAGATCCTGGCCTCCCGTCTTGCTTGGGCGCTTAAGAACAATCTCCTTCTCGATTGGGGCGTAGTCGGGCAGTATCGGGGCATTCTCGCGGTTGGCCTTTATCTTGGCGGCTCTCCTTTCACGACTAGCGATGATCTCGGCCTCGGAGCGCTTTGGTGGGTACCGCGTGCATTTGGTACAGCGGCTATGGCTGCAGTTGGGGCATTCCTTGGTGGCGCCAAAGGTAGCGTTGCAGCGATGGCAGGTCCGTCGAATGCGCATTCGAATGGGTTTGTCCATGCGGAGGACGGTGTCGCTGGGGATGGCGCTCTGCCATTCCATGGGATGAATCTCCAGGCCAAATCGCTCATTCAGCTTCTTTGCCCGCTCTTCAAACAGCTCCAGCTTAGAGAGCCGGCTAACACCGGGCATAGCCTCATAGAGAGCTCTAGCCTCTGCAGCTTTGGCGTCGACATGGCTGATCCTATGTCAAGATTATGTTAGCACGATACCCTCAGTCGGACATAAGCCGCAGCTACAGGCGCGCTTTGTAAAGCCCGGCGTAAAGGGTGCTCGTAAGCATCATTTACAGTATGTGAGCAAAACAGGGGCAGCCCGATAAAAGAAAAAAAAAAAAAAATCCCAGGAACAATTCGGTGTCACACATACAGCTTGGGAGCATCCTCAGTCTTAGTTCCAGGAGTTGTGGCAGCTGTAGCGACAACACCGCTTCTGGCGGCAGCAGGCGGTTGGCGCTCAGTGCCGCTTCTTCGCAAAACGCCCTTGACTTTGGCAAACACTTTGACAATTCCCTTCCTCTCTCTATCGGCCTTTGGCACGGGCTCCGCTGGTTGGGCGGAGGAGCTCATGATGCTGTTGGCTGGCGTGCGGGCGACGGCAGTGGTTGTCTCAGTAGGTGAACACCTTGGGGGGGGAAAAAAAGGGCTTCGTCAAGGAGTCCAACAGGCTGGTAGACGGGTATCGCAAAAGGAATCCGATGTGACCCGTCGAAACAATCGGAATCGTTGCCGGAAAATTCCTTCCTTTCTTTTTTTCTGCAGGCTCTGGTTTTTTTTTTCCCCTTTGCTTTTTATGTTTCGGCAATGGTAGCGGCTACTACGGTAAACGGCGATCCTTCAGGGTCGTGGGTTTTTTTCGTCGGTGCGGCTGAGTGTTGGACAGGCTGGAATTGGAATCGACAAGCGGCGCAAGAGCCCGGGCCTAGGAATGGAGCAACGAGGGCCTAAAAATCACAGCGCATCAGCCGGCGAGTTGCTGCGATTGAGGTTGAGGGCGGATTCGACGAGGCCGCAGCGAGGAGCGGTGGTGTGCAGAGATTGGAGTCGGAGGAGAGAGACAGGTTGCACAGCGTCTTGCGAGGACCGAGAGGGTGGTTCCCTTGGTTATTACAGGCATGGCCAGCACTAATGCCAGGTCAGGCCAGGTCCAGCACGCCTGCAGCTTCAGCGGTGCCTAGCGCGCAATAGCGGCTCGCCCAGTGCGGGCACGGTGTGGGCGCCGCGGCGATGGACGGTGCTCCGGCAGGCAGAGGGCATCGACACTAGGGGACCGCGCAGCTGCACAGTGTCGGGCTACTCGCACTTGCACCGGACCGGCACCAGCAACCTGGGATGGTTCTCGCCTTGACAGACTCCCTGCCTCAGCCAGGCACTACAGAGCACTACAAGGCACTACAGCGCACTACCAGCGCCTGGTTAGTCAGACAACGTTACTCCGTATTCTGCAAGGGCAAAAAGGGCAGAGGGTCCGAATCGTCATCCTTTACTTGAGAAAAACCATGACGACTAATGAATTCCCAGCCATGGATCCAGAGGCAGGCCAGCAAGGGCGGCTCTTGTTGCACACGCCACCTGTCAGTGCAGGACGCCTCCTGCTACCATCTCCGCCTCTTACAGTATGACAAGATTGACGCACAAACTGGCACGAGGCCACACAAAACAGCTGCGTGCAGCAACTTGTCTGTCTCTCGTCTCCCGTCTCGTCTCGCAAGCGCGCGACTCATGGGGCGAAGCTCCTATTTCCAAAACCCCCCCCACTCCCTAGCAATTAGCAACGGGCGACGATGGGGCTTCGATGGGCCTGTCCAGCGCACCGGAGCTCGCGCGGGGTCTGTCCAGCGTTGTAGGGAAACACACGCCGTCAATGCACGAGGGTCCACGGGGCCGTCGTCTGTGGTTGGGCGGAACCAGCGCCTTCGACCCAGCTCTCTGGGAGGATGGTGTGTTACGGGAGCTGCCAGCGGGAGCACCAGCCAGCGACTCCCGTCAATCCGCACCCAGCCCGTCGGGTCCAGCAGCGGCCGGTCGGGCTTTGGGGCGAGACTGATGGACATGAATGGAGACGGCACGCCGTTGCTGAGCGCACAGCATGCAGTAGCGCTGCAGCACGTCCTGCGTCTGTCGGCGCAAGGCGCATGTGCTGGGGTGCGAATCGTCTGCCGTGCTGTATCCGTAGGTGAGGGAGCGTTGCTGGCAAGCTCGAATAGACGTGGCCAGGCCACGGCAAGGTGGGGGGAGGCTCCCGACGAATCCCGGTTCAATCTGGCTTCTCATACACGTGCAACTAACTGTACGCCGCCCGCATATGGCGATTTACATCGGAAGACAGGCATTCGTTGCAGAATGTCTACGGAGGCGAGACATGAAACGAGTTTGAACCCTCCAGCCTCCAGGCAGCTTTCCGGGCTCAAGCACATGGCGGTGGATGAATTCCCCGACCTGATCCTGGCGAAGCTAGCACAGCACCGTATTCTCGTCCTATCACAAGTCGGCTGCATCAGCCCGTCTCAACAGTAACCACTCCTAGTATTTTTCAACTCTTGGAAAAAGACTCTGCAAGTTCACCGAGAGGCCCATTCTCTTCCTCGTTGCTGCCGGCCCTAGCCTTCGGCAGAGGTGATCCAGGGGCCCTGTCGTTGACGAACTTCGGTAGTTTCCAAAGTCATCAATCCCAGCGCGTCGGGTGGTTTGATTATCCCAGCAAATGCTCTCTGTATTGCACTTGCACATATTCCCATTGAATAAACATCTGTTTTCGGATTTACAACGGCCTCGCAGAGACGAATGAACTGTCAAGACTACTACCAACACCAATGCACCAAGCAGCGCTGAGTGGTAATACAGGCTCAAGTCCAGCATTCGCCAACTCAACCAATACTGATTTCGCATGATGCAGGGAGCAGGCTAGCACGTTCATCATATGCATACCCGTACTTTGCACGAAGCCCTCGGCGAATAACAATCTCGTAACGGCTTCCACAACCCATATAAACCTGCTCATCGTCATCACCGCCTATTACAGTACACTGTAGACGCGTCCATGTGAGCTGCGGAAATGGGAAATTGCCTCCCTTGCTGCGGCCATTTTCTGCCGCTGGTCTGTGCTGGCGGCGTGGACAAGCCCAATATCGCCAACTGGGCGCTGCGAGTGCTCCCCATCCCGACTACCAGGTAGCAATCAACCGCTCGGCCTTCGCGCTGTCTGTCACTGGGGCTAGACAGCCGCACGAAGGAAGGATTAGGCGAGACTATCTACAGTATACATACATCAAGGGTGCCAGTCATCTCCCATCAACACTGCACAGTACGAGTCTGCGCCATTTGCGGGCACCATGTCTTGGATTTTCCAGCCCAGCACGCTTCTAGAATGGCGAGTGCCGCCTAGCAGCTCTGGCAGCGTCCTCTAGGCTCGCTGATGCTGCACATCACAGAGACCGCCCAGTGTCGAAAAGGGAAGCTGGCCCGACAGTATGGCATCAGGGCCCCCGCACGACTCGCCGGTTTTGCTGGCACTGTGGCGGCGAGCTGCCCATTATCTGATGTGTCAACTCTCACACGGCTTGGCCCAAGAGCCCGCCCGCTAATTTGAGACCCCGGCAGGCTTGGGAGCAGCATTATGCAGCATGCACGGATACGGGTCCCCTGGCTCGGGCAGCGTTTCCGCGGCTTGGCCTGGCCCTGTCCTGGACACCCAGTTGCGACTTGGGTAGCATCAACCAGAGCATGCCGGCTCTGCTCTCCTTGATGGACGGAAGAGGACGAGATGCCTGTACAGGGTGCTGTAGATGCCTATTGCTACTGCTACAGCTGGACAAGTACGGAACGAGCAGCGGAATTTACGGCTTCCATGCTTAAAAAGCGACAAGGCTTGATGCGCTGCTCGCTACTGTACTGTACAGTAAGCGTCCATCGCCACGAGCCATAGGTACAGTACATGTATGCAGCAGATCCACAGTGCGATCGCTTATTTACTTACTACTATCTGCTGGCGGTCGCAGCTCTATTTCCGTTTCCGCGGCCTCCTCTTTGCCAAAGGTAAGGAAGAAGAAGACGCAGAAAAAGAAGGACGGGCTGTTAAACTGAACATGGGGCACGGAATTACACGCAAGTGCAAACTGTCGGCCTATTCTTTAGCTCACCGACATTGACAGCAACGACTTTGGGCAGAGAGTCTCGTGCTCCGTATAACGCATTCCGTACAGCAACGCAATTTCCAACTCTTTCACACCCATTTGTCGTCCTGTGGGTAGCATTTGCCGACAACATGAGGATTTTTTGCGGACATGGCACGCAACGTGCTCCGTACTTGATACTCCATATATCGGCAGGGTAGCGGCAAACAGCTCCCCTTTGCATTTCCGACTCTAGCCAAGCGAGGGGGGTTTTTCGGTGTATGCGGTGTATGAAGTGTATGTACCACATGGTTAGGGGAGATGGTTGTGCAGGTCGCAAATAGCAGGTATACCCTCAGCAAGACGTCTTGGAAACTACATGTGACGGGTACTAATGTCAAGACGGCGTGGCATGTGCACTGTAGCTCGTTACATGCATGTACATGAATTCTGCGGCGACTGCCACCACTAGAAGCAAGGACATGTCTCGTGTCCCATCTAGACGGGAAGCACATATTCTTGGCGTTGGAACAAGAAGAATCATGTCAGTATCACGATGGTATCCTAGAGACGTCTCTGGTTAGTATTTACGGCTTGGTGAGTCTATAAATATGCATATTCGGCACCCCGTTTCGGATCCGACCACCAATCAATCAAGAGCCTTGCAGCTCGTTGGCTACAAGTATCGCCTTTTACAGTAGGTGGATGGCATTGAACCCGTTCTTCCAAGTGGCTACTCGGAGAATGAAGCCGTGCGATCCAAATACGTAGAGATATGCTGTATAGTTGCAAAGGCTATTTACATGTGATGGCATCAAAAATCCTTCAACGTCCTTGTGTGACTCTCGCGGCCGATGCTTGCTTGCTCCCCGACTGAGCTCCGGATAGCTGGGTCCGAACAACGCCAGTGCGGCAAAAGCTGCCAGGCGTTCAACATCTCACCCGCAGGCCGTCAGCCAGATCTGCCTACAGTAAGCTTCTATACAAGACTAGTTGAACGGTTGCATGTGCTGTAGTGTAGTCTCACCACTAGGCTGGTAGTATCCGATCGCTCTCGCACTGGGCCGGCAATCAACCCGACTTTGCGCTGCAGCTCGTTGTGGGCCATTCGGCCGGGACGAACAGGCTTTCCAGGTGTTGGCACGGCGCGTCCTGCATCATAACCCTGGCCTGGGCCTGGCACCGCCAATTCAATGTTGACTGGGCGCTTGACGATGGCACCACACCGTTGCCACTACTCCCGGGACAGAGTTGCATACTACAGGTATTAGCCTAAGGTGCGCCGTTCTGCTTTTGGGCAAAACATCGTATGATAGCGCAGCACTGGGACATGTTTGGGCTAGCAAAGGGACATTGGAATGACGTTTGGGGCGAGCATATCTACGGCATGCTCAACTCGTGCTAAAAAGTCTACTGCGACACATGTACGGGTTGTTGACAGGCCCTTCGGAATAGTAGTTGCAGCATAGGAAATAGCTCAATGGACTAACCAAAACTTCTGTCCCTTACTCCGCGCAACAAGAAAAACCCCGTTGACGCTTTTCTCACTAGGCCTTGCTTGGGCTAATGAGCTTCAGCTGCCAAGCTGGCCCATCAGTTGTGGCAGTTTTACATGCCGCCCATTCTGGGACAAAATGACTGGCAGCAGAAGGGACGGGACACGGTAGGTGTGTGTATTATCCCCTCTCTGGCATAGGGCCCATTCGGCAGGAGGTTCTGTTCCTATTCTAGATGCTATGTGTGAACCCTCTAGACAGTGGGGGCTGCGATAGGGCAAAGTTGGGAGGACGTGAGAAGCATTATTTGACTGCTCCATACCTTGTTACATGGTAGGTAGGGTTAGTAGATAACTGTGCGTTCCGGGAAACCTACATGTACATTTACTTGCGGGTAGTTCCTTGATTTGACAATGGCCTCCCCTGTCGCTTGCTATTTCTTACCCTACACTTGGTGCCTTGGTGACTTGATTCTCGCAATATTGCCTGTGCGGGCTGAGGATGAGCCAACATCAAGAGCAGTCACGTAAAGCGAAATAGATAGTACTAGGTATGTTGCAGAGATGTAAATCTGCAGGCATCTTAGCAATGTATACAGCTGTGTACACATACTGGAGAAAAGACTGGTTCATTTAATGGGACATGACATCCAACAATGCGCTTTAGAATTCCATCAATGATAGATTCTTCAGAATTGAAACTAGTAAATGAAAAACAATAGGAATGCATCGATGATGAAAATGGAGTAGCATATAGAGTATACTCTTGCACAAAAGTTTGGGCTTATAATCTTGGGCAAAAGTGGAATCCCACAGTCTCGTGTGAGATGGGTAACTACTTAGCAGGGGCGTGTATATTAAACTACAACTTGCCTACAAGGGAGTTTCATATATCCTGCCATTCTCGCAGGGCTAACGGCTTTACTATGAGAGGTTGGAGGATAGATGGATGTAACTTGAGAGTAGGGGATGTGACTTGTCCGACTGGCAAGTAGCTGGGCAGTTCATAGTACAGCGGTAAAAGTATATCAAATGCTCATGTCCGCTAAACGACTTCATAGAGGCAAGCAAATCTGCTGTTGGAATCTAGTACATGTTTACAAGTGTTTATCCCCCATGACTTTTGTTGCCTAGAGAAGTAATGTCTTCATGTATTATACCAATTATCACTACTGCCATTATAGAAATCCTGCCATGTATTCCAACACTGTTTTCACCCAATGTATCCCGGTATCTCTTCTCGCCATCTTCGTTTTGTCGCTTCACAGTCCCAACAATATACAAATCTTTACGAAAAGAGCCAGAAAAAAGTCTACTCCTCCAAGATATGTGGTTCAAGCACTACTCTTGCTGTTGGTGGAACGCACGGTCCCAACGTATCCATCCGATTCGCCTTGCGCCCAATATGCCTCCCTCCAGCACCGTCCATTCGGTTGTTCAAGTAAATATGCTGATCTCTCAACGGCTGCTGCCCGGCCACCAGGGCCCTAAACTCATTAGGATTGTAAATCGGCATCAGCCGATGGGTCGGGTAAAAGCGACCTCGAATAGACTGTTCCTTGAACACCACGTTGTCCTTGACGAGAACCCAGCACCACTGCCGGCCCTGCGTGACCTGGGTGCGCCACCGGATCTCGTCTTGCATGGCGAGCGGGAGCTTGTCCTTCTCATCGTCGATGACGGTGCCAGCCACGCCGGGCCCCTTGGCCAGCTGGTAGATTGGTCCGCGGAAGAAGACTGAGCCAGGATAGTCTGCACTAGTGAAGATGTGCAGCAAGCCCATCACCGTGGTCAGGCTGGAGTTGGCCTCTGCCCCTGCCATTTTCACCCGCACCGTGTCGCCGATTTCCAGACGCTCGGCACCGAAGAAGCATCCGAAATATGACACGGCCTTGCCGGTGGGATCGTCGCCACGGCGAGTCCAGAGGGAATGGGAAAAGTCGACTTTTGACGCGGCCATCTTGGAGGCATCCAGATTGAGAAGGTCTCGACGAACAGAGTTGTTTCCAGCAGATTGAAACAAGTTTTCCCAAGGAATCTCATCGAATATCTTGTCTTTGAGCTCTGCAATGTCAACAGAGGGTACACTATAACAGTAGAAAGGCCGCAGGTCGGCCTCAATCTTGGAGACATTGACCTGAGGCACCGTGGCGTGGCCCAAGGGTAGTAAATCAAACACCATCCCATTAGGGGTGTTGTTGGGGGGCGTAGAAATAATCCCAAGGCGCCAGGTATTGCCTGTCTGATACCATACCAGCTCTCCAGCCCGGAAAAGCAATGAGCCTTTAAGTGACCATTGGATAGCCTGAGGTTTTGGTTGCTGAGCTGCCTGTTGTTGGACCGTCTGCTGCGGAACCATCTGCTGCTGAAGTGTCTGCTGGGTCGGCTGCAGCTGAAGCGGTGTAGGCGTTGCAGCTGCAGGAACAGGCACTTGAGCTGAAGGATTGGTGACAGCCAAGGGAGGTGGCTGGGATGACGTCGGTTGTAAAACCTGGGTGGGTTGAGCCGACTGTATCGGCTCTCGCGGTTGAATAGGCGTGGGTATTGGTACAGGAGTCTGCTGGATGGGTTTTTGCTGTGCCGGCTGCAGAGGCTGCTGTGCTCCTTGGGGATGAGGCATGATATTGGGCGGTCTGTGGGATGCTTGACCGGGGATGGGGGGCAACGGAACAGGCGTCACCTTGACCGGCCTCTCAGATTTGTCGGCCCTCGCTGAAGACTGTTCGACTAGGGCTTGAATAGGAGGTGGAATCGGAGAATGACCCGGGACAGGGATGGAGCCTTGAGTTAGACTCTGGCTGATCGCTTGGGCCGCTTGCTCTTCCGGAGCATATGAAGCCTTTGAAGGAGCGGGTATGTTGCAATGAACACAGCAGCAATCGCCGTAGTCTTTGGATGCCGATAGCAGCCATATCAAGTGGACGCCGAATTCCTGTGGGCTTTTGAATAGCTTTGACTTGGTAGGGTATCCAGAAACCCAAAGATGCTTGGATTTCTCATATAGCCAGTATCCTCGTGGAAAGTTCACGTACCACGGGTTTCCCTCTGCATAAAAATTCCATTAGGCTGTGTCCTGGCGGCATCATGATGCTTTCTTAGCTTGGGCAAACAACTCACCATCTGGATTGGGGGATAGCTCCTGTTTCAACAGAATCCCCAGCTTTATCCGCCACTCTACAAATCTTGGGTCGTCTTCGGTCAACCTCGTCATCTGTGGCTTTGTTCGCGGAGTTTTATCTGCAGCAGCAGCTTCCTTGCCTGGCTTCTTCGTAGCGTTGGTAGCTGGCGCTGGTGTTGTCACCGGCCAATATCCTGGCCCGGTGTCTGCTCCATCGCTTCTTGCAATGCGGATCACATCGAAATCTTTGGTGTCCATGACTTCTAACCTGTGATACCGCTCGTCTCACTCGCCCCAGACGAGCGCTGACGATGTTCTGCCTCCCTCACGGCCACACGCAACACGTGGGTCACGAGACACCTTGATTCGAGGTGGAAGTTGAAGAAGTTGTATATCTCATACAAGTGGTCAGGGAGAATAGATGTAGATGGTCGTGCAGTTGTTGTCCGAACAGATGTTTGCCAATTCGAATAGCTTAAGGGCGCGCTGCTGGGCCGTATTCTAGAGTGAAGAAGGATACTGGAAGATACTTCAAGCAGTCGCTCTAAGAGTGATTCATAGGAAGCGGGGCGCCTCAATGCGATTATTGAAGATCTTCGCTTGTAAGGCGTATTTGTACCTCGATTCCACGATGGATCTAGTAGATTGACTATTGCTCTGTTTTGACGCAATGATGGATTGATTGCTTCCAACGACAAAGCCGACGTGTAGCGGTTGGCCAGTGAGACTTGATGACTCATCAAGCTGTGGCGCAGTCGTTAAGTGCAAACAGGCACTAAATTCCATGTGAGGCATGAAGTACCTATAAATCTCCTAATCAAACACAACCATTCGGAATATTAATTGAGCGATATTGAGGAGAAGACTACATACTATAAGAATAATTTCAAGCTGTTAACCTAGTACTTCCACTTGAATATGCTATGTACTGTTTTGTAAGCTGGGCATATACGATTGTACATATGTAGACGATGACTGAAACCACCCTGCGTTTATTATTCTTCCACTTTAAAGATCTTTTTGGCTAAAACATGATTTTTTTGCAATTTATCCACAAGATGATTATGAAAATTAAAAAAAAAAAAAAATGAATAATTGACTTGAGATGTGGGATTACTCACGTTTGCAACTGCTGCTGCCCTCTGCTTAGAAAACCAAGCCACGCACCGCCACAGCTAATTAATGAGGCAACGCGTGCACGCGTTTTTGCGATAATGGCCGCCGATAAGCATCTCGAAAGCTCTCCCAACAAGGACTTTTCGCTGTAGCTTTTTGGATCGAGAAAATTCCATCTCGTAAATAAAACGAGCCAGAGATTACAGATACATGGAGCCTCCAACCAACTATGGCCCGGGCAATAGAGCCTTTCTCCAGGCCCTTCTTGCCAGAGGCACATTAACGTATCCAGAGGCACGGCCCATAATCGCAGCCATCATCAATGCCGATAACGCAGAGGATTCCAACAGCGAGGAACGCAGGCCTGATCAGATCACAGAAGACATCTTTCTAGAGTACGTCGACAAAGCTTCTAGGGCAGTGTCTGTGTTTGATTATGAGATCCGGAGCACGCAGCACCAGGCGACCAAAGAGAGAATCTTTGCTCTCGTTAACACAACCTCTGACGCCCAAACTCAGCTGGCCACAATTTACAGCCCAGAAGAGCTGTCATTTATAAAAAGAGTCCTCGACGCCATGTTTGAGAAATTCAACCGGCCCCGCATGGAGTCGCTTTGTATTACCGAAATGCAAGCCATCAAGCTGGCAAGGCCACCACGCAGAGAAAGCCAAGGAGGAGAAGAACAACAGTCACAAGCCCCAATAGACAGAGGGCTGAAGCACAGTGAAGTGGAAACCGTTCTCGAAAGTCTGGTAGAAGGCGGCTGGTTTGAAATTAGCAGGGAAGGATTCTACTCGCTCTCCCCCCGCGCACTCATGGAACTTCGCCCGTGGCTGGTCGACATGTATAACGACGCAGATGCCGAGCCCAACGACTGGCAAAGGATCAAGTTCTGCGAGGCCTGCAAAGAGATTGTGACTTGGGGGCTGAGATGCTCAGACCCTGACTGCACACTCCGACTGCACGATATCTGCCAAGAAGCCTTTTGGAGGTCACGACGAGGAACAACTTGTCCCAAATGCTCTCGGGAATGGACTGGGAATCATTACGTGGGAGAAAGAGCCATCACAATGACTGAGGCGTATCAAAGAGGCCGAAGACGAAGCGGTGGCCATAGGAATACGTTGGTGGATGATGTCATTCGCCAACAAGGGGCTGAGGAAGAGAGCGAGGGCGAAGAAGCGGGAGGTGGAGAGGAGGACGAAGACGAGGAATAATAATAAGATGGATCTGTTAGGCGTTGGTGACGAGACGAGACGATTTTTTGATGCAATCTGTATAGGTACTAAGAATTTGGCATATCAAGGATGGACAGGACAATTAGCATGACTACTATTTACGAAGGATACCCAGAATAATGCTGTTGCTATACAGCTAAGAAAGAACTATTAAAAGCTTCATTTACAGTGTCATTTCAGTACAAGAGACTCCAGCTATTCAATGCTGCTGCCTTTGTGATTTTATGATTTACACTGTACCTGACTACCCCATTTTTGCCATATGCTCAGCGTAATGGACACCCTTGGATCTTGAGATGCGCCACGGCTTTGATTGGCCAAAGCTTTAAGTGCTGCATCCAATGACATCACTCTCACGATGACTTTCGCCGCCATCACAGTTGCACGTGTCAATTAATTAAGACATGCTAGATTCCAAATTGACAAAGACGGGCTCCCTCCGGACTTTACTCTTACCTCAAACACCTACGGCGCAGCCCTCCGCTCAACAAACAGCCTCTGCCTAGCCTACCTATTCACTGTTATTCAACTTTTACTATTACGCGACCGAGACGAGCCAAAGATGTTGGAATACTTTTCTTACAAAAAGTTCAAAAAGAACAAAGAAGAAAAAGATGCAAAGGAGGCCAAGAAAGACGATGGAATGTCAGAAGCAGACGGAAACAAGCCCGTCGCAAAGAAGGAGGAGGCCAAGACCGACGAGACCCACGACTCGTCCAGCTCAGAGCCTCACCCAGACACGGCCGTCCTGAAGCCCGAAGACGAGCGATTCCTCGAGGAGCTCCTCGCACAGGACACCGATGGCTCTCCGCCGCCGCTGCCCCCGCGAATCTACACCTACGATGTAGATTGGCACTCCGGCGACGAAGCCTCCATCGCCGAGTCAAAGAAGACCACTGATGATGAGAAAGAGGACGCTGGGAAGACTCCAAATACCGCCAAAAAGGAAGACGAGTCTGCCGAGAAAGCAGACAAGGCAAAGGACAAGGAAAAGGAAAAGGAAAGGACGGAGAAGAAGCCCAACCGACTGTCGCTCCTATTCACACGATACAAGAAGCCAGCGGAAACCTCCAAGTCTAGCGACTCCCTCAAGCCAGACACCGAAGACGTCACCCCCAAAGAAGCCGAGCGCGAGAAGAAGGACCTCACCCGCGTTCTCGACCGCCTTAGCCTCTCCGCCCAAAACAACAAAGTTGTCTCCGAGTCCAAGGACTCGTCCGACCTCCTCCAGAGGTTCACGCAGGTCTTCAAGGACCTCGTCAACGGCGTGCCCACCGCCTACGACGACCTCACCAAGCTGATCGAGGACCGCGACGGCTCCATCAACAAGCTTTTTGAGAAGCTGCCCGAATCGCTCAAGAGGCTTGTCACGCAGCTCCCGGATAAGCTGACTACCACGCTGGCTCCTGAACTGTTGGCTGCTGCTGCGGAGAGCCAGGGCATCAAGGTCGTCGAGGGCGGCATGAAGGGGACGGCAAAGAGGATGCTGATGGGGCAAAATCTGGCCGACTTGGTGAAGAGGCCAGGCGCCATTGTCGGTATGCTAAAGGCGATTGTAGAGGTCCTCAAGTCGAGATGGCCGGCGTTTATCGGCATGAATGTCATTTGGAGTGTTGCGCTAAGCTGTGAGTACCTTTTTGTCGCTTCTTTGCAAGATTGTGTATAGAGCTGACCATGATTGCGCAGTGCTGCTTGTTGTACTCTGGTACTGTTACAAGCGCGGTCGCGAAGAGCGAATGCTCCGTGAAGCCGAAGAAGCTGAAGCAGGACCCAGCACCGAAGCTGATAGTCATCGTTTTGAGGAGCTCTCGGACGACTCCAACGGTGAAGAATCCGGACAGAAAGATTCAGAGGCCGCAGCGGCCGCAGACGTCATACCAGTGATTGTCACGTCGCCGGGCGGGCAACAAAGAGCATCACCGGCACCAGAAGGGGCTTCAATGCCAGCAATGCCGCGGCTGGATGCTTCAGAAGAGCAGAATCGCTCCTGAGGGATACGGCCTCCTTTTTTATCTTTGACAAGGTTGAACGATACCCCTTTTAATGAAATGGATATGATATGACGACACGAAGTTTTGGTAATAAGTATTAGTATTGTATCTTTGTTTTCCTGCAATGTTCTGCAAATGGGTATCTCATGTTATGCTAGGTTCAAGTGATGTAGTTATTTTACCTGTTAATGATTAATGCAGCATCCGTTTAAATCAGTCATCTTGCACCAGTTCCTTAATCTCTTCCCTGCCAGGCGCCATGACTACGTCCTTGCTCTTCTCGTCGGCGCCCGTCTGATTCGTAGCACCACCGCCGTCCTCCATCCAAAAGTCCACTTCGTCAATGATGTCGTACACAACGTCTTCCGCAATCTGCTCCTGGTAACGCTCGACGACGGCATGCAAAGAGTTTTTGTTCAGCCCATCGGGCTGGATCATGTCCACTTCGCCATTGGTAGAATCGTAATCCGCTGGCGGGTACCAGAAATCTGGTCCAAAGTTGAGTTCCACGGCGCCACCCCTGAAAACGCTCACGGCGGGATAGTACCCCAGCATGCCGTCGTCGAGGCCTTCCCGGGCGCCGACTTGGGGCATTGGTTTTGACGCGGGAGGGAGGAACCCTAATAGATTCTCAAACGGTGTTCCCATTAGTACGCCGTTTTTGTAGACTCTGATGTAGGACTCGGGGAGGGTGCGCAGGGCAGGCAAAGGGTGCGTCGGGCTTGGAGCGTCTGTGGAAGAGCTTGTTGATACTGCTGGCGAAGGATTCATGAGGTCTTCTAGCTCTTTGGTGGTATGATATTCGATCTTCTCGAAATACGTATGCGCCTTGAATCGGATTGGCACTCGGTCTCGTACAATGTTGGCGGCTTCTGCGGTTGGCGGCGGTGATTCATCGGCAGCATCCACAGCAGGGTTATAGTGCCCAGCCATGATTTTCCTATGCAAATGCTCCGAGGGCAGCTGAATCTCGAGGCCAATGACATCGCCTTCCCGTATGCCCTCGCCGGGAGGAAAGAATTCTTTCGGCCGAGACATGAAGACCTTTTCGCCAGCTACATCTCGAATACCATAGCTGTAAGCATCGAAGCCAACAGGGGCATCGAGCGATGCTTCTCGTCTAGCCCAGCCCATGCGCACGTGTCGGCCGCCAACGGGCTTTGCGTCGCCGTCCTTTGGCTGTTGTATGCCCTGTGTAACTCTGCACTCCCAATACCATCTCCCTTCGCGCACGGCTACATTGGCCCTCGCCATTCGAAAGCCTTTATCAGTAGTCACCTGTCGGCCAGAATTATCGAAAAAGACGTGTGTTGCGGCATCCTCGAAGCTCATCCTCGGCCCGAATGGCTCTGGTTCGGTTTGTCGATAGTATAGTGTTGCAGGAAATAGAGGGTCGGCAATGCACGGGGTGTAGCGAAAGTTTTTCTTATTGAAGACACTTTTTTTGTTCATGAGTGGTTAGTTGATTAGATGACGGAGAAGCTTGGGGAAGCAGAGCGCCTTACTGATCAGACGTTTCCATGAATTCAATTGCCTGTCCGTCAGGCCCATCGACCCGATGATGCAGAGTCATTACAGGCCCGCGAGCAGGATCGAAATCCGACAACTTTGGCGGCGCTAGCTTATACCGAAGAGGCCTGTTTTCGCTCGGCTCGGGCTCGCGGCCAGCCTTGGGATCTGGAGTGGCGGGATTGCTATCGCCGCCTTTGGCCTCGCGCTTCTTGAGGGTGTCCTTCTTTGCCCTGACCGGCTTGGAGCGCCCCGATTGTGACGCATCGTCGGCATGCTGAGCTTCGGACGAGGGCTTGACGTCTGGATTGAGCGGTGACGGCACGGCGGGACTGTGGCCCTCGTCAAAGGCGCGCTTCTGAGGGATGGACGAGAGGGACGCGGTGGGGGTGAGCTCTCGCTTGGGGCTCCCGACGTCTGAAGCCATCCTGGACAATGGCCTGTGGCGGAAGAGAGAAGAGACCCAGGCCTTTGGATGGAGATGAAAACGATGGCTGGTTGATCTGCGAATGCAATTGGCCGCTGTGTCGCGAGAAATTGGCAGTAGTCGTGGGAGATTTGTGCATCTGTTTGTCTGCTTGCTGGTGGAGCTCGCGACACACGACGCCGCAAAATCGCAGCTCCCATAATACGTGCAGGCAGGCTAGCATCTCCGTATCGATTGCAGCAATGCGTTGCCGCGTTATCTTATCGGTCTAATCGCGTCAATGTGGCTCAGGCCACAAACGGCCTAGCCTTGCCGATGACCGACGCAGTGTGGCTGCCCCTTGTTTGCACAGCCGCAGCCAATGGGAGGCGGACAATTGTAAGCAGACCGGTCCAGGCAACCGTATAGCGGCCGCGCCATTGGCTACCTGCCACAGACAGTGGGCTGGCGGCGGGCTCGCGGTGGGTTGCAGTGGGTTTGGCCGCTGTTGGGGGACCCTTCGGGACCTTTTTGCATGCTGAAGTGACGCTTCCAGGCCTCGATGCAGCGCGCCAGTCACGCCAGCCCAGCACCTTGCGGCGCTTCTTGGATGCCACCTACGACTTGTTACGTGGTGTGCCGATGATTTATTCCCGACCAAAAAGTCCGTCTGCTCGCTTGGCATCGCCGACATCTGGACGGCCTCACCGCTGCTCGCGCACCCATTGACCTCCCGGCAGAAAAGCCGCGAGCCTCCAAGGCGTCCCTCAGTCCAGCATCTCCCTCGTCGCTGCTCGGCCTGGCCAGGGTCCCACCAGCATTGGGCTTTGGCTGATCTGGAGAGATTCAAACAGAGATCCGGGGGCCACTTTACAGAGTACATGCAGCACAAACTAAGACTCGGCATGCAGCTCGACTCTGGCCCGGAAAAGTGATCAAACAGACCAAAAAGCGAGCAACGACAAAGCCCGAGCCACTCTCCAGCGTCTGGCATCGAATCACAGCGCTTCGCATCGCCCTGCCTCATCTCGTCTCGCTTCCAGAAGCGCCCCGCCCCCCAAAAACCCATACAAGCCCTGGACGCCTGCCTGGTTGTCTGATTTTCCCGACTTCTGGAGTCATTCTATCCCGCTGTATTATCATTGCCCAGCTTCTAAATCGCCGCTGCAGACGCCTGCGCTGCCTCTCCCGAGCACTCGGCCGAGCCTGTGGTCTCTTGATTCGTCCTTCTGGCCCCCATCGAGGCCCTGCCTGATACTCGATTTCTTGGCCTTGTCTCCTGACTACTCGGATTCGGCACAACGTGGCTGCCGGCCCATCAGCAAGCATCAACACCATCAACCGTCTTCGGCTGCCGAATCCATCTGTCGGTTTTCGGTGTTTTGCACGTCTCTGCAGGCGTCTAAGCGCACCTCGTCCGTGATATATTCGCCACCTGGGAAGCCGACCATCTCCCGCTGGCAAATGTCTTACTCGGCCGCCGGTTGACGAACCCGTGCTTGCGCCACCATTATTTGTCAGCCCTCGTACCACGCCCGAACATCTCTCTGTTATTGAATATCATCTACTGGGACGGTTTTGATATTTCCTCGAACTTGTCTCGGTGTTGTGGAAATGAGTGAATCGTCACAGCCGGGGACGCCGTCTGCTGGCGTCCAGCGGGAATCAGGCTCCGCAAGAACAGCTTTACCTTCTCGGCCCATGTCGAGTAAAAATCGCGAAACTACACCATCTGGGGCCATCAGCTCAGCTCGATCTTCGGTTGAACACGATGGTTACAAACCCAAGAATGCTGAGGGAAATGCCCCTTCGAATTCAAACGATAGCCCAGGCAAAGACGAAGAGGTATCGTCAAGTGGAGGCAGCCCAAGAAGCACGTCAAGCGTGCCTAGAATTAAAAAACTGGTATTATCTGGGGTAAATGCCCAAGGACAAGGTGGACAAATCTGCAGGTTGGTCTCCGTTTGCCGTGTACGTTGTTGTGTCGTGAATCGTTGGCTTATACTCTTCCTAGCAACTGCAACACCACTCGCACTCCCCTCTGGAGGAGATCTCCGCAAGGGGCTACCATCTGCAACGCGTGTGGCTTGTACCTAAAAGCTCGAAATGCTTCTAGGCCGACAAGTCTGAAAAAGCCCCCGAATCTGGTATCTGCTGGCGGTTCGGCTCAACCTCCTGCAAAGTCGAGCTCCTATTCTCCACAAAAGCTGCTGCCAAACGTCGCTGGTGCAACCTATGTGGCCGCCGATGCAACTCAATCGGGCACCTGTCCAGGCGGTGGCCGCTGCAACGGCACTGGCGGCGCCGAGGGCTGTAACGGCTGTCCTGCATACAACAACCGCATGTCCAAGAGCGCTCAGCTCAACGTTGGGCAGCGGCAAGGCGGATGCCACGGCCGGGTGGAAACCAAGAATGAACCCGTTCCAATCGACGTCAATGCCCTCCAAGCGCAAGATAGAGACACGACTGTAATCATTGCGTGCCAGAACTGCGGGACAACAATCACGCCGCTTTGGAGGAGAGATGAGGGTGGGCATACTATCTGCAATGCCTGTGGTGAGTCTTGATGTGTGATACTGATAGCCCGCATATATATGTTTCTAACGATGGGTCAAATCAGGTCTATATTACAAGCTCCATGGCGTGCACAGACCAGTGACTATGAAAAAAGCCACCATCAAACGACGGAAACGCGTGATACCTGCGGCCCATGATGAGGACATGGATGAAGGCATGGAGGACATTGAAAGTCATCTGGAGCAAACTCCAGAGAGAGGAACCATGAATGAAGATGGATCTATAAATCTAGGTCTTCGACGGCGCCCCGGCCACCCCCTGACCATCGAACCGGAGCCGGCCATGCGATCGAGTCGAAATACTTCGCCATTACCGTCTGCGTCTGCGTCGGATCTTGCATTCTATCACCAGCATAACACCGGTTCACGTAGTGTGCCGCCTTCTCTCAACGACGAGAATAAATTAGCGCCGCTTGCCCCCATGAACTCGACTATAGCCGACGACAGGCAATCGTCCCTATCCCCCGCCTCCTTTATTTCCTCGGCACGAAAACGATCCTTCTCCGCCACAGAGGCAGATTCCGACAACGGTGCAGATAACGGCCACGAAAGCGCCAAAAGGATTTCGTCCATCAGATCCATTCTTAATCCATCAACAGCTGCCGAGGAGTCACCAGTTGCCGGTCCCACAAGTGCGGATCGTGGAGAATATGCGCTACCGCCGCTGAGATCTCCTGGGGCAAGCATGTCCCCGAGACTACCAGGCGCCGGCGGATTTACGCCACTTAATGCAATGTCCAGACCTCGAGATGCCGATACGGAGAATGAACGAATAAAGGCAGAGCGCAGGGCATTACTAAAACAAGAGGCTGAAAGAATGCGAGAAATGCTCGCGGCAAAAGAACGCGAACTTATGGAACTAGGAGAATAAGGATGTGATGAACTGGATTTTTTTTCTTTGACTTTTTAAAGGGGGGGTTGTAGGCACCTTGCCAGTGTCTAATGAGTTTCTGCTACGACTCTGTTTACGATTCATTATTACTTGTCTATTTTCAAATACTCCCTAGGAGCTGTTTGCTATGGCGTACCGGGAAGGATATAATGTTATAGCGCCTGGGACAAATGGACGGCGTACTCTAAAGAAAAATTCGAATTTGGGCCTGCAAAAGGATTTTCCACCTCACGAGAGGTATTGGGAAGTGGTGTTTTGGCATCGTGATTGAGGCTTGGGTCAGCTAGTGCTTTGTGAGCTGCTGCTCCGTGTTCCGCTCAGTACTTGGGAGGCAGTTAGATAGGAAGTGCCGCATTATTGGTGTCAGATGAATCAAGACACACATGGATTAGTATTCGTGGCCTCTATTTTGTGAGCATGAGAGACGCACAGAGTCTCTTGGTAACTGAGCCGTAATTTTGTTGATAGTAGCAGTCTAGCATTCCTTTGCCGTTGACTGTTAACGCCATAAGGCCACGGACTTGGTCAATTCTAGTTGACGAAACCTAATCAGCCTGTTCCCACGGGCATTTACCGTTGAAGATTTTAGTGCTCTGGCCGGCAATTTCGCATTTCAATCTGATAACAAAAAAGTACGCCGAAGGGTAATATGCCGTTCCGCTAACCTAACCTCCGCGCTAAATCCAGCCAAAAGCCGTGGCGTTTGCCGCAACTGACTAATTTTCGTGCTAGACGCCTCTCGTTCTTTACATCTCTTGTAGAAGTGCCGAAGTGTTTTCTATTCTTCCATGGAAAACGTTTTTGATTCAAGACTCCACGTTGATGTTTAGTTTAGCCCGTTAGTTCTAGGAACAACTCCCCAGTTTTTGGTTAATTCAGCCACCGCATGTCCAGATTGTAGCCCCACTGCAGCGACCTCGATTCTAAACGCGGTCTAAGCGCCAACATTGTGAAAAAAAATAGCATGTTGAAGTTTGATGTCCCACGATCTGCTTCTTCTACTCCAGCCAATGGGAGACTACAACTGGCTTTCGTTTTCATTCACTTGGGGAATTGCCACTTGTACGGGTCGTATTCACAAGCAAAATGAGTCCAGCAAAAGAGCTTCCGGCGTGGTATCACCGCGATCCGCGCTCTAGAAGAAGCTCTCGAAGAGATGGGCGAGTATCTAGACGAAAGAACGTTCTTTGACAAAGACGTTTCGGATCCGGAACCGGACTCTTGATGCTGATGATGACACGCCGGCTGTACGCTGCGAGATTAGCAATCATGATTCGGACTGCGGGTGTCCGTCGCCAGATGCATCAGATGACGACGTGCCCGGAGAGGTCATACAATGGCCCCGACGCTGATGATTACTACCGTCTCAAAGAATTACGCAAAGAGAGGGAAAATGGACTTGGTTGAAGCAAAGGAGGGGTTTGAGTATAAGAAGAAATGCTGTCTTGACGAGGACGTCGTAGTGAAGAAGATACAGGGGGCCATCAAAGCCGTGAGAAACGCCGAGAGCAGAGAAGACGCCTCAGCGCCTTTCAACTCCGTCGCCAACACACAATTCCACATGTACTGCGTTGATCATGTCAAGCACTGCTTTTGGGAAAATAATGACACCAAACGTGTCGAGTTTCTCTACTAGGTGCCTGGCAAAGGGCGTCTAGTCCTTGTCTGATTACGGCACAAAGAGAAAGCAGTCACCTACTAGCGACACGAAAATTAGCCGTCAGATCCATCTCGCTAGCAACGAATGCGTCCCATTCGAGGAATGGGTACCTCCCAAAGAAAACAGGCCTCAAGAATACAGGAATATGAATTCACTTTTCAGTGCATCAGCAATGATTGGCCTGATAGCCACTGTTCCGCGAGTTTGCCTTCCTGCATGTCCCCGTTGGACCCGCGGGCTCCCAAGACGTCTGCCATGTACGGCGTTCGTTACGATTTTCCATGGGTGAAGAAGAAGAAAACTAATAGGCGCTCCGTACCTGAATCAATACGAGTGGGAAAATGCCACAGCCTATGGAAGCTGGATAGCACATGACTGCAGGAAACTGTGCTACCACCTAAAGAGCTGCATAAAAGTAAAGAGAACCAACATTCTTCCGACTTTACAATCGAGAACAAGTTGAATTAAAATCATCATCTATTACCCAGCCACTGGCTAGGCATATGTAATTTTTTGTTTTCATGTCCCATCTTACTGTCGGTCATTCTTCGATATGATATCCTCTCTTGGAGTTACCTGATGGGAGCAGTGTATTTTCGAATGATGCAAATAACCAGAGCTAACTGACTGTCTTTCCCCTTCTCCTCGATCCTATTCCTAGTTCATCAGTTCATAGGATCAGGCGGCGAACTCCTCCAACAAGCAATCAAAAAAATCACTTATTCTCATGGGAATTGCAGTGTACATCTCCCTCGTATATTTCTTGCTGAGAAGGCTGCAATTTGCCTTGGAGCAATGGTAAACAATGCTTCTCCAGCATTTTCAGATGCAATATCATTTCAAATTTGGACGCTTCAAAATCAAAATCAAAAAGCTCGAAAACTCTTTTCATATCAATATACTCTCAACCCTCGGTATTTTGAGCAGAATATTTTCAAATCTGCCACTTCATCTAGGTAAAGTCTTGAAAAGTAAGCTGCCCAGGAGAGAACACCTCACTTTTGGGGAGCTTGTGCCTGTTTCGCCACTCTGTTTGCCTAGAACAAACAGATATGGGCTGTCACACATCACCACAAATAGCATTGTTACCTTTGAATATCCTCCTTTGGCAGCATGGCTCAACGAAGAGTTGGACAAAATCTTCCCAAAGGGTCATATCATAGAATCGAGCCAATTTTCAATTTCATCACATCTTCAACCGAGACTTTGAAAGTGGTGAGTGCAAATCACTTTACCTGCGGCAGTCCGTGTCCAATATTTCGGGCGTCTAGTTGATGCTTACCTGTCAACACGTATCCCGATATTCCACGTGCTTCTCAGAATGCGGTAGCGAGCTGCCGTCGGTCCATTTGTCATAGAGTCAGTCATCTGAGCGTATCTGCCGCACATGGGACGCAGACGAGCGCCCTGACTTGATTAGTGGAATGAGTACTTTGCAATCAGTCCCTGATTCGGAGCTGGCCCAAGGCAGAGTTGGATCCGGCCTGGCTCCACTAGTATCCGCGGCTAATGCTACTCGAATTCACTCGGTGTAAGTGGTATGTTCATGGTTAGCCTACAAGTCTAGAAGCGCCGTTCACACCCTCATCCAGGCCGTGGCTTACAACCGGCCGCTGAAGAAGTTTCTAGAGCCTTCGTTGCGGTTGTGCAATCAGCCTCCAGCATCGGGCATTTGCAATTGGATTGGATTCAACATGGCGCGGGGCGGTGTGCTAAACTAGCTGCTTCTCGGGCTCGGGCATACGAGTAACGTTATCGGGTTGCACTGCTAGTGTAGTTCTGGCAATACATGGACGTGGTCATCGTTTCTGATCCATTCTCATCGGTCCAACCTCGACGTTAGGCGAACTAGCAAGGGCTCGTTGGTAGGTCGATACGATACTCGTGTGCGTGAGATGCTAGTAGCCGCCACATACCGCACAGGAGCTAGTGTTTACTAGCCGCTGTATTGGATGGGATCTAGTGAATCTGGAGACGCTGGCCATCGAAGGCAATCGAATCAGGAAAGAGTTGTTCTATCGAGTATATTCCTTGGGCTCGCTTGCTCAAAGACGACTATTATCAGTATACCCCCTATGAAATGATGTATTATTCTTCTTTCTCGCTGAATTCTGCAATATTAGCAGTGGTAGTAGTCATGCTTGTTGAACTTGTCTGTATAAGTAGTATAACACTCATCATGCCCGTAATGGATGTAGTATTCATTCCGACCTCTCTTCCAACATGTTTCGACATACGACACAATACCTTGTTTGGATGGACCACACCCGACATGGCCTTTATACCGTTCAAGAATGAACCGAGTTAAAGTAGTCGTAATAGCAGGAGGAGTAGCACTCGGTAGTGCAGGATTGCCGTATGCCGAGTCAAAATATAGCGAGGACCACTCCCGTCTCGCGCAGAAATCTTGTCAGAAACCAATGATACATGTCTGCGTAGCACTCCGCACTCGGCATAATCGCAGCACCATTGTACTTATTCACACCACATGCCCCGAAGAATTTAAGCATGCCACTTCTGCGGTAGGGATGAGTCCCAGTAGGGCCGCGATCGGGCTATATCATCTGTATGGACGTGGGGAAAGATTGGCGCCTCGACAGTCCGGATACTGTGCACGAAGCGCAGGGCAAGCAAAAGAAGAACAAGTTGTTTCGTGCTGCCGGTGCTGGGTATTCCAGCGGCAACAGCAGAATGCCGGCGCAAGGGCGGCCCCCACACAGTGCCGCAGCACACGGCGGAATGGGGTTGCCTATCTGTCAAGCGAAGGGCGTAAAATTGACAAGTTCATGTCGACAGCCTGCTGGCGCTATGCCGCCAATCCCTGCCTCTGCCTGCCCCGGCTCCGGCTGAGGCTTGCTCCACCGGCGCAGGCTCATGACTCTGTTCTCACTGGCTCCAGCGCCATGCCGCACCGCTTATGGGGGCCACAAAGCCCGTTGGAGATGGGGCTCTTTCGTCTTGTGTATGGAGGGCCCTTGCTGGGGATCGCGTGGATAGCAGAACCGCCTTGGTACGGGCTCGGTAGGCCACCGATGAACAAAACTGGCACCGGATCCGCCTTGCCTCGAGCCATGCTTCTCTTATTATTGCAAACTCGAGAGCAGCTTCTTGGAAACCCCAACACCAGGAATCCAATTGAATCATTGTTTTCCCCCATTGCAAGTTGAGCCTGGTTTTGATCGTTGGTGCTTCGTCACAAATTGTTAGCTGAGAACCGGAGCAAAAGGTGGGACGGTCATCTGGGGCAACTTCTCTTGTCTCGGTCGATTCGTCGTGACCAAGTCCCTGCGCGCCCTTTGCAAGTCATTCTGCGGCCTCTGGTTGGATGCAAGCCGCACGCCTTTCCTTCTTGCTTGGAGTAAGACGGCGCGCGCCCTTTCACATAAACTACCAACATGACCTCCATTGACGAGCTGGACGAGTATGTCAACTGGGACAACGCTGGGGCAGCTGCCTATCCCCCTGTACCTAACATGTCGTCTACTGGAAACCCTGCCGACGACGACATTGGTCTCGTCCTTGAAAACGTCAACGAGGATGACTTCAGTTTCTGCGCTCTGCAGCACTTTGAGCACAACAGCTTTGCACAGGTGCCAGGAGTCACCGAGTCTACCCCTTTGGACGTGACCGAAGCCTTGCTTTGGGAGACACCAGAGAACCCCTGTGCCCACTGTGTCTTGGGCGGATACGCATGCAAAAAAATCCGAGAGGGTATTCACAAGGGCTACTGCACCAGTTGCGTCGCTCTTGGGCTCGAATGCAGCTTTGGAGGCGTCATCCCCGAGAGTCTGAACCCCGAGTCCACCAGGCTTTCCTGGTCTTCCACCGAGATGCCCAACAACGCCATCACTCAGGAAGACCTGATCAACATCCAGCCAGTGAGACCGCTCGGCACCCCTTCGTTCCTGGACTTGATGAATCTGCAGACAACAGGTCCGATGGAAGATAGCATGGCCAATGCCAAGGCGGGAACTCCGCCCAAGATTGGAGCAAGATTCTCACGGGAGTCGGTCCGCATTCTCAAAAACTGGCTGTCAACCCATAACAGACATCCTTATCCAAGCGACGAGGAGAAAGAAATGCTTCAACGCCAAACTGGCCTCAACAAAACTCAAATCACTAATTGGTTGGCGAATGCGCGGCGACGTGGCAAGGCTCAGCCCCCTCGGTCCACCTCCCCCCACGTTGGTAACCTGTCTGCTTCCATCGATATCCCGCGGAGACGAGCAACGCCGGCTCTCGAAGCCATGAACCCCCTTCAGCGTTGGGAGCACTCTCCTCCTGAACATGAACCGGCTTCCGTGACAGCCATTGCTAGGGCTGTGACAGCGTCGTCGTCGTCTGGGATATCCTCTGGACTCAACAGTCCTTACAGTTTCAACTACACAGATGATGGCTCCAACAGGTCACTCTGTAACCAGTCCTCTGCTAGCAGTGTGGGAACATCTCACTCAAGCGGTGGCTCCCTTGGATCTGCCTTCTCTCATGGCTCTCGCAACTCTTGGGGCTCGTTCGGCTCTGCTCCTTTCGCTTCCAAAGCAAGACGGCGAAGGAGGCGAAGGGCAGCGCCCGGCAATGAGGGAGGTTCGACCAGCCTCTCTGTTCCTCTGAAAACTTTCCAGTGTACCTTTTGTACAGAGACTTTCAGAACCAAGCATGACTGGCAGCGCCACGAGAAATCGCTTCATCTGTCGCTGGAGAGATGGGTGTGTGCACCAGACGGTCCTCGGGCTGTCAACCCGGACAACGGGCTACTAAGCTGCGTCTTTTGTGGCGAAGTTAACCCCGACGATGCCCATGTAGAAACTCACAACCACTCGTCATGTCAAGAGAGATCGCTAGAAGAGCGAACCTTTTACCGAAAAGATCACCTGAACCAGCATCTTCGACTGGTCCACAATGTCAAATTCATGGAATGGGCAATGAAGCCTTGGAGAGTAGCAACTCCCGAGATTCGGTCGAGGTGTGGTTTCTGCGGCATTGTGATGGATACTTGGACAATCCGAGTTGACCATCTTGCGGAGCATTTCAAGACTGGTTATTCCATGGCGGACTGGAAGGGTGACTGGGGTTTTGAAGTACCTGTGCTAGACATGGTCGAGAACTCGATTCCTCCCTGTATGAGACCACTACAGTATCCTATAGATCAGATCAAGGCGTCTAACTTTTGAAATATAGATTTGATTCATCATGAGCGAAAATCCCCCCTGCCGTATAATGCCAGCCAATCGCCGCCGGAATCGCCCCGGAATGCCTACGAGTTGATTAAGCTGGAGCTGGCCTACTTTGGCAGCAACTTTTGGGATACGCACGGCCGCGCACCGACCGAAGACGACTTGACGCTCGAAGGATGTCGTATCATTTTCGCTTCCGAGTTGCTGTCTTTACAAGGCATTGCGACACAAGCCTCGTGGCTTCGTGATATTGTCATGAACCAGGCGGCAATTGTTAAACAGGCTAGGTTTGGTCCTCTCCGTGGTGCGGCAGAAAACAGGCTTCAGACCCTGAAAATTAATGGCAAGGATAACTTGTTCGAGGAATGCCCCATGGAGAGGCAGCTTCACGAATATGTCAAGGCCAAACAACTACTGGGACTAACACCCATGGACGACGAGCTTCAAGAAGAAGCACGCAAGATTGTGGGAAGAATTGAAGAAGTGTGCACTCACCCTTCTGAAGCAGTAGCCAACTGGCTTTTGCGACTAATCACAGCATCGACAAAATGGCTCGAGGGATTCCGTCGACGTGCGCATCTGCCTCGAAGCGAAGACGTCCAACACAAGTTTATCCGGTCGACAGATCCGAACTCGATCGACTCCACAATTCACAACTATTCAAGGCTGGAAACAGAATTGGCTGCATTCCTCAGAGCAGAGCGCACAATGGGCAGAGAGCCCACCGATCATGAGTTGCAGCGGCAGGCTCGTATGATAGTTTATGAATTCGATGATGGATGGAACCAGACTGTGGCGGATAACCATGAGTGGCTCGCAGCTTTCAAAGCACGGAATCACCCTGATAAGACTCCTGGCTCAGTTTCATCCAGCTCACCAAAGGCTCACCGGGTGATGACCAGCAAACCAACCGAGAAAGCACAAATCTCTCTTTCTACTACTGCGCCAAACCCCTTTTCTGAGTTTCAGGCTCGGCTTGACGAGAATGGCAATCACTTCAGGTCATTCCAATATTTCCTCAACGATGCCAACTGCTACCGAAGGCTAGAGAAGGAGCTCAGGAGGTGGGTCGTATCTACCATGTCGCCAAACAATCCGAACCGGCATGTGCCCTCGGATGAGGAGTTGCAATACCAAGCTCGGTGGATCTTATATGACGAGTGAGTTGCTGTGGATTTCCCTTTAGATGAGTCAATATTAACAGCAGTGCAGTGATGATCCGTGGAACTATACCGCAGCCGACAACGCAGAATGGCTTCATCGTTTCAAGCGAGACACAGGCATAATTCAGGACTCTGGTCCCGGTCTGCCACCAGGCTACGCATGGGCGCTGGAGCAAGGCGGAACAGGCTTTGCGCCGCCATATGCCATTCTTGGAGATCACGACCCTGTTAACAATGACGTCGAGGTAGCGATGCGAACCGGGGCCAAGGCCTTCACGGCGGGACACTCGGCCGTCAATAGCTACCTGGAAGAGCTGACATCGTCTCCGAATCGCAAACCAGCTGTTATTTTCTGTTCTCGTGAACTGGAGTGGGGTTTGCAGCAATATTCAAAGGCAAACTTCATCGACACAGGCTTTTTGCCGTCGGACATGGCGTTGAAAGCCAAGGCACGAGAGATTCTCAAGACTGAAACAACCGCCGCAGATGACCCTGTCCTTTTAGATAAATTCAAGACGTGGTTAATCACCAGGCTGCCACAGTTGGCATCTGGAGAGCCCATCCAGCAAGAGAGCAATGCTATGGACAGCCTTCCCTCTGCTGTACCTACGAATATGGACATTAATATCTCTGATGCTGAGATTGGTGATATCCTCAAAGATATGGATTTTGACTTTGGGTTGGGGACCATGGAGGGAATCGAGCATGATGGAGGTGTCAGCTTGAACACGACATTTCCTGGAGAGTCGGACCCTTCAGTGCATGAGATTGCAAATGACGATGTTTGATGATGGATGAAGAATGGCGCTGATATATTTTGTCTCTTTTTCCTTGGTCTTTCTGTTTTGCCATATACCACTCTTGCATAAAATGTATAAACAAAGATGAGCATTTATAGTCGCATTTTTGGGCAACGTATGAGGTGTTTGGATTTTTTTGCACAAAGTTTGAAATTTGAAGATGGCATGAGAAGCAAAAGGAGGATACATATACGCATTAGCAATTGAAATCTGAATGAAACTAGAGAGCTTGGACAAATTGATGATGAAGAGTAAAGAGGAACAGATTTGGAATATCGAGGTAAAATGTTCAACGTGCGAGCCGTATGTGAAGCGGTCTAGCACCAAGGCAGGTGCGATAAGAGCAGATGGGAAACTCGATGAAGGCTCGCACGCACGCTTTTGCAGTCGGTAAAGCCTTGGTAGTGGTATTTGTCACAGACCCAGATGTAGACGACAAATATTACTTGCTGAAAACAGGCTATGCTATCATGATCTTACGTTTTACGCCTTACTCAGCTCCGTCAGCTATAAGCATCCCTACGCTCGCTCGTCTCTCGCTCAAGATATCACGAGACGTCGCTGTATGAGGCAAATCCGTGTCTTTGTCAAGGCTACCCCAAAAGAATTTGTATTTTCAACCGATACGACGAGTGTTGCTATAGATGGATAATCATGGCTCAGAATAATTTCTTTTACCCGAGGTATATATCACATCACCTCCCCGGTCAGCCCACGCACGACTGAAAGTTGGCACTGAATTTGTAAGTCAGGCCACCTAAGCTCTGCCTATCTGCGTTATAGTGTCAATTCCTTTAGGTAGCACGAGGACTGTGGAATTAAGCTTGCGCAGCGATCAAGTGAAATAAGTGGAAACGCAAATAAAGGTAAAATTCCATAAACTGGGGCATGGGACGTTTGGAGCGTATCTGACAGCGGCTCCTGCGCCTTATTCTGCGCGACTCTGTAGTTTACGCTTCCAACCGACCAGTATACAAGAAAGAAAAAGATATTTTGCCTCTACTACGAAACATGGGAAAGATACATATCGCACAACTGGTAGAGGTAGTAAAGCACGCATGCAAAGCACTTGGTGAAGTGCCGAGCTAATAATAACTCAACATTGAACCCAAGTTGGCATCTATTTCAGTCCAAATCCCCCGGGCGCTCGCAGCCGCTATAAGCTCAGCGCACGGGCTCCGGCTAGCATCTCGGGCGCTAGTTAGCCCAGTGTCTAAGACACCAACCGGCACACGCAGCAGGCTGGTAGGGATGCAATGGCCGTTAGCACTGACAAATATAGCAGGCTGATGCAGCTGATGCCGCGCGTTAGTGGGCTCGGCCAACAGCATTTGCTGAAGAAGAGTCTGGCGACTCAGTCTCACGTTGCTGCGCGGTCGACGTCGGAATCATTGGCTGGGACGATGAAGCCCGCCTCTAATCGCCTCTAATCGCCATGTCTCTGCCTCGGCCTCCGTGCCAATAAGCCATGTTCCACCAGCTCGCCTACAGGCCATTTGCACTGGTAAACACGTGCCGCAAGCCCGATTCCGAGCTGCGGGTGTGCCGCTCCAATAGCTCTTGTAGCCTTACCTGCTTCCTGCTTCACTTCACCCAGAACTTGTTGTGAGGCCTCACCCTCCTTGACCTCTGAGCTGGGCCCTTTGCGTACCTATAAGAGGAGAGGAGAGAATTGCCGCGAGCTGTCGGATATACATCAGGGCCAAGGCGAGGATAGAGAGCTTGAGAGGACAACATCACCGTCTCGTCTCACTTTCGGGCTACTTGTTGATCCTGGAGGCATGCATTGTCCTACCTACATACATACACGTACCTTGTGCTTCAACCAATGCACGCGCTTCGGGTTTAGACTGCGATGAGCCTCAATATTTGACGACTCCTCCTCTCTCTCTCTCTTTCTTTTCACAGCACTGACAGACGAGGCATCTTCCGCCACCATGCCAACCTACCTATGTCACGGATTTCGTTGGACTCGCAGGCTAATTCGCATCTTCGTCATCCTTGAAGATCTGGAAGACGCCGCGCCAGATTGGATCGTCGGCCGCGACACCTCCGCAATCATCCTCGAACGCATGAACACCAAATTCGATTACCTGCCTCAACGTCTTCCACCCCAGCCCGACGAAGAGCAGTCTGAACAGTCCAAGCAGCAGTCCGAGCCCCAAGAGGAGCAGCCGCCGCCAGAGCAAGAAGAGAAAAAGTTTGTGCATCAGGATGATGACTTGACCGTGCCGCCATCTCGTGTCCCCGACAGCGAAGACAGTGTCTTGGTCAACCAGACATCTGCGGTGAAGCTGTTGGAGGAGCACGACCCAGAAGAAACTACCATCTCAGCGCGCCCATATGCCTATGTCGCAGACCACGTTATCCGCATAGATTTGAGCGCCGACGTCTTGCAGGAAATTGCCAACTACGACGCTCTGGTCAAAGAAAGGAATGAAGGCAATTGGTTCGAAAGGCTCCGCGACGAACTGCAAGCTGGCGCCTCCATCGGGTGGTATGTAGTTGTCAATGGAGATGAAGAGCGTGCCGTACCTGAATACGACGACGAAGACGATGAGGAGAGCGATGCGACGGAGCAAGGCAAAGGAGGCGACGATGGGGAAAGCGAGGCACAGCCTGAGCAGCTGCGAAACAAGGATCGCTCACAGGCGCCCAGATTAACCGACCAACCGCACTCTCTGCGACACAAGATATCTCGGGCTGGCTTACGGCGTCTATTTAGCAAGAAGGAAGCCCCTGAGTGACGGATGAGCCGTATCTTTCTGCGCCTGTTGAATGGCCCAAGGGCGGTGCTGGGGTCGCCTGGGAGAATGGCCGTTTGAGCGTTTCTAATGGACACGATGAGTAACATGTAACTATTAAATTGTTATCAATTTATCATGATAATGAGTGCAGCAAGATGACTTTTAATACTACATGTAAGTTGCGACTAGGAGTTCTCAATTGGGTTGTGAAAGCCGTGGAACGTAGGAGCATTTTAGTTGTTAGCGGATGCTGCGACTTACCTCGACTAAGCCTAACTGGCACGTAAATCAAAGCAATACAACCTGTAAAAGCATCACACGAAAAAAAAAGTAAAAAGGAAGCCATATCGCAGCTTATAAACATACAACACTTTATAGCATTCTTTGAAGCCGTGTAAGCGTCTTCGGCGGTTCGGTAGAAGCAGATGACGTCGCCCCGACACTGTCACGTGTAAGAGATAATAGGAGCTGGGAGAGCTACTAGTATCTATCGCGAAATTATGGCAGGGGGGCATTTTTATACCAGGAGCCGCATCTTCTCCCTCAAACACATTTCGGGATCGCCAATTCATTCCCGTATTGGGAGCGAATACGGAGATCTTGAGAGGGAGGAATCAAAGAGAAAAAAACAGGAAAAGGGAGACGGGGGGGAAAACGAAAAGAAAAAAGAAGCATCAATCTTATAGAGACAATCTATTGCTTTTACAATCGCATGGCGACCGCCCTCGACAGCCAACCACGCCCTTGCGCACATCGTATAAGTCGCCTCCTTTTATAACGAATCCTCGCACCCAATGGCCTACCACGTACACCGCGATGAATCCCCGTTCTTTGCCCAGACGGGGCAGGAGCTCAACCTCGACGACAGCGACATCTACGACGAGGAAGACGAAGAAGATGACGATCTGCGGTCCCAGGTCGGTGGTGGCAGTTCGGAGACGTTCGAGATGGTCAGCAGCACGGGCAAAAGACGAGAGGACCAATACACTATAGGAGGGGGAGGGGCCAGCCACAGCAGCGAGCGCCTCGTGGAAGGGGACTATGTCGATGCCGGGCCGTCAACTTCGGCGGCGGCTGGGAGAAGCGGCCGTCTGAGCGCCAGCTCCGTGGAGAGCTTCCAGCTGTACACGCCGGACGAGGAAAAGACTGTGAGGCGCAAGTTTGACCGCAAGCTGGTGCTCTTCGTGGCGCTGCTATACATGCTGAGCTTCCTCGACCGATCCAGTACGTTGCAAAGCCGCTCCCGTCTACCAATTGTAGTTGGAAGAAACTGACAAAAAGCTCCAGACATTGGCAACGCGCGCATCGCCGGCATGGACGAAGACCTGCAGTCCGACCCCCCTCGCGACAACTGGTACGAGTGGGCTCTCGCCTCCTTTTACATTGCATACATTGCGTTTGAGTGGATGTCCCTCTTGTGGAAACTCGTCCCTGCGCACATCTACGTCTCTGTGCTGGTCATGACGTGGGGGATCACGGCGTCGCTGCAAGCCATTACCGTCTCGTACCCGATGCTCATTGCACTGCGCGTGCTGCTGGGCATAGGAGAGGCTGGGTTTACGGGCGTTCCATTCTATTTGAGCTTCTTTTACAAGAGACAAGAGTTGGCTTTCCGCACAGCCATCTTCATTTCAGGCATGTCTCCTTCTCCCTCCACCTATTTATCGTTCTAACATGATCTTCTTCAGCCGCACCCCTCGCGACAAGCTTCGCATCCACGCTGGCATGGCTCATTGTCAAGGTCGGCCACCTCAGCCCCATCGCCCCTTGGCGCCTCCTCTTCCTCATCGAAGGCTTTCCCTCAGTAATCGTCTCCGTCATCGCCTGGAGCGTCATCCCAGACTCTCCCCAAACAGCCCATTACCTCACCAGGCGCGAGAAGAAGGTTGCCCGCCTTCGCCTCCGCCATGAAATCCCCTCAGCTTCTTCGTCAAAAGCCAACAAAAAATCAACCAGTCTCAAGGCCAAGGAGATCCTCTCCGTCCTCCGCGATCCCATCGCCTGGATCACGCCGGCCATGTTCTTCCTCACCAACATGGCCTACTCCTCCCTCCCCGTCTTCCTCCCCAAGATCCTCACCGAAATGGGCCACGACAATCTCACCGCTCAAGCTCTCAGCGCGCCTCCTTATCTCCTTGCCTTCCTCATCGTCCTCTTTACCGCCCACATGTCCGACCGACTCGCCACGCGGACCACGCCCATCGTCTTCCACGCCCTCTCCTCATGTCTCGGCTACACCATCCTCGCCTTATCCAACGTCCTCCACATCCCCCCTTTCGTCCGCTACCTCGCAGTCTACCCCGCCGCCATCGGCTTCTTCAACGTCGTCACGCTCGTCATCGCCTGGAACATCAACAACCAGGCCAGCCAGAGCCGTCAGGGGGGCGGCTTCGCCCTTATGCAGGTCATCGGCCAGTGCGGACCACTTATCGGCACGCGTCTCTATCCCGATCGCGATGCGCCGTATTATACTAGCGGCATGCGAACTTGCGCAGTGGCCATGCTCAGTGTGGCCGTGTTGGCCGTGTTGCTCCGCTTCTACCTAAAGCGTCAGAATCGCAAAATGGACGAAGCTGAGAAGGAGAGACAGGCGGACGGCTCTACCGTCGAAGAAGAGGGCCTGGTTGTGCCTGGAAAGAAGCGAAGATATGCAGATAAATTCCGATACATGCTGTAAAGATGGCAGAGTAATTATTGGTTTGGTGTATAGCCCATGATGTTGGTCACTAGAGCTTGGAGTTGGTGGAATTTTGGTTAACTTTTCTCTTGGATATTTACGAGCGTTATGTAGACAGACAGCCTCTACACTCATAGCATGAGCATAATACCTATTTTTTTCCCTATTCTATAGACCGTCACGTCTTTCTTCGTGCCTACTCTGCCGATAACATCCCCACCGCGCCTCTATGAGCTTCGACTGCGTCATCCGTGAGAATGAGGAGCACCGCCCCTGAAATTCATCCATTTAGGCGCCTCATATCGGCTCACGCCGTCCCTCCACCAGTCCTCATTCGAACACACCTTGCGTTCTGTCGAAAAGGTTCCGTAGTCCTTTTTTGGTTCTTCTTGGCTCGGGAACATATCCTGGGCTACCCTGCGATGGCGAGCTCTCCACGCTTCAAAGATGCCTCGGTCCTGTCGAGTCTGGTGCCTCCACTTCAGCCGGGCCATATTAAGCCTCTGGCTACCTTGTCGATAAAAGTCGCTGGCCCATTTCCGTATATCGAATCTCGGACGCTTAGAAAGGGAATTTGTCAGGCTGCGGAGAGAAAAGGCGGATGCCTTGCGCTTGGACTGCCTGTGAGGGTCTCCATGATTCGCGGGTGCGCTTGACGATCTAATGGCAGGATCAAGGCTCTCAGCCTGATTAGTGGCTTCATGGATGCCATCAAGCTGGCCTTTTATATGTTCAGCACTTCCTCTAGTCAGTCCTCCCTTACTCTTTGCTGAAACCGGAGTAGAAGGCAGAAAGTGCACTCCGGCAGGACTCGGCTGCTGCGAGGCGGAGTCACTGGGGAGAACCTCGGCGCTTTCCGACAATTGGTACCTGTTGTATGATGCTACTCTTGGCCGAGCCTGGCCCTGCCACTGAGAAATGGCCGCGATTGCATCTTCCCTAGCTTCAGGAGGAGCGGTGTTCATGCTCTTATCGAAGTCTCCGTCTGACGACAGAGTAGAGCGAAGATTCGATAGTCGATCATTGGCTCTGCTGAAGCGAGACAAGTCCGTAAGGCTTAACTTGTTTGGACGGAGCATTGATTCCGGAGACTGAACTCTGTTAGATGCATGACCTTGGGAGGGGTACGAAGAAGACGTGTTGCGCAGGTAACGGTTGATATTCTTGATATCATCTGTCAAGGACGGAGAGGGATCCGAAGTATCAAGCCTGAGCTCATCAATTAGCCTGAGAAAGCGGTCACTGCTTTGCGATATGACTTGAGGTGACGACATTGCAGGGCTGCTGAGCAACGAAGAGTCATGGCCGTCGCCGTCTGCATCTTCGCTGCTGTGAGGGGCCGCGGGCGATTTGATGTCTTTCCACTATCGAGTATTATGAAGACCGCCTTTCCCCGTGCCCGGCAGCATGGCGGACTGGTGCCAGTATGGAAGAGACTTGATGCCCCAGGTCTCAGAATCGGCAGGATCAAATTCTAGAATGTCTTCTTCCTCTGTATCTATGGCTGTCGGGTTTGGCTTGGATCCCTTGCAAGACTCTACACCATCGTCATCGTGGCCTGGCTCCGTCTCGGCCGGCCTTATTGCTTCAGAAGGGCACGATTGTGGCTGAGATGGAATTCCGGAGCGGTTGAAATTGAATGGGCTTGGGTGTTTGTGTCCGAAGCTATGGCTACCAGGAAAGGCGACTCCAAGAGGAGTAGGATTGCGGCGTGAAGGAAGAGTTGAGTAATGAAGCATGGTGATGATGCTGGCTGTGAAGAAGAAATAATTGTGCTATGAAGCGAGAAAACCATACGAGCTCATAATAGTATTGAACAAAGGAGATTAATCTGGTATCTGGATTAATCTGGCTATGCGTCTGCATTTAAAGCGGATGCGCGTTGAATCCAAGCAGGGCAAGAGCTTCCTCTGTTTGATACAGGTTAACATTGTTCGCGAAGGAGCAACTCGGGCAGCCAATCCGGTGTTGCAGTTTTGTTTGAAGTCCTTCCTATATAAGAACAGTTATTGACCCCGCTTTTCAACCGATGGGTTCAATTCTACAACTGGCTTCATGGTCTAGTGGTATGATTCCTGCTTCGGGAAAATAACCTGAAGTCCCCGATTCTTCAGAATCGCCTTTGCAGGAGGCCCCGGGTTCGAATCCCGGTGAAGCCCCATCTTTTTTTGCGCTTTTTACAATTCTTATTCTTGGCATGTCAAAAGAGACAGCTCTTCTTTTTACTTGTATCTCAGCAACTTGGTAGATTTTCGAGTCTTCATGGTGAGTAAATACGGCGTCTTCATGACAGTTGGCTGCTCTGTCTTGATAAGCATTGTTCATCAGCTGTGGCCATTTCTGGGTAGAAACTCCCTCCCGGGTGCGACAACGCGGCGCCAGCTCTCCCGGTGCGATGGGTCTTCCACTGCTGGACCCCGCTGTAGAGGCCCGCTACAGACCGACGACGCAATGCGCTGACAAACGCTGAAACCACGCTGCGTCCCTGTCCCGGCGCTGTGTTATAGGCGCTGCAGCGCTGCAGCTTCCCTAGTGGCTGCGGCTCAACCCAGGCGCTGCTCCTCGTCACAAGGCGCCTTCGCCTTCATCCAGGGCCCCTCCCTCCTCGGCCCTCTGGCTCGTCTTTTCCCCCAGACCATCCCATCGTCCGCTGTCCATCTACGCTGCCTGCCAAACCTCCAACAGCCACAGACCCTTTTTTCCTGGCCTCGCCTTTCGTCTCCTGGACCGACCGACTCGCCTGGCCGATCCTTGCCGAAACGGACGCCGCTTCTAGAACGCCGTGCACTGTCCACTTCTTCGCAGCCGGTGTTGTGTGCGTGTGTGTTTCCTGATCGACCTCCCACCTGAATTGCCCACAGGCTACCGATCTACCGACCTACGTATTGTGCGTGTCACCTTGTCCTTTTTTTAATCTGGTCCCGCCCCTCCGCTCTCCCCCTGTGGCCTTGAACTGTCGGTATCGTCCGATCTGATCTGTCCTGCTGCTCGGGACACTTGTTTGTCCGTTTCGGTTCAGAGAACTTAAACTCATACGTGGTGGCAGCCTCGGGATCCTGATATCGCTGCGACAACAGACGCTCCGAAACGAGGGGCAACCACCGATCCAACGAACAGAGGCACGAGATCCGGGCGCAAACGCCTCAGACGCCGGAACTGCGACAACTCAAGCGACTCATCGGCCGATTGCGCAATATTACGCCGAGGCTTTTTGGATCTGATATCCTCACCGCGGCGCCCCTCCTTCCACCTTTTGGGTTCAGAGCTGTGTTCTTCCAGCGAGCTAGCACCGCCTCCTTTCTCGGTTCATTCAGCACCTGTTCATTCGCCTTGGTTGAATCATGGGCAAATCGTGAGTGACGCTGCGCCATCCCCTTCTTTACCGTCTTTTATTCGCGTACCACAAACGGAGATGGGCCAAGAGTGTTCAAAAAATGGGGACAAGAGCGAGAAGGAAGAAAGGCTGGCTATATAAACGTCTGCAATTATGCTGCCCTCTGTCGGGACTGCCCGGCGTATGCACATCACCATCACCACCACCATTATCGAGAACCAGTTTCGTGCATTAGGCCGACATGGACTCTTTTCCTTTCTTTCGTCAACTTTTGACTGATATCTTTGATTATCTTCATAGTCAGTCAAAACTCTCTCAGGAGCAGCTCGCCGAGCTCCAAAAGTCAACTCACTTTGATAAGAAGGAGCTTCAGCAATGGTACAAAGGTAAGCGACGTCGGCATGGGGAGACGGAGAAGACCTTGAGTCCCCTCTGTCCCTTGCTCATTTCGACGAGCGCATGATTCTGACGTTATGGTCTCTCAAATAGGTTTCCTAAAGGACTGCCCGTCGGGCATGCTCTCCAAAGAAGAGTTTCAAAAGATTTACCGACAGTTCTTCCCGTTCGGGGACCCGAGTTCGTTTGCAGATTACGTATTCAATGTGTTCGATAGCGACAAGTCTGGTAGTATTGACTTTAAGGAATTCATCTGCGCCCTGAGTGTTACCAGCAGGGGTAAGATGGAGGACAAACTGGACTGGGCGTTTCAGCTGTACGACATTGACGGCGACGGCAAAATAAGTTATGACGAGATGCTTCAGATTGTAGAGGCAATCTACAAGATGGTACGAGACAGATGATTCTGGGCTTTCCTTTCATTGTTTGGACTTTGGAATTCGTGTCATTGTTAACACAGGGTGAACACTAGGTCGGCTCCATGGTCAAACTCCCCGAAGACGAAGATACGCCCGAGAAGCGAGTACGGAAAATCTTCGCCATGATGGACAAGGACGAGAACGGCAGCTTGGATATGGAAGAGTTCAAGGAGGGAAGCAAACGGGATGAGACGATTGTTTCGGCATTGTCTTTGTACGATGGGCTTGTGTAAACTGCTCAATGTTGCTCCGTTTCTTTTATTTTTCCACTGTTTCTGATTTTTCCCGCTGTTAATTTTTTTTTGGTATTCCGGGCGACTGGTATTCTTTGAAGGAAGCTCTGCCGTTTGTATGTTTTTGCCCAGCTTCTGATGTTTGCTCCCTTCTTACATAGTTTCCTCCTTTGTTTGAGTCCCTACGCTTCTCTTAGGATGATTGTCTGGAGGGGGTGGACAGGATAAGGGTGTATTGGGCTCTGCTGTGAACTAGAGGGAACAATAAGGCGAAAATATGGCTGCCGGGTGTGATTGTGATTTGGGTTGTTTTTTTTGTTTATATCCGTATTTTTGTCTTTTGTTTATTAGTCGGTTTTTTTGCTTGGCTAGTTTACATAGCCTCGTGAAGTTGCGTATCAAAACAGAGAGTAAATCCAACGTCCTGATCCCGCCATATTGAGTTGGAGTGCATGTATGTATGTATGTACTGATCAATAATACCAATAGATCTCAAATGACCCGACAGATCCGCGTCAGACAAGCTTTTAGTGTATAATCAGGATTGATAAAGATCTGACTGCAGCAAAAGTCTCGACTTGTACTCTTTCTTACTCGTATTGGTGCTAGCAATTCGATTTGTGAGCACATGTACATGTAGAAAGTGGGGCAGAGCGCTATCCCGAATGATAATTGTGCTGGCGCTTCCCTTTTTTTTTTTCTCATGCGAGATATTAATCACGAGGATGGACTTTTCTTTTCTTCTTTGATAGCACCCTCAGCATGGCGTATTTCTGAACCTTTTGTTAAGCGTTTTGGTTTTTGTATTTGTATTCGTAGTCTGTTTTCTTCTTGTTTATACTTTTTACTGTTGTACTTTCTGGTGGACTTGGGACACTAAAGTTCAAATGGCTGATGCTCTCCTCGAACTCATTTCTCGCCTGGAAGATGAAATCCAGGACCCTGATGAAGGTACACATTATTCTGTCAAAAACACTCTGTACATCAATTTCATTCTTCAATCGCTGACGGTTCTCCTTTTTGTGATTTAGAGACATTTCTTCTCTACTCCAACGACATTCCATCTCAAGGCCTAGGCTTCATCGACTCTCACGCCACAGTCCTAGACCTCCAGCTCAACGGGAGAGACATCACCATTCACCAATCTCCCGGCGTATTGGCATCGTCTCGCAAAGGCGGCACGACAGGATCAGGTGAGTTTTTTTTTTCAGTTTCCCAAACTCAACATGAACGAGTTTCGCCCACGTGTAACAACAACTTTGTATTGTGAAACTCAACAACAAAGCTAACAAACAAATCCCCCAAACAAAAACAGTCCTATGGAAAATCACCCCCCTCTTCGCAGAATGGCTCTCCTCCCCTTCAAACATGCTCATCAACACAATCCTCACAACATCGCCATCCTCCATCATCGAACTTGGCTGCGGCATCTCCCCCCTCAACGCCCTGAGCCTCTCCCAAAAAGTCTCGCGCTACATCCTCACCGACCAGCCCTACGTCCAGAAACTCGTGCTGCAGAACCTCGCCGAGAACAAGATTACGGCAAAGGGCGGTAGTAAATCCAACAAGAAGGCGGGCGACAAATCGCCTAGCCCTTCTTCTTCTCACAACACAGCCGCGGATATCCACTTTCAAGTCCTCGACTGGGAGACTTCTCAAGTTACTCCTTCGCTTACCAACTCTTCTTCGGCAACTTCCTTGGACGCCATCATTGCTTGCGACTGTATCTTCAACTACGCTCTGATACAGCCATTTGTGCAGACCTGCGCGGATATCTGCAAACTACGCCAGTCGGACAATCTTTTGGAGGGCGAACAACTCCCGCCGTGCCTATGCATTGTGGCACAGCAGCTACGAAACGACGACGTCTTCAATAGCTGGCTGGTTGCCTTCAAGGAGCATTTCCGGGTGTGGCGGATACCTGGTGAGATGATGCCGGCAGCGCTCCGTCCAGAGGCGGGATTTGTGGTTCACATTGGGATTCTCAAAGACTCATTCTAAAGTACTACACCACATTTACGTCCTCAAGAGGCGTCATTTTCAATTAATTCACACATGATATCAGAGAAACAGTTTTGAAAATCGAAATGGATCGTGTTTTCAAGCAACTAGGCAAAAACAAAGTAAAGCTCCCTGTCTCATATAAACAACGCAATTCCTTTTTGATGCAATGGCCCTCGGCCGATATGGCTCGCTACATAAGAGCCCATATCCACTAACCCTCCCTTTTGTCATATCAACCCGCACTGGGCCTTTTAATGATAGACTCGACGTGAATATTCGTCTTTTAAGATATCATGAAACGAGAAAAAAAAGAAGCCAAAGAAAATTAAAAGGAGATTGTAGCAAAGGGTAAAGAGGAGGAAAAAGGATGAAACTTAGAGGCACTCAAACTACCACTCCAGAGGCTCCTTCTTCTCCTCTCCACGATTGGTCTTTGGCACGGGCACTGCCTTGGCAGCCAGTCGGCCATCCTTGCCTCTCTTGAGGTAGGCGGTGCCGTCTAACCAAGGAGTGTGGATTGATCGTCTCTTCTCAAAATCGACAATCTTGTCATTGAGCTGCATTGCCAGGCCAATGTCGTCAAATCCATTGACCAGGCAGTATTTCCGGAACTCCTCAACGTCGAAAGAGCAGATGGTTTCGCCGGCTGCGTTCTTGATGAGCTGGTTGGGCAGGTCAATTTCCACCTCTCTTCCGGCACGGCCCTCAGCGGCGATGGCGTCAATGTCGGCCTTGTTGGAGATTTGGATGGGCAGCATGCCGTTCTTGAACATGTTGTTGTTGAAAATGTCAGCAAATGATGGTGCAATGACGGCCTTGATGCCAAAGTCAAGCAGGGCCCAAGGGGCGTGCTCTCGAGATGATCCGCAGCCAAAGTTGGGACCAGTGCAGACCAAAATCTTGGCGCCCCTGTATGGCTCCTGGTTCAGGACGAAACTAGGGTCATCGGACCCGTCAGGAAGGTAGCGCCAGGCATGGAACAGAGCTGAGCCCAGACCGGTGCGCTTAATCGTCTTCAGGAACTGCTTGGGAATAATGGCATCAGTGTCAACGTTGGCCCGATCCATAGGAGCTGTAATTCCCTTGAGGGAGAGAAACTTGGGCATGCCAGCAGAATCAGTCTTGGGTACCAGAGTGTTGGTGTGTGGCTGGAGATCCTGTGGCTGGTCTCCGATAATCTCTCGCTCATCAGAATCCTCGACACGCTCATCGACGTGAGGGGCCTCAACGGGGGTGGAGGGAGCGATACGAGCCTGAACGTGAGGGCTAGCAGTGTACTCAGTCAGCCTGCGGATATCAGTCAGCCTGCCCGTAATGGCGGCCGCAGCAGCCATGACAGGAGACATGAGGTGAGTTCGACCTTGGGCTCCCTGCCGACCCTCGAAGTTTCGGTTGGAGGTACTGGCGCAGCGTTCTTTAGGCGACAGGATGTCAGGGTTCATGCCAAGACACATACTGCAGCCAGCCTCTCTCCACTCGAAACCGGCGTCAACGAAGACCTGGTCGATGCCCTCGGCCTCGGCCTGCGTCTTGACAAGACCAGAACCGGGGACCACCATGGCTCGCTTGATGTTGGAGGCAATCTTCTTGCCCTTGACAACGTGGGCTGCAGCCCGCATATCTTCGATTCTCGAATTGGTGCAGGAACCGATAAAGACCTTGTCAACGGCAATCTCCTCCATGGGAGTTCCGGCAGTCAGTCCCATGTACTCGAGCATTCTGCGACCAGCGGCCTTCTTGGTCTCGGTGGCGAAAGTCTCGGGGTCAGGGACCTTGCCGGTGATTGGGACGACATCCTCAGGGCTGGTACCCCAAGTGACGGTCGGGATGATGTCTTTGGCGTCGATGAAGACGTCGACATCGTACTTGGCGCCCTCGTCGGAAGCCAGAGACTTCCAGTAGGCAACAGCTCTGTCCCACTCATCGGAGCCATACTTGGGAGCCAAGGGACGGCCCTTGAGGTATTCAAAGGTATTCTCGTCAGGGGCTACCATACCGGCACGGGCACCACCCTCGATGGACATGTTGCAGATGGACATGCGGGCCTCCATGCTGAGGCCTCGGATAACGGAGCCACAGAACTCAATGACGGCGCCGGTGCCTCCAGCAGTGCCAATCTTGCCAATGACGTGCAGGACGATGTCCTTGGAGCTGACACCAGGGGCGAGCTCTCCGTCAACCTGGACGCGCATGTTCTTGCTGCGCTTGGTGATGAGGCATTGGGTAGCCAGAACATGCTCGACCTCGCTGGTGCCGATGCCAAAAGCCAGGGAGCCAAAGGCACCGTGTGTCGAGGTGTGGCTGTCACCGCAGACGACGGTGGTGCCGGGGAGAGTGAAGCCCTGCTCGGGGCCAATGACATGGACAATTCCCTGGCGCTTGTCGCCCAGGCCGAAATATGTCAGACCAAAGTCCTTGACGTTCTCCTCGAGAGTAACGCATTGTGTGCGCGAATCGTCTTCCTTGATAAAGGACGCGATGTCCTTGATGCCTTTTCGGGAGGTGGTGGGGACATTCTAGAAGAGGCACAGGCCCTCGTTAGCATCTGGTCGCATCTGGTCGCATCTGATCGCATCTCCACGATGGATGGCTTGGCAGGTGAGACGTACGTGATCGGTAGTGGCCAGGGTGCAGTCCGGTCTGCGGACTTGGCGGCCGGCATTTTTGAGGCCCTCAAAGGCTTGCTGGAGACAATATGTTAGCAAGGCGCGTTGCCAATCGACGATATTGAACAGGGCTTCAACATACCGGTGATGTCACTTCGTGGACCAAGTGTCTGTCTAATCATCCCCAACTCTGGTTAGTTCAAAGCCTCGCAAAACGCAATGGCAGCACGGCGCAACGAACCGATGTAGAGGAGGATTGTGCCGTCGAGCTTCTCGTCGACAATGTGGCTCGAGAACACCTTGTCGTAAAGGGTCTGCGGCGTTCCCACTGATACGGGCATTGTGTCGTGGTGTAGAAGGAATTGCAGATGGAATTGTAGAGAAGGAGAGGATCAAGGGTGATGGAGGGAAACAAGAGCGGCCGAAAGACGCTGTAAATGACGTTTTTCGCTGCACCAAAAGGAGGGGCACGGAAGCTCTGGAAAGCTGGAGGTGCTGAAGAGGATAAGCAGTGATGGAGCTTAATTGAAGCTGTAATTTTAGGCCCTTGGTTCACGCCTCAGCTCAATTGTGTAGAGTTCTTTCAAACAAAAAGAAGAAGGGAAGAAATAGTCTGGAGAAGCAAAGAACAGAGCGGGGAGAAGAACAACTGCAAATCTCGTCGCTTTATCTCCATCGACGAGGCTCGTCCAGAGCTCCCAAGTCCGATGTTGACCGGTGGCACGGCTCCGATGATCGGAGAGGCGCCGCATCGCCCCCAGCAAAAGGTGCCTTTCTGCCATTGCAAGCCGGATATGGAGCCTGGAAAAGACCCGGATGGAGCAGGCGATTGCTAAATGGCCGCCGCTGGTTGGCTGCCGCCGGGGGTTGCATGGATTTTCTCCAGAGAGGGGCTGTTGCCTCGATTAGCTGCTGATGCACGGGATGCCACGATTTGGGTGCAAAGGAAGCCGATCGAAGCGAGTGCAAGAATTCAACATTGTGATGCGGAGTGCTGGCAGCAGAGTAGCCTGAACAAGTTAGCGATTACATAGTACTAAGGTAAATACGTGTTGGCTCTTGGAATGCCCAGAATGTGAGTTGTGGTTGTCTTGATAGTGTTCACATGTGTAAGCGGCCGGAGTCGGGGGAGAATAAAAAAGTTGAGATGAAGACACGAAGGTAGTAAGTAGGAAAAAGGAAGCATTGGAATTGTACAAGAATCGAGTTGTATAGTAGGGACATGTAGTAGAAGCAGTAGAATAGTAGAATTATAGTAGCAGCAGTGGCAGAACACCAAGAGAAATGGACATGTACCCATCTACATCTACTCTTATCGCGAGCATCTGCGATATCGCCTCATTTACCCAAACGCCTTCAACACCTCTGGCTGAGTCATCAACATTGTATGCACAAACTCATCTGGCTGGCCGTCCTGCGCGTTTTGAATCATTCTCAGATAGTCTTTGCGTTTTAAATTCGCCATCTCGAAGGGCACATGGCGGTGATGAACCAGTAGTCTCGACTCATCAGCGGATTGCTTTTGACCTCAGCTGGCAATGATTGATAGTCACCAGGAATGACTTTCCTCCCAAACCGTATTTGTAGGTTAGCTCCCTTGACAATCAAGGCTGCTGCCAGTCAAAAGGCCTGATTTCATCTTTGAATAAGTAATGGAAGAAGATAACAAAAAAAAAAGCCCAATAATAAGTTTCTTCAAGTATTTCCATATAACTTAAATATTGGACTTTTGTTGTTGTTTTCTTCCATTATTTATTCAAAGACGAAGTCAGGTCTTTCAACTGGTGGCAGTCTTATTCAATACCCCTTGAACCTTTCTAGGCGCACGAGGCCCTTTGCTTCTGCTTGCACCAAGCCGAGTTTGGCAGCTATTGCCGTTTCTTTGAGATTGCCTTGGCCCTTGGGCCATCTCTATCAACTATCATAGTTGGGTTCTCTATTGCGAGGTTGCCTTGCTGTATTTGTTAGCTTCTTCATAGAACTCAACTCAGCTACCAAGCACGATTCAACGCACAAGATTAAGAAAAGCTGTGAAGCATGATCTAACGCATAAGACTAAAAATTAAAATACTTCAACATAGGTCTGGGCCAGGGATACTTTCTAGAGCCCTTCTTAGTAGACTTGTGCGTTGGATCGTGACTGATAGCTGAGTTGAGTTCCATGAAGAAGGATTTCCTCCATTTTCCAAAGGATCATCAAGGGCTTTTTATGCCTGCAAGCTGGCTTCCGTATAGGTGGCCTCTTCATATCGGCGAGGAACTTTATCTTCGGCGTGGAAACCTTATCTTGAACTTTATTACGCGGTCTAGATGATCTGGCGTTGTTAGACCCAAAAAGAAAAAAGACCATACAGACACTCTCTAAGAAAAGAAAAGAACAGCTACCTATATATATACTTGAGGGAGAAAAACAAAACCTGATTGTGTTCTGCAAGACCTGAACTCGCAGCCTCTTGCCCTCGGGTGTTACGATTTCTCGAGCTTCGGCAATGAGGAGAAGATTTTCATTGCGTGAAGCGAGGGTATAGCCCATTATATACTGCTACTGGCTTCTAGTGGATATATCATATGTTGAGCCCCGACGCTTTTTCGTGGTATTACTTACATGTACCTGCTGCTGGCACTTGGGCACCTAGTAGCATTTGAGCATACGGACTCAAGAGTATAGAAGGCACCTCAGACGTCGCTGGGTGACAGCTCTTGGCTAGTACTTGCTATTAGGGGCCTAGACAGCATATCCGATTGTTTCACTATAGACTTTGTAAGCAACATTGCATGAAACATCATTCGCTCCGGGCCTCCTGTCTCTTTTTCTCTGGCGAGAAGAGTCCAAGGAAGGAGATTTGGAGGCGACTCGGCGAGTCTGATTACATATACTATTCATTTCATATGGGATGACATTGAAGAAAGCAAAACTTGGCAGCCCGAATAGTAGTGTGTTTGTATACACAAAGAGCTCGCTGCCGGCGCTTCCTAGCTGTAAGCTCAAATTGGAGGCCAGCTGCCTTTGAGTTTGATGATGGCAAAGGCACACCAACCTTTTACTTGGATGGGCCATCGCACTCCATATTTCTACCAAGTGATTTAGTATCTGCGATGCTGCTATTTACTTACATCAGCCCACCAATACGGGGCAGCGAACAGAGTCTGGAAACACTTTATATCAATACACAAGACTAGCGTATTCACCTCCAATCCCCGGTGGAAGCCGCATGATATGTAGAATATTCTTCAAGATTATCACCCTCAGTAGACTTCTTCATTTGTATTGTCATCTTATGCCGACTCCAATGCGCATTCTCGACATACTCCATTTCGTAGCTCTATGCTCTGTAACTGCCTACTTCTGAATAAGCACCCATGGTTGTACTTTCATCTTCTATCTAAAGAAGTGACGGAATATGCACCTCTCTTGCTGTCAGAGACCAAACGAAACTCTATTGCTCATTGTAGCTTTCCGTGTTGACATATTGTTGACATGATGTTGTCAGGAACGAGCAACTCGGGTTAACATATATCTTCTTCAATTTCCCCCTCCCTTTCTTCCATCGTCATCTCTGATCAGGAATCTCACCAGGCTATCCTCATATATATTTTCTGCGCTCTTTCAGTGCTCCCTCTTCCGGCACAGAGTCCTGTTTCCCCCACGCTCAAACGTTCTTCTATCATCTAGTTCTGCCGGCCATTGTCTCCACCAATACTGCTGAGCCCTCCTCCTACTTTTTGAGAATGTCCCAGTCTCAGACCTGTTCAGGTGTTTTCATCATTGACGGGGACAGTCAAATCCAAAGTGAGGACCCCTGGTGATGATTTTGTGTACGAATCTGAGCTTCGGCAATGAAGACATGAAGGTTCTGAAGGGAGATCAAGCCCACCAGCCTTTGGTTGACCCTTTTTAGTTTCTAGGAAATGTCTCCAGTCTCAGGCCTGTTCAGGCGCCTTCATCATTGACAGAGACAATCCTAGGTGAGGACCCCTAGGGATGATTTTGTGTGTACAACTCTGAGCTTCGGCAATGAAGACAGTCGGTTTCTGAAGGGACATTGAGCCCACCCCTTTTAGATTTTCAGGGAAAATCCCGGCCTCAGACCTATTCAGGTGTTTCCATCATTGGCCTCCAACAACACGGAACTGGGGCAACGGACGCTGCGTATTTGTTCGAAATCGCGCAGGCTTTGCGTGTTAGGGAAGCGCGACGTTCTGAATTCTATCTGTGTATTATTTGGTGTTTGTCGAAATGTGGAAGATTGGGGGAGACGACGGATATTTGGATGCGTTTCTAGGAAGATGATTGTAGAGCACCTAGATAAGTAGACAGTAGGAAATGTAACACGATCTTGGAGTTTACTCGCCATTTTGATCTTGGACATGCACCTACCTAGGTAGTGGTTGAATGGAAGACGCAGCAAGCATCTTGCCCACTTGAGCAAGATGAGAAGAGGAAGTGGAAGAAAGGATGTATGGCGAGGGATTTTTGAGCGAAATTGTGATGATGCCTGGTGCCTTTTATGTGAAAGAGGCGGAGGCTTGATCCGCAGTGGATATCTCGTGTAAAACTTTATACAGGTACTTTCGTTTTGGTATTTGCCTCTTGTAGACTTGAAAGACGCTGACTTGAATTGAACGGTTATCATTATTGATCTCGATGTTTATCGTAGGTCACGGGATCCTCTCCCTGGGCATGCATGTCATTGGTAAAATCGCCATGAGGCTCTCGACCTCGTATAAGCTGCATCACCCAAGACTACCTATTTATAGCAAATGTGTTGGCTGTTGGATTTCATGTCTCAATCGTGCTCTCTTCGCACAGCCTCGTCATTGGCTTTTCGTGCGAACCTGACACAAATCCTTCAATTACGCGCCAGGGTCCAGCCGCATAGCCGGAACGCCTTTTGCGACGACGAGGCTGCACAGAATGGGCTCGTTACAAATCCGCCTCGCTACTTTGCAGTCTATCCTAGTGGAAGCCTTTCCTGAACCTCTTCTCTCCCACAAACAAATATTTCATAATGCAACGGAATGTTTTGGCTTCGATTTCAACGGCCTTCCAGGGGTACGCCAGACGGTGATGTGATGAGCGTGATATACGACCGTGATCCGTGCGGACTGGAAGTGCGAATACCGGAAGACGGGCTGGAAGTATGGGCTCCTGACGTGGGAGGACTGGAGGTCTCAACTCCCGTACAGGTTGAACAGGCGCTGGAAGCATTTCGCGGCTGCGACGATTTGGAGGCTGTAGATCCCGGCGCAAATGCCTTTGTTAGGGTCAATACCGACAGCTTCATCGAGAAACATGAACAAACTCCACCGGATAACAAGTCGAGAAAGAAGCAATGGCTCATCTTCGTTCTAGCAGGCGTCGCTCTGCTGTTTGTCATCGTGGCAGCCGTGCTTGGCATCGTCCTTGGGTTGCGACTCAACAACAACAACATCAAGACTCCTTCAGAAACACCACAGGCCTCCGCTACACCTCCAGCTACGTCTTCGAAACCGGCCAATGCCGTCTACGCAACCTCAGGCATCGGTGTCACCGGCTGGTGGACAGGCCCGTCAAGCTTCACCATCCGCCTCGTATACCAAGGATCAGACGGCTACCTGCGTCTGATGCGATACCATTCCGGCGATGGCAACTGGTCCACGCTGGCCACATTCTCGGATACAAACGCCAAACTCGGCAGCCCAATAGCAGCATCGAGCTACAACATCCCCTACTATTGCTTCACTCCGATAACAAGCAGTGATGTGAGAGAGCCCCCATCATTTTGCACTTTGCCATGTGTGCTCAACTAACACAACTGGGCCGGAGAGCTCAAATCGTTTTAGAACTTCACACAAGTCGAAATCTTCTATCTCAACAACGAAAACATGCTCCAAGAGTGGAACTTTCGAGAACAAGACTCCGCCTCCCCCTCAGCGCAAACCTTTTCCGGCAGCGGCCCCATGTCCCCCAACGGGTGGAAAGCGTCGCCAAACACACGCCTCGCGGCATACTGGCCCAGCGTCATCTTCCAAGACGCGAACAACCAGATCCAAGAAGCGTACGACGCCAATCTCACCTGGGCGCGGAGCGCAAAGGGCCTCAAGAGCCGCAACGGCTCGGCTTTGGCAGAGGTGCCTTTTTCCGTCAACGAGGGGAGGTTCGGAGGCGACAAGATTCTCTATCAGCGGGATGACCAGAAGCTCATTCTCGAGGGGAGAACCAACCTGACCAATAAGTTGAGCGTCGGTGAGTCCTTGTTCTATCAAATCTATTCCAAATTAAAAAAAAAAAAAAAAGCACTCGCACTCTTAGCTAAACATCGTTGATAGGTGCACCGCCCATCGCCATTCCACCCAACAGCGCCATGGGGGCCTTTACCGTCCCACGATATTCCAACTCATCCGATGGCGCCATGAACACCTACATACTCTGGCAAAACAGCTCAGATGCTCTGCTTATGACTTGGGAGGATGACGACGCCGGGTGGAGGACTTCATCGACGCCTACTTTTCTCGGCAGGCCCGATAACGGCACGGGCATATCTTGCCTCACCGCAACGCTCTGGACGGTCGCTTCTTTGCCATCCGACTACAGCACGGCTCGCTGTTATTACTTGGTAGATGGGCAGATACGAGAGGTGCAATATGATGGTTCAAATTGGGTCGTGATTGGAAATGTGCGGTTGGATTGATTGCTTCAGTGTTATTTTTAATATGCATAGCGACGTATAGAGAGCTGATAGAAGTGGATGCGAAGAATGTTGTTTATTTAGAAAACTGTTGGACTGTGACGCAAGTCAAGTCTATGGAATATCAATACTAGTACTACCTCTATAGCTTATGACATAAACACACAACGCTCGCGATCCTGTTGATAACCTCTCTCTCTTAATAACTCAACAGCAGTTGGACTCATCCAATCAACTTCATCCATGCGTCAATCAACTCACAACCATCTCTAAATCCAAATCGCCGCTCCATCATCCGCATAGTCCAAGAGCCACGCCATCAGCCTCACAAGCTTCATACCTTGCACGATAACCACAAAGCCTACCGTCATCATTGGTGCCGCAAGCACAATCAACAGGCAGGCCTTCCACAAAGGCATTGGCCCGTCGTGCTCGACTTGCAATGTTCGAGGATCGAGCATGGGCCAGACGGTTGACCAGTAGAGCTTGGCTAGAGTTTTCAGGCAGTACAGGAAAAGCTGCAGCCCAGCAGACTCTCTTTGGTTTTGGCGCCGATACTCCTTCCATTCCGTAAAAATCTTCCACTCGCCACAGTCCTCTTCCAGCGGTAGCTTTGGATCGAGACGAGTGCCTTGGAGATGTTCCCAGTCATCTGAAAGACTTGCGATGTCGTCGCTGCCTTCTTCCTCTGGATGAACCCAAGGGTTCTCTTCCACCATCTGTGTTTGATGTTCTGTTGGGCTTGATGCTTTGTTGGGGTTTGGTTCTTGTGTCGTCTGATTGATGTTCGATAGCTTCCATTGGTTCGTAGTTATTGATATTTGGTCCTGTATAAATGTTGACCTGGGCAACGAGCTGTCCTCCGGCGCCGGCATGATGGCTTCTGACAGCAATAGACGCCTGCCTCGCAAGTGCGCCCTGTCCTCTTCCATTTTGTGAGCCTCCTGCTTCATGGATGTAGTGTCTGCTAGTAGTTCTACCAGCAGCTCGTCCCCTTCCACTGAGCTTTGACTCTGCGCGGAATTCGTGGATAGGTCTGTGTGGGATCTGTCCGAGTTGCTCCTCGATAAGCCTATGGTTGGCGAGCTGCAGTTCAATTCGCCCGGTCGGACTACCACGTGTGAGAGAAGATGTTCCAGCTGGTCTATCTGATACAGCTCTTTCTGGTGAGAGGCCGAGGGAGATGTTTGGTGGTCGCAACCAGTAGTGGTGGTGATGGGTATGCAAACAGGTTCTTTGATCTCGTCGACTTTGTCCGTGATTTCGCACAAGTTGCGACTGGCTGGCTTCTGTTCTGCCCTGGCGTGGTGTAGACGGTGGGATTGATTGTTTAACACTGCTACCTGGTCTCGTAATTTCTGCATGCCCCGTTTTATCTCCTCTGAAGTGAGCGGTGAATGAGGGCTGGGTGAACTCGCGGGACATTTTGTGGTGACTGATTTCTCCTGCGGCAAGCCGCTCACTTCGCCCAGGCTCTTTACGGCGTTGCATACCATGGTTTGGACGTTGTTCAGATTGAAATGACCCTTTGGCCGTCTTCTCTTGGCTCTTGTCGGACTGTCTCTATACCGCAGACGAGAGATGGCCCCCAACGGGCTTTCTTCGAACAGGCTCAGAGGGATTGGTTCTCGAAGTGGCGTCAGCGAAAGATCCAAATTGGACAGACTGGCGCCTCTCATCCCTTTGAGGCCAATCTTGTGCTTGAATTTCTGGTGAAAAGCTGGGATCGACTGGGTAAGCTGGTATGCCGAGAGGGCCATCATGCTTGCTCCCGTGTAGGGCTCGCCCATGTCCCTCTCGGCTACCATGTCTAAAAAAGGCGCCTTCATGGATTGACTCATGGCGTTGGAGCTTTCCTGAGAATTAGAATCGTCAAAGTCCAAGCCCCCCTTGTGCAGATCCTATGATGCGAGAGACGGGTTGGCAAGGCTTTGTCGACGAGGGGTTTTGATGACCGTAGAATTGGACGAGGTACGAGTTAGAGGGTTTGGGACTTCAACTGGCGAAGAGACTTTGATGAGGCTGATGGGCTCATTCACGAAAGTAAGAGTGTCGGTTGGAGGGCTGAGATCAGGCAGTGCTTCTTCGAGAGACAGATGCTGGACTGATTGTTGGAGGCCTAGGGCATGTGAGGGTCTTCCTAGTAACCAAGCAGTGTCAGAAGTAGTTTTTGGTGTAACCAGAGATGCAATACACCAGATGATACCACGAGAAGAACTTACGAGAATTTGGCGATGCGCTGATGGGGCTCAAATCAGGTTCCTGCAGCGACGACCACTCGCCCACACGTCTTTTCCATCTAACGGCCTTGCCCAAGCCTCTCGCCCTCTTCTTCTCTTTCTGCGGCCCGAAGGAAAGCTTGGTGTCGTTGCCTTCGATGTGCTTTCCTTTGCTCGGAGAGGCTCTCGTTCTATGATGCCTGCTATTTTTCCACTTGTCTCGCAGAGTATTCATAACGCTGTGTACAGTCTCTTGGTGGCTTCTCGTACTCAGGGGGCTGCTGTCATCGGTAGGAGACATGACATCCAGCTCTCCAGTATGAGGGTTGACGCCCTGCACACCCAGGAAGTCGCCACTATCCCTCAGGCTCTGACGCTGGCGCCGCCGGGCCTTTCTCGCTCTGAGTGCATCGCGCCTCTGAAGTTGTTTCTTGTGTGTCGCAGTCTCAGAATCCATGCTTGGACCGCCAGTCTCGGCTGTTTTGATGTTCCCCGTCAGGTTACTGTTGTTTCCATTCCAGTCATCGCTCGGCAACGCGCCCGGTTTCGTCACAGATATTTGATCATCAGAGCCTTTTAGCGGACTCCAGCTCCAGCTCCAGTTCTTTTGCTTGGCAGTTGGGGGCAAAGAAGATGCTGGCTTTGTCGATGCAGCGCGCTGCTCCCGCGGCAATTCACTTGGCTGCTCTTTCGGGATATCCTTTGGCACATTCCAGCGGGCTATATGGCTCGAATCCACCGATACGTCACCGATGCTGTACTGGCTGTCCGTCATGCGACGTCGTGGCCGGACTTTTCCTTCAACTTCCATCTGCTCCCAATAGCCCTGCTCCCTGCTCGTCCCGCCGCGTTCTGGGCGCCGACTAGGAAGCATTATTTTCCTCATCCATCCTGCTGGAGAGGCAGAAGAGGCAGGTTGCGGGCTCTCCGTCTGCGTCCTCCTGAGGGGCTGATTCTTCTTGGGCAGTGCGAGAGATGTTGTCTGCCGGGGAGCCACGTCTGAAACTTGGGGAGGCAGAAAATATGACATTTCAACGAGATAGAAAGTGAGTGTAGCTAGTATAGTTAAAGAAACGAAGGGAGCCAGACCTCTCTGAATCCAAGGGCTGAGGATACGTCGACGTGAGAATGCTGCGAGAGTCTCATCGTTCCTCGGCCAGGGCTGAAGAAGGACGAGAGTGGTAAATATGTAACGCGAAAGCGTCATAATGTGTGGTCTGAGTCTTTGTTTGGGCGAATCGAAGCGTCTTTAAAGTAGTTCCAAGGCAAATGGCGAGGGGCTGATGGCCAGCTGCCCGGGCAAGAAGACGGATTAACAACATTGCCACTCGTGCTTGCACCCTGTACAGCACCCAGGCAAGGAACAACCAACTGACATCATGACCCGAACTCAACTTTTTGCTGTATTTGATGTTTGTTAACTCTTAATTAACACTGAGCAGCTTCCACTTTGAATTCCAAAAGAAAAAGAACAAAGAACATTCATATCACATAGAAGCTACTCACTCAGCCAGATTCCAAACCGCATTGTTCATATACACATATCTCCATTAGCCGCCATAGAAAAAAAAACACTGATACAGACAAAACACAATCCCAACGCCGACCATGCTATGCAATACTGAATCCAAGCACGTAAATCACAACCACTCAGTTCGCAAATAGTAATACATTGGGTTGCACAAAGAGCAGCACCAGAGCAAATCACCATCTAATGGATCTGTCTTGCTGTGCTCTGCTTCTGGAAGCTCCTGAATATGGGGTGGACGCGCTTCTGCCCTGCTGCTCCAGTGCTGCCATCTCTCGTGAGTTTCGAGGCGACGCTGGCTCGTTAAAAGCGCCTCGGTCCATAACTTTCTTCAGAGGCGACTTGTTATGGCTGTATACTCCCATGTTGCCTCCATAATTGGCAGTGTTTGCAGATGTAGCCGAGAGCGGCATAGGTGACGGCGCTGTGCCAGCGGCTTGGTCGGCCATCATGTATTGTCTAAACGTCGAGCGAGGTTGATCTCCATTGGTAGGAGTGACTTCTGAGTGCCTTGGGGCGATGGGGTCCATCATCTGGCTGTGGCCAGAGGACAAGCCGTTACCGTGCCCAGCTTGAGAGGTACCCCGTGTCACATAAGATTTTCTGATGAGTGTTGTCGGCGTGCCGACTTGCACAAATCCACGGCCCTTGGGAGAGTGCTCCGCTGCAACCTGAGTTCCGACGTCTCTGACGACGGGATTTAGCCGAGGATGGACAAACTTTGTGTTGTACTCGTTCATGACCTCCTTCTGGATAATGGCGTTGTCCTTGGCTTGCTGCGCGAATCGCGAAGAGAGGAAAAGCATCTGTCCGGAGAGAACCATTTGCATCACGACGGCGTTGAATACAGTCACACTCGGCTGAGGATCCAAAGGCGCCAACGGGAGGGCGAGGAGATAGGCCAGCACGTGTCCCGGGCTGAACAAGCAAACAAGTCGTAGAGAAATAGGCAGAGGATCCCAGACGGCGAGTTCCCACACATCTCGTTTCTTATCCGGATGCGATCGCGATTCAGCCGAGCCCGGTGCAATCTTGTCGGCAAAGTATCGAAGCGGTGAGACAGACGTCACGGGAGACGACTGCACCTGGACCCGTCGCGCAGAGGGCGTGGAGAGAGGCTCTTCGATGTTGGCCTGGAACATTCGGTATCTTCGCGTTCGCGTGTAGGTGTAAGCCGCGTTGATGCAAGAGAAGAGCGCGAGGCCCCAGACGATGAGATAGGCCTTGGTCGAGGCGGTTAGTTTCAGAGCGCGCGCGACAGGTTGCGAATGCCGTCAAGTGGCAGAAACACTCACCACATATGAAAACCATCCTGTCTTGGTCTCGTCACCAAAGATGTCGTTGTCCGACGACGAAGACGTCGCTCCAGCGTTTGCCCGCGCCAGCAAAAAGACAAGATTCATGGCCAAGCCCAGCTGCGTGCCCACCAGCTTCGAGTCCCAGTCCCTCGTCTCCAGCTCTTCCGACAGCCAGAGAAGGAAGTCCATGGGGTTCAGATTCGACGTGATGCGCTCCCAGAGCGGCCTCCGCCGCACGAGTCTCGGCATCTTGTACGCTGGGGGCAATTGAAGAAGGAGTCGCACACTGAGTAGATGGTAGGCGACGAAGATTGCTCGTGCCGCAGAAAAAAGACAAAAGCCACTGATCAGTTGGTGGTTGAAAGCCAAAAAGTAAGAAAAAAAGCAGTGTCGGACTGGCAGCGAATTGTTTACTTTGGAGGAGCTTCCACTGCAGGCAAATTTCCAGCTGTAGTCTAGCGCGCAAGTCCAGCGAGGGGTGGCCCCAGTGACATCTGTAGAGGTACGTGGCCGCCAAGTCATTGCTCTCACTAACTGGCCGCTGGGGACAACAGACTCCTCTGGGATATCTATTGAGAGTTGGTGTTACAAAATTTGTACATATGGCTCTCATAACATTGTGAGTGATTAATAAATTTGCATGAATTATTTTAAGACATTTAAGAGATCAGCTGCTCTTTGTACGCTGTCCCAATAACACAACAGCGCCTCTGTCGGCACTACTTGTGCCTCCGGCAATACCTCCTCCAAAAGTACAGCCGCATCGCTCAGCCGCTTGTGCGCGGGGCCACAGGCGATGGCCTGAAGGCAGCTAAACTGGAAGCTTCGCATCATCCACCAATCTCCATCTTACATCAAAACCCAGCAACGCCCATTGTCTGCCGTCACGATGTCATCGCAGGCCGACTTCAAGGACCGGCAGTTCCTTGCCGTAATCGGCGATGAGGCAAGTCATCCACCCGGGAACGAACCGCACGCCCAGCCCCCCAAGATGGGAGGAATTCGCATTCGTTCTAACACGGGCATATACGTCTAGGACTCTGTAACGGGCCTCTTGCTCGCAGGCATCGGTGTAAGTAAGGCCTAGCAGGCGGAACAAGACTGTAGTTCTGTCGCTCCCTCGAAATCATGGCAAAAACGCCACCACCGAAAGAAATATCCAGCTTGTCTTACGCCTTGTGCATAGCATATCACGACTGGCGCCGAAGCGCAAAAGAACTTTCTCGTCGTCGACAGCAAGACTGAAACTGCAGCCATCGAATCTGCGTTTGAGAGCTTTACAACCCGGAAAGACATTGGAATCGTCTTGATCAACCAGCATGTCAGTTGCTTTTGGGACAGGCAGCCCTCCTCCCCGTACGATGTACATACTGACGACTTGAGGTATAGATTGCCGATAGAATACGACACCGAGTCGATACCTACACCGCTGCCTTTCCTACGGTCCTCGAAATTCCAAGCAAAGATCACCCTTACGACCCAGAGAAGGACAGTGTGTTGAGACGAGTGCGTCGTCTGTTTGGAGAGTAAATATTTCAGGTTGCATGCAGAGTTATTCCATCTGGGAGAGGAAGAGATATTTATGAAATGCTGCGGTCTTCTATGGGTTTCCACGCTACAAGGCGAGTACATAATAGCATAATTGTCAAGAGTAAAGGTGTATACTTGGTTTATTAGAGATATTACGAATGCATTCTCTAGTAGCAGCAAGAGCGCTACAGCCATGTGCCTATGAACCTGATCGAATATCACCCCGAGAGTAAAGCAAACTCGCCCAGAGCAGGGGAAAGACAAAGACAACCTTAAACAATGCCATAAAAAATCACACAACAATCAAACAAAGGTCCGGATTATGCTCATCATCGCCAATTCGTCCCCAATCAGTCGCTTAACAGCGAGCAGAAATTACAATTCCTCTGAATCTTCGGACGAAGACAGGCCTGGTCGGGGGAAGTTGACGGTAGCCTTGAGGCAGGTGATTGGCTCGTCGTCAGCAGAGTAAACATCAGCGAGGACACTGTAGGTTCCCTGTTCAATAATGTAAGCACGTGTCCATCCATTCAACGTTGAGATGGGCGTCTATTCATACCGGAGGGATGGCGGAAGGCAAATCAACGCTCTTGGTGAGTGTCATGTTGCCAGGCTCGAGAGGGCAAGAAAGATCGACATTGCCGAGCTGTTCACACAGGTCTGCAGTGGTAGACAGCAGTTGAATAAGGCCGTACTTGACAACCAATTTGACGTAGGCGCCTGATGCGATAGTCTCCTTGACCTCGCCCGAGGCTGTGATGAGGAGAGGCTTGCCACTACAATCAAGAGCCATTAGCAGACACACTTGGATTAGACATTTGTTGGGGAGACTCTTACGCCTTGGGAGGATTGGGAGCCAGGTCGACTTTCTTGATGTCGATGAGGTTGCCGTCACGGCTGGCGCTGCAGAACTCGATGGGGTTCTCTCCAGGCACCTTGAGATTGCTGTCGAATGCGTAGGCGGAATCGCCCCAGATGGCGAGGGCCGTCGCCGGAGCGGCGAGGCAGGCAGACAAACAAGCGACGGCGGTGGAGAAACGCATCGTAAACAGTGATGGATAAGACGGTGGGATGGAATGGAGGAGAGCGCAGGAAGAATGGAAGGAAAAGATGCGGCTGTTCTATAATCAAGCAGAGAGGCGACAGCAGGCTGAGACAATATTAGTAGAGGCGTTAGAAGCAGACAGTAATAAAGGGCAAAGGTGAGGCTTGCGCTGCTGCCGCCGGATGGAGCACCATGTACAGTGACGACTTGCAACGGCGAATCACGAATGTCACGGGACGCCTTAGCCGTGCTACGCCTCTGCGGTGGTTGGTGCGTCATGAGACCTATCCGGGGCTGCCATTGGCCCGACTCTGAGAAAAGCCCCACTTGCCATGGTCAAAGATAACGCTGGGGTAGCGCTGATTCTCCTTGCATGCGCTCTGCCCGGTGCAGGTACCGGTACAAGAAGGAGCCTAGGATGGAGGAGCCCGTTTGCTTGCAACAAAGAGCGAGTGTGGCGCCGCGCTATTGCCAAAGTCGCGGCTGCTCGTACTCGTACAAGCATGGCGATGATTCAATCGCAGCCTCTCCAGGCACTTGGCGTCTGCCTTTCTTGTCGTACACAATATATAAGCGAAATAAACGATTACTCGGGGTTTTCTATGCCTTCTCTTCCATCTTTGAAGAGATGCGACTGCGTTCTTTGTTTCTCTCCTTCACCGTGTCTTTACCGCTCTTTGACTTGCTTTTCCGCCCCCTTCGCTTCTCTGCATGAGGGCGTTTGGCAAGCGAGGACGCGCGCCTGCACTGGCTGATCTTGGCTTCTACCAACTTTTTTTTTCCTTTCAGGCGTGTATTCCTCAGGCATTAACATTCTAGGCAGCCAAGGCGGTGGGGCGAGTGGCGCACGGACCAGACGCCGTTCTATAAAGGCAGCGCCAGACAGCCCGTGTTTTCAGATTTCCTTTTCCTCTTTTCCTTTTCTTCATACTTACCTTGTTTCAGTGCTCCGAGATCAAGCATTCGGAGTACTAGTGTAGGAGGCCTGCATTGCACATCGCGGAGTCATCCTGTGCTCAATTGTCCTTCGGGGCCATTGGAGGCGGAATTTTTGATCTATTTACCTTGTGCTTTCATTGTGGGCGCAGGCTTGGACTGTGGCACGAAGAAGGCTTTGGATGGGACCTGTAGGCTCAGTGTTGGGATCAAGTGGCACTAGGGGGCGAGGCTAAGAAGAGTGGCACAGGCGCAATTGGGTAGAGCACTAAGGTGTGATTTTCGAGTATGGAGTCTTGGAGTTTCTGTCGCATTGTAGGAATGGTATTGTGCGACTCGTGGGAAGATTCGTGAGAAACATGTGGGGGGGTCAATTTCATTGTAAAGAATTTGTTGGGTTGATACGGCCGCTTTCCACTGTCCTGGCTACCTGTAATCTTGTAATTTACGGCTGCAGCGATACTCTTGATGGCCATCGTTTGTAACCCCCCCGTAGCGCGGCGCGTCATCACAAAATTGTTGAACCTGGCAGCCCAAAATAACCAACAATAACAAATGATAAACAACAAAAGTCAGTTTTCGGGACAAAACAAAAACACGCCCACGAGAGCATGCTAAGGTTTAGCTGGCAGCTAAGGTTTTATCCCACTTATCAAACGGATTCGCGCTGACAGCCTCATTGGCCACAGGCAGCTTCCGACCCCCCCAGTTCATAAATGAAGCCACGCGATTCGCGCGCCGGCGCAGAGCACAGGTCCGCTTCTGCGCTCGGCTTTTGAGCGACTGGCCAATCAGGGCCCGGTGATGGATGGGCTAAAAAGTTGCCCTGGGATGATGTCGCGGCGCAAGGCTTGACTGTGTGTCGAGAGACGAGACAGCGGGTGGCAGTTTTGCAGAGGGAATCCCTGCTGTGGTAGCTGCAGCAGGCATAGCCCCCGCTTGGGGCTGGGGATGAAGAGCCTTGGATTGCGTCTTGTTCAGTCTGTTCTTTTTTAGGGAATGGATTCCTTACTGCCAGATACCTACTCTGCTGATGTTGGATGCTGTGATGAGAGACTCCAACACTGCTGCTACCTGGCAGCCCAGTATGAACACGAGCACCCAAGAGGGCAGTGGTCTGGCGCTACTAATTGGTAGACTTTGCTCCGAAAGTGAGGGAGACTCGACTCCTTGACCCGTCCATTCTAATCTCTAGAGTGCTAGGGAGAGCTGCAGCGAATAGGGGCCCGCTGAGACATCGCCCAGGACCTTGATGCTGGTTCGGGATCCGGAGCGGGCAGCCCTACCAAAGTCGAGGTTTATCCGTAGTCCATGCGCTCGCCCGCTGCAAGACTCGAGGCAGTCTTCTTCGTAAAAGGAAAACATGGAAAATACATCCAAATAGAGTAATGCTGCACCGCACTGAGCAGCTCAATCTGCTGGCGCGCCCATATCCCGTTCCCCGTTCCGCTCATCTTTAATTAATCAATTTGCAAAACCCAACCATCCCAGTCGGATTATATCAAAGGCACTAACTGGGTAGGTAGCGGGCAATGGCTAAATCCGCACCCGTCTGCTCCCTACAATCAGCTGTAACCACATTATCCGCACCGCTTGCATCACTCACCCCCCGCTTGTGAAGCGCACGCCAGAAGTTTCAGAACGTGAGTCAACGCTGCAGCACCATCTGTGGCGCCGACTAGAGTCTGGCCAGCACGGTCTTCTGGTGCCTGGATACAGTGAGTGGGCGCTAAGACCGCCCCCAAGGCAAGAATGGATACTCCTAAAAGCCTATTACTTGCGAGGCGGAACTCAGTTTAAACTCACTACGGATTCATCCATCAAAGAGAGAGAAAAGGTAAACAAGTCGCAGTTTGGCAAACAAACGAAACAACCTCCCGTCCTACATGCTCTCTCTGCCTTGATATCATTTTCATAACCCTGCGACGTCTCGTTTTCCAGCATGTGGTTGACTGCTGCCTTGCCAGCCTCGGGCACAACGGCCTCTGCCTCTGCCTCTGCCAGCAGTCTCAGCATCAGGCTGCCTCTTTCGAATGGCGGCGGCTGAATCCATCCTGCTTCCGCGGCCACCTTTCGCATCGACAATGCTTCAAGCATCCGGCACCATCGCCATCATTATCAGCGTCACCACAGACGGTCCTTGCATCTCGCTCAAAATGCCCGCCACCAGCCAGCCGTGAGTTGCACTTTTTTCTCTCTCCCAAGTTTGGAGCTCGCATCACCATCCGCTCGCCTTGTCTCGCCTCAGCAGAGCATGGAGTGATGTGTGGTATTGGCCAAGGCCCCCAAACCCCCTTTGGGATCTCACGCCGATTAACCTCGTACAGCGCACGCATACGCAGATACTACACGCATCGTCCGGATTGCACGTACCGCCGATGCTGGTGCTGATGCGACCGCTACTCTATTTCCCTTTGTATCCATCCATATCCATCCATATCCATCGATAGCGATACCGTTCCATGGCAAACGCTCGCATGCATTGCATCAGCTACCCACATCCACCTGCTTTACCCACCCGCAAACCGGCCTGCATCTGCACGCGCATACGACAAACTACCTAGACATGCCTGCACACTCTTCTTCTCTCTCGCACTCTCGCCCTCGCTCTCTTTGCATGTGCTGCCCCTTCCCCTCTCTTTCGCATCCGTCGTCAGCTGCCATCCGCCGCCGTTCGTCTGCCCCCCTCGGCCCTCTCCTGCTCGCCTGCATCGCATCGCATCAAATCCTCCGCACAGCAAACCGAAGAGCCTCGCCCGCCCGTTGGCCACCGGCCATGACGATGCGCGCACAGCAACACGGCCGTCGCCTCAGGCACCGACGGCGCTGCGAGCGGCGCAGACGCTGCTAGCTGCCCGACACCTTGCCCGACCTGGCGCTGCAATTCGGGACAGGCCACCACTACATTCGCACCCCCCGTCGCGCGCTGCTGTTTCGCCTTTGCTCCCTTTCGGCGCCCACCAGCACCGCAGCCCATACGAGCATCGGCACAGGTACCGGCCGGGTACTCGTACACCCACGGCCCCAGTGCATGGATGGGCCTCGGACGCACACTAAAGGTCGCTATCCCACCGCCCATTCGCCGTTGGGCCTAGCGCCGCTGGCCGCTGTCGCCTGCTGAGATGATGCGTGCCGCCCTCAGCAAAGACGCAGCACAGCGCACGCACAGCACGGCGAGCGCACTAACACCAGCGTCCTAGTGCCGGACTGGAGCCCCCTCAGAGCGTCCAGAGCACTTGGCCGCTGGCCCCGGAATCCTCGACGCCGGATTGGCCTGCGCCGCTGCGGCTGGGCTGGGCTTGGACGCTGGCGACGCTGCATGATTGGACACCCTGGCCGGTACGTACTGCCAAAGGGTGCCGCCGCACTCGTCGCTCGCGCTGCAAGCAAAGACACCCGCTCAGGTTCTGTCGCTCCTCCCCATCCTCCTCTCCTCCTCCATCCCCGTTGCCGGTGCCAGCTCTCAACGATTTGCCCTCGCCGTCCGATCAATCCCAAGGCCTGCCTGGTCCGCCGCCGCCGCCCTCTGCGCCCTCTGCCGTTGCTGCTCTCCTTTTCTTTGCCGTCGCTGCCTTTTTCCCCCCGTTCATCCCACTCTTCGCTCGTCCGCCGGCCTGCTCACGACGCCCTCCGCCAGCAATCCAGTCGCCTCCCGTCCGCTCGTGTTCGAATTTTCTCCACGGCCGAGCCCAGAAACATCCCACGCCCTTCAGTGTCCGGCCGTTACCCTCGACGCGTATGAAAACCACCCACCGCCGTGCTCGTGAATCTCGCCTTCTCTTCAATCCCGTCCTCGCCTTTTTCTCCCACTAACGCCTCGACGCCCAGACCTCTGCCTCCTCGAGCCAATCCTCACGCCACGAGCCTCAGACTGCACAGACGCCGCCTGCCGCCTGCCCAGGCCTCGACTGCGATATCCCTCCCGCACCGGCGTATGACGCGGCCGGTCGCGATCTCCAGCCGCTCTACGCTCCAACCGTCCCGTTTGGCGCGCGTCCTGACCGGCGCCGTCATGCTCCCAAGACCGCGACAATAATCAATCCACGCATCTCTTGCGACATCCGTTACCCTGCGTGGTCCTCCCTTGGACTATGACGGACAAGCCAGCTCCGCTGTCGACGCAAGCCGCAGTTCCCAGTCCGGCCAACCACCTCGCGCCCGTGGGCCCAACCGCCCCCGATCATGTCGCTCACAAGATCGAGGCGCCAGAGGAAGAGCCGTACACCATCAAGTGTATCTGCAACTTCTCCGACGATGACGGAAACACAATATACTGCGAGACGTGCGACACATGGCAGCACATCGACTGCTTCTACCCCGAGAACAGGGAGGAGGCCATTCGAGAGGACTTTTCTCATTCGTGTGCCGACTGCCAGCCCCGACCGCTGAATCGCCAAAAGGCCATTGAACGCACCCTGGGGCTGAGGCCTTCAATCGTGGAGCCGGAGAGCATCGACAAGAAACCGAAGCGACTCCCCTCCAAGAGCCACAAGAAGAAGAAGCCCAGCGATGCTCATTTTAATGGGACTCATGGCCCTTTGGAAGGCAGCAAGCACGGCCACAATGGCGACCACCACCCTACTCCTGCCAAGAAGTCAAAAACCTCTCATCGACCCTCCTTGTCCGTGAGCTCCCAGCCTTCCAAGCGAAGCCCTTCTTATGGGAACAACAACCGGACGAATCCCACACATCCACCGAGTCCTGCCACCACTCCTCCCGACCTCCCTGACGATTTTACAATTCACCACTACTCCGAGGGCTTCTGCTCTCTCTACAACGATGTACCCGACAGACAAAATAATGGCTTTGCCAGTCTCGCCATTCCTACCGCCTTGATGCGATGGCTGGATTCGTCCTCTGCGCTGGAAAAGGAAGTCGGCCGGAGACGCTCCGAGATCTTCCAAGACGCCCTGCCCGCCCTCGAGAGAAAACGTCCAAAGCTCGAGGTCAAGGATGCCACTCAGTCGCTCGACAACGGTACCACCCTTCGATGGCGGTCTCTCAAATCGACATCCTCGATCGAAAAGGATGTGCCTCTCATCGAATTAAATGGCGAGATTGGCTTTCAAAAAGATTATTGCGCCGAAGGCGATAATCTGTGGGGCGATATTTCATCCCCTCTCCCCTTTGTCTTCTTCCATCCCATCCTACCGCTTTACATCGACACGAGGAAAGAGGGCTCTATAGCCCGCTTCGCCCGACGGAGCTGCAAGCCCAACGCTCAACTAGACACTTTCCTCACCGGCGGATCAGAATACCATTTCTGGCTGGTCAGCGACCGGTACATACCCCCCAACGAGCAGATTACCCTGCCGTGGGACTTTCGCCTGGAAAAAAGCGTCTGCCAGCGCTGGCTACACCTGTTGGGCCTCAGCGATGACGATAGCGCCGTGCAAGACGAGTTTGAGCTAGACGAATCTGAATACACGGCCATCTCTAATTGGATCGACCGGATATTGTCAGAATATGGAGGCTGCGCGTGCGATCAGGATAATAACTGTGCCTTCGCCCGCTTCCATCGACACTATCTCTACGGCAAGAGCCAATCTCGCGGCATCAGGAAAAGATCGCGTAATAAGAAGGCCCATACCATTTCTCCCACCAGCACCGGTCATGCCACGAATAGTCGTGCCGCTAGTGAAGGTCACCTCGACGACCAGGCCGACCGCGAAGGTCGGGATGGTCGGGAAGGTCGAGAAGGATCGGTTGCAGCGCGGAGTAAGCCCTCTAGTAGAGACAGGACTCCGCTGCGCCAAGGCTCCTTTGATCAGCTAGGAATATTGACGGAGCCTACAGATCGCGATAAGCGCAAGGTAGCAATGGTAGAAGACTCCTTCCGGCGTATGGAGCAGGAACAGCAGCAGCCTCCGAGGAAGAAGAAGAGACTATCAGACGGAACGACTGTATCGACATCATCCAAGACGAAATCAAGGACCGGCTCTACCCCCCATATTGGTAGCTATGCCGACGCCGGCACCACTGCCAGGAGCAAATCCGGCTCCCCCGCCAGCTCCAGATCGCCGAATCTTGGGACCCAATCCAAGTCGTCAGTTTCACACCGAGAACCGTCAGAAGCAGCACACAGGCAATCCTCGGCATCGCCTCGCCCCCTCTACTGCGATATGGGTATTCAGACCGACCCAGTAGAAGACGAGTGGTTCAGCGCATTACAAAACATGCCATGCCGCAAGAAGAAGATCATTCCGCTTTCCAAGCGACTTCTCAACAGCCGGTACAAAGCACGTGCTGAAGAGAACCGAAAGCGGTCAACGCCCTCGCGCCCTTCGAGCGTCGATGCAATGGACGTTGATGCCACTGAAGCTGAACAGCAGCCAAAAATTTCAACCTTGGAAGTCGAAATGCAACCCGAAAAACAACACGCTCCGCCTTCTCCAGCTTCTACCAAAGATGTTGATACAGAACTGCCTGACGCGCCACCTCCACCTTTGTCTCATTCTCAAGAGGCGCCAGCCGTTGAAAAAGAGCCTGCAGAGGAGCCTACAAAGGAGCCTACAAAGGAGCCTACAAAGGAGCCTACAAAAGAGCCTGCTGTAAAGGAGCCTGCAAAGGAGCCGTTAAACGAACCTTTAAAAGAAAATACAGAGGAGCCTTTGAAAGAGTCTCCGAAAGGGCTTGTGACAGAATCTTTGAAGGAGTCTCCAAAGGAACCCATCAAGGCACCTGCAGTGGAATCAGAACAGGCGGCAGAAAAAGAGCCTGTCAACGAACCTGTAACGGAATCCATAAAGGAATCCGTAAAGGAGGAGCCGCCTGCTACAGAAGAACCATTTGCCAAGGAGCAGCCTGCTAAAGAAGAGCCCGCCAAAGAGGAGCCTACCAAGGAACCTACCAAGGAGCCTACCAAAACGGAGCCTACCAAAGAGCTTCCTACCAAGGAGCTTCCTACCAAGGAACTTATCAAAGAGGCTCAGACTATCCCCATGAAGATCAAGGCCCCAGAGTTGAGAGTCCAAATGCCTACCGCTTCCGTGCTAGATTCTTCAACAGCTCCTCCAACGACCACCACACCTTCATCTGCAACCAGCTCTGTTGTGCAATCGGCAATTCTCTCTGGCAGTCTACCGAGTCCATTCGGCTCAGCTGTCAATGGGGCAGTGGCCACTCCCAGTCCAATCAAGAAAAAATTAAGCCTTAGTGACTACAAGAGCAGGATGAGCAAGGCCGCTGCAAAGCCTTCACTCAGCCTCATCTCTACAAAGTCGAGTCTCTCTGAGGCAGACGAGATCAAGCTGGAGAATCCCATAGAGCCAGCAGCTATCGAAAAGGTTGAGAGCGCAGTGGCCCCCTCCGCTCCGGCGGCCACCACTAACGGGCACGCATAAACCATGAAAGACAAAAGTGTTATATGTACTATTCCATGTTGTTACAACCCAGAATATGCGATTGAACGTGTACTGCGTTCAAACAAGATGAAAAAGAATTACTGCGGCAAGCCTAAAAAAGGGCTGGAGTTTGTGCAATTTTTATATAAGGCAAATGGGCTTCTCGGACGTTGCTCACTGCTACTTCTCTCTTGTTCTATTTTTTTTTCTCGGTTCTATTTATAGGCGTTCAAGGGGGGAAAGGGAAGATTGGAATTGAGATTTGGCGCCTAGGAAGATTCCAAGCCGCAAGGCCGACGCAAGGAGTTCACCCGTTATCTTGAATCCTTGATCCGGCCTGGCTTTTGGAGGTTACACTGGTCAAGGGAGCGAGTCAAAAGGCATCTTTCGCAATGCAACGCTCCGGATATACACAAAAATGGAGTCTGCTGGACATTAGGGCCCGGGGAATATTTTCCTGCTCTTTTTTTTTTTTTTTATCATATTTTCTTTTTATTTCTTTTTTCAAGAGGAGGGGCGTGCTATTTCAGGACATAGCTGATTTTCTCCCACCACATTTTTTTTTTTTTTAAGAAAAAAACCTAGGACTTATTTTGGAGTCCTGTGTACTTTTATCACTATTATGATTTTTAACTGGATGAGTGGAAGGATGGGAGGGAAAGGGTTTAGGCCTGATAGGATTGACGGCCGAATTGCCCTTTGGTTTTTGGGTGGTTTTTGGGCTGAGACGACGACATGTGAAATAATTGATGCAGATGTTTCGCTTTTTTTTTTCACGCTTGGGTTTTTGAACAACGCTTGTTCCTGTGACAGAGAGTTACAATAGGTATTTTTTTTTCCTCCAAGAAATCGAGTTCAAAGTATGAGATAGTCAGATAGAACTATTTGAACAAAAAACCACACGAGTCTTTTGGACGAGATATTTTCATTTGAATTTTTCTTTTTCTCTTTTCCCTGTGCACCTGTTAGGTACAGAATGGAACGTGTGTGCACACACAACTGTGGATGTTGTTGCGTTTATCTCCCCTTTGAGTTTACGAGACTTGTTTAGCCACTTGCGAGGTAACTCAATTTTTTTTCATCGTTGGTTGTAAATTTCCATCTTTTGGATAACTTTCAAACCGCTACGTAGAAGAAACCTATGTCTATCTGATCTTATTTTTCCTGCTGGGTATCTTACACACAAACCTGACAATAGAAATGAAAAAAAAAAAAAACGCAAAACTAAATGGTACATATGACACCAAAAAAAAAAAAAAAAAAAGACTTAGAATCTCTTTTAATGCTGTCCTGTGCTGCCCCAGTTGTCTTCCTTAAAGATTAATAGTGCAAGCTTATGCCTGACAAACAAGCCAAACAGACCAACGCCGAGCTGCAGCATTGTCACTTCCAAGGCGAGGCGGTTTTCCTTGAGGGGCCCGCGCCAGACGAGCCATAGGTTGAGGAGAGTGAGGTTGCTCGTTTCGACAAAGAGGCCCTTTTCGTCTGTTGTGGCTTTGAGGAGGCGCAGGCGGTGCAGGAAGAGCAATGCCTGGCCGACTAGAGGATGGGGTTGTCGATCGGGACTCCAGGGCGTGACGGAGGGTTCCATGAGACCGGTGCGGGCGTTGAATTTCGGGAGGCGGTGGCGCGGACAGGGGATGAGGCCGAAGATTTGGGGGCACGAGTAGAGGAAGTTGAAGAGCTGCGGGACGAGGAGCAGGCCGAGCGTCTTGGAGAAGTGGCCGAGGATGCCGACGACGGCGAAGACCATTCCCGAGAAGTAGCAGTAGGTGTCGCCGACAAAGACCTTTGCCGGGTACCAGTTGTGGTAGAGCAGCGCGCAGGAGACGCCGATCCAGGGGAGCAGCAGGTAGAGCGAGAAGAGGTGCGAGTCGGTGGCCGGGTGCGGGTAGGGCGTGAAGAGGTAGAGGCAGTCGTTGAAGGCGATGAGGAGGGAGACGACGATGCACTGGGAGACCTCGATGCCGTTGATGCCGGCGAACATGTTGATGCTCTGCGGGCAGAACATGGCGACGCAGGCCATGTAGACGTAGTAGAGGGCGCCGAGGTCGAAGAGCTCGCCGAGGTAGGGCTGCAGCTGGACGGGGATGACGATGGACGTGACGTCGAAGTCGACAAAGTAGACGACGAGGAGCGGGATGGAGGCCAGGCCGGGGATCCACCACTTGTGTCGCCAGCGGATGTCGAAGAGGTCGTCGCCGATGCCGAGCAGGGCGATGGTCTGGAGCGAGATGATGGCGCCGAGGTAGGACGCGAGCTACAAGTCGTGAAATGGTGAGTATCTGGTGGTGAAGTCGGGAACGAGGAACATTCTCACCTTGTTGTGGGGGAAGCGATGCAGGAAACGCCCCTCGTTGGCGTGCTGGATCTGGATCTCAACCACCACATCGCGATTTCCGCCTCCACTCGTCGCCGCAACAATATCCTTGTAAAAGGGAAACGGGATGAAGATGATGACGGTGATGAGATACACGGCGGCGCACACCGCGCCCATGCATTCCGGGATCTCGCCGCCGTTGGCCTTGCTCAGGTCGCGCCCCCGGAAGCCAGCCTTGATAAACGTCGGCCCGAGCCAGCGGATCATGGCGTAGCAGAGCGAAAAGGCCACGAGCGAGAGCGCCAGCGACGCAATGAGGGGCTCGCCATCGCCGTGGAAGGTGTTTGCGAGGATGGCGAGCGAGGCGCCCGAGAGGGAGACGAGGCTGAGCGTTTCGGTGCGGGAGAGCTCTGTCGCGGAGGAGCTGGGCGAGCCGGCGACGGTCATGGTTTTTTTTGGGGGAGAGGCGGTGTTATATGTAGGTGGATTGGATTATTGGCATGGTTCGGTTTGACGAGGGATCGTTGTGTGCGTTAGGAGGTTTTGATGCATGTATGTATCCAGCTCCTGTTCAACCCAGCCGTCGCAGAGGATTTGGGAGGAAGAGAAAACTAGTCGTCAAATCGTCGCATGGAGAAAGGTCGCGTTGAATGAGATTATGAGGTGATGGAGAATGAAGGGGTGGGGCATAGAAGAATAGGAGGAGGCAGAATTAGCAGCAAGGAGAAACAAACAAAACCACAATGCTGATGCTGATGCTGATGCTCTGTTCTGCCACGTTGATGGCTAAACAAACGAGTTGAAGCCAGCATGTCGCAAAGCCGAAAGTGGCGTTTCGTCATTGCCAGGGGAGGGGTGTGCACGTGCAAGACCCGTCAATTGCTGGGGGTGTGCAGAGTAAGAATGCTTGGGACGTAAGATGGGATGAAACATTGATGCAATCAACCGTTGTAATTAAATTTCTATATATGATTAGCAGCTATTCAATTTGACCAATTTCTCAGTCATAACTACAATCGTTAAATTTCATCAGATTAGCCCTGGCCATGTAAGAGCGGCTCAAGCCTCTCATGCGCCATATATATCCCTCTGTATATTGAATACCATTACCAAGACGCTGTGGTCTTTACCTGGATCAACTGCAAGTGCAAAAAGACTCAAGCTCAAATAGCACTGCCATCTGCCAATGCGCAATTCTTTGCGTGTTAAAAAAAAACCAGGGTATCAACGGCCGTCGCCGTGTGCAAACATGTTCCCCATCTAAAAGCAGGTCATCATAATTGTGTTGTTTGTTTGTTTGGTTGCTCGAATCTTTTGCAATAGTAATCCTTATAAATCCATCTCTTTCTAAACCAATTCCCACTTGGCGACATACGCCCAAGCCATTCCAACCTTGCCTTTCTTGGAGAGAAACTGCTGAGCGGTCACGCCCCGTGCGTCTTGACCATCCATAGACGTCAGTTGCAACACCATGACCGATTGGCCCGGAGCGCCGAGATCGCGAGCATTGACATCGGCCCAGTGCCAGTAGCCATCCGTCTCAATCGGGATGATGTCGTCTTTGCGGCCGTCGACGCCATGGAACTGAAGTAGGAACAAAGGAGGCTTTCCACGGCCATTCTTTTCTGATTTCCAGTGCTCGCAGATTTTTGAGAACTGGAACCGAACGGTCTCGCCACTGTATACAGATATTTCCTTGGACGCAGGTTCGATTGAATCTTCGGCAATGCCCTCTTGGCCACAGTTGCCAAATACTTCCACAGGCGGGCCCTGAGAACGGCCAATGATGTATTCGTCCCAAGTAATGGTGCGGCCATCCTCTCGGAATTGGTGCCTGCCATCAGAGGGGAAATGGGAGTTGCCGAACCGGTGGCCGCTGTTGGTAAACTGAACGGGGCTGAATTCTTTCTTGAACAAGTTGTTATTTCCACAAATGTGGCCGGCTCCCCAGCAGGCATCGAGCAGCCTCCAAACGCCGCCATCAACTCTGACGGCATTCCATGCGTGGCCACTCGGATCAGCTGGCGGCGGTCTTTCTCCCTTTTTCAAGGCAGTGTATCCGTAGCCTTTGCCATGGCCGCCAACAACAATGCACTCCAAGCCTGCCTTGTTGGCGATTGCCTTGTATGTCTCCGCATAGCCCTGGCAAACGGCTGCACCGTATAGTATGGTATTTTCAGGTGTCTGGCCCCTGATGTTGCCGCTGAAAAAGGCTTTTGTATCATACGCAATGTTGTGGTGGAACCATGTGAAGATGGCCCTGGCCTTGTCGTTATACGAGGGGAATGGATCACATAGTGCGCGGGCAAGATATCCCACAGGGTCATTCCGGGGTAGTCCCTCTCTGGGGTACTGGGCGGCGACATCATCAGGTCCGCTCCAATCTCTGCATACCCAACAATCGTTGGTCACAGCGGGAGGAGCTGGTGATGCCCGAGATGACATGGCCTGGATCTGGGAGACGGATGGTCGAGAGGCCATTGGGACAGGAGGCGGAGCGTCATCAGCAGCGGCAGCAATCTTGGGCCTCGGTGGCATTCGTGGGGGCTGATCTGGTTGAGTCGCAGATCCAAAGCCCCGGATTTGAACAGTCACAGGGGCGGACTTTTGCGTCGGCCTTGGTGTCGGTCTCGGTATGGATTCAGTACTTGCAGAGGCCTGGGGCCTGGCTGGTCTCGATGGTTGTCTAGGAGGGAGACCAGGTCTAGCCTCTTTGGCGGCGGCCTGCCTCGCCGCAGCCTCTTCTTTGGCCTTTGCTTCCAATTCTCGCCTGGTGGGTGGCAAAGGAGGCAGATCAGCCATGTCCGTCACGGGTGGCAGCTTATGCACGATGGTGCCGTTGGATCCATTGCTCGTGGTAGAGGAAATTGTCTTGGTCAATGACAGAGACGACATGGTGGACTGCATCGAGGCTTCGGATGACGCAGAGTTACGTCGGCCCGAGGGCTTGGGAACCGTAATTGTCGACGTTCGCCGCGGCGGCAGCGCAGGCGACGCCTGGAAAGATGCAGTCCTCGACGGCAAAGGAGGAGGCCCAGAAGCATCTGCAGCGTTCTGGGTGTTCCGACGAGGGAGAGGGGGCGGTGCATCAACATTTGGCTTGGGTCTCGGAGGCATTCGCGGTGCAGCCTCATGTGCCGAGCTGGTGATGGTCACGACGGGAGCCGTGAGGCTTCGTCCCTGGGCTTCGGCAGAAGGGCGCCCAGGAGGAGGCGGCGGCGGCTTCTTGCGAGCAGCTTCAGGGGTGCCAACGCTGCTGAAGTTCTTTTGCTTGTTCAACGCAGCTATCCGCTCTGCCAGCGTGTTAAACTGGGGTTCTTCGGTGTCTGCCATGCTGTCGACTCTCTCTCTAGTATCAACAGTTTTCTTGGCTGTATTTTTATCCTCGCTTAGTCTCTCTTCCTTTCCAAATTCCTATTGTCCAAAGTGTTCAGACCGACAACCGTTGGACAAGGTGGCGAATCGAGCTCAGGTCTAGCAGCTGCAGTAGCTCAAGAGCTTGGCAGCAAAACGAACGGATGCGTTTTCGACTTGCATGCAGAAACGAAAGAAGAGAATAGAAATGGGATTCGCTGCTCCCCTTCTATAGCTAATCCATTCAATGAGCGACGAGACAAAGAGCAAACGCAAGAAGAGAAGAGGGGGTGATTGGAAGGATTGTCGATGGTTTATAACGAAAAGGTGGCCAAGCAAAAAGTGCGTGCATTAGCTGGTTTGAAAATGCCGACTAGGGACGGAACCAGGTGTTTGCTCTGCTCTGCACAGCCCACTTGGCCGCTCGCATGTCGTCAGTACCAGCTGGGCGGTGGTATTAATAGCCACCGTGCGAGGTACTGGCTACAGCGGCCGGCTTTTGGGTGCCGTGCACGCTGGCGTCCGAGTCCAGCTGCTGCAGAGGCGCCGTTTTTAGGCAGATGCGGCTCCACAGCATGCAGGTTCTGTAAAGAGATTGAGAGAAATGCTAGCATCAATGCGAATACACGGTCCAGCAGGCCATATAAAGACAGCAGACGGGCAAGACCTGGCAAGGCAAGGCCACGGCTCAAAACGCGCTGTTTTGGTGGGCAAACTACCTACCTGGGTCTAAGCTATGGGGGCGGCTAAAGCAGGAGATGTGGCGCGATATGGCCAGGCCCGCTCGGCAATTGCCTAACCCGGCCGTTGAGGCTGCGGCATGTAATCGATACGGACGCTGTTGGAGGATTCCGGGGATGTCTTGGGTCGTACCTCGGGCAGGGTTTGTAAGTGGAATGAGGAGTTTTGAGAGCATTGGATGGGTCTGCGTGCTGTTGATTGGCCCCGCATTGTTTGTTGGCTGGACGTGCATTAGTTGATGATATACTTGTGCCGATTTTGGGAGGAGTTGATGGGCCCCAGGCAACCGAGCGGGTTGTGAATGACTCACTGGCTTTAATGCCCACGGCAGTTCATGGAGAAGTGCGTATTGATTTGCAATTTCTTATCTGAATCTTATCTGACTTTAGCATACTTGATTTTACAGTTGTGATACGGGAGGCGGATATACGAGTTTATAGTAACATCACCTATACCGATATACTTCATATCGCCACTTATGAGCGACAGGCCATCTTTAATAACACATTCACAGATGGGGTATCATTCAAACCAATCATATGGTATCATGTTACAAAAACAACCAACACGTAGTAAAACTGCCAACCGGGAATCTGTTCGTGAGAGCATCCAAAGACTTCGCCGCTGCACCCAGCCCTGCCAGGATAACGACCATGTGTTTGGAACAAGCTCCGTCGTGATTTGCACGCTTCTTCAGCTACGCCGCTGCCTCCGACCCTGTCAGATTAACGACCATGCTGCAAGATGAGCCCAATTCACGAGACGCAAGGAGTCAATATAACTGAATGACTGCCCGCTGCCCCCAGCCCTGCCAGGTTAACGGGTATGCCTTCCAGTCAACTCACACTCAGTCACAGACCCCCGTGATTGAATCATCTCACCCTCGGCACTGTGTATGCCATACCGTCATCGCCTAAATGCCACAACTTACAATTAGAATCCCGTCTGGATGATCGTTTTGGACGCAAAAATGCCTTGGTAGCAGGTGAAAGTGCTTCCTCTTGTGGCTTATTCTTCTTTCTTTTGTTTTTGCCCTCTTCCAAAGGCTGTCTCCGTTTTCTTTAAGGTGGTATTGTATCACGTTTTCGGAGGGATAGAGGAAAGAAAATTCTATAAGGGGTCGGTTATAGAGTGCCTTGCTTGGCCAGGGCTGACAGCTGAGAATCAATTTGGCTCTTCTTTGCTTAAATCCCGTACAATGCTTGGCCATGGCTCCGAGTCTGAATCCTGCTCCGAGTCTGAATGCCTTAAAATGGGTATAGGGTGCTGTGCTTGTTCAGGACTAGTAGTCGGGATTTCTTGTTCATCGCCTTCAGCCGCGTCGCTATCGGAAAGTTCTGGGCTTGGTAATGGGTTTGGTTCATCAGCTGGCATGTTGTCCTCGTTGTAACTCTCGTTGTATGCTTTTTCAGATAATAAAAAATTATGGTATGACCGCAAGCATTTCTCGTTAAACCACACTGGCTTTCCTTTGCTTAGAATATCATGGACACCTGGCCACAGCTCAGGGCCTGAATTCCGCTCCTGCTCCGGATCTGGCGGTTCGCTCGAATTTTTGCGAGCCCGTTTTATTTCTACTTCCTCGAGTGTGTCGGACTGAGGATCCGTTGTTCTCTTTCGTTTTGTGCGTGGCTCCGGATTCGCTAGCGGTAAAGGCAACGAGTCAAGCGCATGAGTGTCGGAAATCTGTTCGTCGGGATTAACTTGGTGATGCAGCCTGGCCTTTTCACCCGGCAAGGGAGTTTCGCTAATGAATCTCCGTTTCGCCATAGTGTCTTTTTCGGTTAAGTTTTATCTCGAGTTACAGCAATGTGTATTATGGAGATATTGTAGGATGTTGTGGGTTTGTTGCTGCGTGATGAACGTGGGCTGCTGTGTTGAAGTTGCACGTCGTTGCTTTGGCAAGAGGGGCGGTAAGAGAGCTATGTACGATTACGTGATAACAATGGATCACTTAATGCATTGTGACAAGCAAGGGTTAGTGATATCAGGAAACCAGGCGATACAGAAGCATATTTGGTTGAAACAAAAAGAAAGAAAGAAAGTTATGTGTAGGTATTATATGAGCATACCATGGATGAGATACATGTATAGTGGCTCAATGGAGCTGATGAGATGACCAACGTCTAATGTACCAAATCACACTCGTATGGACTCTTTGGTGATTTGTCAGTCCAGGAGCTCTGTTTGGTTAAACCACTGTATACAAATAGATTGCTAAAAATACCAGTAGGTTTTGGTCAATGCTGATTTACCTGTTAGAGGCTTATCGATCCCTTTATTTTCGAGCGGCATTGATGCCCAGGCCACAGGCAACAAGCTGCCTGGGCATGCGTCTCTTCTCGTTACTAATGCGTACGACCCGTACTTCTCACTTGGCGCTATAATTATATTGGAATTTATATACTGTAGGCCTACGTTGTGCCAGCCTCTTACTAGAGACCAACATCCCGCTAGTCTGTAAGACAGTCTTGCTCTCTCAACGAGGTCCGGCATCTTCAAGGGCAATGAAGGACTATTTTACCGGCGACTTTATGACGGCACTTTGCATTTGTGCATCTCATTGCTGACAATGCGCAATAATCCTCGAGTTATGGCAGTAAGTAGGTGTCACCACAACAATATTGGCAGCATAAGCTGATTCAATTGGTGCTACTGCTAGTAACATGGCGCCCATATTATTGGCTTCGGCCGCGCAGGTGTCCGGCTCGTGCTCGTGCGTGTTTCCCCTCAGAAACGCCCAGGCTAGCGAACAGCCAAGCGGTTCCAGCACCCACACCCCATAATTACAGGGCCATGAGGGCCAAACTCTGCAGCCCTTAGCGCCAACCAGCAGCCAGCGCCGCCTAAATGGGCTCCTCCACCCCGCTGAGCCGGCCCCTCTACCCGCCCAAGGGTGGCCCATCATGGGCGACTTTCTTCATCCTCTCCCCACTTTGCTTCCGTCCACCTGCCGCTCCCGACTCAAGTCAGTCAATCAGTCAATCAATCCAATCCAATCCAGCCAACCAGCCCCAGCCCCAGAAGCTTCGGCGCTGGTGCCAGACGGGAAAAGGAAACGCAACAAACCCTGAGCGCAAGGCCGAAATCCGCTCAGGCCGCCTTGCTCGTCGTGCTCGCAACGTGGCGCTGGCCTCGGTTTGGCTGGAGTTTAACCTTTGCCTCTTGTCGCAACCTCTACATCATATCATACCGAAGCATCGGGTTATCAGCCAGCGTTAGGTACTATCAATATCGTCATCAGCGTCCGGCCAGCATCAGCGTCCGACCAGTATCAGCATCCACGTCCTCCGCGGCACCAATTCTCTTGGCCTGTGCTGCTGTACGGCCTAGTCAGCAGCTGAGCAAACGGACTTTGCGTGCTCTTCGCTGCCAGATCCCATCGACCATCTACAAACGGCTTCCGAGGCTAACCCTCCTCCCCATCGTCGTCTGCCGCGCTGACGAGTGCGCTTCGCTCCGTCTCGTCTTCGTCGCCCTCTCGCCCGCCTGCTGCTGCTCCACCAGCGATCCATCATGGCTTCGAGCACTGCCGGCGACGAGATGGTGACAGCCGCGTGCAAGAAGCAGCGACTCTTGTTCGTCGATTTGCCCCCGGAAGCTCAGCGCGAGATCATATCACATGTATGCGTCCCTTGGTAGATTTTCTTTCTACTTCCCTGAGATGAAGCAAAAGCCATCCGTGAACCTCATACTTACTGATTCGTCCTCTCATCTAGTGCTCACAAAGCGATCTGATTTGCCTCGCTCTCGTCTCGCGACACTTCCACGAACTCGCCTCGGCCCAGCTCTACAAAAACTTCCACATCATCTTTCCCGACGATGACGACCTCAGCTTTGACTCTTCTATTGACGGTCTTGCTAGCGGCCTTAATACGTTCACCACGAGCAATTATGACTATGCGAAACACCTAAGAGACTTGTCCATGGACACTCTCAGTGCGGGTCTCAAGGGTGAAGCTTCTTATCAGTCGTATTTGTATTCCGCTAGTTGTGGGAAATTTCTAAACACCCTTTTACATCTTACTCTTCGACGAGCCAGGTCTCTAGAAGTTTTTCGGTGAGTTTGCGCATCTCCGCCCTACATTCGGCTATCCCAGGATGTTTGTCTGAGTCCAGGCGTGGGAGTGAGACATACTAAATATTATGGGTATTCTCTTGCAGATGGAACATTCGTGTAGAATTAAGCCGGCCCGTCTACCGCGAGCTGCATCGAATAACTTCGCTCAAGAAGCTACATATTCGAATGCAGGCAGGAGAATCTTACTACATGCAACCACCACCGCTGCCAGTCTCTTCCGACATCCACCCTCAGCCAAGTACGACAAATCCTTGGGGAAGCATCCCGCCGCTTGCTCCCCTTTCTCTGCTGCCGCCGCCGCCGCCGCATCCGGGACATACCCTGCCTGTGCTGGGCGGACCTCCGCCCGCTCTGATGCCACCGTCATACAAATCAGCGCTTAAGAACAACGTCGGAAAGCATACAGACGGTACGAAAGAGCCCTCCATCTTTTCAGGGTTCAAAAATCTCAAAAGTCTAAGCATCTTGGATATCGACAACCTTGATATCGTGAGCGAGCTCAGTACTTGTATCAAGAATTCAAGCTGGACGCTCAATGAGCTTCAACTATCATTGTCCGATGCTTTAGCGAACCAGGCGCGTAAGCCTTCACCCGGTTCCGACGCAGACGATTCAGACGTTGAGGGTGAATTCCAAATTGATCCCACCATCCAGAACAACAGCAGTATGAACGACATTGACTATGACACCATCGGCCCCGTCAGAGCGTTTCGAGCCCAAGAAGAGCGAAAGCTCCAGGAGTCGATGCTTGGTAGAATACTCGAGCTGTACCCCCAGCCATCTAACACACGGCCCAAAGCAGAGAATGATCAAGCTAGTCAAAAAACCGCCAAGAAGGATGCAAAAAAACCACCATTGACTGCTAAAGAGGCCGCTAGAGAGGCCCTCATCGAAGCCATAAAGAACCTCGAATCCCGATATATTGGTGGGCCATCTCGATTATCAGATCGGCAAGAGATCCTTGACACTATGGCGGAGGCTGCGAGGGACTACGTAGATAATATTGACCCGTCCGGACAGATTATAGAAGCGCTAAATGCCTCTAACGGAGATGCTCCAGCCATCACAGGGGAGGGTGTATACCAGGGCGAATCTTCAGGCTCAGGCTCAGGCTCAGGCTCAGGCTCGGGCTCGAAAACACCTGTCGAGGCCGCTTCTGCTGAGGAAGCTGGGGAAATTCTCGCTACCACGGCAGACGACTTGGTAAAATCCGACCAAACTTCGTCTGTCAAAATGGCCAAGAAGCGGAACGGCGACTTTTCCCCGGAGGATATTGATATCGCGTATGTAGATGACATTGGCGATGCATTTGAAGAAACAGAAGACTCAACCCCTTCAACTGCGGTCGAGGAAAATCCCGCGGACGAGTCTGGTTCCGGGAAAGAGCCTCAGCAACGCAATTCTTCCACTGATTCGGCGACTCCTACGCCCGCAGTTGATGCTGCTGCAATTGACGCCGCTGCAATCGATGCTGCTGGAATACCAAGCAAGGCAACTGAAATTCAGACCGAAACTCAGCCCAAGACAACTGAAAAGACCAAAAAGCTTGCTTCTGCGACGGCAGCAAAGGTCAATCTCGAGAGTCTAATGGACAAGCTCGGCTCGTTCCGAGACCGATCAAAAGCCATCGGAAAACGAATTGATGATATGCGTGCCCAGGGTTCAGTGATGGACCAGGTGCTGATCAAAGACGTCGACGAGCAGTCTACAAGCTTTAGTGCCATGGTTACCGACATCAATAATGAGTTCCGGATAGTCGAGGAGGAGCTGGACAAGGTAGAGCGTCAAGTCACGGCTATCAACCGTACGAGCGCGAGAGATTATATCCGCAGAACAAGAGGGTTGACGCTTTCTTCTCTAAGCATCTATCTCGTGCCCGTCAAGGCATCAGTTTTATCACGGTCACTTAATTTGTCCTGTCTCAAGCAGCTGACCCTTCTCAACGTCGGCAACCAAGTGCCCATCTGGAGTCTTCTCGCCAAAGAGAACAGACAGCGGCCTCTTGGGCTGAGAAGCATCTTCACTGATCATGTAAGTGAGGCGTTTCTCACTTTTGCATCTCAGCTCGAAGTGATACACGAGCTCTTTCTACTGGAACGCGACGCCAAGAGTAAGCCCGAAAGCTTTGCGCCGCGAGGGTCAACGATTATGGATCAGATTCGACGGCTTGTGCTCAAGAAGCACATTCGCAACCTTAGGCGACTGATGATCAGGGATGAATCTACTGGACCTAATTGGGACTGCAATGAGAAGACCATGGTCCTTATTTGCACTCAAGGGCGGAATCTTAAGGAGTTGGCGCTGAGTATGAATATCCACGCTCTGGTAAGTATAGAAAGGAAGAAGATGAAGATGAAGAAAACAGAAGCTAACTTTTGACAGCATGTTTTTATGCAATATGTTTCTGGGCTTGTCAATCTGCTGGCCATTAACATCATTCACTTTCGCAGTCACGATGCCTGCATGTCGGTTATGCGAGAAATCCTAAGGTTCACCGTAGACAATCTATCACACCACCCCGGGCTCAAGTTAGAATGGATCGCGATGGAAGGTGATCGCGTATATCGAGTGGTCAGGCCAAACCAAGAAACCGATGATACCCCGAATGAACAAAGCAATAGCAAGCGAGCGAAGGGCAAGGGCACGGCTGCTCCGGTCAATGGCTTAGGTTCTGGTCCCGGTTCTGATCTACACAATCCTTTCTCCATCGACCTGGCCTCGGAAAGTGATGGCGAAGATGCAGACATCAACGTGGGTACCCACCTGCGATTCAAGACAATTGGGCCTCTGCGGTTTTATGACGTCTGGGGAATAAAGATATTTGAAAAGGAGATACAGAGCGGGAGATTATAATCGGTTTTGAATTGCTTTCTTTTGTTATATTAATAGTAACTGGTGTTAGCAATAAAATAACAGCGTCATCAAAGACCTTTAATATTTTTGTATAATATTTCATGATGCAAGGCGTGTATTAGTGCCTGTACACCACCCTTTGTCGCCGGCGACAAAGTTGGATGAAAGAATACCTTGTCCACTGGAAGATGAAGGAAAATAATGGCCCGTTTCAACAGCGTTGTTTTATGTAGTGTCTGTACATCATCTTTTGTCGCCAACAAACAAAGTTGAAAGAAAAACACCTTGTTCACGGAAAAATGAAGCGTCACAGAAGAACGCGAGCATCTTTGGGATAAAGTCATATCTTGGGGTATATAAGTTGCCAAAAGATCAACCAGATATCGTCCTGATGTTTCAACATCAACGACAACCATTTCCCCTTTCAAACAGAATCAGACGCTGGAAAACTCGATTGAAGCAAGTCTCCGTACCTACTTACAAGCCCACATACCACAAGATGGACGCGAAAAACACTCCTCGGCGGTTGTGCCCTCACATTGAAGACCGGGACATTGAGCGCAAAGAATTCCGCGATCAGTTCAACAGAGAGCTTGCAGAGCGCAAGTCATGGGACGAGGAGTTTCTCGGCGGAGAGCGCAAGACGGAACGAAAGGCTACGGAATCAAAGCTTCCTCCTCCTGCTCCTCCGAGCACTCCTCAGCCAGAAGTACAGGAGGATGCATGCGATCGGGCAAACAAGCTCCATGAGCAATTGGCGGTAGGCATTCTGGATCAGAAAATCAGACAGCACAAGTTTATGCTTGAAGTGGAGGAGGTTAGGATTCGACAGGATGAACTTTATGAACGGTTGGAGGAGCAGCGCAGGAAGATGGAAGGAGAGGCTTCTAAAGACGAGAGAGATGGGTAGAGGAGGAGTTGTGGATAGCTAATTGCTTTCCTTCTTTTTTTTTCCTTCTTCTTTTCTATTTTCCCTTTGTTCAGCATGGATGGTACACATATGAGAGTTGGCTAGCAATAGAACATCATTCTTTTTTCTTTATCAACTTGGAACCTGCTGTGAAATTATGCGGTTGTATAAATTTGTAGGGTAGTTGAATTAAGGCCATCCAGAACCGTACTATATTCAGGATCCAGCCTATCATGGATAGATTAACGCCATCTAAATCCCTTGGCATAAGCACTATAGAAGCTGAGTAAGGAAAAATGATATAGTTTATCCATTGTACATGTATATTCTATTGACTATGTCAGTTATATCGCCAAGTTGTTTTACATGTATTGATTGCACCGGGGCAAGCTGTGTGGCAATCATGCCAGCTCTCTTCTCTCTGATCGAAAGATGACCAGCAGGAGGCTTTCAGTTGAAGGATCTCTGCCGTGTCATGAGGTAATAGCCCCAAGGCGATTATCGGTTCCTAGTAATAGTAACAGAGCTATTTATAAATCGAGGCTGAATTGGTCGACGTTCCGGATTCTCATCCCTTGAGTTCCACATTTCTATAAGCGTGCATAGATAGGTATCTACCATTCTCTCACATGTTATGAACGAAGCTGAAGGGTTGAACCACCCCCAAGACCCGGAAAGCTGAAAGAACTAGCCTGCTGTGGCGCCGAATATTCAAGAGTCGAGACCCCAACGGTTCGAAAGATGGGAAAAGGCCCAGATCAGGTTTGGCTTGCAGGCTGTGACGTATAATATTGCCCCCCCCCCCCTGCTTTCGGGAAGAAGACGAAGAAGAAGAAGAAGGGGTGAGACACTGCATCAGAGACATGGTTTCTTTTCTTTGCTTTTTTTAATTTGCTGCGTGGCAACCCTGCCGCTGGATGCGGAGAAGTATTGGCAGGAGGATTTGGTGGCGCAGCTAGCCGAGATCCGTTTCATGGCTTTTCAACTATCTCGTTGGGGGCCTGATAAGCTCGTAGGCGATTAACTGGAACATGCGCATGACTTGATGCCGGCAGTAGTACGAAGCAGCAGATAGTAGTTCTTTAGTAAAAACTGGGATTCTCGGAATGTTTTACTCCGCACTTATACCGCCCTGCCTTTGGAGTATACACTTGGCGCAAATTCACACAAAGGAAGCCCTCAGCTCTGGTAACACTGGCGAGCTTGGCCATGGGGTTCTATTTCTGAGCTCAGCATGGCATTCCATTCGGTGACAATGGGAAGCGTAGGACCCGGTGTTTGGTAGATACTAGTCGTGTGCTTGTTTGTGGCAATGCCGAGACAGCACGGACTACGGCGTGTCTCGCCCTCTTGAAGCCTAGTGGAAGACGCTTGTGTGCATTGAAGTCATGCATTCATGGCCTAGAAGATTTGTCACTCGATATATGCCTCTGTATCTTGGCTGGGATAGTATCACTGCATGCACTCCAGCTGTATGCATGTGTGTTAAACTGTAAGTACTATACCATAGCATCCTCACTCCCATCAAGGCTCCCATGTGATCGGAAATGCACCCGCAACGCCATCACTGGCACCACGCCAGACTGCGCCAAGTCTGGTGTCACGGATCCCGCCGCCACGGTACCCGCGCAAGCAATCGACGGGCTGCTTCTGGAAATCTACAGCATTGGATGTACATACTTGTAGGATACGAAGATACCACGCGAGGGCCACAGCCAAATGCGCCAAACGCGCCGCCATTGCCATTATTTCAACCGGGCTGTGTAAGTACCTTGTACAGGGGCTTCGGCAGCGTTTTACACCCCCCTTCTCAATTGGGCAATACCCAACGCTCAGGGCTTCGCTCTAACCTGGTGCTGTCTGGTCCATGGAGAAGGAGCCTTCCCGGCTTCTTGCCGTTGACCTATTTTTTTCTTTTTTAGGCTACGCGGATGCCCGCTTTGTCCATTCGATGGTTTCCTGGTTCCTCTCTTTTCATCTCTCTCTCTTTATCTCTCTCTCTCTTCTGTCTCTCTTCTTTCACCGACCATCTTAAATCCTTAATCTTTGGCTGTCAGTGTCGCTTGCTCGACTTTGAATCTCACCACTACTCTTTTCTTTTACTACACAGACAAGCGTTACGAGCCCCACAGCCCTCCGACGTCACCATTCTCCCTCAACCGTCAATATGGATCAGCTTCTCACCAATCTCTGGACAAGAGGTGGTTGGTTTCGAGCCTTTACACCACCTTGCCCTGCTGCCAACGATAGCATCACCTCTGCTCACAATGATTTGCCCAAGGGAGCTCCCATCCTCAACGTCTCATCAGATGTTCTGCTCCTCATTGGAGACTATTTGGATGCTTCGGAGCTTCTTTGCCTCAAGCTTGCTTGTCGAAGCACGTATGCGCTGTTCCCGCAGACTTACAAGACAATGCTCCCTAGCCAAAAGAAACAGCTGCTCCCCCTCATCGAAAAGGATCCCCTGGGCAGAGGGACCTTCTACTGTGCCCCCTGCAACAAGTTACACGCTTTTCAGCAAACCACTGGACCTGCTTCAGAATTAGAACACACCGAAGAGAAACGCAGGCATGGCAAATGTTCGGGTCGAGATCGATTCTCCCCCCTCAACAACCCCTTTGGCCTCAGCTACGCCCATGCCAGGCTGGCTGTGAACCGTCACTTGTACGGCGCCGAACACGGCATCCCGCTGGCCAATTTGTGTCTTGAACACAGCGAACAGCGAGACGGGACCACCATCAAATGTTCAACTTCGGCCAAGATGATGGATGGAGAGCTGTTCTTGCAGCGCACTTACGTCTTCGCTGTGGCTGAGACTGATGTGGCCGCTTTCCGCAAGTGTACTGGCGCGCGCGACTTCAAGCTGTGCGAGCACACTTCGTTCTTTTCCGGCTCTTCGGCCTTTCGCCAATACATTCCAGAGCTGCAGCAGAAGCCACTTACTGGCGGCCATGACTTGGTGCCCTGCCGCGAGGCTCCTGGATCCTGTGGCTTATGTCTGATGGACTATGACATCACAATCGAGCCTTGCACACTTGCAGACAGCGGCATCAAGTCGTGGAGAATCGTCATCAGAGCCATTCACCAGCTCGGCGACTGCCGCTCTCCCGAAGACTGGAAATGGGCACGGTTCACTGAGGCTTGCCGACCGCATCTCTTCTTCCCGAACCGACCTAATCGTCGCGGGTCGGCTTACAACCCTGGCATGGTCCAGAAGCGATGGGCCGACGACGAGAGGGAGGCCTGTGCAGTGCTGGACGGACGAGAGTCCAATAGAGGCTTGTTCGGCTTGTCGTTTCTCACCTAAGCGGCCTTGTACGACAAAGAAGTGCAAGTAGCCATGGCTGCTTTCGCTTTGTCGGAATGCTGCGCACGTTGCTAGGCATGAAACACGTGCGGATGCAACAATTACACAAAAGACACCCGGTGTTACCGCAGCTCTGGGGCTCAGCGAGCACATTCATGTACAAATTTCAAATCATGCGACCACGATACACGCAATCCTGCGGCTAAATATGCCGACAATAGATTTTTCCACTTACTTTTTTCTTCTCTTTCTTATCTTGAGCCCTTATTGTGGGAGTGGCGTCGGATTCTCGGGTAGCATTTTGCAAAGGGAGCGTACGGAGCGATATGAAGTCTTATCTTTTTCCGGCCAAAAATGACATCCTCATCCGGATATGGGGATACTTCTGTCTGCCTGTTTTATTCTTTTACGGCCTTGGCGCGTTATTGATCCTTTCATTCGCTGGTACGACATGGGACTGGGCGTCTTTTATTCGGGATTGGAATTTGAGCTGTCATGATTATAACGACCTTGTTATTACTATGTATGTGCGTTGCCTTATTTGCGCAGTTTATTATCACTGCTTTTTGTGTTTTCTTTTCCTTCTTTCTGCAAGGCTGGGTACTGGCGTTGTTGTTTTGGTTGCTGGATTGGGCCATCTACTGTCTCGTGTACTACCATTTGTATGAACACTTGTTTGCTCCCTTTTCCTTGGAATTCGGCATCGAGCAGCTAGCGATGTTATCTCTTTAATCTCGTGTATGGCAACAAGAAGAAAATCTCTTCTCATCTAAATGAAGACTTTCAATTCAACTCGTTATTTCAAATACTTCAGTGCGACCTGCTGCTACCCTGGTTTGCTCATGCATGCATGGTGTGCAGGAATAGGTAGCAAATAAACACTGCTGGACAACCCGAAAACCACGTCATTTTCATATGTACGGATACGCGTAACGACATGAGAGCCAGGTAGTTGAATCATGGGATTTGTATCATTGCGGCTTTTTCTCCCTTATGCTTGGACTATAATGTGGCACAAATGTACGGAAGCCATGCTGATGGAAGAATCTCCTTGTTGTATGAAGATTATGTGGTGCTAGTAGTTTGGGCATGCCTTTAGTATGTAGTATGTAGTACTCTTCCGTATCACATAGAGTTAAAACAACAAATAGCAGAGAAGAGCCCCCCCCCTTTCTATACGATCTTGATGATTTTTGAACTTGTTTTTGGATTATTTTGCTGCGCCGTGGCTAGAAATCTAGAATGGACAACTGCACACTGACACGCCGTCTGGTATTTTGTCCATGCATACATGTTCTAAACCGCTCGTCCCTTTTTTTTGCCCCCTCCTTCCTTTGCCTTGCCTTCCCTCCTCTCTCCCCCTCATCTTTTTTTTTTTGTGGAAATCTGCAAATGTACTGATGCTTGCTACTAAATGTGTCAATACACTTTTTGGAATAACCGCAATGAAAATTGCTTCTCCTGGTGGATTCTTCTTTTCTACAAGTATGAAAGAAAATAAAAAAAGGTTATGTATGGCGCGAGCAACTTGAGGGGTGCCAACTAGAGAATTAGGCGGAAGTAGCTCGAGTTACATTGATGGTATGAGTTTGCGGCGATGGCGGGTCGTATGTGGTTGAGATGATTGATGCTTTCTTTAATGGTTGATATAAGAGCCGCGGTAGAGAGATGCTGAGGTATCGAGCTTGATGAAAAAGAAACAGAAAAAAGCTTTTTTTCCCAACAAATTTACAGCTTCTCAATGATGGCACCAGCGTACTCGTGGGTCTTGGCCTTGCCGCCGAGATCACCGGTCAGGGACTTGCCCTCGGCCAGGGTGTCGAAGATGGCTTTTTCGATCCTGTTGGCGTGGTCGTTGAGGCGCATGTGGCGCAGCATCATGATGGAGCTGAGCAGCAGGGCGGTGGGGTTGGCGAGGCCCTTGCCGGCAATGTCCGGGGCGGAACCGTGGACGGCCTCGAAGATGGAGCACTCGTCGCCGATGTTGCCGGAGGGGGTCAGGCCGAGACCGCCGATGAGGCCGGCGCACATGTCGGACAGAATGTCACCGTACAGGTTGGGCATGACCAGGACCTTGTCGTTGTAGGGGTTGGGGTCGGTGACCATCTTCAGGCAGGTGTTGTCGAGCAGCTCGGCGTCGAACTCGATGTTGGGGAAGTCCTTGGCAACCTGCTCGGCGGTCTTGAGGAAGAGACCGTCGGACATCTTCATGATGGTGGCCTTGTGGACGACGCGGACCTTCTTGCGGCCAATGGACTCGGCGTGCTGGAAGGCGAATCGCAGGACGCGCTCGCTGGCCTCCTTGGTGATGAGCTTGATGCTCTGGACAACTCCGTCAACGACGACGTGCTCGATGCCAGAGTACTCGCCCTCGGTGTTCTCTCGGATCAGGACGGTGTCAACACCATCGTAGGGGGTCTTGAAGCCGGCGACGGATCGGCAAGGTCGCAGGTTGGCGAACAGGTTGAAGGTTCGTCGCAGGGTCAGGTTGAGGGAGACGTGGCCCTTGCCAACGGGGGTCTGTTAAGCAAAACACATCAGCACAATCGATCCTCGTCATATCCGTGTATTCCAATCCAGCCGTGGATGATCTGGAAAAGAGCTCTTATATTACGCACAGCCAGGGGACCCTTGAGGGCAATCTTGTTCTTGTTGATGTTCTCAATCGCAGCGTCGGGAATGGCGGTCCTGCCGTCCTTGATGATGGGGTTGACGTCGATGGGCTCCCAAGCAATTGGGGTCTGGTTTCCATTGTTAGCCATTTCCTGTTTTTTCCCCTTCTTCCCTCTCGACCTTGGATAGGTAACACAAGTCGTACCTTGGCGGCGGCAAAGATGTCCTTGACGGACTGAGCAATCTCGGGGCCGATACCGTCACCCTCGATCAAGCTGACCAGGTAGTTGCCCTGTTTGTATTGTAAGTGTTTTTGTCCAAAGCCATGCAAGCGCCAAGCTCTGCGACTTGAGTGAATTTTTTATGCCTCCTCGGATCCGGTGACATAGACACACAGGCAAGTCGCAGATGGCCCAGGGCTTGCGCAAATTAAGCGTCGACAACGTACATTGGAGTCCTTGGTTCCGTCGTACTTGGCAACACGCTCCTGGGAGTAGAATCGCTGGCTCTAAGTCGTGCGTGTTAGACAATCATCGTTTTCCATTTCTCCAGCTAAGCCGCTGTTTGTGCTTCATACCGAAATCGACCAGGTGGCGGCAGCGCGGGGAGCTGCTCGCACGCAGTGCCTGGCAGGGCTGGAGAGAGAGCGGATGGCCAGCATGGTGAAGAGTGAAACAAGTATATAAAGGAGTAAACGTCAAGGAGAAGAGAGGAGAGGGAGGCTGGCGTGAAATCTGCGTGGAATAATAACAAGGAAGAGAGAAGTAAAAGGGAGAGTCGCTAATAAACAAACTCCATCTGGAAAGTTTTTTGGCCGAAACCTGAGAGCCGGCGATATGCACGCCTCAGCCTTGGTTGCTGCGCTGCGAGTGGCTCAAACGCAAGCTGAGTGGGTAGAGCCCAGCCACATGCGCTGTGGCTCGCGCGTGGAATTTCCCTCATTCGAGCTTTTTTTCGTCGCTTCCGCTCTGCCGCGTCGGTTTGGGGCCTCGGATGCCGTTCGGTTTGCGGCATGGACGCCCCGAGCTACGCCCAATCGAGGCGGGGCCGTTAATTACGTCGATGCTGCCAGCTCTTTTTTTTTTTTTTTTTTTTTTTTTTCTTCTGGCTCTTGTAACCTCGGCGTGCTCCGTGATTTTAGACTGGACCGGCACTAAGTGCGGCATGACTAAGGAGCTGTGGCGTGGAGGGATGCCTCGAGGTGTGGCTGGTGCTGGATATGAGTGGCATAGTGGGCTGAAACGGAGCACGGAGGAATAGCACGGGGTAAGGTACCATCCAAGGTACCATCCAAGGTACCTGGTCTTGCATCAGCTCCAGGACCGTCAACGGTGCATCCATATCTAGATCGCGGCAGCTGCTTGCGGGTTGCTTCACGTTGGCTGGAGCAAAGCAACGGTCGCTGCGCCGCTCTGCCAGAATCCCGAACACGAACCGCGACACAATCAGCCCTGCTCTTGCGGCATGCTTGAGCGTCCCTGCTGGCCTCCACACCATCCTCAAGCTCCGTAGCTTAGCAGCGTTGGCTGCCACGATTCCGCCATCATGTCCGACTACGAACGAACAATCCTCGAATTCTACCAGCTGCCCACCTCGTATCCGTCGGAATGGCCCGCCGAAAAGGACGATGATTCCTCCGGCGACGAGGGCGACCCCAAGAAGCACAGCCGCCAAAAGTCGCGATACCAGGCCCTCGAGGCCTCTGGCGACGGCAAAGGTGCCGCCGTGGGCAGGAAAGGAGGGTTCAACAACTTGGTGTTGAAGGACGAGCCTGACCCTTTGGGCACCACAGACAGCGTTGTCCGCTCGCTGAGAGAAAACGGACTCCAGGCACAGGACGACGTGCGACTTCGTGAGTCTCCAATGGCTACTGCTCAATGCCGAGCTGAGTTGAGGCTGGCCCGGCAACACCGCATACTGATCGCAGCTTGATAGGCAATCGATTCATGCTGTCCTCGACTACCTTCTCGCCCGCCTTATTCTTGTCACAGATCCACGCCAGGGCTGATACGCGCACGTTGCTCGAGGGCCTGGACATCCTCTCCCAGTCGATTGATCAGAAGTCTGCGTCTCTCAAGGTCCTTGTCGAGAGCAACTTTGAACGATTCGTCAAGGCGAAAGCGACTATAGACAATGTTTACCGAGAAATGAAATACCGCGGCGCCGAATCAGGCCCCGGAGCGAGGAGCTCAGTTCATGGCCGCCATGCCAGCCGGACGAGCTTACGTGGTGGCAAGGGTGGCCTGAACAGCCCAATGGCCATGTCAGCGGATTCGCGAAAGAAGAACGCCCTCATCAAAGAAAGCGAATATGGCGTTTTGGGAATCAAAGCCCCCCTGCTGGACGTTTCCGCAAAGGCAGAAGATGTGTGGGGCCCTGCTCTGGGAGGCCGCGAAAAGGAAGAACATCTAAAGGACTTTCAAAAATACGTAAACAAATTCAAGGATCCGCTGGAGCTGAGCACTATAATATCCGACTGCATCAAAAGGAAGGACTACGAAACCCTGGTGGAAGCATACAACCGCGCCAGGCAGTTTGCAGACGACGCGCGCGCATTATCAGACAGGCTGGGACGCCAGTCGCCTGAAGACGATGAGCTCTACCAGCTCATGGTGGCGGCCCGCGTCTGGTATGATGTTGATCGTCAAATTCAAACCTTCAAACGCGAGGTATGGAAGAGGCTGGTTGCCTTGCATACCTTGTCAAAATCTGAAAGCCACGGCGGCCGAGGCCTGGATCAGCACATGGATGTCATTACTCTGCTACTGGAGCTTGGCGTTGGGGAAAACCCGATATGGGTCTGGCTCCTCAGCCGATATGACTTCCTCAAAAGCAAGATTCAGTCAACAGCTGATCACACCAAAGCGGAAATCGAGGTGCTTCGCCGGAGATTGGCGGCCAGTGACAAGCCTTCAAGTCGGGTTATTGCTTCTCATCTTCGTACACTGGGTCGACAGAGCATGGAAAGCAAGCCGACTTCGAGCGATTCTGCGGACGTCATTGAGCTGTGGGAGAAGATGCTTGCTTTCTTGGCTAGCTTGATATCCCCTCAAGGTATTCTCGGAGACCTTCTCGAGTTTTGGCAGACCGCGCAGGGCTTCATAGAAGGCAGGATTCAAAAGACATTGCCTACCGGCTATAATGATGAGTCTCAAAAGCACCATCAGTTGACTCAGAATAACATCATGGATCTCGAAAAGGGCATCGTGGAGCTAGTAGATCTGCTGCGAGGACATGTCCATGATTTCTTTGCCGGCCTGCCCCCTGAAGATATTAGCATGGTCTTCTCGCCGCTCCCCCTCTCACCCAACTCTCCGGCAACGGCCAATGGATTCGGCCATTCTCTCAGTCCAACCTCACGGGACCCTCGGTTCAACTTTGATCCAAATAACCCGCCACCATCCTCTCCCAAAAAGGGCGAGCCCTGGGAAAAGCTTGCCTTTTGGCCGCCTTGGTCCAATTCCATCAGCGGAGTATACTATCTCTGCAAGATGTTGGCGTTAGTTGGCTCGGGTGCCTCCGATCTTGCCACCATCGACCCCATCCGGTCAGGAAATGGCCAAGTTCTCGAACAGCTAAAGGCCTTGACCGGCGTCTCCAGAGAGCGCTGCGTGACGGCCCTCTGTGCCGCATGGAACAAGGACGCCGAGAACATGAAGTTCATTGAAGATTGGCAGCCATCTGCAGAGTCGGGCGACGTTACGCGGATGCCTGCGAGCTTTGCGGTATTTGAAGGCGGCCTCCTGACTGGCATGCAGAAGATTCTCTACATCTCGGAAGCCATGTCGAAGCCAAATGCGGGTGACATTGTCCTGCCACCGCCGGCCAAGTTGCTCCAGATGGTTCGGAGTCAGTATGTTACCACTTTGTATAAAGCTCTAAGCGGCATGGTGGAGAATGCAGAGCGATCCGTGAAAAAGACCGAAGACGAATGGTCTATTGGCCAAGAAGGAGGTGTCTCTACCGTAACTGTATCATCAGTAGGCAAGAGCACGCTTGATGCTGGAGACCGAGTAAGTTTTGAGCATACCTTTGTCTCTCCTCTTAAAACTAAACGTCTGTATTTAGAATGTTCGAATGCTCCTTACGCTGAGCAACCTGCAAGCGCTGCGATCTCAGATCGTCCCCAACTTGAACTCGCAGTTTGAGAATGCCTTTTCGGTTAAGCTCACGGACGAGTCTAAAACCATTAAAGACGTGCTTGGCCAGATCGACGCCCGTCTCTTCCAGTCGTACACCAAGCAGGCTACCGAAAAGCTTCGCGAAATCATCCTCGCTGGCCTCGAGCATCCTGATTGGGCTCCCGCGTCTGGCGAGCGGCCTCAGACGGCAAAGCCATACGTATACGAAACCCTCTTGACTCTTGTGCTGGTCCACTCTCAGGTTTCTACCACGGCTGCTTCTCTGACGCCCCAGGTGCTTTCCTTCTTGCTGGAACAAACCTCGTTGCAGCTGCTGGATGCGTTCCGCAAGCGCTCGCGCTACTCCCTCAGCGCTCTTATCCAAGCCACCCTCGACGTGGAGTTTATCGCCCAGACGCTCAGCCAGTACACGACGGACAAAGCTTCGGAGCTGCAAGGCCAAATCTACCAGGAGCTGGATAGCCGCACGGACAATGACGCTCGCGCGAGACTGCAGAACGAGCTGCCCGAGATGCGCAACGTGCTGAAGAAGCTTAGAGACGCGAGCAAGAACGAATTCGCTTGTTTTAAGAAGCCGAGGCGGGCGGCGGGACAGGTATCTTCGCGTGTAGATAGTGGAAGCTTGTCGCCGACCTAGAGGGTTGGCAACCGGTACATTTGAAGAAGAGCACAGGGAGCGGTTTAATTAATTCTTTTTTTCAAAGATAGAGAGAAGGCGTAAATGAGAAGGCATTGGAAATTCAGTCATTTGAAAAGACGACTTTTATATTACGAGTGTGAATCATCATCTATTACTATATATCGCGTCCCATATGTGTCAATTCGTCATTTTCGCCTCCAGGAACAGCTCCCATGAGCTGCACGGCGTGTATATCGCCGAAAAAGAAATTGCGCCATCGCTCTATGATAATGATATGTATAGGAGAAAAAAAAAAAAAGAAAGAAAAAGAAAAAGAAAGACAGAGAAAGGTAGAATTCTCTTACAATAATAAAACTCGAGCAGGGTCCGTCTATCACGCTTTTGTGCCTTGCCTTTTTTTTTTTCATGCTTTGGCCAAAAATAGAGAGTCCCAATAAGCATGAATGCCCCAGAAGCAACGCCTGGGTTATGCGAAGATTGTTTGAAGGAATAAAATTAGGGCTAATAGGGTATTTGCCCCTGAAATGGTTTCCATATCGTGAGTGTGTGTTTTTTGTGGTCGTGTATGTATGTACTTTTTCGTTTTTGTACTTTTTCCGCCGTCTAATATTTGCATCGTCTCGCTTCATCTCAGTTGAGAAAAAAAAAAGGAAAAAAGGGAAAAAGGAGACCATGTCTCCACGCCAGTGAGGCAAAGTCGTCTTAATCATCTATATCGCAGAAGAAAGGAACAGATAGTAAGACTGATAGAGAACAAAGAGAGAGAAATAAAAAATATGCGTCATGTCGTAGTCTCATATCTCATGGGTATTTTTTTTTTGTTAAGCCGAGGGGTAAGGGAGGAGAAGGTGTGAGCAAAAGGCTAGTTCGAGGGAACGGGAGTCGGCAGGGGAGAATTGTGAGCCTTTCTGGCGAGTTTCAATGTTATTGACTGTAATTTGGTTAGACAAGAGGGCTTGAAAAGTTGACATGTTGCGGCAGAAAAACTTACAATCAAGATCAAGGGTCTTAAAGTACTCGGTGATGTCCGGGTCTCTATCCTGGACCGTCAACTTTCCCTCTTCGCTCCGCATAGTTTGGGGTAACGCCTTGCGGATGGACAAGAGCATTTTCAGCAACCCGGCCAAGTTTCCGCCCTGCTGAGTGAAAACACTTGGGTCGCGCTCCAGGGGCCAGCCTGGACGGAGATGGTCCTGCTCCCAAGCCTTGAAGGCCCAGGTTGACTTTTCCACGCAGTTGAGGAAGATTAAGGCGGTAAGATAGACCTTGAAGCCGACCTTTGTTTTGCTATCAGTGAGAAGCCTATCCATATGATTCAGCAGGCTCTTGGAAGTGCTATTAGCTTTTCGTTCGGCCGCAGCATTGAGTTGCATGCAAATCATGGTGTAAATATCGGCGTCGTTTTCGTTTTGCGCTTCTTTAATCCATCTCGGTTCTTCTCCTTCGGCGCTGGGCTTCTCTAGGATGGTCCATTGTCTTTCGCGGTCAATGCTCTCCACAAGGCCCCAAAGCTCCAGAGCCTTCTTGAGAAGATCGTCTTCTCCCTTTGAGAGCTGGTGGTATGCAGCCTCGAGCGTCACTTTCATAAATTTTGACGGCTCGCGCTCAATAAACGTGGACAGCACATCTCGCATATACGCCTCGGCTTTGGCTGGGATATCTTCCGAGTCTTGGTCAATCATAATGACTTGGTGAAAGGGCTCTTTGTTCCCACGAGCCTCTGCCTGAGTTTCGTTGGGCTCCAATGGATACACCAAGGCTCCAAACACAATCTTCTTGCCTGCTTCAGGAAAGTGTGATACCTCAATCAAGCTCCCATCGTTGGTAAGCTTGAGTTGGTCCTTGATGAGGTTGATGCGGTTTTGGGAGAGGACGACCTGAACGCCGGCAGCATACAGGTCGAGCTGTTCGTGCAGTCTGGTACGGACACAGCCAGTCCTCCAGACACGAGGTGCCAAGACTTTGCGGCAAGTATCGCAAGGAGTTCCCTTGCCACAGTTCTTTCTCAGAATCCGGCACCTTATACAAGCACCTATTTTCCGTACCTCCTGGACCTCTTTCCGCCTAGCAGGAGTGAATCTCGACCGTGCATGACGGGCTCTGCCGTTGATCAACCCGTCACTCGTATCCATTCGGACACCGCCACGACTCATAAGCGGTAGCGCTGGAGAAGTTTCTGTGAGGAGCGGGATCGGGGCAGTGGTAGTCAAGTATGTCATCTCGCCCCACGGCTGGGAAACGCTCGTATCGGGTAGGGAGACGGGGATAGGGGCGGTTGGCATTGGGTCGACGGGCGCTTGTGGCTCTGCGGCTGGAGGAGACGGGGTCGGCGGAATGTCAGTATGGACAAGCTGGGGGTCGAGAAACGAGGGGTTCAAGCGAGCCGTGGCGGCAACGGCAACAGAGATGTTGGAGGCATCTGGCAGCACATCGCCAGGGGGGAGCAAAGCCTGGAGGCGTTCTTCCGGTGAGAGCTCAGAAGTCGGTGACGCCACCTGCACAGCAACGGTGCCTGCAGAAAACAGATTAGCTCCTATAATATTATATGCATATAAAATATGCCCTGGAGAACCAACTGATGCTTACTCTTCTCCTTCTTGACGCTGGTGCTTGTCTGAGGGCGGCTCTCATAAGCTTGGGGAGGGTTCTCCAGCGTAAACTGCTCCTGCAGCTCCAGGCGATCGGTCACGAACCCGCCGCCATTGGCAGGATTGGCGGCGTCTGCTGCCTTCTGGCCTCGATTGTTCTCGTTAAGATCAACCTGGCGCGATGCCTCGGCAAGTGTCTCGAGAGCGCTCCATCCTCCCTGTGGCGGCGCAAGCTGGGCGGGCGGCTGGCCATTGACGGAGACCCCGCCGAGAGGCTGCCGCTCAACAGCTGCCCGGGCCGTGATGCCGTGGAGCTCGAGACACGCCCGCATGCGGTCGGAGTCGGAGATGGCCGGGCATTTCTTGGTGATGTGCGTCGTCAGGCTGTCGATGCGGCCCTTGGGGAAGTTCTCGCCGCACTGCTTGCACGTGTGCGGATAGCGGTTGCTGTTGTCGTTGAGCTTTGGCCCACGGACAAAGTACTCGAGGATGAGGGGGTTCGGCTTGCGACCCATTGCGCAGGGCTGTCGGTTCGGTTCGATTCGATTAAATTCGATTCGACTGAATTCGGTACGGCTGGAGACGCTCGGCTCGGCGCAGAAGGGCCTGGGCGTCTCGATGGCGGCCGGTTGGCGGTCGGTGGTGATGCTGTTGCCGGCGGGTGGCAGAAAAGGCGGAACACAAGCAGCGCTGCGGTTCTGACGTGGGCCTGGATTCTGCCCGCGTTATCGACAAAATATTTCCAGACCGCCTGTCGGTGGCAAAGCGGTATGCAAAAAAAAAAAGAGGGCCTGCAGGGGGGTTAATGCGCACACAGATGGACAATAGGCGCAGACAGTGGCTGCGGATGTTGGGCGGTGAAAGTGTGTGTATGTTTTCTGTCTCGGTCCAATTTAGTGCGGGCTTGCTGAGGTAAGCCGTCGGCGCCATGTTAATCCGAGCATGATGAAATTCCCCGATTCAGAGATGCAGAACCCCACCATCTCCCGTGTTGAAAGAGACTTGTGATAATGATCAAGTCGTACCAGAGTTGTAATCAAGTGATGATGCAAGCTCTGATGAGAGTATAAGCCTCTACTGCTCAGAAACGGAGTTCAGGTTGTCAACATTTCGCAGCATCCAAGCATCGGAGTTCGGCAAACTCTCGTCAACACCTTGTAAGTGCTACCACATGTAGCTCAAGTCACGCTCTTACAGGGCAAGGCAATACTGTGACTTTGCCATGCAACATTACCACACCCATATATGGCTGTTGGCTCTGCTCCTTTGTTCTCGCCTGCACGTGGCTTGGCGTGATGAGATGGCACAGTAACATGACAATGAAGCACCATCTGTGTTGCTACCCCGCATTGCCATCCTGTTCATCCAATGTTGTTTCGTCCTGGAAGCTTGCCGTGGTAAGAGTCTCATGCCAACCTCAAAGTAGGTAGGTAGTTTTGTGTGGGAATGCTCTGCATGATAACATAGATACGCCGTATCAGAACTACATTTATACCTGCAATCAGACGATAAGTGCCCACCACAAGGAAACATCGTCCCTGCACATGAATCCACTCTCGATAACCCGAGATGCTGCGTTCCTGGGACTAACTTATTTGGGTCTGCGCCACGAGATGCAAGTGCCTCGAGCCTAGAACGCCTCTCCCGGCCTGTGACCCCGCAGAGAAGAGAGTCTGCCTGAAGACACCCTACAAGAAGATTGAACACCTGTGAATTCATTACAAGCCGGGCCTGGCTACTTTGAGTTGATTCATCCAAGACTCAAGCCAGTTACTAGGGCCCTTGGTAGGCTGTCCATTTAGTACTGTCTCCATAAGCCTATATGAAAGAAGCTTAAGAAGAAGGCCCTCTTTACGCTACTAATAGGCTAATACGGCATCTCCACAAGTGGTAGGTGCTCAAGCAGCTGCTTTACAGTAGGTAGATGTTAGTGGGCGTTGCATCCCTTCCATTGTAAACCAACACAACTAGTATTAGGTGCCGTACGCCTCGAGACGAGGTCTAGCCCGCGTCCGTGATCCTGCCGCTTCTGGCTGCAAGTCATGCGACACGTCTTCATTTATTTGGCTTCTTCTATCCAAAGCGGCGCGTGCTCGTTCAACAGTCCTCATCGGCTGAACCGGCGCGAAAGGCGGCCGAAGTGGGCATCTTTAATTGTATTGAGACTTTCACCAGCTTGTAAGACATGTCATTACGGAGAGACAGCGCCGGCCCCAAGACTCGGCACTGTTTACTCCGGCTTGTCCCCCCCTCGCTTCTGCAAGGAAAGAAAAAAAGCGCGATTTGCAATCATCCAGACGATATCGCAAGATAAGATTTGATATGATGATACTGCTGAAATTGCGCCACTTCGGCATTTGAACGGCTTTTTCTCACAGATCTTGACGGCTCCAAGTTGGGCGGCTTGCCTATTTAGGCACTATGCAGGGTCCCTTAGCCACTCAGGTGGCATGCGCATCCCACGTTGTCTCTCAGGCGCCGCCCACTCATGATCAACCCCTCGGAACGTGATTCCATGTGTAGTAGCCAGTGCATGAAAGGAACTCTTGTTGCTGCTTTTTCTGTTCGTGTGGAGCATGCATAATGCGGCGTTTGCTTTCCGCCTTGGCATTTTGAACAGCGAGAGGAGGGGGTGGGAGGGTTCTTTGGCTCGAGAATTGCATATAAGTCTGGTGTAATGTACGGCATCAACCGCTGATCTACTTCAGTATGCTCATTGCATCTATTGTGCTGTGCATACTTATAATCATAATGTATTCTACATTAGTATTATTGCCTTTCATCGCATTAGCCAACTCGGCTGCGCTTCCTCCCGTTGACTTAGCCAGCTATGTCTTGACCAGTGTAAGTGAATTAACCAAGTCTTGTATATAGCATCTGTTTACTCATACATGCTACGTTTTGAATCAACAAACTGACCCTTTATATGAATAGACGGGAGAAACAAATGGCGGAAACACTTTCCCAGGTGTTTCTCGCCCACTGGGCATGGTCAAGCTCGGCCCTGATCTTTACTCTGGCACAGACGCTTACTCTGGGTATCTTGCAAATGGCAACTTCACCGGCTTCACCATGCTTCATGAGAGCGGCACTGGAGGCGCTCCCAAATACGGCGTCGTTTCTCAGATGCCCGTGGTTGGGACGGTAAACAACCCCCTTAGCGACGCCATCAACGACACGCGCGCCCTGCCTGATTACACCGAGATTGGCTACTACAAAGCAAGTCTCGGCTCTGGAACTGTCTTGGAAATGGCCGCCACCAACAAAGCGGGCATGTTTCAGTACACATTCCCTAGCGTCGACAAAGATCTCAATGTCCTTGTTGATGTGTCTCACGTCTTGTCGTCTTATCGCGGCCAAGGCCTGGAACAGCACTTCTTGGGAGGCAATATTACTGTCAAAGAAGATACTGATGCCGGGCATTATTACTATACTGGATCAGGGACTTACGACAATGTGAGTCAACATCCCGCCTGCCCGCCCCTGCTTTTGGATTTCGGAACTGTCTTGCTGAGATGAATTATAGGGATGGAACAGAGCTGCTCCTTGGACAGTCTATTTCTGCGGATATTTCGACGCCCCGGCTTCGTTCAAAACATTTATTGGAACGAGCCTAAACACGTCAACTCTGGCTGCGTTTTCAAACGAGGAGACCAGCTATAGCTCCAAGACTGCGAGACTGGGCGCGCTCTTCACTTTCACGCAAACCTCTGTGACTTCCAGAGTCGGCGTTTCATTCATCTCAGAGTCCCAAGCATGCGCCAACGTCAACGCAGAGATTCCCAAGGGCACCAAGTTTGCGACTGTGTACCAGGACACTCGAGATGCTTGGAACACACAGGTCTTGTCAAAAGTGACAACCACTGAAACCAACGTCACGAAGCTGAACCAGCTCTATTCTGCACTTTATTTCATGCATTTGCTCCCCACCAACAAGACGGGAGAAAACCCTCTGTGGAAATCTAGTGCACCCTACTACGATGACATCTTCACTTTCTGGGACACGGTAAGCCCTCTAGGTTAACTCTCTTCTCGGTTTGATTCATGGCTAATAATAAACGTCTCAACAGCATCGCTGCACAACCCCTCTGCTTCACATCCTTCAACCGGTGTTTTATGAAGAGCTCTTGAGATCCATGATTGACATCTATAGCCATGAAGGCTATACCTCCGATGCTCGTTCTTCGTTTTCGAACGGTGCCGTCCAGGGAGGCTCCAACAGCGATAACGTCTTCGCTGATGCGTACGTCAAGGGTGTGCGCGGCAAGGTCGACTGGGAAACCGCCTATGCTTCCATGACGAAGAATGCTGAAGTCACGCCGGACAACAACAACGATCCCCGCGATCCTACGGGCTCAACCAAGGAAGGACGAAGCGCTCTGCCGGACTGGCGGCAGTATGGCTACATCACTCCTCGCTTTGGAAGATCTGTGAGCCGAGCTGTTGAATAGTGAGTAACCCATCTGTATCTTACGCTCATCTTCATTTAACCTAACGTTTGTGCAGCGCGGTCAATGACTTCTCGCTGGCAACTGTTGCCAACGGCCTTGGTCTTCAATATGACTTCAAAAAGTATCTCAGCAGATCCCACAACTGGCGCAACCACTGGAACACCAACATGACCGCCCTCGGATTCTCCGGCTTCCTTGGCCCCAGAAACACCAGTGGCTTCATCAGCCAGGATCCCCTTTCCTGCGGTGGCTGCTACTGGGCAGACCTGTACTACCAGGCTCTTCCCTGGGAGTATTCCTTCAATGCTCACCATGATATGGGGACCCTCGTCGATTACTGCGGCGGAGCAGACACATTCGTCAAGCGCCTCGAGATGACTTTCCAGCCCGGCATTTACTCCGGCAATCGCGCTTTTGGCAGCACAATCTTCAACCCTGGAAACGAACCCAGTTTCGCTACCCCGTATCTGTACAATTATGTCAACAGACAGGATCTTTCCGTCTTGAGAAGTCGCTTCATCGCCAAATCGTACTACAGCCCCACGCAAGGCGGCCTTCCGGGTAACAGTGACGCTGGAGCCATGGAGTCATGGCTCTTGTGGAGCATGATTGGTTTATTCCCCGTAACTGGCCAAACTACTTTCCTCATCGGATCGCCCTGGTTCACAGACCTGACCATCTCTTTGGGTGGCGGCAAGAAGCTCAAGATCACCACCACTGGCGGCAGCGAGAACGTCTATTACGTCCAGTCGCTCAAGGTCAACGGCCGCCCGTGGAACAAGAGCTGGGTGAGCTGGTATGACATTTTTGCCAAGGGAGGAAGCCTCGATTTTGTGCTTGGCAGCACGCCGAGTAACTGGACGACTGGCCCAACGCCGCCCAGTCCGGGGAGTGTGAGCGCAACTGCTGCCGAGCAGTTGTTGATTGACATGTCCAAGGGAGCCAGTTCTTGAGTTGGATACATGAGAAAGGGAAAAAAAGGAATGAAAAACAAAACAAGATGTAAATAATAGTATATAGTATATTTGTGATATAGTAATGAACTGCTTCGACAAGTGCAACTCCAACTCCTGTCCACGTGCTTGCGTGGCAACACTATAATGTGAACATACCATTATGTGAACATTTGAGAAAATAAAAAGCAAAACGCGATTGCTGATTGAAACGAAAAAAGCGGCCGCATGTAAGTGGTATATATCCGCATACATCAATAAAATAAATCTGGTATTTTCCCTCTTCCTTATTTCCAGTCACCCAAAGAACGCCTCGCTATGCCTGCCTGGCTAGGTGGAGTTGGCATATAGATCTGAAATCCTTCTAACAGCTTTCCATAACAATCAAGTAAATAAACGCCCGCTTATTTGTTATCAGCGCCCCAAACGTTCCGAAACTCGTCAGAGTCTGATATTTGGTAGCTGGATACACTCTCTCGTGCGTCGTTACGTTCTGTAGAGGCCCACGGCCCCTGCTCTTCGGCGGCTGGGCTGTGGCTGCCATCGTAGCCCTGTGTAGCTCTGGCATTGCCCTGGTCTTCGTGGTCGGATATGACATCAGATGGTGTAGGGTCTGGGTGCTTTACCACCTTCTTTGACTTCTTCTTCTTCTTAATAACAACCACTGGCGGCTCTTGTTGCTCTGAATGCTCTGAATCAGTTTGTTTGCCTTTTTGCTGCGATGACTCGGCTGCATCGTTATTTGTTGGGATGCTGTTGTATGTATGAGAGTTGAGAATTCTGGTTTCCGAGCTGCTTGCCCAGGAAGCATAACGTTCCCTGAGTGGTTCGCTTGCCGTGATGACGGGATACTATTTTCATAGTCAGTGGATGTAAAACAATTATTTACCACGAAAAAAAGGCCGACAACTTACGTTCCAATCCCCATACTCTAGTTGTCGGGCCTTATCATATAGGCGCTCATCATCAGCATCAATTTCCGGCTCGTCGAATGTTCCATGGGTATTATCGTTGAGTTGATCGGGGCGAGTGGAGCTGGATGCTCCATTGTCATTACCCAGCAAGGGCGCTGTCGCATTCACCTCCCCTGGCTTTGGAATCCAATATTTTCCTTTGCCTCCCCGTTCATATCGCATGCCTTCCTTCAGTCTAGCATATCTTGAGCTAGATTCTTCGTGCGCAATGACCCTGTCGCCAGAATCAAATGATCGATAGCCGTAATTGTCTCCTCTGAAAGTCTCCTTGGAATCTTCAATGAGATCTCTGATACCGAATGCATCACGGAAAGCAAAGTTGAGGGGCATGCGAGCCGACTGGATCCTATTATCGGCAAAGTCGTGCCAAGAAAAGGCATACCAGTGAGCAACAGCGAAAATCGGCATCTCCACGCAGATGAGGGCGTCTTGGATGGCCGCTGCCAGGTTGTCACGTGTGTAACCCTGAACGTCATCGGGGATAGCCCCAAGCCAGACGAGAATCGATAGGAAAAACCCTTGCCAATATGAAGCAAAGATGATGAGTTTGATGCACAAGAATTTGGGGACAGGCCGGAACGGCACCAAGTCTTTGTGCATGCAAACCCAAAACAGCCCGAGCGAGTACAGGCTGACTGTGACACTAATGTTGTATATTATGCCGCTCCAAAAGTAGCCAGATTTAGCTCCGATATATCCTTCCTGGTAGGTGCCTGTAGCCTTCATGATGATAGCCGCGAGAGCGAGGATGGGTTTAAGCCATGCATACTGAAGAATGCCCCGCTTGATGGCGAGGAATGTGTACGGGTCTGAGATGTCGACTTTGGATAGGACATGGTTCATGGGCCATAAATGGTGGACGGGAGCCCGACCGTGGGGCATAATGATGGCCGACCGCTCTCCGCCCAAGTAATTGATCAGAAGTTGGAAAAAGGTATATATTGTAAATGCTTCATAGATGTCGCGAACAGGATCTAAGAACGAAGCAGCTCTTAACGAGACCATGCTTGTGAATGATGCGATCGAGTATATCGGGACCATCAGCAGGATGCGGACGACGTAGCGCTGGAGCAGCGGCTTGCGATAGTTCTTTGCTTGTAGCCATATCGAGCTGCCCAGGCACTGGTTAGGACGCTTCACAGGCGGCGGGACGGAAATTCGGCTTACATCGCTGATACCACCGTTGCCGCCAGAGCTGCAACACCCGCGACCACGGTGGTGGCGGTGGTGAACTTTTGGCCGGTGCCCAGGTCAGGCATGATGGCGACGCGACTCCCTGAGGGAGATTAGGTTGGAGGAGAGTCTAGGCGGCGCAGAGAATGGTTCGTTTAGGTCATCGCTGAGCCCTGCCTGCGGTCTTGGTCGAATCAAGGGGATTTGCAGCTTTGCCAAAGCTCTCGGGGCGACGAGGATGGTCTCGTGGCCAAAACAACGATGGAGAAAAAACGAAGTTTAAAGTATGACGAAGCTCACAAGATCAGATCGATCTAATAGCAGGAGGTCGCTGGTGCTGCTTGGCTCCCAAAGGGATTCGCGGCCGGAGCTTGGACCCCGGGGGAGGTACCCGCTCACCCGTGCTCGGCGCGGAAATACTTTCAGATGATGTACAAAGCATGCCTTGCTGCTGCATAAAGCTCCACTGGGGCGGTGGACCGGGGCGAATGGACGCTGGAAATGGCAATTTAGCGGATAGCTCTAGCGCTCCTAGGGGGTGGACGTCAATCCCCAAACCCCAGCTGTGGAATTGATTCTATTCGTGCCTTCATCCAACACCAACATCTGCTGGCACACTTTCTAGACGCCGCGGCTTCAGAGACATGCAGAGGAGGATCGACCGGCCCCTCCCACGATAATCCCCGTCAATCGGAGAGCTGCGGCTACGGACAATGATATTGGGTCTCTGGTGGGCGTGGGGAAGCTCGATCGCGAAGCTCTCGTCGAGATGGATCGGCTGCTGAGCGTAACCGACGCAGATACACAACCCCAGGTGACGCCGGGCTTCAACTTCGAGTTTCTCATCTTTCTGATCCTTTCCGCAATCCTCGCCATATTCTTTCTGCTCTACTTTAACCGACTGTTTGGCTCTGTCGTGTCATATGTGATTCGGACTTGGACATGGCATCAATACCACATATATCTCGACATAAAGGCGCTTCAAGTATCGCTTTTGGCTGGTCGAGTGTTTTTTACGGGATTGCGATACCACGGCGCGAACGAAACCTTTTGTATTCAACATGGAGACATTACCTGGAGATACTGGCTGCGCCGAGTCAGAGAGGCAGACATATTCGCGTCGGCTGGGGAAGGGGAGATGTTGGAATCGGAAAGACGGAAGAATGCGGCGTTACCATGTCGGATAAACTTGAATCTTGTTGGTTTGGAGTGGTTTGTTTACAACCGCAGTCCAGCGTATGATTCGGTCCTTGCCGGCATCATCGATCCAACTTCATCCGGCTCAAGCTCGAGCGTTGGGGGATTTGATGAGAAGGGAGATACAGGATTGCGATCACGGAAGACGAACCAGGAAGATACAACCGAACGAGACCGAGACTATACCCCCCACGAAGAGAGCAATAGGGCATTGAACGGAAACGGAAAGCCTGAAATAGGAAGTCGGCCCAGCACTGGCTACAAAAGCAAGAGTAGCGATGAGGCCGCAGACGACGAAGTTTCAGAGCTACCTTTTATCCTCAAACTATTTCCCATCCAGATCGAATGCCAGAAAGCTGCGGCAGTGTTTGGAAATGACAACACCAAAGCAATCCTAATCGTGAAAGCCGATTCTCTTTCTGGAGACGTTGATGCTTCAGAGACGAAGACCGTGGATCAATACAGACAGACATTCAAGATTGAACTGGAGCATCCTGTGGTGGAAATGCTGGATAACTCGGACTATAAGGAGGACCAGGCCGCACGAGCCAAACGGGAGCGAGATAACGTTCCCCAGGATTCACAGGAAGCTCCAAGGAAGTCATATTTCCGCCAACATAGACGCAAGGCACTGAGCTCCTTGCGGAATCTGGTGCCCTATTGGCGAAGATCTGTGGAGTCGTTTTCAAGTGACGCTCGGGCTGGAGGGGGTGCTGCTCCAGCCCAGGTTCCTGGAGCTGTCCAATGGCAAGGCTTGTCACGGTATCTCGATGATCAGGATATAGATGATAAGACTCGCTGGTCTTCTGTTGAATATGCTGCGGTTTCAACCGTTCTCGATAGCCCAGCCTGCCACTTGACTGTATACTGGGATGCTGTCAGCAAAGTAACCGAAGATGCTCATCGTCAGAGACAAATGAACCCATCTTTGAATATCAATGGGTCAGAGCCACCAGCTTGGGGAGTGCATTTATCGGTAAAGGGAGGGACTATGAATTACGGGCCATGGGCTGATCGGCAAAGGGCTGATTTACAACGTGTTTTTGTGCCTTCGCTCTCCAAGGATGGCACCGCCACTGGACCGCTTCCGGTTGGAGCATGGAGAGTCCCTACACTTTTTGACTTGCTGGTAGAACTGGACGACACAGTTACGCTTCGTATCCCCATAAGGGAGGAGTCTAAAAACTGGCGTTGGCGTGGTAAAGAGCCGCCACTAGTCAAGCAAGAAACGACTCGCAATACACGCAAGCATCGGGCCAGGGGTAAGAAAAGTTCAAAAAGCGAGGCGGTCCAGCTTCGCCAGTCCGGTTGGCTTGAGTTCAAGCTTCCTCAAAACTCCACCATTAGATATTCCATGGACATGGTGGCCAGCCCAAGTGGCTATAAAAACAAGCTGGCGGTTCAGATGCCGAGCACTGAGCTACGAAGCAGCGTCAATCATGATGTACTCTGGCGGTCTGGTCCCCAACAGATTTCCTGCGATCTTTCAACCCCGCTCTCGTGGAATACGCTGCGGAATTGGAATTTTAACATAGCATGCGATGGAATGGACATGTATCTCCTGAGGGACCACATCTTCTTGATCATTGACTTGGTTGACGACTGGGGAGCAGGCCCCCCTGCCGAATATCTTGTGTTCACGCCCTTTTTATACCATCTTCATCTCAGTTTACGGAATGTGAAAATCCATCTCAACGTCAACGACGAGAATATCATCGATAAACCAACTGATATGGATGAAAACACGTTTCTTATACTTTCTAGCCCGGAATTGAAAGCTGAAACCTGCATACCTCTTGATACTTTCCGACCAAGCAAGAACAGTATTCCTTTCGATATACGAACTGAAACTCTTGACCTGGCACTGCATGCTTCCGAGTCAAATACGCAGGCAACATTTCTGAAATCCAAAGAACTGGGACATATTGAAGGCTTAGCAGTCGCTGGAAGTTATCAATACAATGCAACTACCTCTCCCGCTAATACAGATACTCTCGACTTAAATATCCACGCCCAGTCACCTTCCGTTTACCTCTACGGCTTCGTTGTTCGGTACTTTATGCTACTCAAAGACAACTATTTCGGCGAGTTTGTACATTTCAGAACTCAAGAGGAATATCAGGAGCAACTACAAGCGAAGGCGCAGAATCCAGATGCTGAGCCGGCTATTCGCCCCCCTAGCAAGAAATCCAATGACCTTGACGTGATCTTGGCCATTAAACTAGACGACCCTCGCCTCTTGATCCCTACTAATATTTACTCCTCAAAGTGCTATCTTCAGGGTGAATTGGCCTCTTTATCCCTGGACTTGCGTTTTACAAATTACTATATGGATATGGAACTTGATCTAAGTCCATTATCGCTGTCTTTGGGCAGCTCAGAGAGCAATTTGGATTCTGCCAGTGTATCAACTGCTGATACGCAACTGTTTGTTGATGGCGTTCGAGTATTTGGCCACCGTACCTTCGGCTTGCCTCCATCAGAGCCAACATACCTTTGTAACTGGGATGTCGCTGTTGGCGCAGTCGCCGGAGAGTGCACAACTGACTTTGTAGCCGCTTTGACTAAAGCAGGACCAGCATTTGGGTTTACGTTTGACGACGTGGAAAACGCCGTGGTGCCGTATTCCTCGTTAATATTTTACGACGTGACATTTGTTCGAGTTGCTGTCCAGTCAATTCGCCTCTGGATACATGTAGAAGAAAGCGTTTTCTGCTTTTCTACTGATGCCATCGACGTCAACAGCAATGACTGGGCCCGCTCGCACTACTCAAAGCGAGCCAACGTGCTCATACCAAACCTTCAGCTCTCATGCATAAATGCGGACTCAGCGGCGAGACACAAGTCACGCCCGCAGCACCCGGTTGAAACTCAGGCATACCTTAAAACAGATATTCGGTTGGCATCCATTGGAAGGAAATTTCATTTTTCTGAAGAACGGAAAATCCAGCAAGACCTAATCTATCGCGAGGATCAACGAACAGACAGAACGCCGTTTCTTCTTCTCCCTGGTACAGGCGGCGATTTAGTTTCCGAACAAGTCGACCCTCCCGCGCAATGCATGCCTCCCCCTCCTCCTCCTCTTGCCGATATTGAGTACGATAAGGCCTCAGTGAGCACACGCTCGCGGAGAGTGACCCGCCAAAGGTCGTTTCTCTCCTTTGCTAGCTCTTCGAGCGACAGCAGTCTCGGGTTTCGCAGTAGCCGCCGTGATATACAAAGAACATCACAATTTGGAGGCAGCTTGTCGACCAGGTCTGCCGCTATGATGGGCTCTCGCTCTGAGATGGACAGGGTGGAGGCTGCTTCTCCTGGTAGACGGCCTTCTTTCTACAGCACTGTTGGCGACTATTCGGCAAAGGAAAACACCGAACAATCTCAAATTGCCTTTTCGAGTCAATACTTCAACCCAAACTTTCCATTGGAGGGAGTCAGACCCGATATTAGAGACGCAACTTTCCCGCCAATCGATGAAGAAGAGTTTGAGTTTTTCAATCGACTGAAGCTGGATTTGAATGATATCTCCTCTACTGATCTTAGCGAAGATCACGCTCAGTCGAGCACTATTCTTGAGTTCCCTTCTGGAATAAACGCATTTATCACTCCTGAAGCTATCCGCCATGTCACTATCCTGATGGCGGCCTTGCAGCCGGCTGACCCTGAAGATGTGCTAGACTCTCTCCAGTCTGGTACTATTACGGACATCTTCAAAGCCCGAAAAGAAGCACCAATCAAAGGCGAGATGCTTGATTTTATGGTCAAATTACCTAGAATCAATCTCCGATTTCTCAACTCGTCGACACTAGATTCGCCAGACCCATCTGAAGAAGAGCTAGATCAATATGACCTAACAATATCCAAGGTCTCTGTTGTGACGCGAACTACAAAAGAACGAGGCGTTATCAATGCTAGAACTTCTCTGGACTTACGTTTAGGCTCCATTGAGATGTCAGCCTCAGAGCGACTTTCGTCTGTCCAGAAGCCACAGGCAGCTGTAGTAGTCCAAATCGATGGAGTGAGGGTCTCTCTAGGAGCCAAAGACATCACATACTTTGACGCCGATATTGGCTCAATCGAGGGAAGAACCGCGTCAGGCAAGATCGAGTATCTAGCCTCTTTGATTCACCGCACAGGCGAAGTCGCTACCGAGCTGGAGCGACTCTTGACAGAGGTCAATCAGCGCCACTCTACGCACGTCAGATACTTTGTGCTACGCCTGCTGCAGCTGGGAGAGGCAACAAATGACCCTCCATTCCTTATACGGCCTTCGGCTGTTCTCAGATCTGCAAATCAACATTTGAGAACAGTGGATTCTTGGAAAATGATCATGCGACTTCGCCAAATCTGGGATACTAAAAACGAGTTTGAGAAAGCTCAATTGATCCAAGAGTGCTGGGGCGAATCGCCCACTCTTCCACCTGACGCAGTGCAATGCGTGGTGAGCTCCTTTGAGAAGTGGAGAAACTGGGATTTGGAAAACGTTTCACACACTCTCCTCCTAAGGAAAATCTTTGGCGATATAGGAGCCGATGACCAGGAGGACGAAGAAGTATATCCCCTCTTAGGTGCTTGTAAGCTCGGCAACGTTTGCCTCATACTAGATCCAGGCCCAAAGCAAAACAGAGTTGGGTTTGTCGATCTCAGTGCAAGAGTTGAAAGAAAATTGGGGGATCCTACAACTGCCGTCTTGGGGACAATACCTGTGACTGTTTTGAATATATGCTGTGGTGATGCATTACTCAACTTGAACTGGGAACTTTGTGTTCTTGCCGATGATGTCTTGCGGCTATACCACAGAAGCCAGAGCCAGGCCCCTGCTCCCTTTCAGAAGCCGGTTTTGGAGGCCATCAAGCCGACAAAGAAGCCATCAACAGCTTATCATCTTGCTCTTGAGCTCATCAAGGGGTCTATCGAACTTGAGACGGTGAACCTAAGCGCGAAGACTTTAGGTGACGGGCTTAAAGCTTCCTTACTCACTTTTGATACGAGTGAGGGCGCAACTCTCACAAGCTTGATGATAAATTGTGATGCTGTCACCTCCATGATGCATAGTCATTCGCATCACCTGGGCGTTTCTCAGTTTCGAAGACCGAGTCTATGCGTTTCGCATGAACTAAGAACGGTCGATGAGGTGTCAGCACACAAAGTCAAAGCAACGGCTAGCAGCCAGGGCCTGACGTTCACTGTGAAGCAAGACCCTATCGGTCTCATGGAAGTTCTTGATCTACTCTTTAGAGACGAGATTGCTCAGCTCCATCGCTTGAAAACACAGCTTCCTGATTTCTCAAAGGCAGAATCACAGGCTGAATCGGCTGACCGCCCGTCAAACTTCAGGATCAATATCGCCACATTCATAGATGATTACCAAATCAGGCTTCCTTTGATACCGTCTCTCACATATCAAATCTCTGGCGTCGTCGCGCGGGCGGCATGTGCGGCAGACTCTTCCAAAGAAATCATTTTTGACTTTGACGTCAAAGAAAACTCTCATGAGATGCAAATCAACGTCAAGAATGAGTCTCGCACCATCTCTTGTTTGCAAATACCCCCTACAAATGGACGCATCACAATGAGCCAGGGACAGAAGGCAGAGAGTATACTGAACGTGCTCTGTTCGGTTGAAGTTATGCGTTTGGATGCATCGGCAATATATAATCTCCTCACAGCGCTGAATCGACCACAAATTTCCACTGCCATCGAAGAGATACAGCTGCAATCTAAAGCCATCCAAGAACATATCGAAGATATCTTTGGGACTAGCGAGACAAAAGAGGTTGAAAAACCCAGCTCGAATATGGTATACGCTGTTCATCTTACTATGGAAGGATTACAAATTGCATCTAAGACGGCTTTGAAGTCTGAAGCTGGATCAATGGCGCACGTACTCTTTTTCATGGATAAAGCTTATTTGCGAGCATCTAACCGTCATGAAGTACACGGCCCTATTCTCAAATATCCAGAGATACACTTGAACCTCAGACATGTTGGATTTGACATCCAAAGAGGAACGGAAGACAACATGAGGTCCTGTGGTAATTTCGGTGCAAGCTTTACAATATCGGCCAGTTCAAGCTCTGGAGATGACGGCAAAGACGAGTGGTCATTCAACTTCAGGAGCGACGATTTTGACGTGAATTTATCGCCAAGGTCGACATCCACAGCTGTTGATGTGCTGGGTTACCTAGGGACAAAGATAAAGGACTTGGACACATCGCGAGAATTAGAATATCTACGGAGACTCAGACAATCCAAGCCACGAATCTCCATTAACGATGATGAGGTCTTACCCGAGTATACGGACATTCTCGACTCTATTCTTGGATCTGTCGTTTATCGTTTCGAATTACGAAACATTCGCGCTTCCTGGAATGTTGCGGATGATAGTGGGCATCAAGCGAGCAACGAGGAAGATCTAGTACTATCTATCAAATTAATCGAGTTCGGTACGAGGACCAAGAGATCTGCACGACTGGCCATAGAAGACTTTCAACTTCAAACGGTACCACCTGGCCATGACAGAAATTTGAGATCTGTACACTCGGCACTTCTTCCCCAAGTCATTTTCAACATTGCCTACTTCTCCACGGCGGATGCTCGCCGGTTGGCATTCCAAGCCTCGGGCGAATCCTTGGATCTCAGATTGACATCGGCTTTCATAGTCCCGGCAGCCAACTTGGTTGAATCAATATCGTTATCAGCAAAGAATGTGCAGAAGGCATCGATACAATGGAATAACGAGGCAGCGCAAAGTAATAAGAAGCCTGAAAGCGCACCCAAGCCCAAGCCTTCACGAAGTGCCTTTGGCAACAAACGACTTGAGAGCCTGCTCATGGATGCCGATTTTGCAGGCGCGGTTGTTTACGTATCAAGCGCAAAGTCTGCTCATGATGCTGCGCGGCTTTCACGAAGCGGCCGCCGCCCGTCCCTGGCAGGAAAATATGGCCAGTTCACAACAGACGACTCAGGAAGCGGCGCAGTGTTGCGAAGCCCTGGGCTTGCCTGGAAGGCTGAATACCGAGACAATGGCCGGGATGATCCTGCACTATCGGGCGAAGTCAAGATTGATGCTTCGAGCAATATCCTGTACCCATCTGTCGTTCCGCTCATTATGGACATTGTGGCTAGCGTGAAGGAGGTAGTGAGTGGCGATACTGATAGTGAACCAGCCTCAGAGCCGGAGCCGCCAAAGCTGAAACCAGAGAAGTCTGGAGATGAGGATAATATCCTTACTGCAGACCCTAGCGCGGTATTGGGTCGTGTCAAGCTGAACTTGGGCCTACGTATCTGCAGACAAGAATTCTCCCTAAGCTGCCAGCCTATAGCCCGTGTTGCCGCCACGACAAGCTTCGAAAGCGTGTACTTTACTCTCAACACAGTTTCTTCACAAGACCACGGAAACTTTTTTGCGATATCCGGTGTTCTTAATAAACCACAAGCTTCGGTACAGCATGTGTATTCGAGAGAGTCGACTGCAAGCTTCGAGGTCGACACTGTGACGCTTTCATTCATGAATAGCAAGCACGTCAGCGGCACAAGCGGTGTTTCGGCTATTCTGAGTGTAAGCCCCATGAAAATTTCCGTCAACGCCAAGCAGGTACAAGACTTTTTACTGTTTGAAGAAATCTGGTATCCTAAAGACTTGAGAGGTGCAAGCACGACTCCGCCAGTGCCCAAGCTAGCTACAGAGACATCACAAGGCCACTTGGTTCAAAGATACCAGCAGGTAGCGGCCACGGCAGCTTTCCCGTGGACGGCGACGATATCCATCGCCGCCCTGGACGTCAGCGTTGATATGGGGCAAGCGATAGGCAAATCTGTCTTTGAGATTAGCAAATTTTGGGTATCGTCTAAGAAGACGTCTGACTGGGAGCAGAATCTATGTCTTGGCTTTGATAAGATTGGCATAGACTGTACCGGTCGCTTAAGTGGTTTCATTGCTCTGCGGCATTTCAAACTACGGACCTCGATCCATTGGCCGAAGCGAGAAAAGGCACTCAATGAAACTCCTCTGATCCAGGCGTCTATTAGCTTCAACGAGCTACGTGTCAAGGCAGCGTTTGACTATCAAGCCTTTTTGATTGCAGACATCACTTCGTTGGAATTCTTGATGTACAATGTGAGAGAGGGTAAAGATAGCAGAGGAGACCGCCTCGTAGCAATTTTCGATGGCGATGCTGTGCAGGTATTTGGCACTGCGACATCAGCCGCCCAAGCCGTCTCTCTTTACCAGGCCGTTACAAAGCTAATGCAAGAGAGGCGAGAGAATTTCGAATCGTCGCTCAAGGAGATTGAGAAGTTTATGAGACGCAAGTCTTCAGCGGCGCGCCAATCGATATCAACAGCGACGAGGACTCCCAAGCTACCGGCAGATGACACCATGTCCAAATCCCCCATTTCTCTGGACACAGACGTGGTTGTAACACTACGAGCACTCAATCTTGGAGTGTTCCCAAACACATTCTCCGACCATCAGGTATTCAAGATGGAGGCCCTGAACGCATACGCGCGGTTTGCCGCAAGCATCGAGCAACGGCGAGTCCATAGCGTGCTGAGGATGACGCTGGGACAGCTCCGAATCGGATTGGCAGGTGTTAGGAACATTGAAGCGCCCAAGACACTCAGCGAAATGTCAGTGGAAGATGTGGTTGAGCGGTCGACGGGGGCCCGGGGTGGTACAATCCTCAAAGTGCCGAGGGTGGAAGCGGCAATGCAGACATGGCAGTCGCCAAATAGCAATCATATCGACTACCTATTCAAGAGTGCCTTTGAAGGCAAAGTTGAGGTCGGATGGAACTATTCCCGCATCAGCTACATACGCGGTATGTGGGCGAAGCACAACAAGTCGCTGGAAGAGACATGGGGTCGGCAGCTGCCCCTTACGGCCGTCAAGATTACCGGAGTACCGGAAGCTGAGGAAGGGCAGCGAGAAGGCGGCGAGCAGCAGAAAATTACGGCCGAGGTGAATGTGCCACAATCCAAGTATGAGTATCTCGCTCTGGAGCCTCCCATCATTGAGACGCCACAGCTGCGAGACATGGGCGAGGCGACGCCACCGTTGGAATGGATTGGCCTGCACAGAGAGAGGCTGCCAAACTTGACGCATCAGATTGTCATTGTGTCGCTGTTGGAGTTGGCAGGAGAGGTGGAAGATGCATATTCGCGGATATTGGGGTCGTCATAAGAGGCGTCGGTGTGAGTCACTCGAGGGCTGAGTACCTAGCTTATAAGCGAAGGAGTACGGTGTCATGATGCTGTTTTCCTTTCTTTCTTTTCTTCCTGTTTTTGGGCTTTTGGCTTTTCTTTTCTTTTCCCCAAAATTATGGTTGACCGGCGAGTGACGTGGTGGTATGAGAGAATGAGAAGACTCAATATATAGCAATATCAAGACTTAATAAGTGGCTGTTTTGGGCGGTATTGAACAAAGTGAGTCAAATGGCCAATCGTGTGGCTGAGAGATTAGTCCCAGGAAGCTCCAATAGAGACCTCAAAGCTGCTTGCATGTAGCATTACCGGAAAAGGCCTGTGGATAAAGAGCTGGAGGGCAGTTTAGGCGGCGTGAGCAAGCAGCCAATCAGCTCGGCGCGGCTGACAGCATGAGCATGAAGAAACGCAGAAAGCCCACTTTGCCCCTCCTTGAGAGCTCCAATTTTTGCTGCGGATCAATAGCAGCAAGTTTTTTTTCTCTTTCTGATGTATTGAGAGAGAATGCAGGAGCTTGGGATTGTACGATGACAAAGCTGAAGATTGGGGTGACGCTGGTTGGAGATGTCACTGGCAGTACTGCCCTATGCTGTCTGTGCTGTCTGGTGGCAGCAAGGAGCTTCAATAGCTGCACCAGCTGTGCTGAATAATAGCACCGCCTAGGATATAACTGTAATCTCGAGCTCTACTCGCCTCCAGCAATTGCCACAGTAACAGCTTCAAGCATAGGCCAAAAGGCATGCCCTCGTACAGCGTACAGGTACTCGGATATACATCCAGCTCGTTGATAAGCATTGGGTCCGTGCTGTCTCCCAGCTTCCACTTCCAGCCAGCGATGGCAAATCGAACGACGGGCTTTAGGTTGTATCGCCGTGAGGGCTTCTTGCCCTCCACTTGTCAAGCAGCTCCAACAGAAAAAAAAAAAGAAAAAAAGGCCAAACGAGATTTATTGCCCAGTACCTACTAGCGGCTCCAGCTCGTCTCAAACGGCTGCTAGACCCTAGCCCCCTTCGAGCAGTTCTGGCCAGTCACAGCTGCTGAGCAATGACGCCGGCGCCATCTCTCGGCGTTAGCAGGGCTGCTCGCAGCGAGTGTGCCCACTGATACACTCCAATCGTTCCATCGTCTGGCGGTGCATGGCCCTCTTTCAGAGGCAGGTCCCCCACTATAATGGCCCTTGATGGCAGAGAAGAAAAAATTCGACCTGCTGGTACCTCTGGTACCTCTGGTGCTGTGTGATATTTTGCGCGTGCTGCCTGTAATTTTCTCAATTTCTGGGCCCTGCCATTTTTCCTCGCTGCCCGGTGGATTCACAGCTGTCCAGTAAAAGCGCCGCCACGGCTGGCCCAACTCATAGCTGCCCGTGCTAGTCATGGCTCACCCTAAACCTTGTGTGCGCCCAAGCCTGCTCTCCGCCCACCACCCGATTTTCGTGGCCCTTTTTTTGCGTCCCCCTCCTTGCCATAAAAATCTCCCAGCCCACCCTCTCTCGCTCTCCTTCCCCATCAAAAAATTCTGATAGAGCAGACAGTGAGACCCGTCTTCGCTGTGTCCTCTTCATAATTTTTTTTTGTGTCCGCCAAAAGCTCAGAGCCTTGTGCTTACGCAGCAGTTAGCAGCACGTTAGCCACCTACTTGAGCATAAAGCGCGGGGTCAAATTCTTCAACCCCGCTTTGCTCTTTTTTCGTTTTCTTCTTCCTACACCAACAAACCACACATATTTTTTTCAGGCAGGCCCCGAGCCTCAATACCGTCAAGATGGTGAAGTAAGTTGTTTTCCGTGATTCTACCTTATCGGCTCTGAGCTTCACCATCCTAGTCTTGTACCCTTTTCTGCTCCATCTTAGTATAGCTATGGCGGGGGCTGCGATGCTTCGCTTGTTGTCTCGTCCTCGAGTGCTTGCATCTATGCCGCTACTGCCGAAAATTTTTTTCTTCACTCTTCTTCACCTATTCTCCTTCATATTGCCGTGCCTAGCTAGGATGGGAGCTCTCTCCGTCTCCCATCTGGAATTGAGCTTCTATTAGAGTCATCTTGCTAACCGACGCCTTCACCATGATAGCTTCACAGTTGACGAGATCCGGCAGTTGATGGACAAGCCCACCAATGTCCGTAACATGTCCGTCATTGCCCACGTCGATCACGGCAAGTCTACCCTGACCGACTCCCTGTTGGCCAAGGCTGGTATCATCTCCACCGCCAAGGCTGGTGACGCCCGAGCCACAGATACTCGTGCCGACGAGCAGGAGCGTGGTATTACCATCAAGTCCACTGCCATCTCTCTGTACGGTCAGCTCGAGGATGAGGAGGATATCAAGGACATTGTCGGCCAGAAGACTGACGGCCGTGATTTCCTGATCAACCTGATCGACTCCCCCGGTCACGTTGATTTCTCTTCCGAGGTCACTGCTGCCCTCCGTGTCACTGATGGTGCCCTTGTCGTCGTCGACACCGTCGAGGGTGTCTGCGTCCAGACCGAGACTGTGCTGCGACAGGCCCTTGGTGAGCGCATCAAGCCCGTCATCATCATCAACAAGGTCGACCGTGCTCTTCTCGAGCTTCAGGTCTCCAAGGAGGATCTGTACCAGTCCTTCTCTCGTACCATCGAGTCCGTCAACGTCATCATCTCCACCTACCTCGACAAGTCCCTCGGCGACCTCCAGGTCTACCCCGAGAAGGGTACCATTGCTTTCGGTTCCGGTCTGCACGGCTGGGCTTTCACCGTCCGCCAGTTCGCCATCCGTTACGCCAAGAAGTTTGGTGTTGACAAGAACAAGATGATGGAGCGTCTCTGGGGCGACAACTACTTCAACCCCCACACCAAGAAGTGGACCAAGAACGGTACCTACGAGGGCAAGCAGCTTGAGCGTGCTTTCAACCAGTTCATCCTGGACCCCATCTTCAAGATCTTCTCTGCTGTTATGAACTTCAAGAACGACGAGATCGCCACCCTGCTTGACAAGCTCCAGCTCAAGCTGACCCCTGATGACCGCTCCAAGGAGGGCAAGCAGCTGCTCAAGGCCGTCATGCGCACTTTCCTGCCCGCTGCCGACTCCCTGCTGGAGATGATGATCCTCCACCTTCCTTCCCCCGTCACTGCCCAGCGCTACCGTGTCGAGACCCTGTACGAGGGTCCCATGGACGACGAGGCTGCCATCGGTATCCGTGACTGTGACCCCAAGGGTCCCCTCATGCTTTACGTCTCCAAGATGGTTCCCACCTCTGACAAGGGCCGATTCTACGCCTTCGGTCGTGTCTTCTCCGGTGTTGTCCGCTCCGGTCTCAAGGTCCGCATCCAGGGCCCCAACTACACCCCTGGCAAGAAGGATGATCTCTTCATCAAGGCTATCCAGCGTACCGTCCTGATGATGGGTGGCAAGGTCGAGCCCATTGACGACATGCCTGCCGGTAACATTGTCGGTCTGGTCGGTATCGATCAGTTCCTGCTCAAGTCTGGTACCCTGACCACCAGCGACACCGCCCACAACCTCAAGGTCATGAAGTTCTCCGTCTCTCCCGTCGTCCGACGCTCCGTCCAGGTCAAGAACGCCCAGGATCTCCCCAAGCTGGTTGAGGGTCTTAAGCGTCTGTCCAAGTCCGACCCTTGCGTTCTTACCTACACTTCCGAGTCTGGTGAGCACGTCGTTGCCGGTGCTGGTGAGCTCCACCTCGAGATTTGCTTGAACGATCTCGAGAACGACCACGCTGGTGTTCCTCTCATCATTTCCGACCCCGTCGTCCAGTACCGTGAGACTGTCACTGGCAAGTCCAGCATCACCGCTCTGTCCAAGTCCCCCAACAAGCACAACCGTCTGTACATGGTTGCCGAGCCCATGGATGAGGAGCTGTCCCTGGCCATTGAGTCTGGCAAGATTAGCCCCCGTGATGATTTCAAGGCTCGTGCCCGTGTCTTGGCTGACGACTTCGGTTGGGATGTCACCGACGCCCGTAAGATCTGGACCTTTGGTCCCGATGGCACTGGTGCCAACTTGCTGGTTGACCAGACCAAGGCCGTCCAGTACCTCAACGAAATCAAGGACTCCGTCGTCTCTGGTTTCCAGTGGGCTTCCCGTGAGGGTCCCATTGCTGAGGAGCCCATGCGCTCCATCCGCTTTAACGTCCTTGATGTTACTCTGCACGCTGATGCTATCCACCGTGGTGGTGGCCAGATCATCCCCACTGCTCGTCGTGTCCTGTACGCCTCTGCTCTGCTGGCTGAGCCTGCTCTGCTTGAGCCCGTCTACCTGGTCGAGATTCAAGTCCCTGAGCAGGCCATGGGTGGTGTCTACGGTGTCCTGACCCGCCGTCGTGGTCACGTCTTCAACGAGGAGCAGCGTCCTGGTACTCCTCTCTTCAACATCAAGGCCTACCTGCCCGTCCTGGAGTCCTTCGGCTTCAACGGTGACCTGCGCCAGGCCACCTCCGGCCAGGCCTTCCCCCAGTCTGTCTTCTCTCACTGGCAGGTCCTGCCCGGTGGCTCTCCTCTCGATACCACCTCCAGGGTTGGTACCATCGTTACTGAGATGCGTAAGCGCAAGGGTATCAAGGTTGAGGTTCCCGGCGTCGAGAACGTAAGTTACCAATCACTCTACTCACACCATTTCATGCATGATGCTAACATCTCTTCTAGTACTATGACAAGCTGTAAACGGCTCCCTTATTTGCTGATAGAACTACCATTCGTGTCAAAATGGGCACAATGTGTCAACCGGCTTCTACCGAAAATTGAGGCCCACTACTTCTATACCAAGGGGCATGCCGCCTCACTGATTTAAGGAGGTAGATGAGAAACTTACGGTTGAATAACGAAGAAGAAAAAAAATACCACCCCGTTAAAGGAAAAAAAAGGGAATACGTGTGGATCACTAGGTTGAGGCCATAATCAAGGGACGCTTCACTAGGCAGCTTTTCATGCATGTAGTTGTGCGTCAGTGGAGTCGAATGAAATTTTATGAATGTTAAAAAAGATGAATTTGATGTGCGAGTTTATTGATGATGTGAAAAATTGGTTTTTACTTTTCTATATACATGAGTAGGTATTTCTCATCTTCTGGGATGTGCGTCGTCTTCTGGTTGACCAAGGTAGATCGAGGCCACAGTCGAGATGTGCCTTCTGGGCTGCCGAGCTCCGAGAGGCCTAGGTGAGCTTGATGGACACAGTGAATATCATTATAATGGAATTGCAACGTTGATAGTGACAATGATAGCTGTAGATGCTACATTGACAATTAACTACCTACCTAGCCAATAACAACCAAGCCTATTCATCAGTAAATTGCCCACTAAACAAAAGCTACGCAGATCGATCTCTACATCAAGACGATGCGTCAATCTATCAAAAAGGTCCAGCGCTGGAGCTGACGATGCCCCACTTTAAAAGCCACTGGACGGGACCTTCCTTCCGCCATCATCAGGCGCAGCCTTGCCTTGCAACTCCCCCGTAGCTTTAGCCGCCTCGAAATTCCAACTTTCAACGTCCATTTCTTTTTCTCTTCGCTCGGACCAACATCAAAACCGGAGGCCCTCTGGCTGCCTAGTCTTATTATTTCTTCTTTATACTATTCACGGTCAAGACTATACGTTCCAATTACTTATTTATGACATCCTTCATGCAGCACTAACTACGACTTTGCATCTCTTCAATCTTTTTCCCCAGATCCCGAGCCATGCTGTTCCCGGAAGAGGATGCGCCGCAGCTCAAAGCATGGATTGTCAAGCGCATTGAGAACACGTTCGTTTGCCCGCAGACTGGAATTGATTCACTGCTTTCCCTGTAGCCTATCGTTGGCTTTTTTTCCCGGTTGCTGACCTCCTTTTCCCGGTACAGGTCAGATGCTGATTCCGACGTGCTTGCCGACTATGTCATCGCCCTGCTAAAACACGACGGCGACGCCGCATCGGTGCGGACGCTTTGCGAGGCTGAGATTCCCGATTTTTTGACTGAAGGTCCGTCAGGGTTACTATGAGAGACGCGCCGGAGGTATTCCAGGCGCAGAAAATAAAAAGAAGAAGACGTGCTGACTGCTTGATTCTCGCGAGCTATAGATCCAAAGACTTTCCTCGACGACGTCTTCCAAGCGATCGCGTACAAGTCATATCGACCAGACGCTCGGCCGCCCCCGAATACCGGTGCCATTGGCGCCGCAGCTCGCCCACTCCCCAGCGCTCACGGCGTACAAAGCAGTGCGCCACACCATACCGGCTCAAGAAAACGAGGATTTCATGATGACGGCGAACACGATGGGCCAGCTTCGCATAGCAGGGGCCACAAGCAGCCTCGACGGGGCTCGAACCACGGGAGAATGGATGACTCGATGATGGGCGGCCAGCAAGGGAGCTACGTTTCCGTGGACTCAATGCCAGGCATGACACCTTTCGATCCCAAGAGTGCTCTCGAAGCGATTATGCAGATGCAAGCTATGGGTATTCCCTACCCTGGCATGGCTGAGTTCATGGCTCAGATGCCTCATGGCGGTGGTGGAAGGAGCTCACAGCGGCGGAGAGGACGCTGTCGAGATTTTGATACCAAAGGATATTGTTCTCGTGGGAATCAGTGCATGTACGACCATGGTAACTCTTCCATCTATGTCCCCAATATGTTATCTCAAATCGAAGGTATGTGTCACGATATTTCCAGCCAGCCAAGATCCAAGGAGTATTCGACTAATCCGCTGCCTTCCCCTTTTTTTTTCTCCCTTAGAGTATGATCCTAACAATGCTGTTATGGGCTTGTCTGCACTTGCAGCAAATCCTTATCAGTTTCCTATGGATACGAAGCCACGCGGTCGAGGCCGTGGCGGCCGTGGCGGCAAGAAAGGTGGTGCCAGAGCCTCTTTCTCAGCAGAGGGCCCAGTACACGATCGTTCCAAGAGCACCATTGTTGTGGAAAATATTCCCGAAGAGAATTTCAATGAAGATGAGGTCCGCGCTTTCTTTTCACAGTTTGGTGAGATTGTTGAAGTCTCCATGCAGCCATACAAGCACTTGGCAATTGTGAAATATGACAAGTGGGCATCAGCAAACGCGGCATATCGGTCGCCAAAAGTCATTTTTGATAACAGGTTTGTCAAGGTATTTTGGCACAAGGACGATGGCGGCAAGTCATCATCAAAGCACGGCGATGGTGTGTCGTCTAAGATTAACGGTGATGGGTCTTCTACTCCTGTAGAAGCCGAGCCTGAAATTGACATGGAAGAGTTCCAACAGAGACAGGAAGAGGCTCAAAAGCAGCATCAAGACAGGGAAACTAAGCGAGTCGAGCTGGAACGACAGCGTCAAGAGTTGGAGAAGCAGCAGCAAGATCTTTTGGCAAGACACAGGGAAGAGAGTGAGAGACTCAAGGCGAGACTAGCCGAGAAAAGCGGCGATGCTAAAGCTCCGGGATCGTCATCATCAACCGATATGCTACGTGCGCAGTTGGCAGCATTGGAACAGGAAGCTATGATTCTCGGTATTGACCCTGACATGGCTGAAGATGGAGGCAGCTACAGCTCAAGGGGCCGGGGGTATATGGGGCGCGGCGGGCGCGGTAGTGAACGAGGTTTTGCGCCACGAGGTCGCGGTTCGTTCAGGGGGCAAGTAGGAAGGCATGCGGCCTATGCTCAGTACTCACTGGATAACCGGCCGCGGAAGTTGGCTGTCACTGGCGTGGATTTTACTCCAGCTGACAAGGATGAAATGCTTCGACATTTTCTCTTGGTAAGTAAAAAGCGAATTCATTTTTGTGGAACAAAACTTGTTGATTCTAGAAGCTCATTTGCTAATCTCTCTTCTTTTTGTCTTGCAGAACTTGGGCGAGTTTGAATCTGTAGAAACTACGCCGACAGTCACCAACGTTTCTTTCCAAGATCGCAAAACAGCCGAAAAATTCTATTACAGCCTACATGGCAAAGAATTACCCGGAGTCGAAGGAACACTTGATCTTTCCTGGGTCAATACACCTTTGCCACCCGTTGGATCCTTCAAGAAGAATGAAGATGTTGGTGATGGCGATGCCATGGCTGGGATGAACGATGATGAAGAAGAAGGCGAGGTCATTGAAGACTTACCTGAGAAGCATATGCAAGGGCGCCAGGTTGACATGGACTATGATGTCGGGGATGACGAGGGCTGGGCTGAATGATGTGGAAGATGGAGTGAAGTTAGACTTGGGGAAGCAGTATATATAGGTCGGGTATATATCAGATGACAGAGGGACACGGTACAGAATGTATACAAGGGACGTGTATTTCCAACATTTTAATGAAGCCATGCTCAATTATTTCACCTAAACGAACAGCATTGGAGTCCGATACGGCTGGTTTCACAGGGGTTTGCACAGGAGAGGAATGATTTGCGGCTCTTAATATGCAATGCCGTGATTTATCTATTCGCTGACACCCTTTCAGCAATGGAAGACATGATATATGTACACGTATGTGTATGTATATGCACCATAGCCCGCCTATTCGCCTCTGTGATGTCCTTTTTTTCCTTTAAAGCGCTCCTATAATGCTTCTCTTCTTTCAGGCTCCTCCCCCTCTGAATATTTCTATCAATATTCTTTCTTTTTTTCTTTTTTCTTCTGTGACTCGTCATAAAAATAAAATGCAAAAACTAATAAAATCATGAAAGTAAAAATAAAATAAAAAAACTTGTCCGCAGGCGGGGGTATCGTTGAGATATAATATATGCAATTCCATCGTTAGAACCGGGCTCTTTCCATGCCTTTTTTTTCTTTTACTGTGATGTTCGTTCCGTTCCCGTTGCGCCCACCGCCCCGGGGAAAAATGATAATAAAGTTAATCCCCATGTCTCATGAAAAAATGGGACCTTCGGTGTAATGCTTTTTGTTGAAAAAGACACCGACTCCGCCCTTTCTGTGCAAAATAAACGCCGCTTTTTTTCTCTTCGGTCATCTGCGCCGAGATATGAAGATTTGGGAGAATGAAATGAAATAAAGGGGGGTAATTAAAATCATGGAGACAATAATACCCAAACCAGGAAAAAAAAAAAAAGGCTCAGTTTTTGTCAAGGCCTTTTTTTTTTTTTGGTTTTCGCTTCCTGAGCGAAGTGTATGAGAAATGGAATTTAGGCCGTGCCATTGGCAGGGACGGAAGCGTCCTTGACTTGGAGACCTTGAAGGAAACTGAAGATGGTGTTGTTCTCGCGGAAATCATTGTTCACTACGCAATTGAATTTCTCTTGGTTAGTCTATTTGGGATATGAATAAGAGGGGAATCGGTCAGAAACTCACCAATGTTAACGAGATACCACTCGTTCATGATTCCCTCGATAAGCGCTCGGCTGGGGGTGTTGGCATCGAAGCAGTGAGCCCAGTCGACACCCAGTCGAAAAGCCTCGTCTCTCCAGGCTAAGAAGCTGATTGATTCCACAATGGTGGGCTGCACAATCTCCTTGCCTGGGAAAACACCCCAAGTGACAGCGTTGGGGCCGTCCGAGGGCGCATTGGACCTCAGTTCACCATTTTTGGTAACGGCGTAGTAAGTCAAGTTGGGGAAGTCGTCAAGACGGCTGATCATCTCGTCCAGGAGATACGGTGGAACGAGCAATTCCAGGTAGGCCTTTTGGTACACATAGCCGTTTGAAGGTCCCCAGCCGTGGACTGGGTGATTGGACTTTGCGCCGTCAACGGCAGGCTGTGAGTTGATGGTCAGAATGCCTCGCTTGTTGAGAGCCACAAGGTCGTCTTTGATGGGGTCTGCTTCGGCGGCAAGGGCAGATTCACTCCATGGAAGAGTCTCAATCTTCTTCTCCAGATACTGGACAAAGGTATCGGCTATGTCCTGGACACAGGTGGGCTCGCCCCATTTCTTGCGGTTGGCCTCGTTTGTGCCGGTCAAACCAATGCCATAGGCATCAAGCTCTCCGAAAGCGGGAGAGCGGGAGTCACCCCATCGGCCGTTGGGGAACTCATCCCAGTCCTGGGTACGAATGACATAGGACTTGTTGCGGTTACGCCAGAAAATGGGGCGCACATCCTCTTCGCGCCGACCAAAGCCTTTGGACTGCTTCCAGGGAAGAGCCTGCTTCAGAGGACGTTCCGCTGAAGGGGTCCAGTCAAGCTCATCTAGAACCATACGGACCGCCTGGGCAAGGTTCATGGTGTAGAAGTGGAGGTGGTGAATTCCACCGGCAAGCAGCTTTCTGCACAACTCGGCAACCAGCGTCTTACCAATTTCACGCACGGCCACGTCGTCATTCTTGACCGGCTCAAGCAAGGTCATCCACTCTGGAGGCACTCGGCATTGCATGTGTTTAGCACGACGAAGGAAGCTAGCATAGGTGGCAATGGGCATGATTCCAGGCAGGATGGGAACGGTGATGCCTCGCTCGCGGACTCTGCCGACCCATCGGAGGAAATTGTCGGCGTCGTAGAACATCTGAGTGACGATGAAACCAGCACCCATGTCCACCTTTTCTTTGAGATGATCTAGCAGTGAATCCTCGTCTTTGTTGTCATCGCATCCCTCAGGATAGCCGGCAACGCCGATATCGAAATGGTCGCCATATGTATCGCGAATATGCTTGACGAGATCGCGAGCATATCGGAAGTTTCCGTCGGCAGCAGTCCATGTCGTTTGGTCACGGGGAGGGTCTCCGCGGAGGGCGAGAATGTTGGTGCATCCGGCTTTGTAGGCCTTTTGTAGGGCGTCATTGACCTTTTCAAGTCCCATGTCAGTGCAGGTGAGGTGCATGCACGTCTCCAGGCCGTAGACAGCCTGGGCCTGAACAACCATTTCGCAGGTCAGTTCCGCAATACCGCCACCAGCTCCCCATGTGATGTCGATGAACTTGGGCCCAAAGTTGTTCATGCGGTCCATGCGGTCGTAAAGATTCTGGACACCCTGGGCGGTCTTGGGCGGGAAATACTCAAAGGAGAAGGACGGGGCCTTTGTCTTCTCCGTATCGGCGACCAAGTTTTTGATATGCATGGTGGGCGATGCGGGTGAGAGAAACAAGCTATTGGAGGGGTTTAGAGATCGGACAGAGGAGATTCAGTGTATTTGCTCATGCGAAACGGTCTCTGCTGCTATCGAGAGCGAAGGGTCAGCGGGTGAAGCGCCAGACGATGGTGTCCCATTACCAAGAAACTGGCATTACTCACCACAAAAGAAAAGACAGTCAAAGACGGACAAACAGAGGGAACGAGGAAACTTCAGAGCACCCCAGGTAAAGACGATACCAAAAAACACGGCTGACAGATGCAAAGTCGAAGAGACAACTGGCCCGAGGCGTCGCAGCGGTTTTCGCAAGCCAGACCAGAATCGACCAACGTCGCCGACAGCCCGCCGAGTGCGGATCGCAATTCAGTGGAGAAACTCGAGCGATTCGGCCGCCGAGAATCTGCGAGAATAGCAAATAGAAAGGGGCGGGGAAGAAGAAGGGGCAGAGGAAAAAGGAAAAGGAATACAGAAAATAGAGGGCAATTGGGAGGTGCTATATGCGAATATGCAAATATAGCAGGGCCGAATAAAGAGGGGGGAGTCACGAATAAAAGTAGAAAAGGCGTGTCGAACAAAATATGACGGAAATTTGGCTGCGGGACAATTGAATGACAGATGCGGCGGTTCTCCGAATTATGGAGGGGCTGTGATTGGGCCAATTGCGGCGGGGGTACCGGAGACTTGGCAGGTACGTACTCCCGAGGAACCCGCCTTTTTCTCTTACAGCGACTCAAAAGGACCAAGACAGTACTCTGCTTTTTGATGAGAGAAAAGACTCGTTCGTGTGTATCTTGCTTCACTCACACACGCCGAGGATCATGAAGGAATGGAGCGAGGCAGGGCTGTTTTCGCAATTTATGTATGTAAGATGTACTCATGCAAGAATGCCTGTTTGTTGGGATCCAGTCTCTACGCAACCCTGAAGCGTGACATGGTGCATATACGGGGGCCTGGAGCGGGTTACAGCAGCAGTAGGTTGTTTGGTACGGAAAGCCGCAGATGTTGTATCCCGCAGGAATGCAAAAAGACACAAAACAAGCACAAGCAGTAAGCATTGAGTTGATTTTTGCTGGCAGCCTAATAATGGGAGGACCTTTTGCGTGTGTGTGTTTGTTTCTGAGACACTTACACGAGGAACTGATAGTACCGATATCTATTACCAGATGCCATTACATATTTGGTAGTGTGCGCTAGACAGGCCTGCTCTATTCGTTTCTTCAACTACAACGGGATATCGCACAACGGCAGTCAAAACAATTCGGCCCAGCCCTAAAAGGAAACAACCTCTCAGATATTATAACTTGGTGTACGATCGGTGTTGGTTGCCACCGTTGTAGACGCCTCAATAATCCATGTACAGAATTGTAAAGGCCTCTACTGTATCTTATAGCATGTGGCTGCCACTTAGTGAGCCTCCATTATGGGCTCCGTTATAACCCCTCCCCCGCCCTTTTGCAAAAGTCGTACACGTGGGGAGTACCAGGTACCTCAAGGGTACTCCGTCTGACAAGCATCCATTTCACGCCGAAGTGCACACCGGCGCCGTGTCGAAAACGCCAGTTCATGTACTCGATACTGTGCTCGGCAGCCTCTCCTCTTACACAATAAGTGTAAGTGAGATGCGCTCATTGCAACTTGCAACTTGTCAGATTTTGAGATACAATAAAGTCAAGGCCATCCAAGGCGCCACCAAACCTTCATGTCGTATGAGGGAAATGAAAAAAGATGCTGCTTCCACAAAGAGGCGGCCACCTGCTTGGACTCTCCATGCACCTTGGTATGTAAGTGGCTATAAGTCAAGGCAGCTCCTCCTGTGTTCTGCCAACCCAACCCTACGATTGGCCGTAGCCCTTGCGAAACAGTCAGCGGTGTAATACTACTAGTAGTAGTAGTAGTACGGAGCACATGTGTTCAATACAGGCCCCAGGTAACCCACGATGCACCGAAATCCGCCGATCAAATTCACCGAATAGGCCTCGTCGCTAGCTTCGGTGACCACACAGGATTTCACAGGGGGTAGCAGTGCTTACGGTACTGCAGGACGATGTAATCTTCGCTTTGATATTGTATCAAGATTGATTTCAATTGACCTTGCCGTATCAAATGCGCTGAGGGTTTCATTTATGATGTCTAAATTAGGTGGAATTCTCAATTAGGCAGTGGTGTATAGACTCAAAGATACTAAGCTACTATTCTACCTCCCATCCATCACATAGTGGAAGATACAGAAGAGATTTGCATCACAAAATTTACAATCTCACAATTTTACAGGTGACTTTTATTGATTTTTAACTGCTCATTACGATTTCCAGGGCTATGTAGACGAATCTGTGCGAGATACAGTGATCGGACACAAATCTGTAGTTATACTTGAATGGTCAAGAGATCTCACATTCAAATCAATTGGAGCTTTCTAGGTCTTCTCTGGTAAATGTGTAAATTTGATCTATCTGTGAGCCATTCAATAATAGTTTGGGAAATGCATTCAAAGGCTTAGAAATAGTTTTATGTGATGTGAAATTGCTGTGTTGAACTTCCAACTCTAGGGTATGATCTTGTCGCTTTGATATCTCCATAGCCTAGGGCGCATCTTTTACCTTCTTTTCCAGATGCCTTCAGGATTCAACCTGGGATAAGTACAGATGAATTAATCTAAAGGATAAATCGCAATGAGAACAGTCGAATAGGCTAGAACAGCTAGATTGGCAGAAAGAGTCCAACACGTAGCTGTAGCTTCGATCGCTTTTACCCATCGGCTCTTTACATAAACGCGGCACGTCCTCTTTTCTTACATGCGGCCCTAAAACCTTTCCAATCCTAGGATGACATGGATTCAAACAGTCTTTCACAGCCCAGTGTTGTATGTATACGCAACCAAAGGCAACCGAAACCCCTTGCGACAAAAATCCCTTTCAAACATGACGCAACAATAATACAAGAGAGGAGTTGTAATAAATTCCCGAACATGATTCGCCAGGCTTTCTCTTACCCCTAACGATAACCGGCATGAATTGCAAGATTTTGCCAGCATGCGGACCATACTTCTAAGCGCACGAATGAGACATGGACAATACCTTGAGAGAAGCCGGCAAAAAAAGATGCTTGAGCCAACACAAATGGCACATTTATAGCCAGCAGTTTTTAGTTGAATTTCTTGGAACCTATATGGGCACCTTTTTTTCCCCAGCTGTTAAGGCTTGTCACCAAAACATCCTTCACAAGTACTCCATTGAAGACATGGCGTCTTCACCGGGATATCGGACTGGCTTTGACCGAGGCTCCAAGGCTTCATCGACGACACAGCCTGCAATGCTCATCAGATAATCCTGCACATGTCCCTGAAGGCCAAGCGGCCAAAGCAAAGATGATAGCAGAGGGCTCCATCACGGGAAATCCGACAATGGGTCAACCCCTCCGGGTAAATGGCAACGCGCATATGCTGGAGTAAGGCGAACGGCTTGACTGCACGATTGTTTTTAGGTCGCTGTCAATTAACCGTGGAGAAAAGATGATAAATAGCTGGAAAATCTGTACCAGATGGTGACAATTTCTCTCGCTGATAGTCTTCTCTGCCTTCTCACTTGGACCAATGAAGCTCTCAGCATGTCTCTGTCCGGCGATGCTGGCGGCGGCCAGCCAGGCCACCTCAAGCCAGCCGTTATACAAGAACCCTCACGCTTCTATCGATGATAGAGTGTCTGATCTGCTCAAACGCATGTCCGTACAGGAAAAAATGGCCCAGTTGATTCAAGGCGACATGTCCAACTATCTCGACCTCACGTATGGCACGTTCAACAAATCGGGTCTTGTATGGAATATGGAGTACCGAGCCAATTCGGTCTGGACTGGCTACTATACCAACATGACGACGGTCAAGAAGGCTGCTCAGTTGGCGCAAGAATACCTGCTCAAGGAAACCGAACTGGGTCAGAATCTGATAATGATGGTATTTGTTGATCCGCTCACCAACTAACACCATCTAGGCATTCCGACGTTTGTTCAGAGCGAAGGTCTTCATGGATTCTTGGGCCTGAATGCCACGATTTTCAACTCGCCCATTGGTGTAGGATGCTCGTTCAATCCCAGCCTGGTAGAGACAATGGCAAACGCCATTGCGACGGAAAGTCTAGCTCTCGGAGTCAACCAGCTTTTCGCACCGCTGGCTGACCTTGCACGAGAGTTGAGATACGGCCGAGTAGAGGAATGTTATAGCGAGGACTCCTACTTGTACGCTCTTGTTCCAAACTCGCTACATTATATGTTGTCCGTACACTAACACTTGTTGAAAGGGCGGGGGAAATGGCTTACAGCTATGCCAAGGGACTCCAAGAAAAAGGGGTCTCAGCGACTGTCAAGCATTTTGTACGTCAATGTCTGCTTCCAATGGCCTGAAGGTTGACCTAGCTGATATTTTTTCGTTTTAATTCTCTTTCATAGGCTGCTTTTGCTTCCCCCGAGCAGGGCATCAACACTTCTCCAGTCCACGGAGGCGAACGCGAGCTACGGTCACTATATCTTCCGTCGTTTAAGAGAGCCATCATTGACAGCGGCGCTACTTCCATCATGTCCTCCTACAATTCCTACGATGGCGTCCCCATGGTTGCAAACTCGGCGGTGCTCACCGATATCCTTCGCGGCGAATGGGGCTACGAGTATTTCGTAACGTCTGATGCCGGTGGAACTGCTCGCCTTTCTAATGCTTTTTACATCTGCGGAGCCCAAGACAACGATTGCATCACTCTCGAGGTAAGCCATGGAGAATTCGTGGAGTCTTTGTGGTAGAAGAGAATTGACTCGTCTTAGGCTCTGCCTGCTGGCAACGATGTCGAAATGGGCGGTGGATATTACAGCTACCAGTCTATCCCAGCCCTTGTTGAATCAGGCAAGCTGAGCGAAAGCGTCTTGGATACCGCTGTATCTCGCGTGCTTCGCGCAAAGTTCAAGCTGGGCCTTTTCGAGAAGCCCTATACTGGCGTAGCTGACGACGACATCTTCAAGTATATCAACACTCCGGCGCATAAGAAGATTGCCCGCCAACTTGATTCAGAGAGTATCGTGCTTCTTGAAAATCACCAAAACGTTTTGCCTTTGAAGAAGAACGCCAATGTGGCAGTTATTGGCCCCATGGCTCACGGTTATGTCAATGTGAGCTAATATCTTTTAACATTCGTCTCTTTGTCAGGGCACTATTCTAATCCAGGATTGACCGTAGTACGGAGATTATGTGATTCACACAGCAATGACCCGAGGTGTCACCCCCCTTGATGGCATCAACTCTGTTAGCACCGGCAAAGTTACCTATGCTCAAGGCTGCGAGCGCTGGTCCAACGATGAATCTGGCTTCGACGAAGCCATTGCTGCCGCCAAAGACTCGGACGTTGCTGTCGTCGTTGTCGGGACATGGTCACGAGACCAGAACGAGCTCTGGTCAGGCTATAACGCAACAACTGGCGAGCATATTGACATCAGCGACTTCCACCTCGTCGGCGCCATGCCTCGCTTGGTCAAGGCCATCATCGAGACCGGAAAGCCCACCGTCGTCGTCTACAGCTCCGGAAAGCCCATCACCGAGCCGTGGATCTCGGAGGAAGCATCTGCTCTTGTACAGCAGTTTTATCAGTCCGAGCAGGGTGGATATGCTCTCGCAGATGTGCTGTATGGAAACGTCAACCCTTCAGGCAAGCTCTCTGTGAGCTTCCCCTACGATGTTGGGACTCTGCCCATTTATTACGACTACCAAAACTCCGCGAGAAGTTCCCCCAATCCCGGCCATATTTACGAAAACGGGACCCTTGTCTTTGGCAGCACCTACGTATTCGAGAACCCCACCGCGCTCTATGAATTCGGATACGGCCTGTCATACAGCCAGTTCGAATTCTCCGACATCTCAGTCTCCAAAACTCAAGTGTCCGCTTCCGATACTGTGACCGTTTCTGTGAAAGTAACAAATAAGTCACAGCATGATGGAGCCGAGGTGGTGCAGCTTTACGTCAAGGATATGATTGCTTCCGTAGACGTGCCACGATACCGGCTCAAGGGCTTCCAAAAGGCCACTGTCAAGGCTGGAAAGTCTACGACGGTCAAGATCGACCTCTCAGTCGAGGATTGGGGGCTATGGAACCGCCAGATGAAATATGTGGTCGAGCCTGGGGATTTCACTGTTCTCGTAGGCAACTCTAGCGAAAACTTCTTTGGAAACGTCACAGTGACTGTTTCATAAGACAAGATACTCGTAATATGCATAGAAATTGAGAAAAATAAAATATTCTCAAGAATTTACGTTTTGATCACTTAGATTGAGCTAAAGACAACCGTCGGCATTGGAATATCTGGCTATAGACTGTCCTCCACCCTGTTATTTTCTTTACGAAAAGTGTCCGTACAGTCCATTAATCATCTTCGCCGCTCTCGACATATTAGCTACACTGGAAATTTAGCTCGTTGACAGGATTTCGTGTCGTCTCTGTTGATGTATTGGTAAGAGTTGATGGCTTCACCAACATTAGCAAGTCTCTTCGCGAGGTGACGAGTGTCAAAGATAGATATGCCGTTGTGGAAATTCTGCCCTGGAGAAATGACTTCATAGCCACCGCCCGTGCCGACATCAATGGAAACGAATAAAATATCATTGATGCAAGTTCTAGACGGATAATTGCCTATTGAAGGCACATGAAACGATGAATTGGCCTTGAGATGATAACCCAGGATCTGCCTCAGGCAAATATTCCCCTCCCGTAGAATCCCAATATGCAATCTAGAGACTGAGGCTATGTCTGGAGAGCTGCTGTATATGAAAATAAAAGAGTAGTTGTATTGCTGTTATGGATAAATCTCATTATGGCTCGTCATTCGATGGTTCAAAAGCGAAACTTTGAACGCGTCATCAGCCGTTTATCTTTGTGGCTAGATTTTAAGAGTGTGTTGGCATATATTGACAGGCGGGACACAGTCTTCCAATGTTGATTATAATTGAATTCTTCAACCCTGACAAAGCTGATCCAAAGGGCCTTGGTGGCCTCTCTGACGGGAAGATTACCACCTTTACATGCGTTTACGCTTTCATTTTGTCTCCCCACAATGCCGTGGTCGACTTCCAACTAAGGTGTTATTAGAGGGGAATTCGGCTCCGCACTGTCGGCATGTCCGCGCTTCAGGTTGAGTGATGTCTTCAAGGCTTACATCAGTTGGCTCTTGGTGCAAGAACGTGTCGTCTTGTTCTTGTGCCATCCAGCCGTGCTCTGCCCATCCTATGTCTTCATTCGGATTTGCCGTGTTGACGGCTTGGGATCTTAGAATATAGGATCTGAATGGTGCTTGTTGTGGGTTGTACTGTGTCGTACTGTCTTTGATAAGGAGAGGAGGGTCTGCTACCGTATTTACGACTGAGGAAGTATATTTGAGGCACAGCTCGTACAATTGTTTGTAGGGTCCTAGACTCTTAGATATATACATGCACTAATAGCGTAAATTTTCCTATTAAAAGAAATAGTCGGCTTAAAATGTAAAACTAGTTTGTGTTTATGCTCTAAAGCTACTTTGGCGACCAATTTTAGAGGGCCACATAGTGAAGATTTTATTACCTATTGCCATAGCAATGTCGAGCATCTTTACGTGAACTCTACGTTGGCACATTCAATAGCCCTCCAGCCAAATACGAGAAAATACATTTTAAAAAAAGTAGTCTTTCTCTTGTGGGCAGTCGATCATTATCATTCTGAGCCACCAGAGCATGCGCTTCCTCAACTAAATAAGATCTGGGTATGAACGAATGGAAATCTCCATCTATCGATGCTTTCCAATCTGATCTATGGTTACTACACGATTCTGTTGATCCAAAAGAAAATAGAGCCGATGACCTTGTGACAGCCTGATAGTGTGCGTCGGCTTTGGGGTAATCGGCTCATAATCCGACCCGCCAAGGTGTTCGGCGGCAATCTTCGGATGAAGCCTGTCCTCTGTAATCAACCTTCGGAAATTATGATACTTCTTCCAGGCTGTTTTGTCGGCCAAAGTCAAATTTATGTCACTTTCTTTCAGTCTCGAATCCACCCATTGCCATTCCGGCTGCTCTGAGAGGCTGCTTAGTCGTCTGTCGATGGCTTCTATTCGGGCTCTCCGTACGGCCCTGCCCTTCTCAGTCAAGTTTTCCCCCCTTCTTTCAATAGACAGCCACTTCTTTTCGCTTTTTAGTTGATTAAAGTCCAAGTCATCCACAGGAAGAGTTCTCGCTCCGCCGGCGTGCCGTATCTTTGCAGCGCCCTCCAGGAGCTGGTCGATCGTCTCTCCAATCGACTTGAAGAGCTTCCCTGCCCCCTTGGCTACGCCGAACCCGACGATGTTGCCAATGGTGCTGGACAGAGCATCGTCTCCTACGCTCTCCCAAGTCGGCCCCTTTCCTGAAGCAGCGTCGTATATGAGGCCGGTTGCCAGGTCAGAGGCGATGCCGGTGCCCACGAGAATTCCAGCCTCTACCGCCAGAGATGCGCCCTCTGTGAAGATGGCTACTAAGATGCTAACGACTAGGCCAACAATCAGCTGGGCTATGCTTCTCTTTTTGGAATCTCCAGCAGCATCGCTCGAGTGACCAGTGGGGTCCACCCGGTTGATGGGATCGCAAAGGCAGTAGGCGTAGGGGTTGATCTCTCCAGAAGTAAAGGGGCTCCAGGTATCAGGGGTGTGGAAGCGCATCAGCACCGGGTTATAAACGCGGTATCCGTTGCCAAGATGATACCAGCCTGTGACTGGATCTCTCCACTGACCGTTCCAAGCGATGGCAGACCCGGCCTTGCTGAAGCCGTAAGGCGTATACCACTGGGTGTGAACCTGGCTGGATTGATTCGTGTCCAGCATTGCAATGGTCGACTGATGAGCATCGGAAGCCCACAGTGAAGTTGCCGTTTGTCCATTCTCTTGGAGGATCTGACCCCAATAGGAGACTCCGTCAGATACATAACTGAGCTGAGCATCACCGCTGGTGGCAGCAACGAGGCTACTGCCTCGGTAATATAGATGGTAATCTGGCTTGCCGGGCACCTCCTGGCAGACTAATCTGGCGCGGGCATCGTACCGGTACCGACTGAGAACTGTCGATCCATCAGAGCTCTTGACCGCCGTGAGGCTACCCATGGAGTTGTATTCTAGTATTCGGCCTTGCTCGTCTCGAGTTAAGCAGCCATTGGCATCGTACTCGAGAGTGATTTCTCCAAGCTCACCGGCGTGAGTGTTTGTGATGTGGATGAGTTGGTCAGGGTCACTATCGCTGTACGTGTAGACGGCAATATTTTGACTGCCATCTTGGTATTCTGAAGCGACCTTTGCTATTCCCCCTGTAGTTGTAAAGCTGTAGGTTTGATGCCGTAGCTGACGCCCACGTTCATCAACAGGAAGCTGGCTGCCTTTGCACTGGTAGTCGAAAAGTCGGCCCATGTTATCATAGTCAAAAGTCTCTTGCCGCAACGAGCTGCCATCACCGTCCCTCAGTTCGCGAGTCTTTAGCTTGTCTAGTTCATCATAATCCTGGATCAACTTGTACAGGGGCTTTGAATCTTGGATCAGAGTGCGCTCGCGCTCACGACTAAAGTCATCAAAGACACTTTCCGTTGCAAGGCTCGACCCCTTTTGGCTGTCATGGACGCTGCTTTTCCATGGCCGACTTGCCTTGTCGTAGTCGAGTGTCACTGTGAGCGGACCTTGCAATAGCTGTTTGAGCCGGCCGTGTTCATCGTACTTGAGTTCTTGTGTTTGGCTGTGTGCGTTGGAGTACTTTTGAAGTCTGCCGTTCATGGAATAGGTATGCAGTGTTGACAGAACTTTTCCCTGCCCGAGGCGAATGTCTTCAGTCTCCAGCAGGCCTGATGGCAGATATTTCAGGTTCTCAGTGCAATATGAGTTTTGGCTTTGTATCAGTTCACCTGTCTTCTTGTTATAATCAAAAGTTTGCTGGTCGTAGGGCATAGTTAAGTCCTTGAGAGCATAGCCTAAAGCATCATCGTAGGTCAGGGTGGCCTCGGTTTTCTCCGGCATCGTTATGCTGAAAGGTTTCGGAGAGCTTCCTTTATATGAATAGCTAGTGGTGCGTCCTCCAGTATCTTTTGTCTTCGCGCGGCCCAATCCGTCATAGGACTGCTTGCCCGCGATATCATCCTGAACATGGATCGATATAGGAAGAGGGTCTGCGCTGTGGTCCGCGTATTGCGTCCTTGCAATGCTGTTATCGGGCCAAGTTGTTTTGCTTACACGGTCGAACCAATCATAAGAGAACTGCGTAACTTGGCCCTTGCCATTCTTCTCCTGTACTCTCCGACCTAGGCCGTCATTGGCATAATCGACGCTGGTATAGAGTGTATCATCTTTCTCGAGCAATGATGCCTGAACGATGACGTCTCCAGGCTCGACGCGGGTTCTCTTCTTGCCCAAGCCCTCGACACCCTCTGTTTGCGTCTGAGAAATGGGATCTATGGCAACCAAAGTGACAACGCCGTCGCTCTCAGCTACCTTGCATGCTTGTCCCCAGCCGTCATATTCGTAGCGATAAGTGGTGGACTGCTTCTTGGGCCCATCTGGAGCTCTCATCCAATCGATCTTGACCATCTGATTGCACTGGCCGAGAGTATCGTAACTCTTTTGCTGCACCGGGCGAAAAGTGCCTGTGTAGGTGCCGCTTGTATCCCAATCGCCGTCATCATCTTGCTTCTCGATTTGGCAGAGCCTTTGTAAGCCGTCAAAGATGTGTCGGGTCTTCACCTTCTTCACATCCGTCACCGTCTTGGTGTATCCTGCTGTGCTGGATGACGTGGTGTAATCGATTGTCTGTGTTGCCTCGTGAGAGGTATTTGGAGAGACAGTTGTGCGTATTATGCGGCCAATCCCGTCATATGTAAAGTTGGTTTGGGTCCCTGCTTGGTCGACTTGGGTCACTGCCAGCCCATGATCCAAAGAGTAGCTCCTTTCCTCCTCCATCTGACAGCCGTCAAAGCCCTGTTCTTTCACGGTTATAGCGAGCGTCTTATCCGCCGTGTATCGGTAGGTCCAGTTCTGCACCGTTACCCGATTCTCAGATACCATCATGGTCGTTGTCTTCTGCCGGAGACGACCATGGTCCCTCTCTCCAGGCTTAGAAACATAATCTCGTTCGATGCTGCTGATGGCCTTGTTGTCTTGAGAAATGGTAGACTTTTGAATAACGACAAATGAGGATACCGGTGCTCCCGATGTTGTGGGCATCTCGTCATATGTGTGACGAGTGCTTCGCACTGGAGCCGGATCAGGCTTTCTGGCCGGCGTAACAGTCTGCTCTTTGAGATGTCGTTGGAAGAGATGTGGATCAGCTGGACAGCTACCAGATTCACCGCTGGGTGGGTAGTAGACACGATCCGTTCGGACGCCGTTTGTCTGGATATCCATGGTAGGGTTTCCCCATTTGTCAAAATCATGTTGAGTCTGCTCATCCCGAGACAGGGTTCGGTCTGAGAGATCGCGGTAGTTTGTCACAACAGTCTTTGGCAGCTGAAATTGAGGGAGTTGATGCTCAAAAGCTACATTTTCTTTTGCGTGGTAGGTAATGGATTGTGTGATTTGCTTTCCGCTCTTCACTTGCTGCGACTTGATGAGTAGATGGAATTTGTTGTAGGTATATGTAGTCTCTTGGCCGCCATCAGCGGAGACTGTGGCATTGTATGTGTAACCGTCTCTTACACGGTACAAGTTATCTTGCCCACTCTTCCAGCTGTCTACACCACCGTAGCCCAGGAAGTTGGTAGTTGAATAGCTATAGAGCGTCCGGATCGCGGGTTGTTGGTTACCGGGCTCTGATATGTGTTGGATGACGTACGGAACGGCCTCTGAGGGCCCTCCCTTTGGCAGTTTATGGCCATTCGGCTTGTATCTCACCGTCTCAACAAGGCCAATGGGGCTTGTGATGGTGGAAAGACAGGTGTTTTTGCCATAAGTTTCGTAAGCAAACACCCACTTGGGTCTGGGCTTGTCTTTTAACGGTAGCCAAAATTCCGCCAGTTTGCCGCTCTTCATCAAGGCTGTAAACGTTACAGGCTCGGCGGACCTTGGGGCACGCACTATCTCAACGTTTGGATCACCGTAGTTAATCACCAAAAGCTGTTCCGAGTCCTCCAGTATCTCCCTCAGTCTCGGCTGCCCTTTGACGGCAGTCCACTTCAGCTCCAGCAGACGACCATTCGGTGCATAAAGTCTCGTGGGGACGCTGTAATTCCAGGTGTTGTCATGGTTAGACAGAATTTCGACCCGGCCGTCTTTGTGGGCGATCTGGAAGTCAGACCCCTTTTTCTTGAACGTGAACTTTTGAAGCTTCAGATCTACGACGCTGAGATCGCCGCCATCCACCACGACCTGATAGTGCTCGCCCGTAGAGAGGGCGAGACTGCGAGGACTGGAATGATGATATTGGGAAAGGTTGAGTGACCACCCCTTGCCGAAGCCGATATCTTCTGCGTTGGAAGGACTAAACTTCAGGACCAGCTTGAACGAGATGCAGTTGCGGATCTCGGCCGGAGTCTCATACAACGTGATGGAGGACGTGAATTGCCCGGTGCGAGGGTCAACACCATCTTGGACAAAACTACCGAAATTGAACCCCTGAGAATACAGCGTATCTTTGCCGGCCATGACTGAGAGGTAAAGTGACTGCAATAGCACTATGTAGACTGCAACGAAGATGGCGAGCAATTGTGCAAATTTAGTTTATACTGAGAAGATGCCCATGATCTCCGCCGCCACGATGCCGTGGTCTTCCTTGATATAAGTTTTTCTGTCAAATTCTGATCTGGCACATCACCACGATGGCTTCCAGGTCTCCCATCAGGCCACTCTGATCACACCCCATCGGCATCCTCAAAGTTTTCCGATCCAGCTGCGGATAGACAGCAAGCTCGTTGCAATCGTCTCACACTGCGGGGTTTGGAATCCCATTGACGACACAATGATGTGATGTGAGGCCGTAGTATCGCGAGAATTGACAGCGCATAGGCGAGGCCCGATGCCAGCCAGGTTCCTTTGTGGTGGGCAACACCGTCTATCGCCTATTACACCAGGCTTTGTCAGTGTCCCATCAATGCGACGGAGCAGCGTGCAGCCGCCACAACGGGATGAGCGAAAACCATCTGGGCTGAGTTTCATGAACTGGCGCATGATAGACTTCATCCTCCATCACACAGAGTCAGTGGCAAAGCGTCTCCAAGTTTGATCGGCCGCTGTCATCGCCGAGGCATTGGTAGCCCGCGGTGAGGGGTTGTCTTGATCGCGTACATGCATGGCGTACTGAGTGTCTTAGAGTCACCGTTTATGTGCCGCTTTGTGGCTTTCACGGTATGCAAACTATGTCATACAACAAATAGTACTACCCCTAATTGCTTTTAGCCAATGTTTACCACACTTTACGGCACGACTGGCGAATTCACACGGCAATCACCAGCCATATATTTCTCAAATCCACGTAATAGTGTACTAGCATTTCCGCTGCATAGATCATTGATCGAGATTCCAGTTACAGTAGTTTCCAACTACCTATGTATATGTTATGTATATCTATTATACTTGCTCTGTTTTGCATAATTTTAGCGGCTAGAGCTCTGTTATCGGCACCCAATTGGCATAATACTGCATGTAGCCGTATATTCGCCATGCTGAATAGTGACTATCAACTCTATAACCAACGTCACATCTTTGCATCTCCAATAGGCTTGAAAAATAGGTCTTGTTGGCAACACCAATTGCTAATGCATATAGCATCCCTGTATTCAGCTCATATGCAAGCACCCTGGCACAAACAAACCAAGTTGTGATCCTTGCAAGTGTCTCAGACGCTCCCGTCCAAGCCATTGCCACGCCAAGAATCACCCGAAAATCCCCTCGTTGTCTGAATCTGTGTGGGTCACTCTTCCCCAATGATTCATCTATCGTATGCCGGCATGTCTTGACCCACGTAATGACGCATTTCGTGTGCTAATAGCATCTCAATTCTGATATAAAAGTTGGTACTATGCCCCTGAACCTCACACCATCGTCTAGAATCTAACCAAGGCAGCCATAGCCATCTCTTCTCATACTCAACCAATAGGTACTGACACCACTACCGAGAGTGTTATAGAGCCGTAATAACCTGTTCTTTAGTCTTTTTTCCCCTCGTTTCTACGAACCATGAAGGTCCTTCTAAAAGTCGCTACTGTCCTTACGTTTGCTTCAAGCGCCATGGCCGGTCAGTGCTCCAACCACAACAAAGGAGCACACAAGGTGGATTGCGTCAGCAAGAGCGAGATAACTCAGCACGGGGATGACTTTTGTGCCGCTCACTGGGAAGACGTATCCGGCTCTTGGTCGAATTTTGCAGACAGCAGCGGACACACCGCAAACATCGGAATGATAGGATCGTTCTCCTCCAAGGCAGCTTGCAAGTCGGCCTATGCGGAAATAGTTGATAGCTGCTATAATGGCTGGGATGGGGGCGGCTGGTCGGCGTACGGGACTTTGCTGCATATCAATTTTTGCAAGTGGGGATCGGACGATAAACAAGAGTTGTGAAGGGTGTATGCAAAGTTCTCTGCTGTATTTGGTAGTTTTGGGTGCACCCCGTGTTAGTTTATGCGAGCCTTGCAGAAGGTGAGCCTAACTAGCTGAATACAAGTCTCTGGATTGAGGCCAATATGTTCATAAAAACTCCTGCTCTCATACAAAACGAATCATACACCTCTCAAAGTTTCTGAAATGACTCCAAGCCGCTGACGTTAGATGGCCGAAGAGTGGCAAGGTAATGATGGTATGTATGGTGGCTAAGAGAGTAGCATTGTAGCGTGTATGTTTGGAATGATCTAGAGATGCAATTAGTTTGAGTATTAAAGACTACAAAAGCTGAATACAATGCAATGATGACTGTAAATCGTCATGTATCAGTGTTGAGAGAGCCAATTGGCGAGATTAGCAGAATCGATTGTATATTGATTTGATCAAACGGACAGGAATCCTAAATCTATATACATCTCTGCTAAGATCCCCTTCGTTCACACATCCAACTTAAGACCAGGAGTGTAGTGAAGCCCCCAAAAATGAGGCATCAAAACCATGTGCCCGTCCATTGATAGCAGCGCCACCAAACACTCACACAATCTCGTTCTCAAGACTCTAAGAGCAAAATGTCAATATCCAATATTGTAATATGCACTGCAAATGTCAATGTTGACCGTACCTTGCTTTAACATTCAGACCAGTACCAGTTCTCGCCCTCATTATTGCATCTGCGCTTGAACTCGTTGATGTTATCGCCCGAGGGATCACAATAGTATTCAGCCCAGTGGGAACAATAACAGTCATCTTCTTTCAATTCATCGCAGATTCTGTGCGTCACCTTCCACATATCATTGACTGACTTGTCAGGGTGTTTGCATCTGTATGCGTTGTCTCCGCAGCCATACGCGGTAGATGCAGTGAGAAGAAGAACAAACAAGAACTTCATGATGGCGTAATAATTTGGGTAAACAGTGTAGTGTCAGTTAAGTGGCAAAGATGTTGGATTGGAGATGAACTTTTTTGATGACTGCAAGATGTAAAGCATTTGGGAGCTTATATACTCCTCTGGCTTGACATATCTCTACGTATGCGGAAAGGCCAATATGGCTCTAAGACAAGCAAGTGGCGAGAATGACCTTGCCTATTCATAAACATTCCATGTGATATCACATATTACATCACGGCTGCATGCCTAGGGTTAGACGTCAAATGTTGGCAGTGAAACCTTGGCAGCTACCTAAACGATTTACATAAAACAGTCAATGTATATCGTTCAGAGGCACAAATAACGCTAGAACAAGAAAATAGAAAGGGAAATAGTTTCGAACACATAATTGTTAGGTAAGTGAACATTACCATGTGTTCAAAGCTTGAGCAAAAGTATAATCAACATCTGTAAACTAACACATATTGATATATTACTAGATAATCATTTGCATAATTTTCACCTGTGGAAACGAAATATATCACATGCGCAACATCTCGAAAGAAAAAAGCTTCATTATTTTCGTTACCGTATTCCTTTTGCTTGCTTGTCTGTACTAGTTGCTTGACTTTTCACAACGACAGTCAGACATTGTGATGCAAGCATTTGTCATGTTTACGGTCACATTTCCCGTGTCTTACATTTCCTGGCGAATATACCAGCCACCAGAGAACTGAAGAGCGTGATGATCATATACCAACATGGATTTGATTCTCGCTCGTGGCTGGCTGAGAGTCGTGGCTGGCTGAAGGTAGCACCAGGGTTGCATCCGTTCCGTTTGTTGTTGAGAAAACTTGCATCTGCACCTAAAAAATAGCAGATGAGAATTCTCCAGTAAAAGACAAGGATTGTGGATGCCAATTTGCGGCAGACGAGATAGCGCGGATGACGGCTCAGAATTACTACATCAGCACTACAGAGTAGCAGCACTAGCATGTATGACTCGCAATAGCGCAGCAGTAGCACCACTAGGATTAACTCTTGTGTCACAGCAATCTGTCCCTGCCGTGTCTCACCGGCTAGCCTGTCAAAACCTTGCCCTGCATCTCAGCTTTTGTCTCAAAAGTAGCGCTGCGGGGGAGACGTGACGTGGCATCCAGCGGTAATGGAAACTAACAAGACAATCGCCACCGGTAATGTCTCACGAGTGTATAGTTAGACAAGCAGCTACGAATATGATACAATTGCACGCAAATATATCTTAACACACACAGTTATTAGACGTCACGCCAAGACGGAGTATGCCGGACACAGCCTTCCAGATGGTAGTGGTGGGGACGATCAGGGACGATCAGGGACGATCAAGAAGAAACAGCTCATGCGGAGACAACCAGGGATGGACCAGGCGAGGGGCCGAGCCAACAGTATTCCCTGCTATCGGCGAAGCGACCAACCGGAGCAACATGACGGCTCGGGATACAACCATATTTTTCAAGGTTCACTGAATACGAATTTCGGAATACTACAAGTACTACCATGCTTCAAGTAAGACATTGTGGCGTTCTAGCCTACAGAAATAGGGCAAAATCATGCGTCCTCTGAAACTGTATCGATCAATTACTCGGGTGCAACACGCTGAGAAGTTTGCCCCATGCTCGTACGAAGAGAGGCATAATACATATCCATATAACACAATTACAATCTCGGATGATTATGAAGATTACCCCGCTTTCTAGGAGTTCAATGTCGCGGCATGTTAATTGATGAGAAAGACACATTGCGTCTCCTCTTTGGTATGACTACATAGACTGAAATACCTGTGGAGTGGTTAAGTGAATGAATTGTTGGAGCGATCATTACTAGAAGAGTTCATCTAGTTGTTGCAATATAATCACTTTCACAGTCAGGTTCAACACTCGCCATCAAAAAAATCCTGCAATATGCGCCGTTTTCACCACTGTTGCTGCAGCCTGTTACATACCACTGACATCAAATCAGTTAAATTGTTGCCTGAATTGCTATCTTGACCTGAGCACATGGTATTCCTCAGTATAGGTTCATTCATACCCTTGAAATAGCTTTTATGATTGCGCAGATTGAATGACACTTTATAGTTTAAACAATAAGCAGATATTTTACCAGAGTTTGATCAAACTACCAAATCTGAGCGAAGTTCATTGGTATGCAAAGGCTCAATCAAAATCCGACATTGTAGACTGCTTTTATTTCATCAGAGATTGTCGCATGGGCAAGAACATGATGAACAGACCAAAATAGCACACTTATTTCGTTATTTCGCAAAATTGAAGACTTTCTTTCTCTTTCTTCTCTCTCCCTATTTTTGGTGGCGGTGATAACATTCTACAGCTGTGTGTCGACATGGTTTCCTTCTTTGCCAAATGACAATGTGGAGGGTCAAGTATAGCATTCATCAATAGCGTATTTTATTATTTCTCCATCATAGAGAACCAATGTTGTTTAGGTCAAGTTTCGCTCTACAATTTGACTGTCGACGGCAAAGTGTGGGTCACGGAACGGGCCGCTCAAATAGGACAGCGGAGCGTACCCAAATGGCAGGAACGTTGGTAGGCATTCTCCAGGCGTCGAAGTTTACTGTTCATGTCTGAGAAGTAGGTAAAGAGTAGAATTTTTAATGCAGTCTCGGTTCCTCATTACGATTTGGACATTTTTAGCTTGATAGTTCCAACTGAAGTTCCCCCTATAGACGCTAACGTTTTCTTCCATAGGCCCATTTCTGTTACGAGATGCTGCCTGTCCTGGGTCCTGACTTCTAAAAAGAGCCGACTAAATATTACCTTATGCTGCAAGTCCATAACGGGCAATCAAAGCGCCGAAACGCCATTGCAAAGAGGCTCGTTGAATTCTGTACGGCGAAGTGAAAAAGACGTCAGAAAGATGCTTAGCTGACGCATCTAGAGAAATAATTCAACCGTACAATAGGTACTTATTAAAGAGCTGAAGGCTCTGATACCGGGTAAATAATGTTCCGCGGCTATAATAACCAACAACAGCTGCCTAAGTACAAAGAGTTGGAAACATTACCCCTTCAATAATATTGTACATCCTAAATATGCCTCTTACTTTAATTCATGCTGTGTAAATATCGATGAAATTATAATTTAGACTTCATCAAGTCATCTTATCAAACATACAACATCTTGGAAATGGATTCGTCCCAACATGATGCAGAAAGGGACCAGAGCTTTTCTCCCGAACCAATAGTCCCCAGTCTTCCTCTTCTTCCATCATCATTGCCAATGGAGTCGCCAGTTCCAAGGTCTTCAAGATTTCCAAAATCTCCCGAACAGCCTGCTACTGAAGTTAACAAAGCAAGCTCTCCTGGCCCAGCCGGTGATAATCCAAGTTCCTCGCCCGACGATGACTCAGTGCCGGTTCAGTCTCGCATCTTCCGTGGGTTCCCGCGTGGGCGGCAGGAACCATACCCTTACGGCTATCAATCTGATGAGGATGACGATCGGGTGTATAGGGCGCCATTCAGAGCGAGAGCGCATATGACAACTTGGTCACCCAAACGCAGTTCTAGCGGGAATCTCAGCAATGTAACACGGCCCTTGGCTCAGATCTCTACTACCATCAACAAGAAAGAGAAATCCGAGTCCCAAACACCGAATATGGCCGAATTAACTTTGAAAGTCGACGATGGCTTGGATGAGATGACCAAGGATTGGTCCCGTGAAGAGTTGCATGACTCTCGGCGCATAGTTGCATTTCGAAAGCTTCTATCTGGATCAACTCTGGATGTCAGCTTCGACGCCGTTGCTGCAGACGCGATGCTACCTGACGGGTTCTACATTTCATGCATCAAGAGAGACGATATAAACAGCTGTTATTTTACTCAGCATGATGTGATTCGTCTAATCGAGTGGCTTCTTACATGGTCCCATACAGAACCTTTCCCATACAGACTCAGCGCCGAGGAGAAGAGTCAAATCCTCCAAACTTTGGACGATTTTAAGCCTCTAACTGTTTCCAAGGTCAAGGCTGAGACAGAAGATTTTTTCAAGCTGATTATGAGCTTGTCTCATCCCCAACCGAGCAACTTTGAGATACAAATAGAGGTGCACCGTTGGGAAGCTTTACTACCCGCGCTTAAAACAATTATGGACAAGTATAGCGCTCAACTCAAGTCATACATTCAAAGTAGAGAACCGAAAAAGATTGAATATGTTCGGGTGGATAGAATTATTGCAAAACCTTTCAGTTCTCAGCTCCCAGCAACGACCGCCTACAAGCTAGAAGAAATAAATCTCGATAAGCGCCAAATATACATATCGGAATTGGCTAATTCTTTTGTCAGAATGATTAAGGACTTGGATTTTGGTGAAGACGCTCTCAAGAGAGTCTCGGTCATTCTTCCAAACTTACTCGAGGCTTTTGCGCTCAGAATTGGCCATAGAGCGCCAACTCTAATGCACCGCAGAATTCATCATTTTGTTTTCGAGAATCGCGAGTGAGTCATTAAAGCCATGATGTTCAGTACAAGCATGTCTAATGAAGTAGTGAAATATCCACAGTTGTTAAAGATAGATTGTCCGAGCTAGGAGATCCTCAGGCAAAGAGTTTCCCCAGCTCCGATAATACATCGAGCAATGATACTGTTGGAGCTTGGCTGGGTAATTTGGATCTTAGTCAAACTCAATCAGGGACAGTTAATTATAATTCATCGACATATACGCCGCATGAAGATGCCAATTTGGCAACTGCCAACATCGACTCACCAAAAGACGATTACGGCGAAACACATCCATCAAAGACCCTAGGAGCTACCGATTCGTGGCTTACCGCTTACCATGAGCTTGTTCCCAAGACAGAGGCTTATCAGTGGCTTCTCAGTCGTTTAAAAAAAGAACTCCTTATGATTCCAGCAAGACCGAGTTTTATGGATACAATCAATAATCTGATTACACAATCTCTAGTGTCATCGCTGCAATTTGGCTACCACACACCTAGTAGAACCTGCGACGCCGAATTCGAAATCGACTGGGATATCATGGCTTTTCTAGAGAAACAACAGTATTCTACTGATTCAAACGAGACAATAGAAAGAATAATCACAGTGACTGGATCCTATCAAGACTCATTTATAACAACATGTGGGCAATATATTAACCAAACATGGCCGTCATCCGGAGAGATTATCATGCAACTGGTGAAGGATTTGGTAGATGGCAAGGCTAGGCACCCCACGAGTAAGTCCACAAGTCAGAGATTGATTATAGGTAATGATATTTTCTAGGCGACCCATCCACCGGAACAATACTTGGAGCGAAGATTGAAGGATCAAAAGTCATGGTTACGGCTAACGGGCCTATGACTTGCCTTGTTGAAGTTGGGGAACAACTTGCTTGGCTCGGCGCTGCGCTTCGAGTACCTCCACATGATCAAGGGCTTGCTTGCTGCAGTCCATTTATCAGCGTTCCGGCTATTGGTACGAAGCTAGCACCGTCTGTTAAGACTATCCTCCATCATAATGTCAAGTTCAAGATAGGTTTTAGGGACGAAATCCAGCAAGGTTTTAGCCGATTGAACGGCAAATGTTGGCACAACTTGTTCAAGAATCCAATGGTAGTTAAAGGATACCCAATTCCAGCAAGGGTTGACAAAGGAACGGGGGCTGAGATCCCATTCAATATAATGGCGGGTCTGGCTCGAACTCAGCGAGTAGACTGCTTTAAAGGAATGACGTTTATCAAGGGCTTTTCCACTCTCTTAGTTCCGACAAAGAGAACTGGAGACATGATATTTTGGCACATGTTTTACAATAAAGATGGGCACCGTATATCCTATCTCGATAACACCATAACCAGCTTGGGATATGCCAAGAGTCTCGACCTGGAACAATGCCGGCATGTTCTCGGTTGGTGCGAAGATGCCGCTTTTTACGCTGGTAGAGTTTTCTCCACAACATCAAAAAGGATTTTGCTAATGTCTACTGTCTACTCTCTGCAGGTTCAGCAAAAGCAAACTATTTTGTTATGAATTCCGCGCTCCCTCCGCCTCACGAAGGCTGCAGTCTTGTCGGCACTTACGTATCTCCTGGGCGATGCCTGGTTGGTGGCCCTGCATTCAGCTTAGGAACTAAAGACACGCCCGTCCATGTGTCTCGCAGCGGCTATATTCCGAGGCTACAATGGATTGCGACCAAATATGTGCTGCTTTGGGACGAGAGTGAGAAGCGTGGTTGGCTCGTCAACGGTACAAGTGCCTTGCTGCATATAGTAAGAGCATCATTGGCATATAATAATAAAGATAAGTTTAATTTTGCCTTCATCTTCAGGGAGAGCAGCTTTCAGGAATCGGCAAAGCCATTCACGGCGGACTCGGCTATTGATATGCTCATTAACCCGCAAAACTTGGCGCTTAAGCTGTACCGCGAGAAGGACGGGTTTCTGCTGCTAGAGAGTAGAATTGAATATTTCTATAATATAATGGAGAAGCTCATCGATCATCAAGCAGACATTGCCGGGGAGCGTGGCGTTAATATGGCCGATAAACCACGACGATACCTTGAAGGCTGGGAGTTCAACGATCTTGCAATGAGCCGCGATCCGCTCTACCCACGAGTGGCTTCCATAGAACCACGCGGGAAGAGCTGGGTTGATTTCACAAGAGCTATACAAGCAGTTACTCTCTTTGGGCGCGGGTTCGGCGATATAATCAAGTCTTCTGGCGCTAATATATGCGAGTACTGGGCTGAGATGCCAAAACAAAAGTATTACCTCGCAGCCTGCCTTTCCGATATGAGCCAACTGGTAAAAGATAACCATGTTCATAATGAAAAGCAGGCAAGAGTCAGCCAAGAGGTTATATGGCACACATCGACGAGTCTGTTTGGAACGTGTCGGTGCAAAGGAATACTTGGACAAGACCACAGTGACCCAGTGCAATCACTACTTCCCTCGGCCATGTCCAAGCTTTTGCTGCCTAGGAAGATTGACATTCCACTAGAAAGCCCTGGCGCCATAATCTTTGGACATAATTCGAGCTTTTCTTGGATTTATGAGGACAGTGGTCATCCAAGCGAGGGAAAACTACCGCCGCCAAACGTGTCTGATGTCGATTCTCTTAAAGACAGCGGCATTGAAGTTGATATAGACTCGCCAAGAATAGGGGTTACTCAATCAAGCGCCCCAAGGTCGTTTGGCTCTCCGGCCCCAAGACAAATTGAAACCTCTTTGCTACAGGCTACCTCTTTACCGAGCAGCGAAACGCACTCTCAGGAAGAATACACAGTTGGAATACTTTGCGCATTGCCCAAGGAGCTTCTAGCCGTGCGAGCCCTTTTCGATAAAAAGCACGACAACCTCGAAAGTGTATCCGGGGACAGCAATCACTACGCGCTGGGGCAGATGGGGAAACACATGATTGTTGCTTCTTGTCTCCCAGAATACGGAACGACCTCGGCGGCCGATTCAGCCTCAAACATGAGGAGAAGCTTTCCAAACATTAGGTTTTGCTTGCTGGTTGGAATAGGGGGCGGCGCCCCATCTGAAGACAACGATGTTCGGCTTGGAGATGTTGTTGTGAGCCTCCCGACGGCTGGTTATCCGGGAGTGGTTCAGTACGATCGCGGCAAAGAAAAAGATAACAACGTATTCGAGTTGACCGGGTCGCTTCCACCACCGCCCCGGTCCTTGATGACTGCCATAAGCTCTTTACGATCGGATCCGGATCTGCCCTCCTATCCTTTGCAGCCATATGTCGACGAAATAATAACTCGAGTCCCCGAGTCTATGAGGTCGAGATACAAACACCCCGGGCAAGAACACGACCAACTCTTCAAAGCTGCATGTCCAAACTGCCAAACCCGAGAAGAATGCGCCAACCATGACGACCATGTCACAAAGAGAAGTCAGCGGCCGACAGACAATCCAGAAATCCACTACGGCCTCATCGCCTCCGGGAACCATGTAATTAAAAACTCCCAGACCCGCAACAAGTGGGCACAAGATCACGGCGTTTTATGCTTCGAGATGGAAGCCGCCGGTATAATGAGTATATTCCCATCCCTTGTCATCCGAGGCATCTGCGACTACGCAGACGCCTTCAAGAACAAACTGTGGCAGGAATACGCCGCTGCCACGGCCGCTGCTTACGCGAAGCTGCTGTTGGGAGTTGTCGCCTCTCCTGATAAGAGCCATGATGTGCTGGGCCCGGTTCGGCGGAGAGGCTCAGTAAGCGAGAGACATGATGAGCTGCACCATAAACGACGGAGACTTGATTGAGAGTTGGAGCGAGCTTATGCTATTGAAAGATTTGCGAGACTTTTCATCTAGTGATTGTTAAACCAAAAACAATGCAAAGAGCTTGATATTCTTGGGAAACCGAAATCTATTGTTTGGAGAGAGGCTGGATATTAAAGATCTATATTCAAACTATTGTCCAAATGTTAACTAGACCACTTGTGTATAATCTTTTAGGAGACCTTCGGTCAATGTAGGCAATAGTAAACAAATGTCACCAGAGAGTAAGCAGTGCAGAGCGTGTTGCAATCTTGATTTCGTGTTAACAACTGGCCATCTAAGTTATCTAAATGAGCGTAGAGAAGTAAACTTATATATCTAGTTGTGAAGTCTGGATTGTGATGGATAGCTGGCTTTCCAAGCTTTCCTAGCTTTCCTGCTGTGCCTGATCCTGAATAGGTCCGCTGATTATAGTTAATCTGCGATGGTTTACCCTGTGGGCGCTATGGTTTCGACCTTAAGTGTTGGGTTGTAACATTATATTAACCCTTAGACTTTTTTCTACTCAATGCCTCTCTAGCACTTCTAACCTTGTTCACAATGATTAAGTTAACGCCTGCTTTAGCTTGAATCTAGCATAAAATCAGTATGATGGGATACTTTCACGTGTCGCAGATCGTTACTTACCTCTACGCAGTTAACATCATCGTTCAAAGGCCCGTAGGTGGCAGTGTAGAGCCCTTGGTTTCTTACAAAGCCGACCAAACCGGGACTTGCTAAAAACGGCTCTGATGCCATGGCTACTCCAGCCAGCCCGAACTTATGGGCGAAGCGTACTGCAGTCTGTAAACTCGTGGCTCTCATATCACCTGTAGGCCAGTTGGATGAGTCGTTCAAAAAGAGAATGGGATATGGCTGCTGCTTCACGGCTAACACCATACAAATCTCTGGGTTGAACGATGAGAAGATAATTCGTCGACGGGGTCCTGCGTGCGTGTATATTACTGAGAGAATTGTATCAAGGAAATGGTTTACCTCGAACGTAAAAGTATCCATTTTAAAATCGGTAGCTTCAAAAAGCATGGGGTACTCTGGGAAAATAGTTAGAGGCATCGTGAGGCAAGTGATGGGCGAGAATTACTCAGTTCGATGTCGAATGGGATCTCTTCCGGCAGACTATGGAACAATTCCTCGAGACTGATGAAGGGCTCGTGGATGCTTTGGCCCCGGAGGTTGGGCTTATAACCTGGATAATTCAAAGTGTGTTTCATCTGGCTAATGAGTGTTTCCGTGACACTTTCCATTGGCGCACAGAGTGATCCGCGGCGCGAGCTAGGAAGCACACTGGGGCGGTCACGTTCATCCCATGGTAGTCTCTTAGGTTGGTCGTTGAACAGTCCCGAGGGCGACTGTGCATCACTGATTGCTATGAACTAGTGGTTTGTTTTTTTCCCAAGTTAGCGACAAATCAATCTATTAGCAAGGCACGCAAACCAACCTGCTTCAAGGTAAGTGTGTGCATCGGCGCATTAGAGCCTTTCTCAACCACAAGAAAATCGTGGTAAATGACGGGGACCTCATCCTTAGTCAACTGAACATCTATAAGAAGGATCAGAGGAGAGCGCTCCTAGTTGATCGCCTGGTCTCACCAAATTCAACAACGTCAGCACCATGATCGATGGCAGTCCGGAATGACTAGTTTTAAGTGGTTAGAAAGAGTGGTGATCACGAGGACGCGAGAAAGCGTAATACCTGAAGCGTGTTCTCCCTAACTTGTAAGCAGGCTAAGTTGTCATTCTGTCCATTTCCTGGTCACTCAAATCAGCGTGCTTCTCTCAGGTTATCCAACCACCTTACCGCGATGGCCGCCGAGAGTTGTTAAGGCCTCTAGTTCCAACTTTTGGGGTTCGATCGACGGGCCTCGCGCCCCGTGAAACGGACGGGCGACCACAAATGTGAAGACCACACTTCCTACGTGGCCATATTGATCACTGACAAGGGGGATGGTAAAGTCTCTGATCAAGCTTTCATGGTTGGCTCCCAGACCTCCCTTCAGGCTTTTGAGGAGTGCGATAGCTGCTCCAATTGGTTTCTCCTCTAGCGGGCTAGTGAGCTTGAAGATAACGGCTGCGTTTTCCATATCATTAGTCGTGAAGCACCAGGGCCGGTCAGAGTTTTCCGATATAAATGGAAGAGGGACTATGTGTTCTGGGCTGTTGCCTCCGATGAGTGAGATGCTAAGGTCAAGATACGTGTCGGGTATCTGAGCGGGCGATATGCGGGCTCTGTATGGTGTAATATTGACCTCAGGTGTAATCTTGAGTAGATCTAGCGTCCCCAGATAGATGAAGATGACCGAGTCAGTAGACGAGCGTCGTGGTAGAATAATTTTGTTACAAAGATGGTTGCCGTGCTTGGAAGGCAGGAAAAGAGAGCCACTCGTTTGGATGGTGTTCATAATATCGATGTGGCCCCTATACGCTGCGTGATCCTTGCCCAGCCATCCTTGCCGATCGTGAATGCGGGCATCAGCGCCCGCTTGAAGGAGTGCTTTGACAACAACAGTATGTCCCAGCACGCAGGCGGTAATGAGTGGCGTCCACCCTCTGTCGTTTTCTCGGGCGTTGACGTCCACTCCAAGCGCTACGAGGTTTTTGATTAAAACAGAGGATCCATGCTCTGAAACCAAATGTAGGATATTCTTGCCGGATCTACTGACAAATTGGAAGCCCCAGCCTTCTTGGATTAGTCGCATGGCGATGTCTGTGAAGTTAGATGAAATGGCTGTGACAAGAATGTCTAGTTTTTCGACCGGATTCGGTCCATTTGAGGAAGTTTGGCACTTATGTTCCGAAATCAGAAGTCCGACCACAGCGAGATGGCCATGCCGAACGGCGTAGTCCAACGGCGTCCGACCGAAGACATCTGCGCACATACGAACTTGTTCTTGGAAAGCCTTGACAGTCGAATATCGAATGGCGCATATGATTTCCAGGCACACTCCGTCGAGGCCTAGGCGAGCTGCATGATGGAGGGGCAAGCGGCCTAAACTGTCCTGACTTCGCAGCAGGGGGAGTTGGGTCGGGTGGAGCAGCTCCAGCACCCGGTGGAAGGCACTGGCTGCAGAAAGGCTGCTTGAAGAAGCCTCAGATCGGGCGAGCTGCTGTATTACCTGGTGCAAATAGTCTTCACTCCCCATTGTGTGAAAAGGCTTCTGTGGGTTGGATTGAAGACTAGACAAGAGAACATGCTGGCAGTTGGAAGATCGTTGAGTGAAGGCAACATGAACCAGTCGGGCAATGGCTGATTGTTTCTCTGGAGAGGGAGTCTGGTATTGGCGATTCAAAACAGCCTCCAAACGGGCACCATCATCCTCTTGTAGGCAGTGACGGATTTCGGGCGGAAAGTGATGCATTCCATATTGCTCAAGAAGCAATGACCGCGATGGTGCGTTTGATTCTTTGTTTTCTTTGGCTTCTCGTACAAGTTTCAGGGCAGTGTTCAACTCGGGTAGCCATGGATGATGGGAGCATCGATTGTTCTTGGCACGACTTAGAAGGAGATTGATATCAAATAGTTCTTCGGCGTTGAACAAGGCAGTGGCCTTGTTGAGGATGCGGGAAAGAGCGTCGTAGTTGAATTTAATATAGTGGTGGCATTTGGCAACGTCGTAGGCACATTCTATCAATGAGGTTTGTAGGTCTTCGAGCTCCAACGTGGAGACGCCGCGGTACTGTGGTGGTAATTTCGTACGGCCAATGTTGGTGCCCCAATGCTCATTTAGGGCCTCTATTTGGGCGCTAATCTCGTGGCCCTGAACGCGGAGGAAGCTTTCAATGATGCTAATTTCATGGCGGACAGCTTCCTTGAGATCTGATGGCCGCTCTAAAAGTCAGTGTATTGGACAAAACCACCATGTACAGAGATGTTGTACTGACCTTCGAGAGCTGGTTTGGTGTTGACTAGGGCCTTTAGGCGAGAGTAGTCAACGTAGGATTCCCTCCAAGCTGGGACTTGCGAGCGTTGGAAATTTCTGCCGAATCTCATACTTCCGGGGTTGATTACTCTACCAAGTACAAGGACGAATGGCGAAGTAGGGCAGTTTCTTTGCGAGAGAGAGGGGCGGAAGCCTGTCTATGGTAGGATAATGCGTCGGTCGTTAAATTCCTACGCGAGAGGGGGGGTTTCTGGTCATAGCTCCTACCTCTGGTAACGCCCATGAAAGGCACTAAAAGATTTCCTATGCCTTTCATGGTTGTACCAGAGATAAAATCTTTCAGGACCTATAACCAGAAACCATCACAGAGCAACATGGCTGAGGTTGTTGGTTTGATAGCCTGGGTACTGACCCTTGCCCAGCTGGCCCAGGGTGTCTGCAAAGGGCTCCGAGGCTTACATGAGCTTTTTGGGGAGCTTCCGGGAAGACTTGCCACTCTCAGTAATGAGGTTGAAGATTACAAGATTGTACTCGACCACTTGACCAGATGTCTCCAAGAGGAGGAGCAACATATGGTCAACGCCAAACACGGCGATAAGCATCTCCACTCGGACATACACGATGAGGTGGCCTTGCACGTCAACAAGCTCCAGGGTCATCTGAGCGACTTAGATTTCATTGTCGCGGGGATTAGGACGACTGGCCAACAGTCCAACTTGGGGTCTGCCCGTCGTGCCTATGCCTGGAAGAAATATCACGGCCGCCTCAACGAAGTGCAGAATCAGATTGTTGCTTCCGAGGCCAACCTACGTCTTGTGTTAGACACGAGGACCATGTACGTATACTTTTACCTACATTACCTCTTGTTTACCCTTAAAAATTACTGCTCGTGTATCAATGGGAGGAGCAAAGAGTAGACGGATAAACCAAACCTACTTCTTGTTAGCACGGGCCTGTGCACGTGCTAACATCTCCCTTCTTGCCCACCACATACCAACTTGATTACTCCTCACCGTGACTTCGCGACTCGCTAACAGCTTGCTCTTTTGTCGACACTTGTACAAATTAACCCGAGTCGACGTTCAGTTTGGCGAGCTGTCGGGATCAAACTCGGCCCAACACACCGAACTTCAAGCTCTCATTAACAGTCATCATCAAGGGCTCAAATCCTACATCACTGAGCAACTCTTACTCACCCTGTCAACGATGAATTATCAGACTCCCCGCTTGCCGCGGTTACATCCAGAAGTTGCCAAATTGCGCTCCCAAGCATCAACGGCAAGCAAAGGTACAAATGGACTCCAACGGTCCAACTCGCAGCAACAAATTGAGGCGATCCGCGTGGGCGTCCAAAGCAGTAAAAACTGGTGCGATCGAGGATGCGCTTGCAAATGTCACGACACACATCGCTCACAAACCCCTTCCATTCTGAACCGCCTTCTTGGCCAGCTCTTTGTGGCTTATTCCGGCATACCTGCCATTACCCCCAAATGTGACCATGATGCTTGCAAGCAAAGCAGTGCCCCCAAGGTACAGGCCGAGTTCTGGTTCCCTGCAAACCTATTTTGGTCCAAAATCTTGCAAGTGGAGGCAAGTTATCAGGCCGCCACTGGCCCTTCCTTACAACTGCGAACGTATCGCCATGTACCCGACTCGGCTCCTGCTGTCAATTTCACAATCAACGGCAATATTGACGCCCTCAAGGCGCTATTCGCCCAGGGGCTGGCGTCTCCCATTGACGTCAGTGACACTCGCGGATACTCATTGCTTCGCGTAAGTCAAATCATCTTTATCCTTTGCTCTACTTGTATCAAAATGGAGCCAGACTCTCCATACTGACGCCATATCCGCTCCCCTTTAGTGGGCTGTGTACTCACAGCAGTGGGAAACGTGCCGCTTCTTATTTGATCAGGGGGCAGACGCCGACTATCGGTACACCACCTATGGGTTTAACCCACTCATCCCCTTCCTTCTCTAGTACTAACCAAGGACTAGACCAAAGGCGATAAGCGATAATAGCCCTCGCAACAAAGCCTCAGATCTGCTTTTGCAAGGTGGGCTAAGACAAGATGCTGTTGATGCCCTCACCCGCATGAGTCGTCGTGAAGATTGGTTGGAAGATCAAAATATGCCCGTTTTGCACAGAATCATTCTTGGCATTTCTAGTCGAGATTTAGTCCAGGAACTACAGGAGCATCCTAAATCTGTCGATGATCAGGATGCAATGGGACGAACAGCCCTTCTGTGGGCAGCAGCCCGCGGCGATGATGAGGCTGTCACCACGCTTTTGCACTCCTCTGCAAATCCCAATATCATGGACTGTCAGCATGCTGGCCCTGTGTCATACGCTGCAGACCGAAACCATGCCCTCTGTACTCGTATTCTTCTTGCAGCCGGCGCCGATCCAGACCCCATCATCCCAGGCGGCTACAAGATTGGGAGCCCTCTCAATTGCGCTGCTCGCAACGCTAGTGACCCCCTTCTAATCAAGGCCTTGCTCGAGTATGGAGCCAATGTTGATGCTGTAGGTCTCAGAAGCCCTGTTGCCGACCTTGTTTCTATCTGCTAACATAATCTCAACAAGTGTGGCATCGATGGACGGACCCCACTCATCCATGCTGCACGAACCGACAAAGTTGAATTCGCCCATCTCCTCTTAGAGTATAATGCCAACATCAATGCGATCTCGAGTGCGGGGCAGACTCCTCTGACTACGGCTATTGCGAACAACAGCCACGAAGTCCTCGGTCACCTACTGGAAAGGTGGGATCAGTACAGTATTTGCCCCCGTCTTGCAGGTCCGCACCTCCTAAAAATTACAGCAGAGTACGGTATGTAGCATACCTTGCAAATTAGTTCTTTGGTCGTCATTTTAGTTTGGTAAAGTATATGATGCTGACGGTGCTCTGTACATAGCCGACGTCGAGACTATGTTGATCCTCCGTGAAACAAATCACTTCCGTCTGAAGTATGATGAGAAGTACAGTGCCGGCGATTTTGATACGCTTCTTCGCCAACGGCTTGATGTAGATGAAGAAATAGAGGAAACCTTTGCTGAACTAATGGGTTTAGTTCGTGCGCAGGTTGTTCCACAGTCCGAGTACAGTGGTAGCTTGATGGAGAAGGGCTTTGTGATGGGGTGAGAGAAATCAAGGTCTCAAAGAGGAGGCGTGAACGGCTCACATTGTTTTCTCAACTTTGCTGGACACTTTTCAGAACCCAGAGCACCATACCGAGGGTGCTTCAAGCTTTAGCAAGCATTGTTAGGGCCAAATAGCAACTCAGGATTCAGTTGCCCGATTACTGCAACCTGATCAACCACCCTCTTATATCTATAGTCCCCACCTTTCAAGCCCTATAGTTGCATTACACAAGGCTTTACACACATCGAGGGCTCGCGTAGCTCAGTTGGTTAGAGCTTCGTACTAATACTTCAACTCGTTGAAATCTTAGTGATGCGGAGGCCGCAGGTTCAAGCCCTGCCGTGAGCAGCTTTCTAGTAATGGATCGAACTTAGTTCTCCGTTCATTCAATTTTTTTTTCTCTTCTAAACTTTTGGGCGTTCTTAGATGTGGAGAGTGGAGAGTGGCGTGCATATTAGTGGGTTGGTGGGGCCTCGGATTCCGACAGCCCGGTTGTATAAACCGAGCCTCAAGTTACAAGAAAGCGTAGAATGAACGGAGTATAGAGAACAGTGAGATAATGAGAGTCGTGCTTAATGCGGCAAGTATTCGTATAACTTACTTTTAAAGCTGAAGAGAAAAAATTATGCAATATGCTTCCAATTCCACGTCTCCCCTTTTACGCTTATAAAGCAAAACATGTCCACGCTCGCCACTTTGCCGGGCAGTTTCGTATATCCAATGCCATCCGCAAACCCGCCCATTAAAAAAAGTTTCTATATACACCAAGAACTCATCATATTATTTATCCTCTAATATCTCCTGCAATTCTTCCATCTCACCACTGTGATAAACCATGTCGTAAAACAAGCCTTTAGAGTGGTACAACTCTCGAGGGGAGCCATATCTATTCACAAACTCAGTCAGCGAAACCGCTCGACAACTCAACATTCAAGAGGAGACATCACAACTTACTCAACTACTTTTCCAGCTCCCATGACGACAACGCTGTCATAATCGATAATGGTCCGCAGGCGATGAGCAATCGTCACGAGTGTGCGATCTTTACCCGCAGATTCAAGTTCAGTTCGGAGCACTTGCTGGATACCCTTGTCCGTTTCGTAGTCCATGCTTGCCGTTGCCTCATCCAACAGCATTAGCTTGCTTTGACGGATAAGCGCGCGGCAGAGCGACAATACTTGGCGTTGGCCATGAGAAAAGTTTTCTCCGCGTGAATCCACTTGTGTCGATAGAGAGATGCCCTGAGATTGTCTCTGAACGGAGCGGTCATCAACATCATCGGCAATAGTTTCATCAGAGGAGTCATCGCTGGAAAAGGACGCGATGCCTTTACAGTTCTCCAATGCCTTCTCGAGAATCTCCTGTGGGACGCGGCCAGTAGGGTCAAGATTGGATTCCACGGTTCCGTTAAACAATGTCGCCTCCTGGGGAATGATTGTAAGGCCTTCACGTAATTTTCGTCGAGGAACTTTTGTGATGTCGATGCCGTCGTAAAGAATTTGGCCAGAAACAATGTGGGTGAACCGCAAGAGAGACAGAACCAGAGTGCTTTTACCAGAGCCCGTTCGACCTACAACTGCAACACGCTCTCCAGCCCTGAACTTGAGATTGACATCGGTAAGAATATTGGGGCCATCAGGATCATATCTAATGGTGACATTGCGGAACTCAATCTCGCCTGATCTTGGCCAGTTCTTGGGAATGACATGACTATCGTCATCCGCGTATTCTCCTTCGTCGGGATATATGACGTCGTCTTTTCCTTCAGGTTCTAGCTTGACATACTCCTTGACACGATGGAAGCTCTGCATCTCCACCTCGAGATCGTTCATGGCTCTCACCATCATAAGAATAGTCTGGCTCAGACCGTTGGCATTGTTCAAGGAGAAGCCCACCAGACCAGCGCCGACGACTCCCACCTTTGTGAGGGCAATGATGCCAGCAACGAGAGCCACCAAGGCAGTGACAAAATCCACTCGCATGGCCACCCAACGGTTACAGTTGTAGTTGGCCTCAGCCGCGGCTGACCACACTCGCAGCTTAGCTGCTAAATCACGGCCAAAAGTCTCGCTCATGCCTGCTCTGGCCCTGATGACCGGTAGTCCCGCCAGAGTATCAGCAAATTGAGAGAAGACGGGGGATTGGGCAGACGAAGAAAGCCGTTTGATGATGACTGCCGTACGCGTGTACATTTCTCCAATCACAACACCAAAACAGCAGGTGACGAGGGCTGGCAGCATGAAGATTGGCATGATCGAGCTGATTGCAGCGATACGCGCAAACAGCATCATCATCGTGTCACACGTTGTTCGGAGCATAGAGCTAAGTCCAGAATCGATAGAAGCCATGTCGCCAGAGAATCGATTGGTAATGCGACCGATGGGAATCGTCTTGAACCATGATAGGGGGACGCTCATAACGGCACGGATGAAATCGTTGTGAAGTTTACGGCCAGCACGCCATGCTCCCCATTCGAAAGCAACAATGACAAATCCAAAAGAGATAATTTCGGAAAAGGTAAAGAAGGCGTAGATACCCATGTAGTAAGCAATGTCTACATGTGCATTGTTGTTGTATGCGTCCACCCAGATACCCATCCAGTAGCTAGAGGCAAAGAAGAAGACATTGGAGCCGGCGAGACCAAGCAAAATGGAGATGGCAAAGACTGGATGGCCAAAGTACCTCATATACTGGAAGGCCTCAAGCCGGCCAACCCTGCCTGATGCCTTCATTTCTTGGTTCACAATATCACTTGCCAAAGTCTCGTTGGCAACCTTTGCAGGATCGTTGAGGGCATCGCCATTGGCCTGTAATTCTGGCTCGGGAGGGGTTTCTGTTCCGACCTGAGTTTCGTCCTCGGTATCATCGTCATCTCCTCCCAACACTTCGGCAATTGTAATTGGTTGGCGAACAACACCAATGTTTGGTTCTGCGCTCTTGACCTGGCCTCTGTCCAATAAGATGGAAAGATCTGCCTGAGACGAAATCCAGGGGACTTGGGTGACTAAAACAGTAGTCCTGCCTTTGAGTAAATCGTTGCAGAAGCAGTATTTCCAAACGCCAGCCGAAGTCTTTGCGTCGAGAGCAGAGAAGATGTCATCTAGGAGCAGGAGAGATGCTTGGGAGTACAAAGCTCTTGCCAGCGCAACTCTAGCCTTTTGACCTCCAGACAGTGAAGTACCATTCTCACCCACGACAGTCAAATCGCCGTCGGATAGCTCCTTGAAGTCTACGCTGAGACAGCAAGCTTCAATGATTCTGTCGTACCGGGCACGGTCCATGGGGCTTTGGAAGAGAATATTGGCTTGGATGGTCTCATTCTGAAGCCAAGCGGACTGTGAAGCGTATGCAATATCGCTAGGTGCTGTGACTTTGCCGCCTTCTAGATGAGTTTCGCCGAGAATTGCGAGCAAGAGTGTGCTCTTGCCACTCCCGCTCTGACCAGTGACGACGTTGAGGCCGCCTTCGACAAAATCTAGTGAGATGTCTTCCAGGCGGAAGGTTGCCTTCTTATTCCGGCGGAATGAAGCGCCTTCTATCCTCAATGGCCCAACCGGGTATCGAATGAGAGGCGTAGTGTTCTCGAAATAAGTGTCCAGCCGTCCAAAAGCGACGCTCGCGGCGGCAAAGTTTCTTGAGAATGCGCTGGCCATCATGATGTTTCTACGGATATTCTTCACGAGAAAGGCAGCAGTAAATGCAGTGGAAGCATCGAGACGGTGCTTTTCTACTCCAACGTGCAGGCCAAGCATCACGATCAGACCGATATATGGGAAAACCTGCGTGACTTGGTTCACCAAGGTCTGCAAAACGGCCACGCGCCACAGCTCTTTCTGTTCCGCTGCCCTGGACGCAATAATTCGGTCCGTAGAGGGATCTTCCCACGCAAAGTATTTGATGGCACGGATAGAAGCTAGATACTCGGCAACAAGAGAGATACGTGTATCTTGGGCTTTTCTCACTCGTCTTTGCGCGCCATACATCATCCTACCCATATATACGGATAAGGGGGTCGCGAGCAGCAGCACGGCGGTACCAACAAGGGATACCCAGCCCATCATTCTATACAGACCAAAGAGAGAGATGATTGTTCCGGCGGGAACACCTGTAGTAACCAAAACCACATCTCGTGCTCGAAAGACGGCATCCACGTCGGCAGCCATCAGATTTGCCAGGCGACCAGCGGATGTCGACTTTTGGGCGTTTTGGCCCTCTTTCTTCTTGTTAGCACTTCCCCCCTTTAGATCAAATGGATCTTCCTCCAGCTCCATTGACCCTAGAGCCCTGTGATATAGTTCTTGGGTCATGGCAGATTTGACTCGGACAATCAATCTAGTCGAGTTAAAGACATACTGCTGGAACAGGACTGATCGTGACAAGGGACCAGCAAATGTGAGAATGAGCCATACCCAGGGATGGTAGCTTGCGTTGTCAGGGTTGGAGATGTAATCCAAAAGCCGATACATGCCGTACGGGGAGACGTTCTCCATGGTAAAAGCAGCGCTTGCCCAGAAGCCCATCAGCAGCAACTGTTTGCGCTGAAAACGCAGCGCCGTCCACAACGTCTTTCTAGATAGTGACCGGGCTTTCTGGATCTTTTGGAGTAAATACAGGGGCTCGTCGTACCAAGCTAGCGTCGGGATACCAGACATGTCAAGTTTCCGCCTAGTGCCCTTCCACACGAGAGGTGTCAGCCATTCATAGGTGAAGTAATAGTTGAGCCAGCTGCAGGTCTCTTCGGGGGCAGGCTCATTATCTTCTGTGTAGCCCGGAAAGTCATGCTTGATTACTGGCGGAACCCATTCCCTAGGAGTGGCCAAGGCGATAAGCATTGCTGCAGCAAGCGAAGATAGGGAGCCGATAACGCTGGTGGTTGTGATACATTGGTCCGTGTCGACCTGGATGCAAGGGAGCAGCTGCGCGGCCACTAGGATGAAGAGCGTGGCGGTCAGGACGTAATTGATTTGATGGAGAGCTACATGGCGCCAATTGAGATCATTGATGGGACGTAACAAGCCGAGAACAAAGGCGTAGGCAACAACAACTACGTTGAGCAAATGCACACGCCCCTGGATGAAAGCCAAGGTCAAAAAGACTAGCGAGGCAATGCGCGAGGCCTGCGACGCTATTTCGTAGGGCCATTTGATGGATGAAGCCTTTGCTCTACTGGCTGGAACGGTGCTCTTGCGATGCCGAAGAAGACGAAATGTCAGCCAAACCGCTGATGAAGCGAGAAGCGCACCCTGAAGAATACCAGAACGAGTCAATTCGGAAACTCGAGCTATCCATTCAGTCTCGGATTCAATGCGGAGGCTAAAATATGTAGATTTTCGTCAGCCAAAACCTTTAAGGAGCTTTCCAACATCGGGCACGGAGGAGAGGAGATGACCAAGCATAATACGAGAAGAACACGCCGCTGTACCATAGATGGCAGATGCGTAAGACATGGGTGACGTACCTGCTGAGAAACACTGGATGTTCTTGAAATAGCAGCTCATCTGTGCTCAGTGGGGAGAGCAGCTGTGTGCTGAGGCGGGAGAGAACGACATCCATGATGCCGTCATCCGAAATCTGCCCTCGCTGGAGAGTAGGCAGAGGAGGGAGTAGACAAAGATTGAATGAGTGAGGATGAAAAGGATAGAGTAACGACGAAATGCCTGTTTTTGATTGATTCGCGATGTAGCACAAGGCGCGTGTGGGCCACATGAAAAGGCTGCCAACCACGACCGAGCCCGCCGAATCGCAGCCGAATCCCAGGCCTTGTAAGTCCCGCTCGGCGCTGAGCTGAAAGGGCGTTGGAATCCCTGGCGAAAGCGCCGTGGCTGCAAAAATCCCTGCGCTAACTCCCCACAAATGACTGATAGTGGGCTTTGGATGCCGCGTATCTCAAGGGCAGCAAGTCTGTATAAGGGGCGGCCTATGAGAAGTCAGCTTTTGCAACTCTCACCGATTCTTTGGGACAAAAGAGGTGAGTGTCTGGTCTTACAAAAGGAAGGGAAGGGAGCATTCGACCCATGCGTCCATGAGCGGTCAATGAGTCTCACGAAGAGGCCATTCTCGAATATGCAGGAGCGAGTCGCTTTAAATACCTGCACGGCTATTGGAGCATGAGGATGAACGGATCAATCATATAAGCAAAGAAGGATATAGGCGAACAATGAGGACCATGAAGTAGGCATGCCCGTCTGCTCTAGCCAGCCTTATGGCATCGAATTGATTAAGATAGCCGTGATAACGACAAGGAACCGGCGCCGGCCCTCCTAGACACGGCTCAAACGGCACTGCTGGAGGACCTTTGACCAACGGCATTGAAAAAGGCGCGCTTGGTGTGGTCCAATTGCGTGTCATATGCGCATCCCTTGGGCGGCAGCCTGCGACATCTAGATTGTGAACTCGTAGAAAGAATTGACTCGACCAGAGTGCCGATGCCCATAAATACTAACAACTTACGTATCGGTATCAAGCAGCATTCGGCTTCTGTGTAGGTACTTTGCATTGGCTGCTTGAACTGTCGGTATACGGCATTCTGGCCAGTACGATGCTGGTTCTGTACGTGCTGTTCCTGAATTGAGGGTTAGCTAGCCATAACCAGCCATGTCGTCCAACTGGGTCCCTATCGCGTGCTCGGTAGCCAAAGTACCGAAGAGTAGCTGTTGGGATGACCCTCCTTTATAAAGCCCCAAGTTCACGGCCCAATGAGTGAGGAGCTTATTCACCAGGTGAGTCATCTACTGATCACGAGCGAGGCGATTGCCCGACCAAGTAACGCATCTCTCAAATCGCTGCGCGCAATACATGCTTGAATGCGTCGGGAGCGACACCCGTCGATCAAGTAGCCTGTATGCTTGATTAGCCTAGCTGCTGCGTAGAGAGAATGAGGGCTGCCATGCAAGGATCTAAGCCTCCCCGAGGTGGATCAATGCGAATGGATACCAGTTAAGCTGTATACTGAACTTGAAGGCAATCTTTGCAGTTTGTACATGCTGAGAAAGCAAGCTGATAACGGTGTGAATGCAGTTGCGTTATCCAAGATGATACAGTCATGGCACAAACCCATACACACAGATTGATTATACAGGCTCATTGAGAGAGGGAAAATGTGCAAAGTCGTGTCTTCTTGTAGCTATATCCATTAAGGCAGGAGCCATGGCTAAATTGCCACGGCGTGCCGCCTTCCACCAGCCAACAATTTTTTATCCTTGTTGTTTTCTACAAGCACTAACCCATGGAATATATATCTATCTTATAAAGCTCTTCTCCATCAAACTGAAGCTCATTGAAATAAAGCAATGGGGAGCAATTGGGCCTAGCAGTATATAAGTCAATCTAAAATCGCGCACTCCATTAGACGCGATTGGTCGAAACACTCGACCGACAGCAGGCGTGCTGGCGCAATGGTAGCGCGCAGACCTCCTAAGTCTGAGGCTCAGGGTTCGAGTCCCTGGTACGTCGAGTGATTGCATTACTCTTTTTGCTTTTTTTGCTTCATATAAACAGAAAACAACTTGCCCTCATTTTTGCTTCAATCACAATCCAAACCTTATACAAGTAGATAATCAAAAGCATCTTCTATTATTTGCAAATGTGCCTCAGCAAATCTCACCCATATTCCACCTCCGCACAATATCATCCTCCTCCTCCTCCACCCCAACACTCGGATCGTGCGCCATGCAAACCGCCGTCGCATAGTCCCCATCATGGCTAATCGAAATCATAGCACTCACATCCGCATCCGCCTCGCCCTCGCCCTTGATCCGCGCCACCGGCGGTCCGCTCCCGAGACGCTCCTCCTTTCTGCCGCGGCGTTCAATCACCACGTCATGGAACGTGAGCCGACGGTGCGAATGGGCCTTGATGGCCGCTTCTTTGGCAGCAAATCTAAATAAAATAAACAAGCAAGCTTAGGGGAATTTTTTCCCTATTCAAGGGGGTTATATGTGTGCTTGATTGATTTGGTCCAATCATGAAGCTTTTTATTTGCTTTGCTTACTTACCTGCCTGCAACAAACGCAGCGGCTGTCCACACATCTGGATCCCGACGAGCCATCTCCTCGCTAATCGAACCGCCCCCTCCTTTATTCTTTTCAAAGGGGTAAAGCTCATCGGCTTTAAAAGGCTTAACAATAGGACGGTCTTCAAGACATCGCAGCCTCGGGTCTTTATTGGCCTGCTCCTCTGGCGAGAGGATTCGGTTCACAAACCGCAGGCCCCGGGGACTCTTGAGGATGCCATAGATGCGAGAGATCTGGCAAATGTCCGTCCCAATGTTGAGCGGGAATGGAAAGGACCGGAGAGGCTTCATCTGCTGTGCCGCCGCATGGACGAGATGATAAGAAGACGCGGTGATGGCTAATATTAGAAGCAATAATAGAAGCACAACGGGTATTGAACTGTATCAGATAATGCTGTGCCCTGCTCTATTACAGCCACGTCGTGGGGTGGACTGAGCTGGTGCTAGGCTTATCGATACCAGTGGCCAAAGCGGTGCATCGTCGACGTCATCGAGCCGTCAAGCCAAGCTCATGCTCACAGCGAATCACCTGCACCACGGAAGAAATGGTCCATGATGCAACGCAATCGAAGCTAATCTGGGAAATCTACAGGCTACGCATGCAACGAAAACATTTAAGGTTATACCAAGCGTATGGAAATTAATTATAGAAAGAGACCCGAGATGGATGAATCGACTGCTCAAGTGCCTGTGTGTAAGCTTGAAAGCGAACAAATGAATTAACTACCAATTTCTCAATTTCACCATCAATATCATATCAAACTTGACCCTAGAACTCCCGCAGAAAAACAATCACAGAGATCTGTAGTGTTACTCTCCCCTACGTCATACATTCATGATAAAGCACCAGGGATGTACTTTTTTCCAACCCGCAAACAGTCTTTCGGGTGAACCGTCTGTTGTGAAATGTGAAACATGAGCGGCCTAGAACGCCATTCTCTCTCACCGCCTCAGACCAGTCTGTGATCCGGCCTATGGCTGTGATATGGCAATAGAGAGAATTGTTCCTTTGGGCCTCTAGGCGGCAGACTCATTGAGGAGCGGTGCACGTTCCTGGTCTGCAGAAGTGACGCGCCTCCATCTGGCGTCTCTGCCGGCGGCGCGCGGGGCAGCAATGGCAATGGTCAGCACGAAGAGGACAGCCATGATGACAAAGGCGAAGATCCACTGGAACGCAATGACCTGGCGCTTGAACTGGGCGACACCAATTGCGGCGGACAGGACGCTGAGAGCGAAGCCCATGGTGTAGTCCTAGATTGGAAAACAATCATTAGCCGCCTGTTTTGGCAGTAGTCGAAGAAGAAGCAATTGACTTACACTATAGGCAGTGATGAAGAACAGTCCATAGACCAAGATGGACCAGATGAAGATGTTGCCAAAGATTCTGGCCACCAAGGTGGCCGGGTGTGGCACCATGATGGCGCCATTCCAGTAAATGGCCACAAAGGTCCACGCCAACGGGCCCGAGGCAACAGGCACATGGATGAAGCGCGGCGTGGTGTTGTGGCGGAAGTACAGCGAGCTGAGGTTGGCAAAGTTGAGGATCAGGATGACCTCGGCAATGGCAAAGTGCCTGTTGACAAAGAGCAGCACGAAGATGACGTGCAGGATGTTGTTGAAGATGAAGTGGCTGCCGACGCTGGCTGCGGAGTGGACGACGTCGGCGTTGCTGGAGAAGAGCGAGGTGGCGTATCCGAATTGGAGGATGAAGAGCACGACCCTGTTACCTTTGTTAGAGCATAAGTATATCTAGGGATCGAGGCAGTATTTACCAGTAGACCTCGGCGAGGACATGATTCATGGTAAAGGCGGTGCGGTAGTGGTCATTCAGGTACCAGATGGCCTGGTGGAAGTTTGCCTTTTGGTGATGCACTCCCGCCGAGTAGTACACGCTGACAATGACCGACACCAGCCAGGTCAGCAAGACGAAGATTTTGTATGTGAGAACAGAGCCATGGCTGTGCGTCTCCCTCCTCGAGAAGGGGTTCCCTGCAGAAAAAGACGATGGTGAGCAATCCGCATGATGAGGCCAAGACGATAATAGGGAAATCTTACAAGCATCCCACCCTGCCATGATGTCTGCGGTTTCCGAGTCTTCTTTTCTATCTTACTCCAATATCCCAACTATCGAGAATGCGATGACGCGGCGAGCTTGGGGTACGGTAGCCTCGAGCACAAAACAATGAATCGAGCTCTGACCAATTCACGCCAGAGATGATGAAATCCCTACCCGTCCAGATGGAAAGAGTATATGTGGAAGCGAAGTGAAAGCGAAGTGAAGAAGTCAAAGGGCCTAAACGAAAAAGTTCAAAAGCAAAGGCAAATTTGCGAAGCAGCCAGTATATATAGCAAAAAAACACGTAATTCCTCAATGGCGTTACTTCATCGCTTCCTCCCCCCTTCCCTCAGCCATCGTCTTCGTCACCATCTTTCTTGCGGGGAAGGCAACGCCCAGCAAAGGCTCCCTCCCCGTCAAATCAGAATCCGCCACCCGAAGCCCCAGCCAAGCCAAGCAGTGAATCCAGCAGCAAAAACACATACAATCTCCTGCTAGGTCGTTCCATGACGCGCAGCCCCCGTCACCGTTTTTGCAGGTTAGCTTCAAGCTTGGTTGGACAAGGGGGGATGAGGAATGTCTCATGATTGGTGGAGGGGCGTGTAAGTAAGCCCAAGCTTCATTCACTCATTTTCACCTACACACCCCTCACTTTCTGCCTAGAAACATTCGTATCTACAGTAGTTACTCTGTAGCAAAAACAGCACATTTTACTTGCCAACCCCCTTGCTTGTGTAACAGGGAGGAGATGCCCGTGGAGAGCTGCATTGCGCGTTCGGGTCCTTGTTCCGCTGCAGCTGGCCTGACGCAGCTTTGGCCGTATAAGTGAAAGCTCCAGCAGTTGGTGTGCAACCGCTTGTTTTGTTCAACAGCGGGGGTGGGGAAAAGAGAAAGCAGCTGACCTCATCGAGCCACGGTCGAGGTAAGCTGAAAGAATCCAGTATTGGTGTAGCAGTATCAATTTGTTCAATTTGCTCCATCAAACTGTGGCTTCCAGGGGGTGCTTGAATTGCTTCTTCACAGCTATCACGGTATCTAGTTGACAATTGACCATCAACACCATCACTCCATACAATTGGCAGATCAAACAAAATCCCAGTAGGTTAGACTGCAAAAGCAACAAACAATCCAACAGCTGAATCAATCGCCGACTCCCCCGCATTTCCCTCTCCAAGCATCCAATAATCGCTTCTCCAAATACGCGCCAATCTCATGCATGTCTCGCCTCGGCCTTTACTAAAGGAAAAGAGGAAAATACTTGCATCTAGATACCTTCACCTGATCTGTCTAGCCCTTGTTTTCTGATAACCATCCTCGATCGTAAACCACGAATAAATGAAGCGCCATTGGCGCCCATGAATACATAAAAGGCACAAAACAGGTATAAATAAAGTCCACTCATTAAATCATAGAACAATACATATATGCATTACCTCTAAAAATACCAAAAGTACCATCTTCATCTTCGTCTCAGGGTATGCTCATAATCCATCAACCATATCTAATCAAGTAAAATATCCCCTTCTGTCTTTTCTTTCTTTTTGCAACCAAAAGGACAACACCACCGTCTAGCCATCACCCATGAAAGCCAGTAAAAAGATAATCTAACCTTTAAAACAATCATTTCTTCATCATCATCTATCCTCATGAATCCGTCACAAGTCTCTCATTCTCATCCAACAGCCCCGTCACCTTGCGCAAATTCTCAACCAAGCTCCTACCCAGCCCAACCAGCAGCAGTTTCTCCGCATTCGCCGGCAAGCCAAGATAAGTAGGCGGCTCGCGCTCAGGAAGTTTATGGATCCACGCATTAAAGTCTTGTAGACCAGTGCCAGACGGCACGAGCAGTTCATCAGGTCCCTCAACCAGCTTGTGGTCTGTATCGTAGGCAGCGGGTGTGAGGACCGACGTAACCAATTGTCCGAGCAGTTTAAAGTCGTCCTCGTCGTCAATCTTGCCACCATACGTCTCCGTGACTAGATAGCGTAGCATCTCCCATGGAATGTTTTGCGGTGCAATGTTGGTTCGATTGCCAGCAACGCTCTCGATCCAAACATCAACAATGAACGCACAGCATTCGTACTATCAACGTCAGTCAGTAAAAAAAAAAAAAAAAGGCCATAAAAACAGAGGCAAAGAGGGGATTCTTACATCGCTATCATTAAACTCCCAGAAACCCTTCCAACCAAGGCTTGGCGCATATCGCAATCTCTCCTGCACAACCGCATGCAAAAACGAAACCAACAGGTACAACCTCGTCCTCTCCACAGGGCTCTTAACCGCGCGCGTCGACAACGAGGACATTGAATCCTTCATGTTCGCTCGCACACCCGCCGGCTGTTCATACATGAGCACGCGCGAGGCACGAAGCAAGTTGACGGGAATCTTGGGACTCGACTCCATCGAAAGGAACAGGCGGAAGTCGCTATGCGGATTGAGTGACTCCATGCGCTTCTCGAGACTCTGTAGCCAAGTTGGCGCCAGGTGTACGTTCTTGATGAGAACCCACGATCCCGTCTCTGCTGCGCTGCTGACCGCCTTGTCGGCGCTGGCCAGACCTTCGTTGGAACCCATGGCAATGTTGGTGCAGCGGACACCTGATCTCTGTACGAGATTGTCTACCTTGTAACTGGCATCGAAACCAGGGCTGGACACCAGGGCAATGGGGAGGCTAGCAGAAACTTGGCTAACCGTCTCCTTCAAGTCTTCCACAATTTCAAAGGTATCAGAGCCGAATACAAGCGTGGCGAAGCGCTCGGCCGCGGGAACAAAGCGATCCATACGGAAAAGCTTAACAAGCAGCAGAGAGTACAGAGCCCGATCCATCCCCGTAGTACCTTCCTCCCAAACCATGGGCACCACGCTCTCGGCCACCTCTTCAGTAAGGAAACCCTCCCAATCACTGCTTGGAACAGCATCAAGTTTGTCCTTCAGTACGCTAAGCTTCCTGGCATCCTGGAAAGCAGCCTCCCTGGACTCTGGGTGAGAAGAAAGATCAGTGCCAGCGATTCGGTCATCAAGGATCACATCAATCATCGACTTGTCCATCTTGTAGGGCGAAGCTTGAGCGAGAAGCATGGCCAGAGTGATGCGGTCCTTCTGAAGCAGGCCAAGTGCCGTTCTCTTGAATGTATTGACAAACAGATCCTTGACGATAATATCTCGGCGACCGTTGTGATTAGTCTCCTTGGCCAGATTCTTGTTGCCTCGCAGCACCGATTGGAAAATGTCCAAAAAGTACTGAAGTGAAAACTGGTAAAAGTGGTTGATGTAGTGCAACTGCTCCAAGACGGAGAATACAGCACTGCAAGACTTGGCAATCACGCTGTACTGCTGCGTAATCTCTTCCACTTCGGCCATGACGCCTTCCGTATTGCGCATCTTGTCGGAGATTTCTGCCGCCTCCGTCTTCAGCGTCTCCAGAGTTTCAATTACCTTGTCGTCGTCCAGAATGTTACCGCGGGACTCATTGAGGGCCTGCAGCAGCTGCTTCTCGAGTTGTCGAAGATGGACCTTGAACTCGCCTTGCAGCTTAATGAGATTGGACCGTCGCTCGTCCACGTCAGGACGCTCCGACTTGAGCACGTCGTTGAGTGACTGAGTCTGGAGACTGCTCTGGGTAACAGTAAAGTTGACAAACGTGGTACGACTGCAAATGTCCGGCGCAAAAGTAGCCGACGGATCTCTAGTGGAGAGATAGAGCTTGAACGATGGCGAAAAGTCAATGTCTTGCTTGCCGAGCTGGATGAGGACACGGCCACCAGTTCGCTGGTATTCCTTGTTCAAGACGTGGTTGAGAATAGGGTCCAGATGCTCAGCGTCCTGGATAAGAATCGGGTTACCGAATCGCAGCGAACTCTCAAGCTGTTTGGTAAAAGTATCGTCCAAAAAGCTGGTGACTGTCAAGCGACGGTCCTTGCACTCCTTCTGCAAGAACTCGGTGACTCTTCCGGAAGGATCAATAATGAGCGGGTATCGGTTGAAGCGCTTGAGAATAATGGCATTCTCCGTGCACAAGTCATCAACCGGCAGCGTGTTCTCTTGCCATCCAAGTCGCTCATCTGCGCTCGACAGGTACTCCGTCACCGGGTTGGGGGACTTGAACTGGATACCAGACAAGTCCAGTTGATGATACCAGTCGTCAACCATGTTCTTTCGGAACGTCTGGTCGTAGAGACCGCTATAAGCCAAGAACGCCGAAGCGACGAGAACATCTCCCACAAGCGTGCTGATCTGCGTCTCAAACGACTTGCTTCCTTCCTCCCAACGACCTCTCTCAGAGGACAAGCTGTCGAGAAGTCTTACACTTCGATCGACCTTGAACTGCACCTTTGACATCTCCGACTTGATAGCCTGTGTCTCACTGATGAGAGTGGCATACTCGGTCTTGTAAGTATTGATGCTGGCCTCAAGCTCCGCAATGTTCTTCTCCACGGCCATGGCATTGGCCTTTGTCTCGAGCGCCTGCTCCTCCAACTGCGCAACTTCCTCTCTGAGAGGTCCAACGCGGTCCAAGATTTCCGAATAGCTGACCTGTGCAATGACCCACTGGACGAGGGGACCACAGGCTCTGGAAGCGTGATTGACCTTTTCAAAAGTAAACTCTGGGTTCGACAGGAAATCGTTGCGCATCCTGTTTCTCAGTCCCTTGGTCATCATCTTTCCATTGTCAAACATGATGATGCTGGCAATAAAGTCTTCCTTTCGAATCACCGCTTGCACCGCCTTCCAATCGTTGATTTTGTGTCCGAGCAAGGCGCAAACGGCATCCAGGGCAAGCTTGACACTCTGAGGAGGGCTCGACATGCCTCGCACTTCGACCAAATGCTGTCGCTTAATGCTGCTGACGCTTGCCTTGGCCTCCTCAACTGCTGGTTCTGCCTTTGCCAGGTCCTCCAGCACAACCTTCTTCCGCATTGCCACCTCTGCCTCCTGCTTCTCCAATGCCGTCTGGATCTCCAAAGAGGTAGTCTTCCTCTGCTCCGCCTCTCGCTGATCTGCAACCATTCGCTGCAGCTTCTCGTTTGCCTCTGCGTCTTTCTGTTCAAGCTGTGACTTCTTCTCTGCAAGACTGGTACGCAAATCGCGAACCTTGTCTACAGTGTCTCTCAGTTTCTCAAGACCAACATTCAAATGTCTCTGCTGCTCCTCCAGATCCTCTCGTTTTTCGTTGTACAGCTTGACGTACTGCGTAACAAAGTCCAAGTAGTGACGTGGAGTCAAAAAGGTGAGCTTGTTTTGCTGCTTCAGAAGCTTCTGGTTGTACTGGTGCAATGAGTGATGGATATACACCATCGAGTTGACGACCGTCTCACGATGTGACGGTGGTAGCTGCAAGCCGCGGTAAGCCACTGGGATTGTATCAGGGGCGTTGAAATTGCTCTTGTCCAGATCGATAGAGTGCGTGAGTTCGTGGCCAACCTGGAACAACGCCTGGTCCGACCAATCTCCAAACCAGTTCAGCACACATCTGTTGAACAAGGCCGGACTGGTGGCGGCCTTTCCTCCAAGACCCCCTTCGGGCGGGTTCATGGTAAAGACGACGTGCAGGTTATTGACAATCTGCTGAGTAAACCACTTGTACAGCTCCTCTGGCGAGTCCAGGTGCAAGTTCTGTCGCTGAGCACCTTCCTTGCAAGCCGTCATCAAGGCAACGTACTCATCTCCCTCAAAGAGACCGGGTACCTCGGCGTTGGCAAGCAGGGTATTCATACGTTCCAAGAATCCAGAGTCCAAGACGTTGGCCTCGTCCATGATGAAACAAATCTTCTCGCCCTTGCAACCACATCGCCGTAGCACATCACGCAAGTCCTCGTCAAAGTCTTCTCCAGAGTATTTGCCGTGGACCTTGATCTGGAACACCTTGAGACCGTTCATCCAGGCCACAAATCGCGACAGCGTAGTCTTTCCAGAGCCACTGACACCAATGAGAATCAAGTGACCCTGTGGCTGTCGGAAGACACGATCAATTCGCAAGACATGCTCCAACACATCGTTGAAGAGAATAAGCGGGACGTCGACTTCTTCTTCGCAGAACGTCTTGAGTCGAGCAGACACAAAGTCTCTGAGCTGCTCTCGATCAACAGGAACATAGTTCTTGGACAGCCAGTTAGAGTACAGGATGGGACCGCCAAGCGCCTTTTCTTCGTCCATGGTGGGGAAGTATTCAAGAGCAATGCGATGAACAGCCTCTTCCGTCCAGTTGCGCTCCTCCTCGTTCACAAGACGATCCTGGAAGAGTCGAAGAGCCTCATGAGCCCAGATGCGGATGAGGCCTTCCAGTGATAACGCCTCAAGGGGCTTAATCGCCTCATACACACCGCGAACCCAACGAGTAAGCTCACGAGGACTGTACACGTAATGAGGCTGAATCTTGGGCGTGAATCTCTGCTGAGATTCCAAGTAGAAGCGGACCATGGCATGTGTGACCGATTCGGCGTAACCACGCAATGAGGGAATAATCTTGAGCACAGCTGCATTGAATGTGCCGTAAATCTGGTTGAGAGAGAGCTCGCCTGGGTAATCCACCATGACAAGAGGAGCATGGCGAAGGAATCGGGCACCCATGGGTGTACGTCCGGCATCGGTAGGCGGGTTACAAGCTCCAACAAACTGGATACGGTCAAGAGTAACCCATGACTTGTCAGAAGTACGCCAGAAGCCGTTGTGCTCAACAAGTTGACGCAAGAATGAGATGGCTCGTTGAGTGCCATACTTGTCAGGGGCCGGAAGATTGATTTCATCGCAAAAGATGACCAGCCAGCGACCAATCTGGGTAGGAGACAGCATAACACCGTTGAGTGTCTTCTTGTACTCGCAGTATTGTTCAAATGTCTTGATCAGCAGATCAGGCGTCGTAGCGCTGGAAAAGTTGAGACCAACAACCTCCATGTTTGGCAGCTTGCGAAGGGCACTGAAAAGCGTCATTGTTTTACCGGAACCGGGAGGACCGCACAGCAGCAACGGCTTATGCTCAGCCAGCCAAGAGTAGAGAACATCTTCATGACGCACGGTATCCAAAGTCGGGATAACCACGTCGGTTTGAATGATGGAGTGTGTGTTGACCTCAATGGTAGGCACCTGGTTTTGCCATGGCGTCCACTCAGCCTGTGGCAATAGTACGTCAAAGTCAATAAGCGAGCTCGTGCCGTCCAGAGGCGGCGAACCAAAGTTGGCAAAGGCGCAGATGTCGTCACCGAATAGCTTTCGATCACCGAGTGGGCAGTCTCCCGTAAGCGCCCAAACCAGCGCAAGGAGCAGCTTCTTTGCCATGAAGCCCTCAATTTGGTCATACTCGAGAGCAAAGTCGGCGTGCTGTCCGTTGTATTCAATAATGTCTCGGCAAGCCTTGTTCAATAGTGAGAACAAAGTATTGAGGACACGCGCGACGGTAAACTCCATGATGTGGTTGTATTGCTGAGCACGCTCCAGAGCCTGGTTGACAAAATCTTCTTCAGTCAAGTAGCCATTAAGCATGTCAGCAACTTGGGCCTGTACAGCCAACGTCTTGGCCGGGCTTTGGCCTGTGGCAACACTATCCTCATCCAAGTCCTCAAAGGGCACGCTGCGGAGAGTCTCGATGTAGTTGGTAACCATCATGTTCGGCGAAACGGTATCCTCGCTAAACCAAACCATACCACATCGACTAACAGTGGCGAGAGTTGCATACTTCAACGTCTCGACTTCAAACATGATGCGGACATTGGGCGGCAAGTTGAGACGCTCTCCGTTGGGCAAGGTCAGCAACTTGTTGTCGTCGAGCACACTGTTCAAGTTTTCAACCCACTCAGGGTCAACATCTCCGTCAAAGACAATCCAGTGCCTCTTTGAGTCTTCGCCACGAAGGTTGTCCACGATTTTACGGAGAATGCTAGTGAAGAGACCATCTGTCCACTCTCGCGTGGTCGAATCCAAGTTACCGTAAAGGGCCTCCTTGGACATGACCTTGGAGTCAATGACGTGCGAAACACCTTCGACATTTTCAACCTTTTGTAGAGCATCAAGCAAGAGCCTCCAAGCAGCAGACTTTCCGGTACCAGAATTACCAACCATCATAACACCATGGTGAATCTTTTGAATCTGGTACAGTTGGAGGACCTTGGTCATCCACAGATCAGTGACGACGAGATGGCGCTCAGCGGCAAGTGTACGGATGGCCGCCTCGAGATCAACAAGATTAGCAGGCACATATTGAACACCAGGGAAGCAGTCTTCTTCAATGTTGATCATGATGTCGACATCTGACTTGATCAACTTGGGCGCAATTGTCTCACGAATACTCTGCACGAGAATTTCAGGCTCGACAATCTCTTCAACGCCAAGATCGCCATTGCTCAAACGAGAGCGCTTGAGGCCACCAGAGCTGACCAAAACACTCTTCAACGCACGAAGACCGAAATCGTAGTGAGCTTGCTTCGACAGCTCCTTTGAACACTTGTCGAAGAAAGGAACCGTCTGCTTCGACAGGCGCTTAGCCTGGCCAAAGCCTTGCGAGTACAGCATGACTTCGGCAATGAGCTCCTTGTCGGGCTTGGACATGGCAACACTTCGGAAGAGCTTCTTCAAGTTGTCAGGCAGGTTGGAACGACCAGCATAACCGGGGTTCATGGTGATGAAGATGCCCGTGTTCTCATTGACGCGAAGCTGTCGGCCAACCAACTCAATCTGCGACTTGTCGTTCTCGGCTCCCTGCTTCAGACCGAGCTGGATGTTTTGAATCTGCTGCGAAACAGCAGACAAGATCCTCTCTTCGAGACGGTTAAACTCGTCGAAACAGCCCCAAGCACCAACTTGGCAAATACCCAAGAAAATACGGCCCATGGCCTGGAAGTCAAAGGTGTCGTCACAACAGAAGACAAGCGTAAATCTTCCGAGCTGGACACCCAAAGCCTTGACGGATTCCGTCTTTCCTGTACCGGCAGGACCGTATGGCGAACCTCCAAGACGTTGGCAGAGGGCTTGAGTAAGCGTGAGAAAACAGCGGTCAGTAAGGGGAGTCCGAACGAGACGATCGGGAACACCGAGGTACTCGAAGCCGTAGTTGAGCTTGGCATTGGCCATCTTGATGTACAAGCGGTTAAGGAAGGGCCCATCCGGGGTATAGACATAGCGCATCTGAAGTTGCCAGAGGTGGTGGCTGGGCGAATCAGCCTTGGTATTGACCAGCTTCTCAATCACATCTCGCTGGTGAACGCATTCCGTAATGAGCTGTTCGCACTTTTTGCGTTGAAGAATCTCGAGATCTCCCAAAACAGTCTCTGCGAGGACACGAAGAACTTGCACTTCCCGCTCGAAAAGGGTTTGCAGTGTTTGGCCGCCAGCAGTAAGTGATGCATCAACGGCCGTTGTCCAGGCAGCCTGAGTAGCAAGGACAACGATTTGACTAGGGAATGCGTCCATAAACGTAACGAGAGCTTCCCGGTCAATATTTTCAGATTCGAAAATAGGAGTGTATTCCTCAACGGCCTTGGACAGCAGCTCTGCAAGCGTCTGCTTCATTCCACTCTCCAGCAGGGCAAGCCAGTCGTTGATCCTGGGCGTCTTTTGCACAGAAATCTCTTTATTTAGCATGACAGTCTCGTCTTCTTTCGAAGTGAAGCCGGAGATGACTCCTTCGTCATCCATGATGAGGCCTGCCAATCCAGCAAACATCTTCTTGAAGTGCTTGGCAATACGCAGTGTATCGTTGCTGTTACCAATCATCTCCAACAAATCTTCGTCACCAACAAAGTAGAATCTAGGGAAAGAGACACGCTCCTTCTCCAGATATTCACCTAGGGCCTTTTGGATCTTGTTCAACATTTCCGCCAAACGCTCCAAGGATTTTTGGGCATTGGGGATGTTGAGCACATCGAGGACGTAAGGCGTCTTGTTGGCCTTCTTCATGACGGCCAAAAATTCGCTGTTAATGTTCTGGAAACGGCCGGATTCGATGGGGAGGAGGTGCTTGATATCAGCATTTCCAGTGAAGACGCCCTCGAGGTAAACCCACTGGCGCTGCACATCAATCCAGACATCAAATAGCACATGAACACGGTTCAGCTTGTCTTCCCAAGCCACCGCGTCTTCTTCGAATTCTTTGTAGTAAGGCGAGTGCTTCATAGCCTGGAGAGAGTTCAAATTCTCACTGCACTTGGCGAACAGGTCGTCCCAACCTCGGATGAGCCTACACTTATTCTGATAGTTGACCATCTCGAGAGCGTAATTCTGCCAAGTTTCACGAACTTGTTTGAGGAACTCTTCAAGAGCCATCTCACCCTGGGCCTGGGCAATGATGTCCTTGACGATGATTTCGGTGGCGGTGAGGTTAAGGTCCCAAACATCGCCGAGGGTCATGGAGCTAGGTGAAAAGCGCTTCTGAGGTTTGATTTGCTTGTAAATCTTGTGCCAGTGACGCTCACGAATGGCATCGGACTTTAGGTCAGACAAGATGTTGTTGACCTTGAGGAATCCACGCAAAACGCCTTGGACGTGTTCAAAAGCGGCATACTGCCTCATTCTACTTGGCATATCCTTTGTGCTCTTGATCAAGTCGTCCACCTTTTGGCGAATCTTTCTTGGCTGAACAGCAGTCCACAGCATGTCTCGAGTCTCATTGAGACTGGTCCAAATGGTGGAAAGGTTGGACCAGACGGATCGGAAATCGCGAACTTCCTCCAAAGTAACCTCCAAGATGCTGTCATTATTGCCGGGAATGTCGAGAGCCTCTCTTGCCTTCATGACCTGCTGGAATTCCTCCTGCAGGGCCGTAATGCGAGTTTCAAAAGTCGTCAGCGTAGCAGAGGCGACATCGGGCTGGATGGTTCCCGAAACAGGTTTCTCCTCGTTCCACTGGCCAACAACCTCTGTGATACGCTCGTTGATTAGCTTATCCTGAGCAATGATGTTTGCTCGCATTGCATCAGACTGTTCCTCCATAATCTTGGACTTCTTCTCCAAAATCTCCTTGAGGGCTTCCCATTGGCTCTCAATCTGTTCAATGTGAAGCCAGTCATTGGGGAACGGGTAGCGCTGCCTCACCAAGGTAGACTGTCCCTGGCGGAACATGTCAATCTCGGGCGCCCACAGCTTCGCATTGCGCCGACAGCTCTGCACGGCCGTGATGAACTGGACAGCCGCCGCAGTAGATGATGTGTCTGAGCTCTGGCCTTCAAGATTCTTTCGCGCCTTTTCAATGTCGGCATTGATATCACGCATTCGGTTGCCCAGTCGGTTGGCAAACTTCATCAGAATCTCTTGCTGCCACTGGTCATATTTGGCATTGACCTTTGTCTGAACTTGGTCATAGTCGATTGTGATGTGACCAAACGAGCGGCTGACTTCTTGCGTATCAAAAGTGGTTCGCACTTTTCTGATGTCCTGGAGACACTCTAGCCACCTAGGAAGATGGTCACCAAGCATGTCGTAGACCTGGTCAGACTGAAGATCCCAGAGGGACTGGAACTGGAGCCACTTGTCCACGTAGATGCTCACTTCTCTTAGCTTCTTCTCGACAGACACATAGACGTTGTGAAGCATATCTGCGCAGTGAGAAGGCAGATCGGTAAAGCGGGCTTCCTCGTTAGTCTCAGTGCTGAGGCTCATCTGGTATCGCGTAGCCTTGATCTTGCGCAGGTTACAGACAATGCCCAGCCAGTCATGAAGGTGGAGAAACCAGCTTGCCCTGGCGTATTCCAACGGGGGATCAAGATAGATGACTTGATTGCGCATGGTAATTTCCAAAATAAGTCGCTTCATGGTCGGTCCATCCTTTTCGTCCTCCTTGGACAGTTTACGTCTGTCATCCGCCGGAACATCTTCCTCAAAGGCAGCGATCCAGGCCTGAACCGCAGTGGAGAGACGCTCAAGCAGGATAGTCTGGACTTTGTGGTTTACACCACGTACCCAAAAGTCCAGGTTCGCATACTGTTCCAAGTTGAGCTGATCAACAGCAGCTTGGATGGTGTCGAGATGGGCCTGGAAAGCCGCAGCATCGTAAGGACAAGTGCCGAGGTCTTTCAGAGCTTGCTCAATGGTGGCGTAAATAGAGCTAAGTGTAGCCGTCTTTGATTGAAGCACCGAGACGGCGGCGGCGAAGCCCCAGATGAACATGCCATGCTTGCTCTCGGCGTTTTTGGCCGCGCTAAAGCCAGTTGTTCCAGGAAGCAGGGGCCGAATCTGTCTCTGATCGGCATAGAAGAGCTCGTGCGAGTTGACAAAGGACTCCCACCTCAGAGGGACACCGTCAGCAATAAGCTTGTAAACCTCATTCTTGTATCCGTTGAGAAGAATGGCCTCTTCTCCCATTTCAGATACCTGTCGCAGCGTCTGGGACAAAGTTCGAACGCCCTCCATCAAGCTAACAGCATAGGGATATACCCTCTTCGCGTCCTTGGATACTGTAGTAACTGCATGGGGGACAAGGTAAGACTGCCAGGTCAGGTTCCGGGTCTCCTTGAACAAAGTAATGATCTGGGGATCAAAGTTGACATTGAGTTCGAGAATGCCGCCTGCAGATCTCACTCGGTTGATGTTGAAAAGCTGACCAGCAATGGAGATTTTGCGTCGATTGGCATCAGCCAACCACGCGTCGTAAATCCTTCCGGTGTCTAGTTTATTCTTGAAAAGCTCGCTCTCTTCTCGGAGCTTGTGGCCTTCAGCATGCAGAGTCCAGTCAGGTCCAAGCACAGCCTCGACCTTCTTCATATATCCGTCCAGCTGAAGCTCAATCTGGCGAGCCCAGATAATGGCACCCGAGACAGGGGGAAGATCGCGGAGCTGCGCCATAGCATGGGACTCGGAATGGCCATACTGCTGTTTGAACCTCTCGTGCAAGCCATTGATAGCCTGCTTCACATGGTCCATCAACTGGTTTTGATACTCTTGAATAGCACCACGGATCTTGGGGCGCACAAACAGGGCGTTGAACTTTGAAAAGACTCGGAACATTTCATTGGCAGTCTTGGCCGTGGCCAGACGGTCTCGTAATCTGGCAATGATGGAGTTTTCAACTCGTGTTGTGCGTTCATTGTAAAGATTCTCGGCTTGAGCCCACCGCTCTTTTCCTTGGTCTGTCACATCCAGGAGGTCAACATTCTGCAGAGCCTCCCAAGCTCGCTTGACTTCCTCCACAGCATCTACGTCGCCCATCTCCTCAATAACAGCGCCGGCAGTAGCCGGGGAGGAAGAGGAGACATCCGTAACAACACCTGGGATGATGGCCTTGGGTCCCAAGACGTTGACAATGGTCCTCTGCAGCTGTTCGTGGTTGTCTCGGAATGCGCTGACATACTTGATTCGCGACTCCAGCTCGGAGTGATTCTTCTCCACGTTAATGGGAATTCGCTTCTCGTTTCTGCGAATAATGAGCATACGGGCCAGGTGCGTAAACTCTTTGATGTTGTCTTCCCAAGCGGCGAAGATGCTGTCGCACGTGCGCATGACATTCTGAAACTCTGGGTAGCCCAGGTTGACGAGCTCAACGCCGGGAAGGAGACGAAGAAGCACGTCATTCAAATCCGCTGAAATGGCTTGAGCCAAGCTCAACGCTCTTCTGATGGGATATGGGCACACTCTCAGCTTCTTCATCAGATGGGCAAAGATCTGAGTAATGGCCTCCTCGACCTTGAGCAGAGACGGGGCAGACAGCAGCTCGTCGAGCGGAAAGTCACGCATGAGCTGATTGTACTTTTGCGCCTTTTCTTTGGCTTCCTTCAGGCCCGTATCAGCTACAAAACTGACAGTGGCCTGGAAACGCTTCGCATGCTTCAAAACGTCGAGGGTCAAGAGGACACCTTCGCTCCTAAGCTGGTCCTCGATTCCCTCCAACGCAGACTCCATGGACAACCAAAAGTTGACTTCTTGGCTGGCCGTGCTAAACTCTTGGACGGCATTCGAAGAGGTTTCCTTGGTCAGCTTGGTGATGCCTTGGATAGACTTGATCCAGGTATTGACGTTTGCTTGCAGCTTGTTGAGGAAGCTGCTGTCCTGGAGAAGGGTTTTTGGAATAGCCTCCATGGAAGGCTTCGTCTCCGTGACTTGGGCATCATCGAGGACATTCTGGATAAGCGAGTGGAAGGTCAAGGAGATTTCGGGAATGTCGACGTTCTGCTGCAGATGAAGCAGACTGAGCTCCAGGTCGTTCAATCGCTTCTTGGTGACGGGGATGCCCGTCTTGGCATCGACATCTCGGCCCCTTGACCCGTTGGCCAGCAGCTGGCTCTTGCTGTTTGCATCAAAGTACGGCACCAAGGCATGGTGCACTTGAGAGTGAAGCACCTCCCATGGGGAGAGCGCAACGCCCTGCTCTCCCGAGGCGGCATTAAGGGAGGCGGGACCAGGTAAATTAGTAATGAATATCTGCGAGGTAAGAGGTCGAGAAGAATCAATCGCTTGCGATGCCTTGAGCAAAATCAAAGTAGCGACGGTGGTGGGAGTAGAGGTGATTTCGGTCGAGAGAGTATAGTCGTAGGTAGTGGGGGCTTATCATCAAACATGTCAGTTCAACCCATCATAAGTGAGGAGAGAAAAGGAAAAAAGGGGAGAGAGAATATGAGGGGCGAGGGAGAGAGAGATAATACAGAAATCCTCACCAGCAGCATCAATGCTAGGATGCTCAATCGACTCTCCATTCTCAGCGCCATTCTCCAGCGCCCCGGCCTGCACCACGTCTTTCTGGATATACAAAACATTGAGGGTATCGTTGGCGAAGCGCGTGCACCGCGAAATGGTCTCGCCGTACGACGCCTTGTGCAGCAGGTTGCCGGGAAGCTCGAGATCCGCCCGCGATGCGCCCAGGGCAATCTCGCAGATGGCGGCGAGGTGGTCAACCACGCGTTCGGGCTCGATGGTCGGGAAGGGCGTCGGCGTCGGTGTGGGCGACGAGGGGGCCGGGATGGAGGCGCCGTTGCCGTTGGTGGCGCCGCCGAGGCTCGAGCCCGGGACGCTGACCGAGGACACTTCCATGGCGGGAAATGTCTACGGAGGGGAGAAGAAGGAGGGGGAAAAAGAAGAAGGGAACAAAGCAAGCTTCTAGGTCGAGAAGCCGGTCATCTCCAGAGTCGTTGGGATCGTGATAGGTGTCGAGGTATGGTGGGGCCTCGAGTCGTCGGTGGCTAATGGATGTTCGCCAGGGGTCGGAGAGAGGGGCGAGCCACACAGAAAAAAAAAATGAGGGATGAAGCTCGACCGTCAGGAAGGTGAGTAGAAGATGCTGTTCTCGTGGTGGCCGGAGCTCTGGCAGAGGTCGTGCAAACCAGGGGATTGTGCAGGAGAGAGATGCGGGCGTGGCGCCGATGCACGGGAGTTAGTCGCAGTGGCAGCGGTCTTGCGGTATGTGACTTGAAGCTGGCAGGTACACGCAAGTAGTGCCGTGCGCCACTAAAGATGGGCTCTAGGGGCCGGTTCCAGGGTCCCGCGATCTATCTCTGGCAAACAGGGCACGGATTCTGTAGTTGCGGGAGAGCAAGTGTATCAAACAGCCGGATTCTTGAATGGAATATCGTCTGGAAACGAAGATAGGAGGCACACCGCATCAGAGCAGACATCCAAAGTGCGATGGCAGACTACGCAGATACTACGACGGAGCATATCCACACGAGGTACATTCTTCCAGCCAGCAGCACGAGCTACGGCCCAAGTATCGAACCTGACTGACAGGAACGAGCTAAAATAGCCCGGGGCAAGTTACGCGACCCCAAACGGGCGGGACCCTTGTCGCGCTCCAGCTTCTGGCTCAATTGTCATGTGTCCCATCCCAGATGTTTTCTACAGGTGGGGGTGGGTGCTGTAGATATTAAACAGAGAAAAAAGCCAGCTGGACGAGGAGGGGAAAAGTCAGGGAGGCGTGGCTGGTTGGACACAAAACGTGGCGTTGATGCTTGTCATGTTATTTTGTCCATCGCCTCTGTATGTGCGAGGTGTTGATTTAGAGAGGCTGTGGCTGGAGAGGCACACACAGCTTGCCATAGGTCAATCAGTAGCTTGTAGCAGCCGTGCCTGGACCTACCCGTTTGAGCTGCAGCTGTTTCAGAGGCCCATTGCTGGTGCATTATCATCAATGGCAGCTAGCAGCAAGAATGTCTCACTTCCCTCGTTATCCCGAATGAGGGTTTGCTGGTAGCAGCCATGACGTCCTATACACTCTTTCTATTGATATCATCTTCCATCTTGAATATTTCCATTTATTACAATATATCATTCCAGAGATTCCAGATGGCCATTTTCCCCCAATACTCAACTCCAAACTAAATATTCAAGCTTCTCTCCAGTGACCTATCCAAACCCCAACCATCTTCCTCCCAGCTCCCAGCTCCCAACCACCATCTATTAAAGCAAAGCAACATCGCCTAGGTAGGTAAACATCAATACATCAACGCACCAAGAGAAGGGAAAAAAAGCAATCAATAGCACGCAGATATACAAATACCATCCACTACACGCACTCCTACTTACACACAACAAACCAAATAATACCCTCGCACCCAATATCCATCCATCCCGCACACGCCTCCCCTCCCATCCCAAAACGGAGAATCAAGAGAAAAAGAATAACCACCAAATAGTTCCTAGCAAGCAAGCAAGATAGACAGGGGCAAAAAAAAGGTACAGGAACGAGAGGGGGTGGCCATCTACAATACCGGGTAAGGCAAGGTGAAAGTCGACACCTCAAAAATTAGAACATACCCCTATACAGATCTACTAGTTCGCGGGGAGCGAGAAATAAAAAAAAATAAAAAAAATGCTACGGCCACGCCACGCCACTTTTTTTTCTCCTCTTCACGACTTGTGTGTGTGTGTGTGTGTATCTGCCGATAGTAATACTCCACCCCTTTTTCCCTTTCCTATCCTACTCACCCAAAATTCTTCATTTACACGCCTCTAGGCACGTTTAAATTCTCCGTATCACGTTTCCAGGGTCCTGCACCTTTTGGGCAATAGTACACCTTGCCACATACGAGGGTGTATGTAGAACAAAAAGAAGGCATTCAGCACGATTTATATCAATTGCTATATTCACTCCAAAAGATAAAAAAAAAACCTCACTTCTAAAAAAAATCACTCAGCCAAACATAAAAAAAGGAGCGAATCACACCAAAAGAAAGAAAAGAGAGAACAAATAAAAACCACAGATTGCGTTTAGATAAAGAACCTTGAAATTTCATCATTCGAGCATCGAGACCGTTCAAACAAAAAAGAAGAAGAAATCTACCAGCATAAAAGTAACCAGCGTCCTGCAAAACCCTTCCTCTCCCCTCCACTTTCAGCAGCCCTCAAAGACCAGTTTTACATGATATGACGCCCCTTATAAGTCGACCTTACATAGTATAGAAAACAAAATGATGGCAAACGAGAGAAAGTTCAAACGTTCGAAAAAAAGGAGAAAGATGGAGAGAGACAGAGAGAAAAGAGCAATCTCATGGCTTGGAAAGCGTACAGGCTTTAATGCTTCAGTACCCAGTTATTCGGACAGACCAGAATTGGAAGTGAATCCTCCTCATCTTAAGCAAAAGAAAAAAAAGAAGAAGAAGAAAAGAAGTGAGACCAAAGAAACACATACATCATATACTTGCATGATAACAAAGTCATAAAAAAAAGGAGGGGGGGATCGAACCGACATCACCGTTTCTTAAACGCCTCTCCGTATATGTAGTAGTACTCCGTAGACCGGAACGACCGACCGACCGACTGCTCTCCGGGTTTCCCAATGTATATTTCAAAGACCGGTACGCCAGTTTTGGAAGGGAGGGAGGGTTGAGGATGGGCAGACAGACGCAGCGAGAGATATAGAGGGTAGTATAGAGAAGATGAAGATGAATGATGAAGATGAAAGATGATGATGAAAGATGATGTTGTGGATGCAAATGTAGAGCTAGACGAAGATGAAGATGAGAAAGCTCTCGCGTCTGCCCCGTCTTAACCAGTCGAACTGCCTGCCGCGCCGCCTTCATGACCCCCAGCCAGCCTTTCCCTTTGAACCATGACCCTCTGGTTGCAAATGTCAATAAACATTTCAAACTTTTCAATAATCTTGTCCTTCTCCACCAGCTTGGCCTTGAGCTCATCAATCTCCTTTTGTTTGTCCTCTTCCACCTTCTTCAAGTCCTCACGCGCCTTGGCCAGCTCCCGTCGCAGGTCTGACCGTATCCTGTCTTCGGGCGACGGCTGCGGCTTGGTGTATATGGCCGGCCTGTTTTCCGCCAAGCCAGTAGCTACTTTCTGTGGATTGCGGTTGATGGCTGCCCGAGCATTGTAAATGTCTCTCGGCAGCAAGTGACAGTCAGGATTATCCGTTTGGAGAATCTGCAGTGTTTCAGATACGCCTGCACCTATACATAGGATCGGTTAGCGAGAATTTCCATCCAACAAGATGCCTTTCCCCCCTCTCTCCATCTTCTTTTCGTTTCTCTTCCTTACAAAACAAGCAAGGTGCGGTGTAATACTAACCATTCTCCTTGAGCTGCTTCACAGCAGCAACCATCTTGCTGTCAAGCTTTCTGGCTGCAGGGTGATTCGAGGGGCTCTCGCTCGGTCCATGATTGTGCTGCAAATGCGAGGGGTCGGGTCGGTAACGGATAGTCCATTGGGTCCGTTGCTCGATAGCAAAGAAGCCAAAGGGACAGTCGCATTTCCTAGAAGATGTTTTTCGTTTTCTGAATTCGGGGCTAACTCGGCTCGGTGGCTTGCCAGCTCGGTCACAGACAAACAAGACCTTTTTTAGACCAGGGACGGTTTTCTTGGATCGGCCAATGACGATAGCATAGCCCACCGAGGTGCAGTAACGCAAAACTGCCTTTTGCACAGCTTCTAGTGTTGGATAGCTACCACCTTCGGGGGGTGGTGACATCATCTCTCCCATGGGAGCCACTGCCATTGAATCGTTCATGAGTTTGGATGGAGCCAGTGTGCTGTCCCCTTCCTCACCCTCCTGCTGGGCGTCCATATCTATATCGTCTCCTGCATGACCATCCTGTTGCTGTTGGGGAATAGGCTCAGGTTGCTGGGCCGCAGCGACTCGCATCTGTTGTTGCTGTTGTTGTGCTTGCTGCTGCTGCTGCTGCTGCTGCTGTTGTTGCTGTTGCTGTTGCTGTTGTTGTTGTTGTGCCTGCTGCTGCTGGTGATGCTGCTGCTGTTGGTGCTGTGCCTGAGCCTGAGCCTGAGCTTGGGCTTGATGTTGCTGGTGTTGCACCTGATGTTGCACTTGCTGCTGAACCGGCTGAGGTACCTGCTGCTGGACGGGCTGTTGAGTCTGGGCCTGGGGAAGCTGTAGCTGCTGCCGCGAAGTTTGCTGCTGTTGAGCTTGCTGTGCCGCCTGTTGCTGTTGTTGCTGTTGAGCTTGCTGCTGCTGCTGCTGCTGCTGTTGAGCCGCCTGCTGCTGAGAACGAGAGTGTACATGATGAAGTTGATCTTGTTGATGCTGCTGAGCCTGGTGTGCTTGCTGCTGGACCTGATGTGCCTGATGCGCTTGATGTCCCGGGTGGGAGGGATGAGTCTGATGTGCCTGCTGGTGCTGAGCATAAGCAGGATGATGAGGTTGCTGCTGCTGCTGAGAGTGATGTTGCTGAGCCGCCTGCTGGGCCTGCTGTTGTTGAACCGCCTGCTGCTGCTGAACCGCCTGTTGGGCCTGCTGCTGCTGATGGTGCTGTTGTTGTTGCTGCTGCGCGTGGCCCGGATGGCCGCCCAATGCCTGCTGCGACGGATGCTGCTGATGCTGCTGCGGATGATGCTGCGGATGGTGTTGCTGGTGCGAGAGGATGGAGTCGTGGGCGACGGACTGGGTCATGGAGCCCGGGAAGAGCATCGGCGGCGGGTTCGACTGCGGCTGGATCTGCTGGCGCGGCGGAGCGGTGCGCTGGCGCGGCACGCTGATGGCGTTGGGCACATGGACGTTTGGCGCCCGCGACGAGGCGCTCGCGACACTTGCGTTGACGGACGCGGGCGTGTTGAAGAGGTGCTGGTGCTGGGCATACGCGCTCGACGGCTGCTGCGGATAGGCCTGCGACTGGTACGGCGAGGCGGCCTGGGGCGCCGGCGACTGCTTGTTCGGCTGGTTTGCGTGCGCCGGGGGGAAGCCCACGCTGCGTCTGTTGAAGGTGGCCTGCGGGAAACTCAGGCCATGCGCGTTGGACCCGGACGGGCCCAGGCCGGACATGATGGCGCTGGCGATGCGGCGAGCAGCAGCACGAGAGACGCGGCGGCTCTGTCTCTATCTCGATCTCGGTCTCGTCTCGACAGAGTCGCGAAACACGCAATCGCACCCTCCGGCGGCGGCAGGGCGTGAGTCGAAGCGTCGTCAGCCGCCCGTCGCGGCTTTCGGATCGGTCGATCGCGACGGTCGGCGTCGAAGCGCTGCCGATTCTCTTTCGATCGGACAACCTCGTTCTTCTTGTCCCGGCAAACGAGATCCAGAAATCTGGTTCCTCGATCTTCTATTTTTTTTTTTTTCCCACAGCGACGAGCAAACCCGGAATCCTGGTTCGGGGGTGTCGTTAATGGGGCTGGCAGAGGCGTGCAAAGCGTGGAGGTGCGCGCTGGGTATAGGAGGTGTGGGCAGAATGACGAAGGGAAAAAAATAAATAAAAAAGGCAAACTGGTGTGCGTTGGGGAACCTTGGGGGGTTGAGAGAGGGGGTTTGATAATGGAGAGGAGGGGGGGGGGGGGGGGGGTCTTTTGACAAGCACGAGCAGCAAGATCTAAGATGGAGGGGAGGGGGGCGAGGCTTTACCTACTAGGTTTTCTCTTTTTTTCCTGGCTGTCTGTCCTCTTCTGCGATTCAAATCCCGGTTGCGTCGTCGTCACAGTGGGCTCCCACGGCTGGGGGGGGCGTTTTTTTCTCTCTCTTCGGTCCCTTGGCTTTTCTTCTTGCGCGTTGCTTTTTTTTTTTTTTTTTTTGCTCTGCCTGGCATGGATTTGCGATGGGATGGGAATTTATTATGGGCTGGGCTCAGAATGGGGGCCGTGGCCGGCAATTTTTGATCAATTGTGCTTCCTCACGCCCAATTCGCTGGAGCCGGGCAGGGGGGTCGCTCCCTTTGCGCACTGTGCGCTGCGTCGGCACTGCCCCCCCAGCTCTGCTGCCTGCGCTGCTGGTGCTTTTGCCGTACCACCAGGTAGAGCGGTACGCGGAAGCACTAGCAGCGGTACATGGGCGGCGCGGTAGCTGTATACTTTACTTGCACTAGCACCTCCCATGTTTCTGGCTGTTTGGGGCCCTGGAAGAACAAAAACCAAACGATCGTGACACATCGTGGCAGCACAAACAGAGTTTAACCGCCATCGCGCTGGGACCCTGTCGCTGCCCAAGGCCGCTGGGTCTGGGTCGCACGGGGGGTTGAGCCCAGCAGCAGCGCAGATGCGCTCCAGCTCCTGTTCAGCCCTATCCGCCAGCCGCATCGAAAAGGCCGCATCCCCCAAGAATCCTTCAGCGTCACGCATCCGGGCGGCCGTGGACGTAGCACGAACTGCTTCGCGCACGCCGTACGATGCTTCTGTGCTTCTGTGCTGCGAGTTCCCTTTGGGCTGGCCAGTCTGTCACGGGTACCTGGGCCGCGAGGTACTGGCCGCCGTACCGCGGTACCTTGGTCGACAACTCTGGCTCGCCTGACGCTTGTTCCAGCGCTGCGCCGTCATCATACCGACAGCGTGCCAAGTATAGTACATGCCAGACCTCTCTCTCTTGTGCTCCCTTGCTTTCTTCCCACGGGCTCCGATAGTCTGCATTTCAAATCGCCCAGCGCCGTCAAATCACCGCCTCCAGAACGCCCTTCCGCCCCGGCGCCCCTAAAAAAAACCCCCGCTACGCCGGCCAACTTTGCGTCTGCGCCATGTGATGTCAGCCTGCCTAGGGACAAAAACCACCAGCTAAAAAAAAAAACTTACGTGAGCGCCCGCCCAATCCCATGCCGCCATCCATGCATTGGCTGGCGCCCACAGGTGCCGAGCGAGTCCCCCAGCACAAGGACACAGTGCCGGAAACGCTGCGCCAAGTCTTGGCTTTGAAAGCGGGACCTGGCGTTGAAACAGGTCACCTGCTGAGATCCAAATTTTGCATTTGCAACAGCAAAAAGAGGAATTCTGCCGCTTGGGTTTTTAACGATCCAAGGGAGCGCGACCCCGGCCAGCATGCCACCGCGGTGGATCGCACAGCTGAGATGAGATGCCTGGCATGTTTCATCTCCCTCTGTGCAAGTACGAGCGTGATACGCGCTACTGGCTAAAAAAAGGCTGCTTTGTAAACCGGTATTGTCTGTCTTCTGCGCCACAAGCAGGAAAAGATGGCAAAAAACGCCATTTCCTCCCTTGAACGTTTTTTCGACGTGGGACTTTTCGGGCTTGGCCACACGGCCCGTCAGCATCCAGACCATGTACGGGCACAGCCACTGCCGTCACTTTGTTTGCTGTTCTAATGCATCTGCTGCAGCATCTCTCACCTTGATGTTTCGTTTCTAACGGATTAGCGATAAAGTGATGAATGGCGTAGAAGAAAAAAAAAAAAAAAGAGACGTAAAGAAAAATAGAAAGGAACTGTAAGACAAATAATACGAGAGAAAAAACAAGAGCAAGATACTGTAGACAAAAAAGACAGGCGCATCTATAACGGAACGAGGTATGAATTTCATTTCTCTCAGCAACAACTCAATACGTCACCTCCATCCCTTGCCGCTACGTTCTGCCCAATGTCTACCCAACGCTGCGCACATCACTTTCTGCAATGTGAATGCATGCAGCCCAATGCCGCCCCGTAAATATTGGACTGGACTACTCTCGGTGTATATCAAATCATTATATCCATCTCATCGTGGTCCAAAATATCCAAAAATGCGCCTCGCCTGTTTCTCGCTCCCTTATGGCATGTCTAAACATTATTTAATGACCCATGCAAAAAAACACAAACAAAAAGAAAGAAGAAGAGGAGAAAGAAGAAGAAAGAATCCGCCGACTGAGAGGATATGAAACATCTATAAAAACAAAAGGGATAACAGAAAAAACAAGACAAGGAGAGCAGGGCGGTGACAGCGGTAGAGATCACACATATACAGGCGTATACAAGTATAGATCATCAATCACCGCCGCCGCCATCCGACGGACGTTTCCTCTTCCGCGGCCGCCGGCCCTGGTTCCCCTCGCCATCGACAAAGTGTCCCTTTTCAATCTGGTGCTGTCGTAGGTTATCCGCGCGTTTGCTGTACTGGCTCGTGCAGCCGGGATACGGGCATCGGAATATCTGCGGGTTCTCGCTGTGTATCGTCTTCATATGCTTGGCCATGCTGCCCACAAACCACCTGGGATCGCCCTTGGGCCGGTAGCCGCATATCTCGCAGCAGCTGTCAGACTCGACCTTTGCCGCCGCCGCCGCCGCCGCTGCTGCTGCTGCTGAAGGCGGCTCTGGTTTGCTGGGTGCAGAGGCATTCGGCGATATCAGCGGATCTTCCAGGCCCAGAGGCGCTGCAGGTGTGGCTGCAAACGCTGCTGACTCGATCGTTGGCTCTGGCGTCCACTCTGCCGCGCCCGTGAGTGGGGCCCCGACCGCAGGCGCCGACTCGGGCATATCAATATCGGCGTCTGGGTTGAGATTCACCATGGACTCAAAATCGAAGCCGTACATGATGGCATCGAGTGCTTCAGTGGAAAGGCCCGATGCTTCTACCCCTGTCCGAACAGGCACAACTGCCGAGCTTCTACCAGGCTCGCTAATAAGCGAGTTCATGAGTTGGATGCCGCATCGATGATAAGTTGACCGAGAGCTGGAAAAGGGTCTTTGCGCGTATAGCTGATCGGTATTCTGTCGAACCACTTCGATAAATTCGTCAAAAAACACATCGGACGGGAGATAGGTCTAGATGTTTGCATCTCATGTTAGCCCCCCATGCATACATGTGTGCTTTTTTTGGAAATAAAAAGTGGCTCTGTCTCTTCTTACCTTCCCGGCTTGCATCAGCTCCAACTCCAGCCGCCGCACGGTTCCCACTCCACCCGAGTTGACCTGGCCAATAAGTTGATCCATGCCAAGTTCAGATCCTGGAAAATGAGAGTATTGATGAGAAAAGATATTTTCAATCATGAATCTAGCGGCAATGGCAAACGGAGAATCGGCACTCGCTGCAAGGCTGTCCTTGTAGTGGTGGTCGGCAAGTCCAGAGGGCTGTGTTCTATAGCTGCGTTCACGTAGCGTTTCGTACTCGAGCTCTACAGTTTCAAAAGGTTAGCCTCCCAAGTGAAAGTCAGAGGAATAAGAGAGTGGAACGGTTTAAAAGGTCAAGTGAGCGTACCATCCAAAAAGTATGCCGCGAGCAGTACCAATGGATCAGACGTCAATCCATGCAGAGAATATTCCGGTTGCTTGCCCTTTGCGTCTGGGATGGGCGGGCTCAATTGCAGTATTTGGATAATCTCGGTGTTGCCTACATCACTGTGCTCCCAAAGGGTAATGACGACTTCAATGAAGGATGTCCGGTCAGGTTCTGAGAACCAGCTGCTATACAAAAGTGCCTGCTTGAAAAGAGCGGCAGCATGTTTTGAGGCGTCGTGTTCATGGATCACCAGAGACAGAGAGAAGACAATGTGGACAAAGCATAAGAGGTCCAGAGGTGATGCATTTTGGCGGCCTTCTATGACGTCTGCCATTGTTTCCAAACCGGCTGCCGCGACAGAAGAGAGAGACATTTGGCATAGCTTCTTCACGAGAGCATTCTGGTTGATGGTCTCGAGTTTGTTCCTGGAGTCGGCAATGTGCATCCGTAGTGCGTCTTGGACTGATCTGGCAAGAGACTGTGAGTACCTAATAGTGTCGAGGCCAGAAGAGGCGGCATTGTGTAGTAGAGCTGGCTCAGAGGTCTGTTGTTGTGGCGGCGGCGGCGGCGGCGGCGGCGGGGGTGGTGGTGATAGTTGTGATGTTAGGGTAAGGTTGATGGAGTTGGTTGAGGGTAACGGAGGTCCAATCGGCATTTGAAATGGTATATCGGTGTTGAATGAAAAGGCAGATTGGTCCAGGCTCATGTGAGCTTGAGTCTTTTGAGGATCCATGGTGGTGGGAATGTCATCAAACATGGGAATGTCAGCAGGAAGCTCTGACGGACACGAGTTGGCAACCATGTTTTCAAACTCTGAGTTGCTGAAAGGAATAGGTCTTGTCGAGATGGTATTGGTAGTAGAAGTAGTAAAGGGACCCGAGGGTAGAAGGCTCTGAGGACTAATGAGGTCGTCAGGTGACGTCAAGGCTGACTCGAAGCCGGATGTCTTTGTCCATCCACTGGACCAGCCCGACATGGGCGAGATGTTATAGCTGGCGGTGCTATTGGTGCTGTCGGTGCTGTCTGTGCTGGCGGTCGACCGGACAGAAGAGCTCGGGGCCAGGGCCTTGCTTCGACGGCTTGCTTGAGGGCCTCGAAACTGGTCCAGGTGCGTGTTGACCTGCAGTGTTGGACGATCAACCAACCTTGGATTCATGGGCTTCATGAGGCTTTGTGGCGCCACAGTTGGGGGAGATGGTGGTGACGGCCTCCAATTTATGAAATCTGCTTCCATAGTTGACGGCAGCGGTACGGCTCCCGGGTGGGAGCCTGGTGGTGAGATGGGGAATGTGGATGGGGGGAGACAGGGGACCATCCCAGGGGCGGGTATAGCCTCTGTCTCGGTCTCACACTCCGGGATAGTGGGGAGCAGCACCTCGCTCGAACCGATCTCATGTATCTCGGTCGAGAAGAGCTCGGCCTGCGGAGGCAGAGGCGTAGGCGTGGCGGGCGTGAAGACGGACTCGTAACTCGGAGGCTCTTGCTCGTCCTCGACGCCGCCGGCAACTGTGCCTGTGCCTGTGCCTGTGCCTGTGCCTATCCCCATGGAGGCGGCCAGAGCAAGGCCCTGAGACTTTGGCTTGTGGCCCAACGAGCTGAAGAAGCTCCTTGCCATGGTGACAATCTTCCTCCTCTTGGACGTGTGCCCCAGACAGCGCCTGCACTTGACATCGCTGAGCTGCTCGGGCTTCTCGCAGTCGTAGCACCAGTACTCCCCCCCGGCGAGGTGGTCGCATGAATACAGGTGTTGGAGCATGAGCTCATGGTTGGGGAATCTCTTCCGGCAACGAAGCAGCGGGCACTCCCGCCGCTCCTCTGGGGTCATCTTCTGGCAGGCATTGCGTTTGACGGCCGCCCATACAATGAATCTGTGCAAGGCACACTCGTCGCTCGAAGTGTTGCGTGAGCTTCATGGCGACAGTCAGCATATAACAGCATGGTCAAGTAAGGGGGAAATAGGGAGGCAGTGAGGAACAGGAAATAGACAACATGTAAAAAAAAAAAAAAAAAAAAAAAAACAGATATATTCTCCTCATGACTCAGGAGCACTCTTCACTTACACACACGAAGTCGGCATCTCGTCGTCGACGGACGAAGTCACTGAGGATGCTGAACAGCTGCTGCTGGAAGCAATTGTCGACGTCCGCCTTGGACCCAGACGACCGCCGGTTGGGCTACGGACCAGACGCCGGAGGGCTAAAGCGCCGGCGACGCCAGGGTCATCGAGCTTCTTGTTTTCCATGGCGGTCTGAAAGGCCTATGCCCCGGACCAGGTTCTTTCGTCGCAGGTATGGTTATGGGGCAAAAGTAGAGTAAAAAAAAAAAAGGTCACCAAAACAAGGCCCCCTTCGTTGTGTGTGGAGATGCTCGTCTCTGGTAAGGGGAAGCAGGACGAAACAAGACAAGACAAAAAAAGACAATGTGGCAAAAAAAATGTAAGAAGGTCAGAGTAAAAGGAAACAGCCTCCTTCAGGCACCGTCCATGGTGTTTTTGTTTCCTTGTCCAAATCGCAATAGGCGTTGAGGGCTGGGCTGGAGCCTTGGAGGCAGCTTTGGCTGTCCTACGAGCAGCGAATGAGACGAAGACGTCTAGGACTTTGCCGGGCGGCCAGAGTAGGACTCGGGGCAGGGGTATCCCTTTTCTGGTGTGTGACCGCGGCTGATGCAGCGTCTGGCTCGACTTCTGCAGTTGGCCCTGTGGGCGAGGCGACAGACAGAGGCCGTGGAGGGGGGAGAGAATCCCTCGTGCCCCCCAATGGGCAGAATGGGCCTATTCGCGGTGGTCTGCCAGGCTGATCCCTGCGCCAGTGCCCCCCCAAAATCGGCGGCCCCCCAGACTGTGGCTTGAGCACGCTGAGCATTATGCGTAGGTACATGGGACGTTGGTCCTCAGCGGCCATCAGGCCTACCTGTATGAAGCGTGTAACCAAACAGCGCTGTAGTCAGCCGGCCTCGGGGTTCTGCGATGCTGAGACGAACGAGGGAGCCCATCCCATCCCATCCACCGCGAGGCGTCTTTTGCGCCATCTGGCTGTTAGTGCCAGTCTAGGCGTTGCCGACAACGGGCTCGTATGTCTCAATGCAATGTGAAGCAAGAAAACAAGAAAGCAGCGCCATAAGCTGCTAATCGACGCTCAGCACTGCTAGCAGCCGGTAGTGCCCATCAGATCGCGCCGCCAAAAGGGCAATCCCGTGAGCATCTGGGCCTAGGCTAACCGGCTGGCTACTGCGCCACATCCAGGCACAAACCAGAGATAAAGCTGAGGCGCAGAGCGGCGCTAGTATCTGACCATGGATGAATTGAATGAACCAGCAAAGCAAAGCCGGCATCATCGCGTCTCTCGCCATGCAGGGAAGCGGCAGCAGGAATAATCGCCAACGATGACGTTTTTGATTGGCTTCCTCTTGTCTCTTTTTTTTTTTTTTCTAGTGCCCGTTTTCGTCCGTGGTTCGTCTCAGATTCGATCACGATCTCTCCCTCTTGCCCTGCCTCTTTTTTGTTTTTGTTTTTTTTTCTCTCCGTGCAGGGGATTCTCTCCATCATCTTACACGAGACGAGCAACCCTCTCAAGAGACTGACTGGACCCATTTTAAGAGCCTCTTCCAGCTCCAGCTCCACT